GGAAGGGACCAACTTGAAACTTTGGCAGAGAACACTCTAACCGATGCATGGGCCGTAACGAATCCGGTACCTTTGGTCCATAAAGATGATGTACTCGAAATTCTGGAAATGGTGGCGGAATGAGAACGTCAGTGAGTACTGATCTCGTCGGACTGAACTAGATAGAGTAGGATTGATACAGATAGTCTCTGTCACGAGCTACAAACCTTGTGAGCTTCAAGTCGATCATGCAAGTCCGAGCCCAGTGGCCAAGAAGCATTTGGTGATCAAGGAACCTCCATAATGATGCGCAGTAGGATGGTGTACTCTGGTTGATACTTCTGGACACAAATTAGCTATCATGAAATTCGTGCTCAGGAGCATCCGCTAGTATGTGCATCTGACTGAACAATTAAGTAGGTAACATTTTCCAGGGTTTTGCTGTTTGCCGTCATCTCGACAAGCGCGTTGTTGCCCCTGTGGACTGAGACACTAGTAACAAGGACAAAAGACCAGGGGATGGAATTGTATAAGCTATGTGAGATGTTATAAAGACTAAGCTAAAGGGAGAGGAGTTGGTGTTGGAGGGGATCCTTGCAAGGAGGGTGAAAAGGAGAAGGATTTCTTCCCTGGCTCCACCGCGTCGTGGGGACTTGGTGCCCCACGAGCGATCGTGCCCCGTCGGCCCCCTCGGCCCCGTTGACGGAAGCCTTGGGTTCCCCACGCGGAGATCCCTAGCCAGCCGATTTTCTGGGCCACCGACCTGGCCATTTCATGCTGAGAACATGTACAAAATTGTCAGGCATCGCCGCTATTTCTGAACGTGAACGTCATCTTCGTAATCACAGTCTGTTGGTTTAGTTCAAATACTCGTTAAAATGTCTGCAGCGGACGAAAAATTTACGGTTGGCGGGATCGAGGTACTGCAGAAGAAGATCTCCGGGATTGACCACCCTCAGGCCAACTACAATGGGTTCAATCCTTCAACGACAAACCTACCTGAGGGCTATAGAAAAGACCCTGGCCGTCGTGCCTTTTCAGTAGCCACCACCTTGGAGCGAGATATCGAGATTCCAATGAGAGATGGAATCATTCTGCGAGCCGACGTGTTTCGCCCAGCTGGATTGGCCAAAGTCCCAGCTTTGGTCTCTTGGAGCCCTTATGGTAAAACTGGAACTGGTACCGAAAGTCCTTCTTGTTATTAAGCTTCAATTGACATCTAGTAGGTCCTCTCAGCCTTGATGTTGCTCCAGGTCGTGTTGGTATTCCGTTGCGCATGACCTCGGGGTTCGAGGATTTTGAAGGGCCTGATCCGGCCGAGTGGACATCGCATGGCTACGCTGTCATCAATATTGATGTTAGAGGAGTTTTTAAATCCCAAGGAAATCTCAGGTAAAGATCGTAAATTCAAAGAGTATGGGTGTTTTATTTAAACTCTATGTGTTTAGGAGCAATGGAGCCGCTGAAGGAAGAGACGGCCATGATGCCATCGAACACCTTGCTACCCTTTCCTGGTGCAATGGCCGCGTTGCCCTCATTGGAAATTCCTGGCTGGCCATGGCTCAATGGTACATTGCTGCTGAACGACCGCCCCACTTGACTTGCATTCTGCCTCTCGAAGGGTGCTCTGACATCTATCGCGAGACTCTTTGTCGAGGCGGGGTGCCTTCCCTTCCCTTCTGGAGGTGGTGGAGAGACCACGCCGTACATGGTGAGACGATTCACTTTTCCCAGGCCAGCAGGCTGGAGTCACCATGCTAAATATCACACCCCCGTACGATAGGTGAGAACATGCAAGAAGATATGATTGCCATGTTGGAAAAGTACCCCTTCATGAACGCCTACTGGGAAGACAAGCGAGCCAAACCTGAACTCATCAATATACCTACATACGTTCTTGCGAGTATGTCTACCGGCTTACATACTGTGGGATCTATTCGATGTTTTGAAGACATCACCCATGATAAAAAATGGTACGCTCACCTCTCAATCTTGTCCTCACTACGACTAACGCTACTTCCTCAGGCTCCGCATTCATCCCACTCAAGAGTGGCATGATCTATACCAGCCGACTACCGTTGCCGATCTGAGAAAGTTCTTAGACTATTATACCAAGGATGTTAAAAATGACTGGGAGAGCACCCCCAAAGTTCGGATCGCAGCCATTCGATATAACCTGGTATGATATAAACCCAAGCATGAAGCGCCTGAAGTTAACCGAGATGTTCTCACTCCGTAGCCTCCGACGAGTTATTACTCTTTCTCCAACTGGCCGATACCTGAGGCCCGAATCGAGACTTTGTGGCTATCGGACAAAGAAAAGCTCCAGGCGAATGAACAGTCTGTGTCGGCTGGCACCGCATCGTACCAATCAGACGCTCCAGCCGATCAGACCGACAATGAGCAAGACTACGTCGAGTTCTCCTACACATTTAGTGAACGAAGTACCTTGATTGGGCCTTCCAAAGCGGTTCTCTTCATGTCCTGCCAAGATCACAACGATATGGACGTCTTCGTCATCATCCGCAAAGCGGACAAGGATGGCAAGATCCTCCGCAACGTCAATATTCCTTTGAAAGAACTTGAGCTCACCGGCGATGACCAAGTCGAGAGGATCAACATACTCCAGTACATCGGCCCTTCCGGCATCTTGCGCGCCAGCCATCGCGCCATCGACCCAAAGCTCTCGAAGCCACATTGGCCAGCACATGACCACACTTGCGAAGATAAAGTTTCACCTGGGACAGTTGTTAAAATGGAAATTGGAATTTGGCCCGCGGCGATACAATTTGAAGCTGGCGAAAGACTAGTTCTCCGAGTTGCAGGACACCAAATGACATTGGCAGAATTCGTTCCCTTACGAGGCGAATTTCTCACGGGGAATAAGGGCACGCATAACGTTCATTATGGTGGCCAGCATCAGAGTTATCTCAATATTCCTCTAGTCCAGGTATAAAAAGTACCCAACGGATACTTCGAAACAGGGAATCCTTGTAGTTGAGATGGATAATGGTCTCCACTGAGATCTGTCCAGAGCGGTATTAAGGATCTGGAAATTGGCTAGTTGTCCGGATGCCCGAGTTGTAAGCACCTTATTGCTAGTAACAGGAATTTGGAATCTTGTCAGAGACCATATGAAACTCGATTCGCACTGCGAGAACGTTACCAAACAGTTTGATTGGCCAGGAATGACCGCGCCGCTTGGACTTGGACACCCGCAGAGCGACCTTCTGACGCTGAAAGGCCACCTAGTAGCATCGAACATAGCCCTAGCCTTCACTGGGCTCGCTCCTAATGAAGCTGTATATTAGAATCACTATAGTGCATGCTCCCAGGTGAGCGGAAGCGGCAAACGGCGCAAAGCTTCGACATGGCTCACATATCAACATTGCCTGGTGTCCCTCTTCGAATCGCTGGTAAAGATGTTCTTACAGAACGCCGATTCCAGACGATAAACCCTGCCACTAACGAGGCTCTCGCAGAGGTCTCAGGCGCCTTCATACCAGAAGCTGAAGAGGCTGTGGCCGTGGCCCAGGCAGCGTTTCGTGACTGGTCTAGAACAAAGACTGAAAGGAGACGAAATGTATTCCTGAAAGCGGCTGACATATTGGAACGTCGTCGTTCAGAACTTTGCAGATATATGCAACAAGAGACTGGTGCAACGGACGCTTGGTGCGGGTTCAATGTCCACACTTCATCAGAGCTACTGAGAGACATTGCCGGACGCATTGCAACAATTCAAGGCACTATTCCGGAGACGGCCGATGAAGGCCGGACTGCATTGGTATACAAAGAACCACTTGGTGTGATTCTCGCCATTGCGCCATGGTTAGTATGATCTCCATCTTGCCAATGGAGCCTTTTAACGACGATGACAGGAACGCACCATATATCCTTGGGCTTCGTAGCGTTGCTTACGCCCTAGCTGTAGGAAACACATGTGTTTTGAAGGGTTCCGAACTGGCTCCGCGCTGCTTCTGGGCTATTGAGTCGATATTCGAAGAGGCTGGACTACCAGCGGGCTGCCTCAATGTGATTTATCACCAACCCCAAGATGCGCCCGATGTGACGCGGGTTTTGATTGAACATCCTGGGATCAAGAAAATCAACTTCACCGGCAGTACGGCCGTTGGCCGTATCATTGCCGGCCTAGCAGGGAACAACGTCAAGCCAGTCTTGATGGAACTTGGAGGAAAAGCAAGTACTATCATCTTCGAAAGCGCAGATCTACGACAAGGTGCACTCGCCTGTGCACGCGGGGCCTTCCTTCATGCCGGCCAGATCTGTATGGCTTGCGAAAGGATCGTGGTTCACTCTAGTATCGCGAGTGCATTTGCTGCCGAGCTGAAAAATGCTATCGATGAGGTTTTTGGTTCGGGGAACGACAGCCATCTTATGGTGTCAACTGCTGGTGCTCAAAAAACCAAGCACCTTGTTCAAAAAGCTCTTCAAGCAGGAGCAGTTCCATTGATCGGAAGTGAGCCTACTAGTGATACAACGGCTAGAATGAACCCGATTGTCTTGGATGGTGTGAAAAAGGACATGGAAATCTATTACACGGAAAGTTTCGGACCTACTGCCTCTTTCATCACGGTCGACAGTGAAGATGAAGCGATCGCCGTCGCAAATGATACAGAGTATGGCCTGTCAGCTGCAGTGTTCACCAACGATCTGCAGCAAGGCTTGCGTGTTGCTAGGCAGATAGAAAGCGGGTAAGGCATCGCACTTCCTCCCCATCACTAGCGGAACTGGCTGAGACTTTGTACAGGGCAATTCATATCAATAGTATGACCATCCACGATGAGTCCCGGCTACCGCATGGTGGGGTGAAGAACAGCGGTTTCGGGAGATTCGGGGGCAACTTTGGCCTTGAAGAGTTTCTCCAGACCAAGACAGTAACGTTTCAAAATTGAGCTCGATGGCAGTCAGAACGCCGAAATCAGAAAATCAAGAAAGGAGCCGAGGAACAGAGATAAGGGCTCATCATTTAACAACGTAGATTTGTTTAATCTGAGGCTATATTATGTCCAGACTATTACTGGTTTCATGACTCTTCCGTGCAGCAAATCTTCGACGGCAGTATTTATCTCTGAAGGTTTGTATCGCTTTTGCAGTCGATCGATGGGAAACCGACCCTGCATATACAGGTCTGCGAGGAAAGGCAAGAACTGAAGTTGAAATCTCGTATTAGTTGTGGAGTCTCAACATGGTTTTGAACGTGGCTTCTCTGCTTACCTTTCTGGAGTAGCTATTCCCTTGGTGTGAGCCTCGATACGTCTTGCAACTATTGACAAAGTCAAACACTTGAATTTCCATCTCAGCCGTGCTGGACGGAACTCCAACCGTGACCGCGATACCGCCTGCACCCAAGGCTTTGATCATAGCGTTTATGACGGGCACTGCCCCTGTGCAATCGACCGCAGCATCAACACCGTCACCCTTCGTGATACGGTGGATCTCCTCAATGGTTTCGACGGGATTAGTTGACTGAATTGTATGGGTAGCTCCCAGTTTAGCGGCAAGATCAAGCCGGTCTCGTTGTAGGTCGACTGCGATGATTGTTGTGAGAAGATTCGGATTGTCGTGGTGTATCGCCTTTGCTGCCATAAGGGCCGCACTGCCCACACCACCAATTCCAAAGATAGCCACAGATCGAGTGCTGTTTTCAACCGGCTTGACAACATTGAAGATCGACCCTGCACCAGTCTGAGCTCCGCATCCTAGCGGAGCCAAAATGTCGAGCGGCATCTCCGTATTGATAACTACACAGCTTTCCTCTTGGACGATTGCGGGATTTGAGAACGAAGATTGACCAAAGAAACACCCTTGAACATTCTGCCCATCCAATTTCATGGGATGCGTCCCATCCGGCCTGAGTCCTCCGAAATTGCGTTCAAACATGCTCGTGCATTGATACGTTTGCTCCCTTTTGCAATTGTGGCATTCTCCACAGTGCGAATATGAGAGCAGAACATGATCGCCAACTGCAACATCCTGAACGGCGCTTCCAATTTCTCTTACTATCCCAGCACCTGAACAGAATGACAATTAGTTCGTCTGAGTAGCGTAAGTGTAATGAATTTATCTCCTTGCCTTCGTGTCCAAGTACCGTCGGGTACTTTCCGGGTAGTTTCCCTTGCTGGACAGCAGTATCAGTATGACAGACTCCAGTAGCCTTGAGTTCTACCAAGACTTCGGTTGGTCGTAGTGGTGCAAGCTCGACAAAAGACGTTTTGAACGGCGCACCAACTTCGTCTACGATCAAGGCGGCCGAAGATATCATGTTCAGCCGAGAAGATGAATCGTTAATCGCTGAGGAGGTTCGACAACAGTCCGATGCTCAATGTATTGTGTATTACCTTTTCACTTGTTCATGTCCTCGGAAGTATACTTAGTATCGAACAGGCCTGGTCTAGATTGCCTATGAAGAGATCCGGGGTTTAGACGCACTGACCTTCTCGTAGTCATGCGGCGGAGAGTCCGCCGCCCAATCAAATATAGGGCCTGACAACAGGAACGCCACCTATATAACCTTAGCATCGGAAAGGGACCGGTATCCGTATTTGGCACCCGAGGCAACGACACACTGTTCACAAACTTGGTTGTGTCTTCAGACCAGAGGCCAGTTTCGACGATTGTCCAAATTGCTGTATGTCCTTCAAACAATTCTTCAACATCGCCGACTTCTTCACCACTTTTCGGAAATCCATGGATATCGTCGTTGTTGGCGCAGGGCTGGGAGGGCTCGCCGCCGCTCTTGCAGTCAGAACGGCCAGCGCTGCACATAAAGTGTTGGTTCTTGAAGCCGCACCACAATTAGCAGAGGTAAGATTAACTCCCAAAGTCGTCATTACTGGCTTTATCATAGCAGCAGCTCACTCGAGGGGCGTTCCTTTAGGTCGGAGCAGGGCTCCAGCTAACGCCTAATTCGACCAAACTCCTCGGTCGCTGGGGGCTTGAGGATACGCTCACAAACCTGGCCACACGCCCACAGGTCTTCACTATCTCTCGCTACACTGGCACGAAAGTACTCGGTCGGCGAGATGGCTTTGACAGAGAAATGGTATCCAAATATGGATCCCCGTTCTGCGACATTCACCGTGCCGATCTTCAACTAGCCATGTTCGAAAGAGCCAAGCAGCTGGGAGTTCAGTTCATGTTTAATGCAACGGTACAGCAGTATGATCTCGAGTCTCCTAGTGTGACTCTTCTAGATGGGACGCGCATCGAAGGAGATTTGATCGTTGCCGCAGATGGTATGTTGATCATGCTCCTTTCTACTGTTCCAATGCCTAGATCCTCACAAGTGACAGGTCTGTGGTCGAAAGCTCGATCCGAGTTCCTGGCGACCAACGATCCACCGGTTCCCACTGGGGACTTGGCTTACCGCATCGTCCTGAATACCGATATGATCATCGATCAAGATATGAAAGAGTTTGTCTCGAAGCCTCGAGTTCATCTGTGGGCTGGACCCCAGTGCCATGCTATCTACTACCCTCTTCGCAACAACACCATGATCAACATTGTCCTATTGGTGCCAGATAACCTGCCCGAGAATGTTGCGAAAGCTAGTGGAGATCTCGAGGAGATGAAAGAACTCTTTCGTGATTGGGACCCTTTGTGAGTGACATACTTTCCCTCCGTCATTGACAAAAATGTCTGCTGAAATCTCTTCTCCTTCTTGCGATAGATTGCAACGATTCCTTGCCCTTGTCCCAGCCGTATTCAAGTGGCGATTAATGAATAGTGAGTATCTACTTCGGAAAGGGCATTGCATTGCTAGATTCATTTGCTGACGTGGTTGGTACTTGGAATGTAGATGCCGAGATGGAAAATTGGTGTAATGAAAAAGGAACTATCGCCTTCCTTGGTGACTCCTGGTACTGTCTGGCATCAATGCTCCAAATTCGCAGTACTAACGATCTTAAAGCCACCCCATGTTACCATACATGGCGCAGGGAGCCAACTCGGCGCTGGAAGACGGGGCGGTTCTGGGAGGCATTCTATCTATGGTCCAGAGCAAATCAGAACTGCCTTCTGCGCTCAAGATTTATCAAGATCTTCGCAAACCACGCAGCTGGGCCATGGTGAAAGGGAGTCTAAAACAGGTCTGCACGACAATGTGATGTTGCTGTATCGTGCAAATTCGCTGATCCCCGTCACAGAGATACTGGAACCACCTCCCTGATGGACCAGAGCAAGAAGACCGTGACAAGCTGCTCCAGGAACAGTTTGATGAGCCACAGCCGGGCTATCCATTCTACTGGTATGTTAACGATTCTGAGCCCGGCGAAGCACAATATGTAGCGACCACTGATAGCCCTTAGGTTGGACCCATCGCTGCAATCAATCGTGTATTCCTATGATGCGGACGAAGAGGTGTGTTGCTTCTAATCGTGTCTTCCTTTGCAAAACTGACAAATCCCTCCGTCGATAGGTCAAAGCAGCGTGGGGTCGTTATAGCCAAAAGCGGTGATATAGGATTGAAAATTGATACGGCGGAAGGCTGAATCTCTCACGGTTCGCTCTTTCGGGTATTGAAAGCCATGTTTCATTGAAGCGTGAACCACATGTCAAGTATTCGCGTCGATGTCGATAAATGCCTCCGACAACGCCACCAACGTGCACTGCCCATCTGATCAGTTCACGTGACAAACACCTCTTTCTAATACAAATACAAAGGCTTTGTCGTGGTCATCTTTTCATGAGATCACAAGGCCTCCTGGTCATTCAGAATGTTCATCCAGCTCTCGAATGGCCGCGTATGCATGCCGGACTTAACAAAGTCGTTCCACAACTCGTCGTCGACCGAAAAGTCCAGCTCAGTCCCACTGAACGTCAGATCTGGACACGACGCCGCAGAGAATTCATCCGTGGCGCTTTCGATGATACCATATTGAGCTTCTTTTGTCGGAACTTGTGTTGCTACCTGTTGCGATGCCAGTGCAGGGTCGCTAGGTCCGAATTCAGGCTGTGATGGCTCGGGTGCCCGCTGTTCAGGTATCCCCTCACTGGTCTGCTGCTTTTGTCGGCTGTTGAGAACACTCACCACGAGCTCTGCGCAGCGCTGTGCCACCTTGAGTTCGATTTGCTTGAAGATCACGATACTGAGGTGGCATTTGGCGACAATGCTCCTGTTTTGCTCAGCTAGTGGCTCATCCACGAGCTTGATCAAGAGAACAAGCGTGGCTTGAAGGCAGTAGTAGCAGTAGTACCTCCACCGCCTGAGATTAGGCGCTACCTGGAAGAGACCATGGATGTGGAGTATGATCGCCCCTGCTGCATCTATACAGAATGATTGAGATGTTCTTGTCAGGTCCTCAGATGGTGAGATTTCGGGGCTCATCAAGGAGAACCTGTGCAGGACGACAAGGGCGAGGTTATAGTCTGTGACTGGTTAGGAAAGTCCTGGATGAAATCGGGATCTACAGCAACTGAACTCACGGACAAGCAAGCTACTCCGATGTCGAGAAGTCCAGCTATTGGGCAGGACTAAATCTTCATCGAGGCCGCCATCTTCAAACTTGATCTCGATCGGCAGTTGACTCCGCCATTGGACCAGCAAATGATGAAACTTGTGTATTTTTGCCTCCCATGAGGGATCTGCGCCCACGGGACGTGTTGAGGTGACCACCTGAGCGAGGTCAGGAATGCCTTTGCTGACGTTTGAAGCCCCATGAATTCCGTCACTTACAAACTTGAGAATATCTCGCGTGATTTGGGCCACCCCTGCAAGGTGTCGAATGAAATCAGACATCTGGTATTGGGGAGGCTGTGACTGGGTCTCAGCGGAGTGATCAGTACACCGTTGCCCTCAACAGCAAGCTCATGGGGCCCAAGAAAAAGTCAACTCACCTGAAGTTCGGATGGATATTGCACTAAAATATCACTCTTTCTAATGGACATAGGGCGTCCAGAGTCCACGCTTAGCTCCACTTCTTCAATGAAGAGCATCCACCAAGTCCGTCTGCCCTCTTCTCCGTCCCAATTATGTGAAGCAAGTGTTGGGTCGAGGTTTAGACCGATCGAAAATGCCATTCTGGTCGCAGTGCCAGCCAAATTATATGCCACTGTCAAGATCAGCTACTGTCCTAATCAGGGTCCAATAGTACCAAATCTTACAATTCGGTTTGAGCGCGTGCTGGGCATAGGCTCCCTATTTCGACGTTAACTGAGTCCACAGAACGCTGCATTGCGCTAGATACCATGAACATTGCTGCTTGCACCAACTGCAGATTGACCGCGTCATACAAGCGACCCAAAAGCTCTTGTGCTTCAGAAAAATACCAACTTGCCCACGATGAGCTGTCTTCATCAGCAGCATATAAGGCACCAAGGGCGAGAACAGCGTAGAGCAGACACAGGGATTGTTGTTGCCCTTGGCTGTCTCCATTCGGGGCATGCAGCAAGTTGGAACCAAAAAGCTCTCTAAGTCGGGAGTATTTCGCGCGAAAGGCAGAAACATCGAAAACGGGCAAATAAACGTGGATGGTAGCGAAGAAGTTGTCCAAGTGACGATCTGCGACGTCTTGTTGGAGGCTTCGATAACGACGGACCGGTGTGTTCAGTGGCATTACATAGTCGTAAGCATCGAGCAGTGTCTGTAGCCCAGGCACGCCTATGGACGGTCTTCTGTCTTCTGTCAATGGGCCCTGTTCTGGATTATTCACACGTGAAGCAGAGACTGAAGAGTCATCTTCATTGAGGCGGTTCAATCTTTTGCCCAGCGAACTAGCAACAACAAAGCTCGAAGTTTCACCTAGAAGATATTAGCTCGACTTTTAAATATTAAAGATCCCCAGTGTAGGGAGACTGACCATAGTACTCGAAGCACCCAGTCTGGCGGTTGAACTCTGTGACTGATGAGACAGTTCGCTTTATGGGGGCTACTCCAGGTCGACCTCTTGAGCATCAGTTTGTCGTTTGGGCATTGGGCTGGCGAGCAGTTGTGCTTACCCTCTATCCCTACTGACGGTGTGCCTTGACCTTGCTGCTGGATAAAATCCTCGACGCGACGTAGCCGTGAGAGCACTTGATTCATAACTCTAGGGACCAGGTTTAAGTTGGAGCAAAGATATGTATCAAGAATGGGGCAGCCTCTTACTCCGTCAATTCCACAGGGTCGTCATGCAATGCCGGTCTTAAACTGCATTCATAGCCCTTGGAGCAACAGCTATCGCACGGCCAGTGTCCATTGCACTGTGATCATGGCTTAGTGACGCGACAGGTATTTGAACTGGCAGAGTTGACAACCTTGATCCTTTTTTCGCGGCATTTCTGACACGCCTCCAAAGTTTTCTTCCTCACCTTGCTTACCACCGGACTATGCTGGCGATTTGGCAAAGGTGCTAACTGTACCTTTGGGCGTTTAGATGGAACAGAGTCCTCTTGGTGGCCCGTCATGATAGCGAGCCTCTTCTTCATGTTGGGGACCAATCATGAATTCCTGTAAGAGCAAAGGAGAGGCCGAACACAGATTTGTTCGGTACCCCGCAAGCTCTGACACCCTTTCACGCTTCGTCGTTTAGTCAGCACCACGGATGAGGGAGTCTCGGGCCCTTGGCCAGATGAGGAACAGTGAAATTGACCTTCGGGATCCCCGCGGACCAATCAGAGCTTTCCATTCAGCCAAAAGGGGGCATTCTTGAGATTCGCATCGTAATGGTCTCACAGGCCTGGGTGTATCTATATGCCATAAACCAAACCGCTGAGCTGAAACTCCTCGCGATGCCTCTGTACCAAGTCGAACTAGATCATGTCTCCTGCCATTGCAGTTTTCGGCGTGCTGCTGGTGCTCCTGATCTTGCGTGGGCGCTCAAGGCGCCGCAAGCTACCGCCAGGATGTAAGCCAATACCTGGGCCTCCAGGCCTTCCTGTGATTGGAAACTTGCATCAAATTCCATCCGACTATCCCTGGCGAAAGTTCAAAGAATGGTCAGACATCTATGGGCCGATCATGGAGGTAAAATTAGGCAGTGAAAGTCTGATTGTCTTGTCTGACGACAACACGGCGAGAGAGATATTGGAAAGACGAGGTCAAAAGTACCATTGCTCTTGCAAGGTGTCGGAAAACTTTGAACTGACTGTTATCAGCTACTCCTCTCGTCCTCAGACGTACATGGCATGCGAGGTTTTGTCGGGAAATCTACGGCCGTTGTTGTTGCCGTACGGCGGTATGTCATCGAATAGATAAGACGCATGGAGGACAGTTGTTGACATTTACAGACCGGTGGCGGAGAGTCCGCAAGTTCATCCATCAGATGACAATGCCGACCAAAGCCGTCAGCTACCAACCCCTCCAGGATCGCCAATCCAGAAAATTGCTATATGATCTGTTGAGAGAACCAAATGACTTTGCAAGACACTACTATCGCTATGCCAGCGGGTTGATCATGGGACTCACGTACGACAAGCCCGTAGTGACAGGGAAAGAAGATTATGTTAAAAATGTGATGCAGGTCAATGATACCCTTGAACAGTAGGTTGGCTCGGAAGATCTTCATCTCATGATCATGCCCCTTTTAACCCATTTCTTCATCCAGTATCGCCAAGCCGGGAGCATTTCTCGTCGACTCGCTACCAATCCTCAAGTTGCTACCTACCTCTCTTGCCCCTTTCAAACGCCTGGGAAAAGCTGCTCACGAGTTCGAGTACAACCTATTCATGGCATTGTTGCGAGAGGTGAAGACCAAGCTCGATGATGGATTCTCGGTCACGGACTGCTTCGCGAAAAACTTCCTGGAAAGCAAAGAGAGCCGAGAGTTGACCGAAGAAGAAGGTGCCTATTCCTGCGGAACCATCTTTGAAGCCGGCAGTGGTACAACGTCCGGTGCTCTTGAGGTCCTGACCATGGCGCTCTTGTTGTTTCCAGAGGTTCAGGTCGAGGCTCAAAAAGAGTTAGATGCTGTCTGCGGTGATCGCATGCCTGAGTTCGAAGATGCAGACAATCTACCATACATCAAGGCTTTGTCAAAGGAGGCACTTCGGTGGCGGCCTATCGTCACCCAGGGCATCGTCCACATGTCGGTGAAAGACGATCAATACGGTGACTACTTCATTCCTGCTAATACTAGTGTCCTTGGAAACCACTGGTAAAGCTCCTTGACCTTAGATGCAGGAGACGTTCATCAAATGGCTAATATACATGCGTGTTTCATACAGGGCAATACATATGGATCCTGCCGTCTATCCCGAACCAGATGTCTTCAACCCAAACCGGTTTTTAGACCCGGCTTATCCAACGGCGCGTTCCACAGAAGGTGTCGAATATGGTGCCAGTCGCGGCCACTGGGCTTTTGGGTTTGGTCGTCGGGCTTGTCCAGGTCAACACATTGGGGAACGCAGCATGTACATCCTCTCAGCACGTCTTTTATGGGCTTTCAGTTTCAGCAAAGCACTTGATTCAGCTGGTCAACCTATCACTCCCGACTCTCTGGACTTTTCCACAGGTGAGATGGCCCGCCAACCGTAAACTGGCCAAAATTGCTGGTTGGGAAGCTGCAAGAACTGGCTAACATCGAGGTCTGAATATAGGCTTCAATTCAAAACCAAATGATTTCCCCGCAAAGATAACTCCACGCAGCGAGAAGCGTACTAAGGTGGTGAAAGAGGCATATGCTAGTCACTGGGGCAAGTGAAGCTAGGGTGATCATGACCCAGGACCTCCCACATTTGCCTTGCATGGAATAGCTTGGACCAGTGATTGCCAACAAGAGTCGTTTTCTGATCAGCGGGAGAGGCAACACTGTCAGCCAGACTATCCTTGGTAGGTAGGGATTACTTCAGTAGCAAGTAGTGTTAGAACTAAAAGACCACCAAATCTGCTAATGGCAACTGTAGAACGATGGACATGGGGAGCATGGACAGACCAGTGAGGCAATCCAAAACGTGGAGAGACATCTAAAACCGAAATATCCGGCTATGTCCAATGGACCATATCCTTTTCAATATGTAGAGGCATAGACTCGGGATGACCGCGGACCACTGAGAATGGAGCATCAAGGAGTCGTGAAAGCCCTGCGATACGAGCAACGGAGATGATGCCAACCACCCGCCCACCTCCTAGCAGATATAATGCACCATTACCCCATGATCCCCGGGCTGGGAAAGTCTATCTCCGGTCTTTGGTGTTATTGATTCCCCGTGTGGCATCTCACACGGAGTTCCGGTTGTTGGGCTCCTTTATGTCGATTGGCCTGCGGTGATCCCAGTTTTTCAGGAGAGGGGGCCCCACTCAACATCATGTCGAGATTTCTCTCCACCAATGGGATGTGGAGGCTCATATACGCATATGATATTGAATAGTAGAACGGGGCTTTCGGACTATGCTCTCCACGTGGAACAGGTCATCGGATCGAGGCACTTGCATGGCCCGGGGTCGAGACCTCTCCAGGACTTAAAGCCGTGACTTGAATCCCCAGATCTGCACCTCGGACTATCGACTCCATCTGTTGAGGCACAATTGCTCTGCAGGCCTATTGTATAGTGTCGAAATGACTAGCACTCACATCGAGACTTCCACGGGTGAGGAAGCCAACGCACACTTCCACGCTAAAACGATTCTCCTCATAGTGGTACGTCCTGGAGATGATAAAATCAGTCATTAAAGAGGACGTTACTAATTGATACAGGCCGTCAACTGCGTCTATGTTGCACAATCACTCAATGTGGTCGCTTCCGGCTCCCTTGGTCTGAGCATCACAGCTGTGGTTGGAGGCAGCTCCAACATGGTCTGGCTGACCTCGGTGCTAACAATTCTCACCGTCGTGCTGAGTCCGCCTGTCAGTCAAGCAGCCGACTACTGGGGAAGAAAATGGTTCATTGTCTTCTTATCGGCCATGGGCTTTGTCGGCTGTATCATCGTTTCACGCGCAGACTCGATCGGAATGGCGATTGGGGGTCTAACAGTGAGCGGCTTCTCATATGGATGTCAGCCTCTGATCCACGCCGTTGTCTCTGAGGTGTTGCCTCGTAAATACCGCTCCTATGCTCAGGCTACAACCAACATGTCTATCGCTCTTGGTGCCATATTGACACTGCTTATCGGCGGGGCCTTGACGAGGAATTACAACGCAGTCGGCTTCCGGACCTTCTACTACATCGTAGCCGCTGTCTATGCTGTCACTACCATAGGTGTCGGGCTGCTCTACAACCCTCCTCCTCGTGAGCTGCAGATCAAGCTCAGTTTTCACGAAAAGATCCGTCGACTAGATTGGATTGGCTTTGTGTTGCTCACGATCGGCTTGGTTCTCTTTTGCCTAGGCCTTTCATGGGCCCAGAACCCCTATCCCTGGTCATCTGCCCATGTGTTGGCGAACTTCCTGATTGGCGTTGCCGTGACAGCGGGCTTGATTGTCTACGAGTGGCGATTCAAGCGCGATGGCATGTTCCATCATGGTCTGTTTCGTGACAGAAACTTTCCCATTGCTTTGCTCTGTGTCTTTTGTGAAGGGATCGCCTTCTTCTGTGCCAACAACTACTTTGCCTTCGAGGTCGCCACCTTTTATACGACAGACTCCTTGATGGTTGGGCTACACTACACTGTCGCATTTTATGCCTTCTTCATCTCTGCGGTTTTCGCCGGATGGTATTGCTGGAAGACCAAATCTCTTCGGCTGCCAACCTGTTTCGCTTTTGTTCTCTTCCTCATCTTCTACATCCTGATGGCAACGGCCAATAAGAACACGCCCGAAGCCAACATCTGGGCATATCCCTTGTTTCTGGGCTCAGGTCTAGGCATAGCTCTGACGGCGCTGATGGTCGCTGCTCAGTTCTCCACGTTGCCAGAGCTCATCGCCATCGCATCTGGCCTGATGATCTCGGTGCGCTCCCTTGGCGGTACTGTTGGCCTCGCTATATACAATGCCATCTTCAACAGTGCCATGTCCCAGCATGTGGCCTCGAACATTGCCGCTGCAACCTTGCCTCTCGGTCTCCCAGAGACATCTCTAGGGGCGCTTATTGGAGCACTCGTGGCCCACAATGCCACTGCACTTGCCGAGATTCCTGGCGCAGACCTCGACATCATTGAGGCAGGCAACGAGGCACTATTAGATGCTTTTACCGTTGCATTCCGCCATGTCTGGATCGCTGCAGGCGCGTTTGCATTATTGGCCGTCATTGGTGAGTACTACTCAAAGCACCGTCCCATGTGTTGCGTTCATCTCAAACTAATCACAATTAGCCTCGATCTTCATGATCGACCCACGGTCTGACTTCAACGCACACATTGATGCACCCGTCGAGATTGACGAGCCTGTTGATGACGATGTAGCAGAGGTGGGGCAGAGTGACAGTGCGAGCAAAACCAAAGTCTAGCAAAGTAGATTAGGTGAAATGAAAGTTGGAGATGAGCAAGGCACAGAAAATATGGGTGGGATCTTGACGTATGTATGGCTGGTCGTACTCTCTTTTCGTGAAGTTGTGAGATGTTCTGTGAGATAAATCGTCGGTTCAATTGACGATTGCCCCCAAAGCTTGAAGGCCAGAGTCTACCGGGAAAACTAATGATATAAGGAATGTCAGCATGACGACTGCCGTCATTTCGAAGGCTTCTACTAAGAATGCTGTGGATGACTGACGAGACGTTTGTATGGTAGCTGCTGGTAATATACAGGATGTACCCTCCTTTCCCATCTCAACACTGGCAACCAAGCAACGATTGCGACTCTAAATCAAGACCTGGTAGTAACGCTCTTCGAATGCCTATCAATTGTCTCCTCCATTGTGACGGCTATCGCTGAGCCACTGTCTCACCCTTTCCTACCCGGCCACCTTGACAAGCCGCCACGGGTCTTCTGACTGTGCACATAATTTTCGTCCAGGTTATCCAAAGCTCTTGCTGTATTGAATCAAAGAAGCTTCAGATCTTTGATTGACTTGTAGACACACGTTTAGGCTGCCAACCTAGTGACCGCCGTTGAACCAGGTCCAAGCACCGCCTCTCTTGACTTTGTGTCCGCCGTTGAACCAAGTCCAAGCACCGCCTCTCTTGACTTTGTGTCCGCCGTTGAACCAAGTCCAAGCACCACCTCTCTTGGTCTTATGTCCGCCGTTGAACCAGGTCCAGGCACCTCCTCTCTTCATTTTGTGTCCACCATTGAACCACGTCCATGCACCGCCCGGAGCAGGAGAGCGTGCTTCGAGATCGAGGCCGTCCAGGGGCTCGGGCTCTGCTTCTCGGGCAACAAGGCCTGTGGCTCCGTCGTCTCGAATGTAAAGCGTGGCTGGCTCGATGATAGGATCTGGGTTGGCGGCTGGGATTGGGTTGGCAACGGGCAGAGCGGAAGCTAGGAAGACCAAGGCCAAGACAAGGAGAAGGGACAAGGAGCGATGCATTGCAATAGCCTGAGATTCTTTCGCTGACTCTAGAAGTGTTGTTGGAGATGTTGATAATTGTTTCTGGGTTTGGAGACTGAAAGATGACTTTTGTATGAGTGCCGATACTCCAAAGGTTTGATTTCAACGATGGATATAGATACGAGAAGGAAACTTGTGATGTATGCCGATGACTGATGAGTTGGTGACAATTGGTAGCAGAATTACTCACGTTCTTATACTTGATAGCTTCGATGAGGTCGCTTTGACAGCTCAACAAGATGGAGAATGACACCATCACTCAAGCGCGCAGGCTTGTCGATAATTGAGCACGTACGCGGTGAGGCAAGGCACGACACGCAGGCTCTATCCAATGGTGTGAGTTGAGGCATGCAGCTGAAACACTTTATGGTCAATAGTTTTGGCTCCTAAGAGGATTTGAGCGTGATGGCCTCTTTCCTGACCCTATCTTTATCATTAATGGGGAGTAGACCCTCGTTCTTGCTTGCCGAGTTTAGGATCCTAGCAGGGCGAGAATGCTCCATGAGCCTGTTGAGGGTGTGAAGGCATGTCTGATCACATAGGTGGACCTCCTTTGTAGTACAGGACTCACGATAGTTGAGTCCCGTGCTGTCGGTACTCCATATACGGGCCGCAGACAAGCGACCTGTTTGGCGGGGTGGCCAAGTAAGGGATTTGATTCGACTGTGAGGCTTCGAAGCAGGACCTGACAGACCGACAGGGTTCGTGTAAGCGCCGTCGCTGAGAGTCGCATAAAACTAGCCACCGCTCGGCACATTTTTATATCATCACGTGATCTGGCATAGGTCGGTGGAAGTATTTGGTAGTCACATGGGTTATTATCTTTACAAAAAAAAAGCAGGGCCGTGATTGGGCCCAGACACGCGGTGGACGTGTCGCTTTGTGCACCTGAGACACCGCTAAGCATCGGACTGCAACTGTGATTGAATTAGAGAGACATGAACGTCACTTTAGGTCAAAAATGTAAGCGCCAGGGGATGGAACAACTTGTTGGCTCATTCACGTGGCGGACGTCAGCTGAGCAAGGCTCGAGGGGCTACGCCTATGCTGTAGGGCCATGCTAAACTGCTCGTGTCATACGGAAATGTCGAGCATTATTGTGCTGGCAAAAGACATGGCATCATTGAGATGGATGCACAGGATAGGGAGGGAAGGGAGGGGGATTTCAAGATGCTATCTGAGACTGCTGGGTGCCATGTTGCAACCTAATGACAAGAGAGACCAACTTTCTCTGTGTCTGCATATTCAATCCCCTATGCTCATTGTTCCAACGTGTTGGCTATCCTCAGCACTACTCCTCAGTCTCTTATTCTTCATCCTCGTCTTCTTGATCATCCAACCCTAGCCGTCGTTGTCTTTCCGCCTCTGCTCTCTTTGCACATCGGATCCTCAACCAGCAGTTCATGATCAAAGCCTGCTCCGTTGTCTTGCCCTGCTCAGCCATTCCAATGACAAACTTGAGACTGCGGTATGTGAAGGACACAGGGATAGGAAGAGGGAGGCCATTCGTGTCGAAGGTTGCTCTGCGCTCGTCGTTCACACCGTCCATGTCCAACACTGCATACCCATGGACTGAAGGCGCAACTCCATTGGTTGCTTCTGGGTCGATGATCAAAACGTCGTCCAAGTCGTTGCGGTATTCGCCATTGCAGCGCAATGTGTAGGTCTGCTTGGTGGTTGGAGACGCATTTACACAGTTGGAAAGACGGACTTGTTCCAGGTCTAGGACATCGTTGTCATAGCGCAGAGGGTCAACAATCATCTGCTGACGGATTTCGTTGAAGCGGTCCTCAGCAGCCTTGTCCATGAGCTCAATCGCAGTAGGGGAGATGACAATGGTGTCTGGATCAGGAGACCGGGCGCAGCCAGACATGTGTTCGTAGGCGATTCTAGGAAACGCCTTCTCTGCCTTGGGTGCCCATGCATTTTGCGGCTTAGGAGAGATGATCTGGGTGGCAATGACCGCAGCCTCACGCTCCGCCTTACTGCTCAAGACAGGGGAATGAATGAGATGGATCACGCGTCGAAGTTCTTGTAGCGCAGCCTCATCATAAGTGGGTCTGCCGTCGCTGCTATGACTTTGGCCAAGTCAGGAGGGCTTCAGATAAACAGTTTTGAAGGAAATGAGCACATCCAAAAAAGGGGAAATATGAGATCGTTCAAGAGAGGACTCACCTGGTGGAATGATGTTTGTCGCAAATCTTGAATGAGACCATCGTCTTGCCGTTGCAGAAGCGTTGTTCATGGCCACGAACACAATCAGGGCACACTTCAAACACATTGGTACTCCAGTGGTACTTGATTGACTCAGCCATGAGATCGTTGAGCTGGATTGTGGTGACCATCTTGCTTTGAATGAGGGGAGGGACAGGAGATTGAAGAAGAAGAAAGAGCCCTGATCGGCGTCTGTAAATTATCTGAGAGATGAACACAAGGGCCGAGTGAGTGATTGAGAGATGAGCTAGGGATGATTGTCTGTTCAAGTGATGAAAACTTGAAAGAGAAGTGGGAGCGGCAGATATTTATATAAGATCGTAGGTAGCGGTGCGAGGAGGAGCGCAAGAGCAGGAACGGCGAAAGTCTGGTACTGTCTGCACAGCTAAATAGGAGGATTGGAGAGATGGAGAGACGGCATGTGCTGCGATCATGAAACCCTTTCTTCACTTGAATGGGTGCCTTCACTTGAAAATGGTGCGAGCGAAGCTCTGAGTGGCTGTATATGCTGCGATTAAGTAACTTTTGTCTATATGAGACAATCGATCTGATCGATGAGTCGCAGAGTGTGACTGGAGAATGGCAAGAGTAGTCATAAATAGGTCTGTCACTGTATTCGCACCGCTGAATCTGAATCTGAATCTGAGTCATGGTATGTGCCGTGTTCATGTAACTGTTTCTTCATTTGACGAGAGATGCGTCTTCGCCTTGATATGAGATCTGGTCGTGAAGCGTGAAAAAACGCACCCACTAAGGCTAGACTAGCCTCCTTGGGTTCATCGCTGTCTGCTACCTCAGAAATGTCCATAGAATTTCCCCCGAAAAGATATGGCAATGTGATCTGGAGGAGGTTAAGGACGGATCATAGCCATGATTGAGCTCGTGTTCGCTTGGCCCTGCACACCAGACGTGGACTGGACCGGTTGGCAACCAAAACGACAACATCAAGATGGCGAAGGAGATGCCTTTTCAACAGAGACCTTGTCGACAGTAAGTCTCTCACTCTTCTTCTGCTCCTGGGGTTTTGTGGAGATGGCATAAGATATCAGTGTTCCGATGATGAGCACCAAACAAACCAGATCAACAACATGAACCGCCCACCAGATCTTGACATTTAAACCACACATACAAATGTCAAAGTCCCATTCGCCTTTTTCGAAATCGAACCAGGCACTAAATAAGCCAGCATTTCCACCGTAATCGCCCATCATGCTGCGAAGCGTGATCTCCCGGACACCGGTATGAGCTTCAGTCAAGTTTGCTGTATGCCAACGCGAGACCTGCCACTGCGTTTTCTGAGCATCATCGCCCTTGTCTTTATCTGAGTCAGGTACTGGCCATACAGTACCATTGGGGACAAAGTGCCAGGTGTCGCAACCTTCATGATCATGGCCATTCAGAATAACTCCCCTTCGACCTGTACCACGTGAAGGAGCATGCAAATTGCCTGACATGCCGAATACAGCTTCTAGGGTGCCTTGACGACTAGCATATTCGCTGAGATGGTTCTGCTCCTTGAGAGATCGAGGGCCATAATTGTCGCCTCCATCGTCGTTGCCCCAATAATCGAAATGGGGGGCATCCACACAGATTCCTGCTTGTTTGTGCAGAGGTAGGTGGGTCAATAAAAGGGTAAAAGAAGTCCGATCTTCCACTGGACGCAGCCTGTGGGAGATCAGGCCATTCAGATAATCATATGTTTGCGTCTGGATATCTTTGACCATGGCCGGGCCATCTAGGACAAGGCTGTTCAAGACAATGAGATGGAGAGAAGGAAGGGGACCAGCTGAGGGTTCAGAGATGTTGTCTTGCTTATACTCTAAGCGAACATCCCAGTTTGCTGTGCCAAACATCTTTTCAAACCGGTTGATACGGGCGTGCGAGATATCTCCGGCATATCCTACGTCGTGATTGCCTGCGATGTTGATGATTTTGGTGGCCCACCGAGGGTCAGACATGGACACGGTAGTTTGTTGTTTGGGATCGTGCGATATGGTAATTTGATCTTCTGCCCGATGGCCATTACTGAAGACGCGGTTCCAATATCGCCATCCTCTCCATTCAAACTCTTCATCCGTCACCCACTGGCTACCAATGAGGTCGCCCAGAACGGTAACATGGGTTGGCCTGGACCACCAATGCAAGGTGCGGTAGATGTGGCCAAGGTAATAATCATTCCCAAAGAGATCCAACTGTTTCCGCAGTGTTTGAAATGCTTCAGGAAGATCTTTGAGCCAGATTTGACGCGCTGTGTCTGCCAGCAAAGGGTACAATGGTTCATCTTGTTTTTGGGTAATGGATACCCAGTGTCGGGTCAGCTTTGCGAGCAGGGCATTCTCAGGGGGTGGGAGTGAGCTGTCTCCTTCGAGCTGAGGGTCTGCTAGGACAAGCAGTCGAAAGGGAACACGGTCGGAGTCTCCAGAAGTGGATGACGAGGAAGGATTCCAATGGGTGCCCAAGGCCTGGGACCAGCCCGTTATGTAGGAGGCATCTTTAGGGGGAAACACACATCCGTGGAAGACGGGGTAGAGATAGAGATAAATTGTCAAGCAAAGAGCAAGAGGAAGACCGCAACTCAGCAGCCGCACTGCCGATGAAAATATGTACATTGAGCCATCAAGGAGAATTAAATTCGCGACAAGGAGACAAATTCCCCATGTTTACAGTAGTAATAAGAGATGGGGACTAAGATGGCACTACGCGCACCTTATGCACAGTACGGATATGCATGAACTATACCTACTAGAGTCTGCCTAATGCACACGAGAAGCAGCAAAGCTTGGCCTAAAGACAGTCTAGAAGACTAAAGGCTTAGGGCTGAAGAATGTGGCCAAGGGGGCCGAGGGCCCTCGGGCTTCTTCTAGGGGCTATGGGACCTGAGAGCACAAGCCCCAGACCTAAATCAACGCTTGCAATTCGGCCCAAGGACCTTTCCTTTAACTAAAATAGTGCCCGAAGAGTAACACTAAACGTGACTAAGTACCTATCGCCAGCATCATAGTCCATTGCATCCAACATGGACCGAATCTTTGTGTACATTTATCTGCTTCGGTTGAAATAGTCTGTATACCATCCCTCTGTGAAGAATCGTCATTACATTATCGGGTCAGAGAAGCAACCGTCTTTATATGTGTGAGATGTGTTTTCCTCGGCCAGTCTTCGCCCTACGATCCAGCTTTCCCTTGTTCGTCTGCCTGCCCGTCCAGTGGACCAATGCTCACTCGAGTTGGGTCCAGCCGCAAATCGATCTTGGAGTCATCAAATTCGAGTCCCTGGATGTTGAGGCCCGTTTCATCTTGTTTGGTGTCCGATTGTTTGATGTCGTCGCCGAGAGGAGGCTTCTCGGTCAACTCAGAGAGCTCTGGCGTCGCTTCGGGCGTCGCCTCGGGCGTTTCAGTGCCTTTCAAGGCCGGTGGTCTTTCCTTTCGAGCTCTTGCCTTGGCTAAGCTGATGGTCTTTTGTCGATTTGTCGTCTCATAACTTGACAGGTCATGCTCGATGGTCGCTTTCATGATCTCGCCCATCCATTTCCGCCCCTGCGTGATGTTGTCTACTTGAAAGTAATATACAGTCGGCCTGGTGAATTGCACAGCACGGGATGAACCTGCCTTGGGTGGCACGAGTTTGAAATAGAACGGAGATCCCCCACTGGAAGAACGTGTCATGTCGGGGGACATGTCAGCAGGAGATCCGTTGACTCCCATAGTCGGTGACAGTGACGTGGAAGCCCCTGTGAGCGTCGCATGCAAAGCAATAATGGGGTCAGAATTGGCCACGAGGACCTTGTGGCCCGAAATATCAATGATGCCACGTTCCTCCGTATCTGTTTCCGCGTAGTAGTACGACAACCGCCGTCCTCGCAGGATGAACAGTCGTGGTTTCCACGTGGCCATCAGTCCCGATGATTTCTTCTTCATCCAGCCGTGGTAGTCACAATGTTGACGCGCTTCAGCAGGGGACAGGTGCAACAGTCCGCGTTTATACGCACTCGTTTGTTGCTTGGTCTTGGGCTTGGTTCGTGTGGGAGCTTTGGTGTGAAGGAGAGGTCCGGCCGCAGCGAGGTGCTCCAGCGTCCCCTTGGACGAGTTATCGGTATTTTCGACTTCGAGACTCCGAGAAGTGACTGAGGGCGTTTGGGAGCCGCTGGGAGACGCGACAGGCGATTCCACCAGGGGATCGGAGATAACTTTGGAAGCATGGGCAGCGTCCTTTTCGTTCCCGGTAACGGCCTCTGACGCGGCTCGCATACCCAGAAACTTTCTAGCCATTTGGGTGGTGGTTGATGCCCTCGGAGGCGGCATGGCTGGCGATGTACCTCCACTTTTGATCCTAGGCGACGAGAGCCCCGAGGTGGTCTCATCTTCAAGATTGGTGACTGTGGGTGACTGCACCATGGGAGACTGTTGTAAACTAAGGCTTTTAGAGCTCGCTGAGCGCACTCTTCCTTTGTACGTTCTGCTATGGTAGGCCTTGGCCGCAGGAGTCAACCCTGGCGTGATCCTGTCCCGGGAAGAGTCGACACTGCTGATACGAGAGTGTCGCGTGGCCGGGAGCTTGGCCGACTCATCCATGAGGGAAGACTGGCGTGAGTGATCGGCACTGTCTGGGCCCTCGCGCCTGCGCAAGTAACTGCGAATCTTGCGATTGTCCACCTCATTGCCACTGAAATAGCCTCGATCCAATTCAATGCCAGAGCCTTCTGGTTCAAGAGGAGATTCAGGGGCCAGGTCGACACTGTGCTGTTTCGTGCCGGTGTGAAGTCGCAGAGAAGGGGTGCTCGTTCCCGGACCGGCAGTCGTGGCATTGCTCAAAGACCAGTCTCGATCAAGGGAGGGAATTTTCTGATGGGCCGGACCTGCTGGGGCGGGAGATAAGTCTGAGGTGATGTTCTTGGCAAAGTCGATAGATGAATGGCGGCGGGAATGAGTCAACTCTCGAACCAGGGCAGCCGAGGGCCGGGAGGAATGATCAGCAGCCATTGACGCCCTGAAAGGAGAGGGAGGGGTGCCAGTTACCACGTTGGCACGAGACAGCGAGTTGGGCGACAAGGGGGCCTCGAGAGGAGATGGGGGTACTGGAGTGGCGTGGTGGGAATATGATGGTGGAGGATGCTGACTCTGTCGGAGGGACAGTCCAGGCTCTTGCATCAAATTGGGGATTTTGGGGAGGATGGTTGTGTTGGAGGGGGCTCTGGTGTGAACAGGAGGCTGATCTTGGTAGGAAGGATTTCGATGGACGCTAGGTTTCCGTGAGTCGGTTGTGCCGCGAACCTCGAGCTGCAAGTCACGAATCTTGTGCCAGGTCTTGAGTCTTCGACCCATCAGACCGAAGTCGTACTCTTTCATGTTGATGAAGGACTGGTCCATTTCTAATAGCACATCGCCGGTGATCTCCTGCTCTTCAAAAATGTCACAGTGCCTGGCATCCACGCCGAGAGACCTCAGATGGTCTGCCGTTTCTCTGGGGTTCCATCGTTTGACGTCTGCCTCTGTGAGGGTGGTGGTGGTGTCCTCGGTGTCGGTCTCGGGGCCGACAATGTAGGCATGGGTGGTGTGATCGAGATGACTGCTGTAATCGCTCTCCGAGTCCTCAGTGTTTAGGCGGGGAGCAGCAGAACTCTGGCGGGGGGTACTCAGATCAGTGATGTGCTCATCGATGACGCTTAGTGTTTCGTTCATGACGGGGGAGTCCTGTCGACCATCGGCATGGGCGAGAGTTTGGCCGATGCTCCGTTGAATTGGTTGAGTGAAAGAGGTTGGGGTGGGGGGAAGCGCAGGGCGGACGTTTGAGGTGGACGTCGGTGAAGAAGTTGCCTGTCGATGGATGGTTTGATCGGTCATGGGTGAAGAGGGTAGAGGACGGTCATTCGCAAGACTTTGGTCTGGACGAGGGGCATATGGAAATGACGGGGACGCCGGATAGGTGGCTCCAACCGGGGTGAAGTTTGGAGGAAGTTTTGCGGTGTAGACTGGTGAGCAGTTAGTGCTGGAGTTGGAGAGTTGACAGAGCAAAGGTGATGGAGAAGAGATACCTCCAGGAAACAAGCCAGTGGTACCGAGACGAAGGTGTCTTCCCAGATACCAGCCATCTCCAAAGCCATCGTCGAGTTCCATGAGCTGAATGCGGTCGGCTTTCCTGAGATTCAACTCATCATCACCTCGAGCGTCGAAATCGTGGATGACGACGAGAATATCACCGGGGGCCAGTTGAGGCCTTTGGTGAGACATTGGTGCAGACATGTTGTCGGAGAATGTGGCACCGATGGCAAGAGCAGAAGTTGTGGCATGAGAAGAGCGTTCTACATGTGGGAAAACGGCGCAAGAGGAGAAGCAGGAATAGTGGAGAGGATCTGCATGATAGTGGCAGGAGGAAAAAATCGAGGCGAGAGTGCGAGGGTAAGAAAGATTTGAGTAGGAGTTGAGGGTGTGACACGGCAGTGGGCGCAGTGGTGATTGTAAAAGAGTTGAGGTGGTGCGAAGTGATCTCAGAGCTATGATGTTGTGTAAGGATGAGGACCTGGGGTGGTAGATGACATGGAATCGGGTTAGGTTGGGATAGAAGGATGGCGGTAGGTGAGGGAGTGCGAGGTGCGAGAAGGCTGTAGATGGTGTGAAGGGGCGTTGGTAAAGATAGAGCGAATATAATGGATGAGTATAAGGTTGGATGGAAGAGAGAGAGAGAGCGAGAGAGGAAGACGCAAGTATCGCCGACCTGACGGCGACAGCAAGAGTGAGGAAGATGAGAACGATACAAATCTGGGACTTTGGAAGGTCAGGTGTAGTACCACTAGTTGCACACACTAACGCGGTTTAGGGAGAGTTCAATCTGCGTGGTAGACTTGTTATTATTTTATATAAGACTGCAGATTAAAAAAGTTAAAAAGGAGAGACCAGCGGCCAAGGTTGGAGAAAGAAAATCACAAGACAAGTAGAAGGACAGTGTTTGGAGAACCAGGAAGAACAGAAGACAGACCATACAATCAACAACCACTCACGGATGGATTGTCCGACGAAAGAAAGACAGAGGGAGAAGACGGAGGGAGAAGACGGAGGGAGAAGACGAAGAGGCAGAGGCAGATTCAGAGGCGAAAATCAGCTGGGGCCTGTAGCCTGTAGTGTGTAGCCCTGGAGTCCGGACCTCAAAGCCAGTCCAGGTGGCTAGTGACCCTCCCTCTCGTGCCTCTCAACGTACCTGCATCTGGCAAGTTCACTTTAGCCTCGACTCTCTACCCCAGGCAATAGTCAAAGCCACTCAGGAACGAGGTGCATCATGGCTGGAAGCCCCCTCGGCACCCCGAGGGACCATCACTCCAGGGCCGAGGGGGCCCATCAGGCCCTGATGATGAAGTATTGGGTGGTTTGGTTGAGGCTTGGGCGCAAACTCTACGGAGTAAGCAATCAAGACTCATCAGGCCTTGGTGGAACTCCAAGAGACTCAAATCCGCTAGCCTGGCTGTCACACCTGTCAATTATTATTGGTGGCCATCTGTGGCGCACCTCGTTCAGTGATAGCAGACCATGGTGCCCTACCACATGTCAAATACTAGGTAGTGTGCTAGTGACTGATGTTAATTCTCAAGGGCTTTGGCCATCTGTTACGTCTTCACATGCTGAGGAACACATAGAATCTGATTTCGGTTTATTTTTAGACCCGGCTTTTAAAATTTATGTAGGAGCTGGGGCTGCAATTACTCGATGTAGACCTCGAGGCTACTTGTATATGATATTCGTACTTAGGTACCCAGGTACCTAGGTGCCTTAGGTAGGTACGTAGGTAAAGGAAGTACCGTGAATAGGGTATCTACACCTACGGAGTACCTCAGTACGGACTAACTTTAGAGAGGGTCTTTGCCACTGGGCCCTAGGATGGACTATAGGCGGGATCATCACCACCAACGGTGTCATGCCCATACGTCACTCACTATACCTACTGGGGAGGCATCATTTATGAACTTCATCATACCTCACACTGGACGATGTTGATATATACACGATGTCATTTTGGATCCATCTCCTGGTAAAACATTACACACTATCCTGAGACAGGTGCTCTCATGCCTTTGCTTAGCAGTAGGTAGAATCATACTAAGCGAGCGCCTGCTCCTGCCACTAACCACGAGCGTGAGCGTGCACGCGCCTTCCTCTCATGCATTTCTTTTTTCTCCGCATTTTGTCCATCAACATCCACCTGCGCCTGCCTCCACCTCAACCTCACCTCACACCTTGTCTGCATCTGCGCTTTCTGCGCTTCACATATTCACAAAAGCGTTTCCATCATGATGTACCATTGTCCTCCAACAAATCTGTGACAAAGTACACAGATTGCAAGACGAGATAAGTTGTTGACACTTCCCCTCAAGGCCTTTATCTGATGTGTACCTGCACCAAATACCTAGTACCTTTCCAATCTACAACAACTTTGTCTATCTCTAAACCTCCCTACACACTCAACCCCTCCTCCTGCTACAAATTTACACAGGAGATATATCACCCTAGAGGAAATCTACGACCTCAGGGCAACACTTAAATACACCTGCAACTCCCGGCCACGGCTATTCGTTCTTCTTGACCCCCCCTCATCCGACTTGTTCATACCAAGTCCAACCTGACTCTCTCGCGAGCCTGTCACAGCAAAGACCGTCCCATTAAGCTCACCACGTACTCACGGCTTTGACATCTTCCAATACTTGACCACGATCCAGTCAACAGAAGCTAACGCATGTCTCACTCTTCTGACTCGCCATGCCTGTCTATTCACTTCAATCTAGCCAGCCTTACGCAACCCCTCCTCCGTTGCGGATCACCCTTGATCCTGATTCAACCCTACGTCGTCTCTCCTGTCTGGCTATATATACATCAGACGACCCTTCCACTCTCTACCCTGGGATATGTCGCAGAGACATCGCCAGCCACCAGTGGCTGACAACCCTATCGCCAATTCCAACTCTACCAGCAGCTACTTTCTTGCTGGCCAGTCACGACCTTGGATGGGCATCTCAAATCATACCATCTCTCGCCCTTTCCCACCACCCAACCTGTCTGCCAGTTCGCGAGCGCCCTCAAGAAATACATCCTCTCCCTTCCAACTGACGCCAATAACAAGGCCGTCTGATGATTCTGCTCCTCTCGCTGAACAGCAGAACCAAACCCTCAACCCACAAAGCCCCCAACAATCTTCCACACAACCAGTACCACACTCATCACATCTGCCCACCTTCACTATCCCAGCTGACCTTGATCCCCTGCCATCCTCTCAAGCCGCAGCTCCTCAACTGGAAGACTCTTCCGATCATCTGCCCGCCGACCCATCCTTTGTGAACACCTTTCCACCTTCGCTCCCAGCGCCCTCATCTAGCCAGACAGATGCCGCTGAAGGTCCAGTGATCTCATCCACCAACACTGCCTTCTGGACTCCCACAGCCAATCCTCCCATGCACATTTCTTCAAACATGGGCCCAGCTCGCCAACCGACTCAGGGACATGTTCCACCAATGACATCCGCTTCTCAAGCCGTGTCGCCCATACCTACAACCCAATTGCCCACCCCCAATAGTTCACCTGTCACGTATCTCGAAACCTCCTACACCAGTGCCCTGGAATCTGCCCTCAACACGTTGAAGCGGGCGGGTATGTGGGGAACCGCACAAGATACTGCATTGGATTCCATGAGAGTCAGACTGCTTCAAGAGGCCTGCAGCCAAGACGACGTCTTCTACCTCACCCTACACTCCATCTACCTGATGAGCACCTGCTCTCAAGACACAGATCAGTCTCTCGCCTTGGATGCGACCCACGAGCAGGGTTTCCTCATTGTCCAGGCTCTCCTCGGCTCCAATCGCCTCTTGTCCCCCCATATCCAACAACTTTTTCTCAACTTCCGTCCCGCACACCTTCTCCGTCATCCCATTCCCTTGCTACCCGACATAAAAGTCTTCCTCGCTCAATTACCTGATTGCTTTTCTCTTCTGAGAGACCAAGCCAAGGCACGCGGCTCACCACCAAGCCCATCCGAGCTAAAATATCGTCTACGAATCACATCCACCGTCCTGGTGAAGGCGGTTTTCCTCTCCATCCTCCGAGACTGGCCATTTGATCTCGAGTGGGAGATCCGAGCCGAGTGGTTGCTCGCATATTGGTCTGATCCCGCCCGTGTGCCTCAGACCCCCACTTCACTCAGCCAGGCGCAGGCCATTTCCTTGGAATTCACGAAACACTACCAGCAAATCCGTATCCAATACCATCATGATAGGAATCGCCCTATCCAGAACCAACCACATCCAGACAACCAATCAGCCCAGATGCCACCTCATCACCCTCAGACCGTACCACAGCCCCGACCACGGTCCCGACCACAGCGAGCCATCGCACCAACTTTACCTCAAACTTCGCCAGCCGCCCAGGTTCTTCAACATCGCCTGACTGGAATCAGTACCACGACAAATTCTCCGGACCCGCGCCCTGCGCGCACTGTTTCTTATGGCCATGCTCGACCCAGCCAACCCCAACCCGCCCACCAATCTCGATTGAATGCCTCTTCTCACATTTACCCTGTGCATGGATCCCAGGAACAGGGTCCTTCTGAGCGTTTCTTCCCTAGCAATGACGCCTTCCGACTGCCAATTTCCTTCCAACCACGTCCTCATGAGACAGCCGCTCATCAAGCGCTCTCCAGCAGCCCCAAATACAATATCACAGAGCTTGATGGTATTTCCACACCCCCAGAACGCTTGTATCGCTATGTCGAGGATATCATAATGCTACCTCAAACCTTCGTCAAGGATACGCCCTTGGTCCGTTGCCAGGTGACCATTCCCCCTCCCCTGCTGTTTACCAAGGTCATGCCTCCAAGGCTCGTCGGTAGCTTTCTCTCGCCCGAGTCCGATGTCATGTGTGGTTCAACCCAGTTTCGACTCAAATGCATGAAGCAAGATCTTAATAGCGCTTCAGATCCGGCCTTCCTGCCCACCTTCTGGCCCGCTTTGATCTCGATCTCCGTCAATGGTACTTTTAACCTCGACATCCGACGAAAGGCCCATCACGGAATTGACCAAAGCATGGATATAACGCACCTACTACAGGATGGTGAAAATGAGATTGTCGTCGGCATCAGCTTTGCTCCTCGAGAAGCCAATCTAACATTTCTCGTCGGAATCGAAGTCATTCGCATCAAGAGCCCCGCATCCGTAGCGGCCATGCCCCAGCATCTCCCCTCAGTCCACGTCAAAGCCTCAATCGCAGCTGCAATCGCAGCAAATGGAGACAGCGATGACGATGATCTTGTTGTGGCCGATACTGGTATCAGCATTTTCCTCCTTGACCCAATCACCTCCCATATGTGTGTCACACCTGTGCGTTCTCGGAAGTGCCAACACCGCGAGTGTTTCGATCTGAATGCATTTCTGCTCAGTCGCACAAGTCGCGTCAAAGGCGGGGCATTGACTGACCCAGTCCAATGGAAATGTCCGATATGCAACCAAGATGCACGTCCCCAAAATCTCATCATCGACGACTTTCTGATCCAAGTTCGCGAAAGCTTGGAGAAACAAGGTCTCTTGGGAACCAGGACGATTTTGGTGAAGGGAAATGGCGACTGGGAAGTCCGAGGGGGCAATGCCTCGGCCGGCAACTCCATCAAGAGCCACGCATCGCGGGTGAAGACTGACGAAATGGAGTCGACATTGCCATTAGATGATAGGAATGTGCCTTCATCTGTAGACGACGGGCCTGAAATCATTACCATCAACGATGATTGAAGAAAGGTGGCCATGAACCATCTGAGCGTTGAGGTTTCTGCTGGAGCAATTGGGAAGGTAATTTGAGGCAATGTCTATCACTAATGGCTATGGACAGATGCATCATCATACTCCTGCACACGCTTCAGATAGTATCGATGCAGTCTGGTCTCAATTTGTAGTGATAATCCTTCTTTGTTTTTGTTGGGGTTCTTCAACATGGTTTTGAACTGGGGAGGCTCTGGTCATGGCCTTAGCTAGATAGCTCACATTGCCCTCCAGATCTAATCTCAAGGTCAATGTGATTGTAGTCTTGCACAATGAGACACAATTTCCAAGACATGACTGCGGCCTGATCTCTAGTTTATCAAGTTTGTCGAGCTTATTATTCTGTGCTAATGTGATATACCTATTCCGCTATGCTTTCTCATGCCTCGCTATGCTTTCTCAGACCTCGCTATGCTTTCTCAGACCTCGCTATGCTTTCTCAGACCTCGCTATGCTTTCTCAGACCTCGCTATGCTAAATACATTCCCCATACTTTATACACTGTGGATCATATACGTGATGCCCTCATATTTTCATCCCATTCTTTATTTCAACCGTCATGATTCTGGTGTACATTTAGGTGTAGAGTCTTAATCCCAGCGCCTTGCCATTTGTTGATTCGTGACTCTGGGTGCCCAACCCATATCAGGTGTAGGAGAAGTCCACGATGTGAAGGGGTCGTCGGGAGTTGGCGGCCCAGAAGGCGTCGATACCATGCCTGAAGCCTGAGAAGACGGTGCTGAAGCTTGATTTCCAGGAGAGTTTGACGGCGTTCTGCGTATACCAAACATCCATTGAAGGCAGGGTGGTATTTTCGAGCGCGGTGTTGGTATGCGTTTAGGTCGGGTTCCGTATGTCCCGAAGGTGTGTTGAAAGAGTGTATCGGTGATGCGTCGGCGTGGACTGATGTATGGGGCCGGCGGCTCTTCCTCCTCCGTCATTTCGGAGTCTTGTTGGTCCTGGACAGGCATGCTTTCATCGTCAGAGGAGAAGGGTGAGCATGAGAAGTCGTCGTCTCGTTCGGCGGCTTCTTTTAGACGTCTCTGTCGTCCGGCTTCGACAACTTGTTCGACGTGGTCCAACATCTCCAGGTTGAGTAATTCGGCCGTCGTTTCGGCAACAGCGCACGATTGTGTGGGACTCAAGGGGATGTCGTCGGGAGAAACAAGTTTTGGTCTGGGGTTCCAGTCAATGGAGTCGAAACTCGTCGTTGGTGGAAACCCTGCCTCCCAGTACTCAATCACCTCTGATTCTTTATCTAGATGAGCGATGGACAGCGGGTTGTTGTGATAAAAGTCCGACTCGTTTTTATATTCGGGGTTGTTCTTGTCGAAGGTCACAATCCAAGCCTTAAAGCACTCGGTGCAGAGGACATCGGCCTCGCGATATTCCAATTCCTCCCAGCAGAGAGGACGTTCCATCTTGTTGATGCCCTTGTCCCATGGGTAGACAGTCTTGCCGGAGAAGCGGTGGCAGGGTTTGACTTCGATCTTGGGAAGCGATCCACATATATGTGGATCGCACAGTAGGAAAGACCAGTCGAGGAGTCGGCACATGCTGTCTGTTGTCTGTTGTTCTTCGGTGTATGTGTGTGTAAATATGATGAGAATGACGACGAAGAGAAAGAGCGCACGCTAAAAGCACTGAAAAGATGTCGAGACGTTGCACTACGCAGCTTTCTGTGACAGCGAGAGGGGAGAAGAGTGACTCGAGACAGAAGGGATATATGATCATTCAAACGGGGCTCTATGGATATCAAGTCAAATACGCTCAGTGAGGACCTACCGGGTGGGTTGTGGGGGGGGGACTTCCTTTGTCTGGCCATTGAGGATACATGGCTATGTGACTGGCTGTGCGGCATATAATAGGATTCGAACAATGGTAAAGTCTGATTGTAGGAACCATAGGAGAAGAATGCGATGGATAATGGGGACATAGGTTAGGATTTATGTCTTTGTGAAAACCGAAGGCCTTTGACTTTGTTTGACCAATGAGGCAGGTTGTGGGGTCATCCATTCTTTAGTGAAAGAATGATGGAGCCCTTGAGGGTGAGGGATCGTGGAGGGGGTGGAGAGGGAACGTGTTGACATGACGCCTGTCACTCAGGACTTGGTGGTGACTGGTCCAGGCTTTGTGCGCTTGTTTGTTTTTACCATAGTAGTGCTTGCGTAGTACTGCTGAGACTTTCTCATAAGTTTTGGCTACCAAACAAAATGGACATTCGAGGTGTCTCGGAAGAGAATCGAAATCCACATGTGAAGAAGAGGAAGAGGAAGAAGAGAGACGAAGACCGAAGTCGCGTTCCAAGATTAGGTTCGTGTTTGAGTCACGTGTTCTCGCGTCGGACTCGTGACTTGTGACTCGCGGACTTTTTTCCAGGCCCAGGTACATAGGTACATTAGTACAGTACTAAGTTCACGAGGGTTCCTTGTCTCTGTCATTGTCCTTCATGGTTCTGCAAATGAGGGACTATAGATGACCACGATGCCTTGAGCAGTACTGTCCGAGTCGGCCCAGCATAAAGTTATCAGTCTTGGTGTCCAAAGTCCCGCCAGTCTACTATCGCTATTCCCAAATCTGCAAGAGTTGATCTGCCAGCCCCAGGATTATCCATCTAACAGTCTCCCTATGGCCATGTATGGAGTACTAAGTTACTGTACGGAGTATGTCCCTCGATCTCCTCCGCCCCTGTCAACCTCGGCCTCGGGGTACAAAAGACTTCTTCTAAGTTCTTCGTAGGCTTCGGGAAGACTCGCAAATGACGAAACCTCCACCTTCCCCGCTAAACAAGCTAGAACGCACAGACGAACGCACGGCAAAAGCCCCGACTCGTCCACCTGTCAGATGATCCTAGTTCCCCAAGCACCCAAGATGAGCAAAAAGTAAACACAACTGAAAAAGGCCCATCCGGATCCCGAGCGCCCCTCGGCTCCCAGGTAGTGATTATTTTGATCCAAGCATCACAGTCGAGCACTGCCATGGAGACTGTGGTCTGCCCTCTGTGCTGCCAGCCTATAGCCTGTCGATGCCTGTAGCATTACGCATCCATCCCAGTGGCCTTTCCCTTGTCCTTGTCCTTGTCCTTGCTTCCACAGCCTGGTCGGTCTCGGTTATAGTCCTGGTCAACTTGTATTCTTCTTCTCCACAACATCATCGTTCAAGTCCATCTGCACTTTTCAACTTTTCTCGCACTTGCACATTAACGACGTTGTAAATTTGGTGGTCGTGCTTTCCTCGAACCACACCTATCCGCTCGCTCTTTCCCTCAGTCGCTCCTTCCTCTGTTTGTTTTCCAACACCAGCACCTTCCGTGTGTAGCGTACCTCGGTGCCACCTTCCCAACAACTTCAACGACAATTTCGACTTCGACTTCAGCTTCACTTTAGTCCATTCAGTCTCTCGTTTCCTCCTCACTTCCCGCCATTCCTTAGCAAGTCGACCGCATTTCAAAGCTTCACGATTCGATACTCGAACACATTCCTTTGCAAAGACTGCAACGTATAACCAATACCTTCCTGCTCGTTGACCGAGACTTGGAACGGCCCTGTAATCAAACTTCTCCCACGAACTCAATCAACCTCAACCCCCTCCTCGAAGTCCTATTGTTATGCAGTGCCCTGATCGGTCCACACTGTCCGTAGTTGCGCCTGTCGCTTCGGCCAGGCCGCTACAATAATGGAAAACACCCACCCCCACGCCCATCCACCCTCATCTCTGGACAATGTCCATACCCGTTCACGCTCCATCACCTCCCTCCCTCTGCGCGACTATCCCCCCAAGAATTCAGCCTCTACGCCCAAGTCGGTTCCTCATAGCAAACAACAGCGCCTACTTCACTCCCGTCACGCCAGATTCTCCGCTCAGAATCTCTCCTTCAACGGCCTGACCTTTCCTCAAGTCACCAGACACGGCGATGTCGAAAACTCTCATGTCTCCTCAACCAGGTATACCAAGCAAGACGATCTTACTCGTAACTCGGACAACTCCAGCGACCTGACCGGCCCTTCACCTTCGTCCACAATCTTGAACGAGATCGCTCACTTCGCCGCTTCCAAGCATCGTTCGTCCCATCCTCGTGCTCCAATACCTGTCTTTCAAGACTCACCGTCCGCACGTTCCCCGCCACCAGAACAAGATATTTACAGTCAAATTCCCGATAGTACTCCCGATTCGATTCCCGGCTCTCGTGAAAGCATGGGCCTAAAGGAGCTTTCTGTCAACGTCCAGCGGCCATCATCCAAAGTTGGCTCATCATATTATACCTCCCCACGAACTTCACTGCGTCGCCGCAAGTCTTCTCACCCCAAACCACGCTTCAATTCCGAGGAATACATCCAACACATTGAGAACGAACTCCAATTAGCCAAGGAAGCCTTATATTCACCAAAGTCTCATTTAGCCTGGTCCGAAAAGCTGAAGAAAGCCAAGGAGGAAAATGAGCAACTCAAGAAGGAGCTAGACAATACCAAGCGCTCCTTTGAATATGAACTGCGAGAAACCGTCGAGCGTCTAACTGCAAATGAACTCGGATTGAAACGCAAGATTAGAGACCTCGAAGAGGACATTGACCACAAACAAAACATCATCCATGCCCTCGAATACGAGCACCATGAGAAACGCCTCGACATGGCCACCTTGGAAACACTCAAGGCTCGCATTGAAAAGCTCGAGGAGGAACGCATCAGCTTAGAGCTTGCGAATAACGACATGACCAAACGCAACGAGGTCCTGACTCAATTGCTCGCTCTCTCCCCCACCAAAGCCCACCACAGTGTGGACCTTCCAACTCCCAGGACAAAGAGTGCCCGTCCGATGTCGATGATTATCCCTCGCGTTCCATCATCTCCACTGGATAGAACTCCCCTCAGTCGGCCACAGTCCGTCCTTATCTCTCCGTCACATCAGTCCACCGACTACTTTGCCCGATACGCCTCCTCTTCCCCCCTAGCCTCCAGCCCCGATGTGCAGCGTCCTGTCAACGACCCGAGCAATGATGATGTCCAATCACTCGACTCGGGACTAGGCGAGTCATGCGCCAACCCTCCGACTAATGCCACTTCGAGACGGTCAACCATCGCGTCAAATGTATCCAGTAGCCCGGACCTGCCTTCCTCCCGTCATGCCCACGGAGAAAGACCCAATCCACTCCTCAGGCAACCCTCAAGGAGAAGAGCACGGAAGTTCATGCCTGGATCCACACAATTGAAACCATTACTACTTCCCGCTTTCACCGCAGATAGTGGTAATCTACCGTCCGCTTCTCCCTTGACCTCTCCCAGTCGCCCCGTCTCGATGCTGGTAAGCCCGACTCCACATTGGCAGAGTGTCCACAGTCAGATGGGCGCCGACGTGGCAGAAGATGTCGTCCCAAGTTCATCCAGCTCAAACATCGGTGCACCTGGTCCTTCTTTCCAAAGCTTAGACGAAGTCTTCACTAAAATGGGAGAATCCTTGGAGACTCACGACTCTCCACAACTTCCCCCGACCGTCCATGAGTCTTCAAAGAGTCAAAGCTTCGACCAAGTCATAGATGGAGTACCTCCTCAGAGGCCTGAGCCACGTCCGCGCATTACTTCTTGGGTTTTGAAGACAATGCATGAATGCCCTGAACAAGATGATATCGCCGACTCCCGTCAATCTGCACAGCCTCTCAGACACATTCTTCATGAATCAAAATCAACCAAACCCTACGCACGACATCATTCGATCCAATCGAGTGGGTCGGAAATCTCGTCTGTCGAAATTCCTCGCCCGCTTTTTTCGAGAGATGCTCCCTTCCCGACGTGTTACGATGATTGGAAAGACAACTTGCCGATTGATCCGCCTCGACATATTCCACGAAAGCGACACAAAGCCGACTCACACAGTGATCTAAGCTTCGCCGGCATTGAAGAAGAAGGTAGTGAGCCTACTCCCCGCCCTCCTCTCGATCGCGGCCCCCTTGAGAAAGGAGTTGGCCGCGTCGACAAGAGGTCACGGCCCTCAAGCCTGGTATTGAGGCAAGGGAAGCCTCCAATTCGTGGCCCCTTGGAAATGCTACAACAAGGAGGCATTGGTGCAAAACCACTGGCTGCCATCACCATTCACGCGGTTTATGCGACCTTGTCTAGGTACACTTCATACATTCAAGGATTCAAGAAAGACCCTCTGGCTTTAGCGCGTCGCATTATCGCAAATGCATGGCGTTCGAATTGGGCCATGTTTGGAAGGATGAGCTGGTGGGTCCTCGGCCTTTTTATCGGATTCCGCCGGCCTGCGACCAGAAGTGAAGACTTTGATTGGGAACGATATGATGGTGAAAGCATTGCCTATCGATATTGTTCCCTGAATAGAGACGACGGCAGCTTGCTTCAAGATAATCATGACGATTGTATCCGTCAAGCCCAACACCCTCAAGCTCAAACATCCAATCCACCGCCAACAGCTGCTGAGATGGCAGCCAAAGACCCGGGTCCAGGATGGGGCAAATCTGTCTTTCTCTGGGGAAAATTTAGTGTTGCGATTATGCTTGCCATTGGCGGAGCAATAATCAAAGGCCCCGGAGAAATGCTAAGAGACATCGACGAACGTGCGAGATCTCGTCGCAACAGTACAACGGGCGCAAGTCTAAATTCAACGTCGCCCATGACATCTTTCCGACACTTTGATCAAGCATACTTGGTGGACGAGATGCCACTTTCGTCACATGGCATCGTCATGAAGAATGATCAAGGCTCAGGTGTTGTCCGGAAAGTCCGAAGCTTCAGCTCTCCAGCCCCTTCTTCTCGGTACCACGACCCTGATGTGGTGGCTCAGGCACCACAAAAGCAGACGAGGGTACTTCCAGAACCTTCGAGCATCGAACCTGAGCCAATCATGGAACCAGCTGTCCAAGTCTTGGAAGAAAGCTCAACCTCGTTTGACACGTTAAGACCTCGACGAGCGCCACGAAGAAAAGTTGATTCTTTCTTTGAACATTGGCATGGTGCTGGAGAGGGCGAGCTATGAAAAGAACGACGTTACAATTACAGGAACGAGTTAATTTAATGACAATTAATGTGCCTTGAAGAGGATCAGTGAAAGCATTCATGGCAGGCAAAACACGGGATGCTGTATGATGACGATGTGAAAAGAATGAGGAGACTCGATGGGTCGATGATACCAGCAAGCAAGACGGAGATGAAGGGATGAGGGTATGGAGGGTAGTCAATCATGAAGCATGTGAGAATTGTACTGAGTAATGACATGACGATAGCCAATAGCTGATAGCCGTTGCACTGAATGCAAGATGTAATATGACATGTCCTTGCACAGAGATTATACACATTAACATTGCCAAGTGCTTGAATAATATGTGTGGGCACAATTTGTGAGATGTATGAGGACGATATTGTGAACTCCACACCTATCTAAGGTATCTCAAAGAATCAGTCCTTAATATTTAGAGATCCAGGGGTCGTCAGCCTTGCGCTTAAAATTACAGGCCAAGTGACTTGAGATGCCCAGCCATTGGCTGAAACTCCCGAGTGTATGTCACCTACCAACCATTATTGTTCTTATACGTTCATAGGGATCTGTATAAATACTAGGTAGGTAGGTAGGTAGGTAGGTACTTTTACATACACCAGCCACAATCCTTCGTGACCAATCTTCTCTGCTTAGTACAGTATGAGTATGACAGGAGGGAGACTAAGAATTAGAGGGGTTTGAAGAATCTGAATCACTGACTCAAGGAACCTCGTTTACACATGGACAGTACACCAATGCAATGTCAAACGATTTGCCAAAAACATGGAACAAAATATATCAAATACTAGTACCTAGGTACCTAGGTAGGTAGGTACTGTACTTGGGTTTCATTGAAACTTTACGGGGGACAGAGTCAGGTTATCTCTATATCTCAGTTTCACTTGCTCGATCGCGTGCTGTTCACTATCTTGTTTGCTCTGTCTGTCTGTCTGTCTGTCTGTTCGTAGAGTGACCAGTGTGAACAATGTGAACAATGTGAACAATGTCGTTTGTTCGTCTTGATTGAAGGTGTTTCGACAAGACCAAGATCAAGACTATTTATTTCAACTTCTCTTGCATGGTCTTATTTGTAGAGAGTAATATGCACGTCTCCTTCATCTGGGTTTATATATCGTCCAGACGACTACGACTACTACGAGAAACCTCTGAAAAACCAAGACAGAGGCAGATATTGAGGTTCTCATTCGCACTCCATTTGTGGACCTGGACAGAGTATCTTGACTGATGGTACACCAATTGTTCCATTTCATCCACTTCATACACGCTTCCATCCATATCTGGTAACCATGTGCCAGCTCATTCTGCGATATTATCAACACTGCGGCCACGTTGATGTCATCTTTGATGACCAGCGTTGCACAGACGAGGAAAAGAGGGTCTGTGGTCCTGAACCTTGGCGACACAATCAGCCTTGGGGTCAGAGTCATTCAATTGCAGCCCAATGCATCATCTGCTTCAGTACTTCGCTTCGACTCTTGGCTCAAGAAGTCAATGCACCGTGTTTCCCACCCGTGTTGTGGCGTATCGAGGACCTCACGCTGCCCTGGAGTAAAGAGCAATATGAATTTGAGAGGCTGTTTGGTCGTCTGCCCTTTCCAGCCCAAGTCGAGGAATGCACACGTTGGGCAGGCAACCATGACCGCTGCTTGGATCATCTGGATGCGACGGCGGCCGTACCGGGTGAGCCACGGAGGATTGATCACATTACAAGGATGCAACGAGAGTATCTCCAGGTGCGATGTCGGCCGAATCATACGGCCAAAGCACCATGGGAAGTCGATGACCTGCGGCGATTTCTGGATTACCTAGAAAAGCCGCCCCTTGAGGAGCCTCATGTAGCAACAGCTAATTGTGGCCTGACTATAATCAGATTTGCTTCTTGTGGGCATTTCAACTCCGTGCTTGTTGAAAAACTTGATGAGATCACCGGCAAGGCTGCATGCGGATGTGAGAGGTTTGGCCGTGATATGATGGTTGCCTCCGCTGAGAGTGTGATTTACCGCAACAAATACTTCCCCGCTGAGGGTAGGGTCAAATGCGGCTACGCTGAGAGTCTGAGCCGCTGCTTCATATGCAACGACCACGACCCAGTGAAGGACAGAGAGCTGAAGGATCGATATTGGAAGCTTGTGAAATTTGACAAGGTAGACAGAGAATTCCAGCCCGTTACTTGGTTGTGGCGCTGAAGCAAAGCGCTTATTCGACACCGGACCTGTGCTGGGATGGAGTGCTTCATATCTTGATGGTTTGTCCTGGCCCGAATAGTGTAGATGGGTATTCTGTCTCATGATGACATCAAATGGAAGTATGCCTTTCTCATTCTAGGAGCATTTGTCGAGGCGCTTGGATCAGCTTCGATCTAGTCTGGTGATATGGCAGGCGGCCCAGATTCGTCTGATGATCTCAGTCTTTGTCGTCGTCTTCGTCCTTTGAAGGGTTCAATTTTCCTTCGGCACGCAGCCTTCGTTTCTCACCGACATCCCAGTTATGTACTCTGGCTACAGCGACCTCCAAAGTGGTGATTTGTATCCTCAAGAATTCCAGATCCTCCTCGGCAGCCTTGAGGCTTTCCTTAGCCTTGTCAAGTTTTGCCTGCAGCAGCTCTTCGGCCTCGTCAAGGGGATATGCAACCATGACGTTTGCGCCTAGCCACAAGTAGACTTCATCCACTTGGGCAGGTTTAATATTGGCCTTTGCGTAGAGGGTATCTTGCAAGCTGAAGGTGGTTTCGATGACATCAGATGGACGACTTTTGGTGTCTGGATCATCGTCGAGATCGTCGGCATTTGGGCTCGAATCCGTAGCATCTGCAATATCTTTTCTTTTCTTCTTGAGAAACTTGACTACCTCTAGAGTTCGCTTCATCTCTGGCAGTTTTTCTCTCAAGCCGGCGCCACGACGCTCAACATTTTGCTGCATGAATGTGTACTTGGAGACCATTTCTTGGAATCTCTGTAGAGTAGGTTCCACCTCTTCTATCGACTTGACATAGTCTGAGACATTGGACATGAAGGGGAAGACGGGAATGCCCCGCGGATTGGTAGTTGCGGCTTCCATTGCTTCCAACGATTGCGATTTGCGGGACACACAAAATGTGTGAATTCAAACTGGGTTTCAGGGGGTTCAGGGTCGGATGGACGGCGATCTAGAGGGAGAGGATTCGATGGAATGCAGTCGAGACGCTGTAGTATGTGAGATGCAGCAAAAACAATACTAGGACCCTGTATATTTGTCGACAGTCTAAGCAAGAGCGAGACAAGATTTGGTGGTGATAGTTTTTGGTTCCTGGCCGGACTTTCTCTTCTTCCGAGATGTTGGAGCGACTGTAAAAAGGCAGGTGCGGGCAGATGGGCCCAAGATGATAAACACGTGACCAGCATCAACAGTATCAGATTACGACCCCTCGACAACGTTCAACTCGCAAAATGGTATAGAGTGGCCGATCTCTGCACATCACATCCACACGAAATTGCAATGAATGGACAATTTATCATTGACTACGTCTGATATGTTTGTGTCGTTGTTATTGTTTTAACCCGGACCTTGCGGTCACCAGTCTGATAACCAAACACTCGAGTTTAGGCTTCTCTGGTCAAAACCTCATAACCATTCATCTTCCCCCTGACCCATGTTTCACCAGCTCGTGGGAGCTCTTCCGGCACGCATGTAGGCTTCTGCCTCGACGCGGCTGGGTCCGAGCACGTTTGGTGCTCTCATGGTACTTCATTGTTGTAATCATTAAACATTCGCTGATGCGGCTTTTCCCAATGCCCAATATGCGGTAGCAGTAGCCGCTCATTTCTAGTACGCCTGAAAGTTCAAATTTCTCCCTTACACTTCATGCAGCAAACTCCATTTGTGTGCCTTGACTCGCTGATTTGTGGTGAGCTTCCCATTCCTGACGCCGTGCCCTCATGGTATCGGCATCAAAGGCCGGTGTTTGTTCTGGGCTTTGTCCATCGTTTCGACTCACGGGGCGAGACTTGGCACTGTCCGCAACACTGGTGGTCGATCTCATTCTCCGCAGGCTTCGCTTCATCCTCAGTCCCCGGTCTTTGGCCGGGGGCGGAGGAGGCTGTTCTGACCGGTCAACCGGGACCGCGTCAGATGCATTCGACACGGCTCGCGGTCGTGATTGTTCCTCCTTGACATTGTTCCTACTCTTAATCCGTCGAAGTTCCCGAGCGATCCTCTCTAATGTAGAGCCGGCAGGCTTCTGAGGCAAACTCATGTTGTCATCATCCTTGGGTGGAGGGAGTGGTTTATCAAGTAGCTTGTCTCGTGAATGCTGGCGACTGTGACCCTGAGCGTGGCTCCCAGTACTGAAGCTGCTGCTGGTGCTTGGTCGAGTTGCATGGCTCTGACCCGAGTTGCGGTTAGAAGACGTGCCAGACCCAAATGAGATGGCCGAGTCGATCTTGCGTCGACCGTCGTCGTCATATTCGAGTACCGAGTTGAAGGATGATGCAGTGGGCGAGTAGTCCCTCCCGGTGATTTCGTAACACTCTTCAATGACACTGTTGGCCATTCGGACATAGTTCTCCAGCGTTCTGCGTAAAGTGGGCCAGCCGGTTGTCTCATCTTCACCCTTGTGTTGATCCATAAGATTGCTGAGAACGGAAGTGCCCACCTTCTCGACTGAGGTGATGTATCGGAAGAAAGCCTCGCGTTGGGATTTGAGTATCTGAGGGGTGAGCTGAGCGGTAGGTTGAACGAAAGGAACGCCCTTGATGACGGGTGGGTACAAGGTGTTGAGCATGGCAACGCAGTTGGCTTTGTTGAAAGGGGTCAAAGACAGTTCATTGATCATAGTCCATCGCCTTAGTCCCACGAAAACCTGAGTGTACAAGGCCTCGACTTGACGCTCCTTGGTCTCGATGTCCATGACCCACCGTAACACGCCAGGGTACTTGAGAGCGATCTTCTCCTTGTGGGTGATGTCGTCTCGGTCGATGCCCAGTTTGTCCAAAGCGGCGACAACCTCTCTTCGTCTTCGAATCTCCAGGTCTTTGAGATAGTCCATGGCGGTCAAAGCTTGGGGAAAGTCGACTTGATCAAGTTCAGGAGGGAAGCATTGCCGAACAAATTTGCTGATGAGTTTGGGTGACAGTGAGGTTGGCTGTGAGGGTAAGCGGGAGATGTGCACCAAGAGATTGGCGCGTAGTTGTGCAGCAGCTGTGATGGGAGTCACATTGGGTTGGTCCTCGTGTGTCGAGCTCGACTTGCGAGGGAAGGCGTTTCCGGGCACGGTTGGAGAGACGGGTGTACTTGGTGACTGCTGAGGATTCTGTGTGGTGGCATTGAGGATGTACATGGTGCGGAGAGGAATTTCGTAGGTGCCTGGATAGGAAAGCAAATGCTCGAGAACCCACGGAAATGCAGCACCTTGTGAGGCAGTCTCACCATCCGCCATCGTGGTCTCCATGTTGGATTGAATTTTCTTGATTTATTTCTTTTGTACGGTGCGACCAGTGGGTGAGTCACTATGTGTGTGAAGGTTCAATTGAGCGAGACTCTGGTCGTTCAAAGATGAAGAGGTGGGGTTGATCGGAGGGAAGGGAGATGTCGGAGGAACGAGGGTACAAGACTTGTATGAGTTACTTTGATTGTGAGTTGCGACTGTCAGGTGATTGCTGTCTTCGCGTCAGTTGTTGACGAGGCTCGCGATATTTGTCAACAAGGACCCAAAGTGGTGACACGATCGCGATGTCGAGTCGGTGCGGCGCGGATTAGACCAGTATGTGGACCGTGCGTTTCCCCAGAAAACGTGTGACGGTTAGGATTGTGTCTGTGTCGAGGTGGTCTGGGTGGACGCGTGAAGTGATGTCAATGAGCTCAGAGAGAGAGAGGGAGAGAGAGAGCAGTGAAATGAACTGGGTTGCGAATCTCAAAGGAAAGCTAAGGAGGGACAATTGACAGATGTCAAAGCTTGTTCGAGGCAACTTGTCGAACAGCAGAAGGTGGGAGAAGGAGAGTCGAAGGCCAGAGGTAACGGGTTTGAGGTTTCAAGAGGCACAAATGATCGAGGTATGAGAATGACTGGAGAAACAAGACATCAACACGAACATCAGGGAGGACGTCTCAGAAGATGTAACAAGTGTGAGAAGATGGTAAGGTGGGATGTATATCGGGAAAAGGTGAATCTTGGAGGGATGAATTCCGAATCTGAGGATGTGTAGCCAAATGCCAGGTGATGAGGTCGGTAGCTACTAGGGACAGTCCATACGAGGCAAGTCAGTGGGTGGGGAGCGCAGGTACGCAAAAACGGCACCCATACCCATGTTCATACCCAGAGGGCCATTGGGCTGGGACCTTATGAACATGGGTACGGGTGCCACTTCCAGGGTATGAGTTAACTAGCGTGTGCCTAGAAGCCAGGGTGTCTGGGTGTCAGTGCCCAGGGTGTTGGGATGCCAGGGCGGGAACAAGCCCAGCGCCAGGGGTACCCGTCCTACGGAGTAGGTCCGAAGCTTGGAGGCCGAGGGGCGGCGGGTACGCTACTACGGAGTATACATTAAACCTCGTTAGGACGAGGATCCAACGGAGAATTTCTTTTCCACTATCCTCGATGCGTAACTAGAATGAGGTCTCGTGGAAGCCAAAACAAGTACTTTTACTCTGTCGAGGGTTTCCACAGGCTACGATATTGTGGACTATGATCCCTCGAGTCCTCGACATGTGTGCTACTGGGTAAGACATTAGAATATTGTCTGCATCTTCGGCACACGTACCGTGCGAATCACTGGCATGGTGGAAGCTGTAGATTTGACCAAAGATCAATAGGAATCATCCTCAAAATTGATCACCATGGTGATGACAGTGTAATTGTCTATAGTCAATAAGTAATGGTGATGTGTTAGGTTCCGACATCACACCAGTTGACTCAGACCCAGAAGATTGACCACCATATGATTCTGATTGAGATGATGTAAAATCTTCGTTCTAATCAAGGCTGCATATGCATATGCATACAGTACGAATACACACAATTTGAAGTGATGAGATTGGCTAAAGTTCGCTTCAAAACCTTCTCTCTTGCACAAGAGTTTGAGCCTACGATGCTGGATTCTGCCACCAAAGTTAGAGAATTAGAGAGTGAAGTGCTAAATACCTACTAGGTACCTACTCCGTAGTACCACAGGGGATTTCGGTTAGGAAACTGCCACAAATCTCACCCTCACGCGCTCATCCACCCAGAATTCTTCTTAATAATGATGAACGCATACTGGGACCGACTGCATGTTGGACGCACTCTTTGTCCTCGACATGGATCTGTCCAAGACTCCAGAAAAAGAAGAAGAATGAGATCAGATCGCCGCCCTCCCTCTTGGAGATAGTATGTATGCGTAGAACTGGAGCCTTCAGCTTAGAACGAGAGGCAGCCACGCCACCTCACCTCTAATAGAAGGCAACGGAAGGAACGCGTGCACTTGGGTTAAGGTATCTATGGGTACCTGCCTTTCTCACCTACAGCCCAAAGCCCACCCTGCGCCTGCCTACGGAGCACTCTACTATCGTCTTGTACAGTGGTGCCTGCCTCAACACCCTGATGGACAACTTGGCATCCTGCAAGCCACTCTGTGCGAAACTCGCCTCAACACGTCTGACTTAGCAACCTGACCTTCTCAAGCCACAATCACAGTATGCTTGTCGTGACTTGGACCAGTCTCACTCTCTCGCTTTTTCTTGCAGAAGCCAGTCGTGCCATTCTATCCTGCCCCCTCAGTATCCTTATCCTGCAGAGGCCTCCCATGTAAGTACGGCTTCATTGTTAATCAAATCCCCACCTGTCTGTCTTCTGCGTCCGGATGCTTCTCCCGTATGCCTGGGCTAATTCCTCATAGATCGACATAGAACATCACCGCGCATATGCGTATCCTCGGATGTGCACCCAAGAGTATGGGCCACAAGGACTCCTGAACCTTGGGCATACGGAGTACTCGTAGGGCCCCTCGGGCCCAAATTTCCTAACACAAAGACAAGGGCCCCTCGGCCCCTAGGACCTCCCAGAACCCTGGCATGGAATCTAACCAGAAGGAGGATTGATTCAGAGACAACAGAGTTTCCGGGCCTGGAGGCCCGCAGAGTCAAACATTGGCATGTCCCACTTGGTCAATCGAGTCTTGCCGGGGCAAAATATTCGGAATAGCTTCGTCGTTGATCGTCTCAAAGTGGTTATGGAGGATTCCTACCTTCGGACAAAAACACTGTTCCCCAGAGATTGTCAAGTGCAATATCAAAGTTGCATCAGAGACATGGGAACATACGGAGTAGAGCCAATTTCCATTACCGCGAGGGACCAATCCAAAGAGTTTGTATCAGCCCGCCCAGTCGGCAGCAATGCTGCGGGTAGGGAATGTCTCAAAAGGATGGATCATAGCCGAAAGGTTTCCGAAATACCTAACCTAAAATACGCCTTTCTCCAGTATCCTGCTGTGCAAGACGCGATTTCACTTTCTTGTCTCGCTCTCGAGAACCAGAACTCACTTGTCTTGACCCTTGAAGATGCAGAGAGTACGAAGACGGTTGTGTATCGTCTGGCTGAAGACATGTGAACATTAATCAAAACTTTTAGCCTAGGTATACCGCCACCATGCCATAATGACCATGCAGCGCTTGTTCGCGTCTTGGCTGTCAATGTCAGACAACGGCCCTGTCACAACGGCCTTCAACCCAGGTAGCCGAGTACTACTCCCAGGTGCGCCTTCGGTCTTCAGTCTGGCTTATGGGTAGGTAACAGGTTCGAGGATGATACTGTCGTATAGGTACTGAGACTTGGAATGACGTCTCGTGGGACTACTGCATGTGAACCATCTCTATCACCACCGCCGGCTGAATTGACAGACGCCTTTTTCCCATTCACCGTCTATCACCATCTTTTGGCACCTTTACGTATATGGTGCAGCGCCTTGAAACTCACAACACAGGACCTTGTCCATATGCTAGGTTTATCCTCGTGCATCGATTGTTGACTTACGGAGTAGGAAATTTCGTATCTGGAGGGGTCTGCCACAACTCCTGCCACGCGTCTGGTCCAAGCCTGGTGCCTGTGTAACTCGACGTGGGCCTCTGAATAGCTAATTAAGTCTCTGATAAAATTCTGCAAGACGCGGTCACGCTGTAGTTATTATTTGTTGATTGTTATTGTGGCGTGTGCGGGTATTGTTGTCGAGTTATTATTCATCTTGTCATGACTGCATATTAAAATGAACCTGTCGCGCGTAGTCTCTGCCACTACGAACACCACGTAGATGGACAGACACGGCCACAGGCACACGGGTCAACCCGCACCTGTAGTCTTACCCCTCCCTCTCCTGTTATTTTCGTCCTTGAATTATCGTTCACGCGTCAGATTGACTTTGCCGATAGTTCAAAAACTTTTGTGGGGACCTACAGCGGCAGGGACAGAGCCACAGTGGGTGAGTACGGGTACGAGTACTCCGTACATACGGAGCAACAAGTCACAAGTCTGGACAATCATGGAGACGGGAGACTTGGTGGGGTACCCGGTCCATGGCGGTGTTCTGCCGATACTGGACACTGGACATCAACGAGCTTTTCATCCCTACTGTTCGTATACCCGTACTCGACAACCTGTCTCATCGAGAGCAACTGCCCCAGCAGACAATCAGAATCGATAACAACGCTATCGTATTAAAGTCTAGGCCGTGCGGGACATGATTGCCTGGTGAATGGGCATCTGGGCATTTTTCACGCCGCATGAGGTTGGGATGGAGGCGTTATGCAGGGGAAACGGACAAATCGCCAGGATTCGCGTAACCATTTGGCCGTTGATCCGTTGAGATAGACTACTCCTTAGTCGCGGATGGCGGAGGGCCAGCCTTGGGGTGGCTTCACATTTGCTCGGTTATTCGAGAGCCGACCTTCTGTTACCACCGTCCACAAACTAACCCTCGAGGCGAAGCTCTGGAAGTACTGAAACTCGAAGATCCTCATGCCGCCCGCAGCTACTGTACTACAGTAACTTAGGCGTCCTCACGTACAATAATACTGGTGCCGTCTTTGAGTCTGAGTCTCCTCAGGTCTCAGTCCTCAGTCTCGACCTCTTAGCCCTCGGTCCTACATCGGCCGGTGGCTGGTGACTGGCCGTCCTTGGTGAGACTCTTTGCTCAACAGGTTCGTTTGAAGAGAACACGAGAGGAAAGCTTGGTGCAACGGGAACGGGAGAGGCTTGCGAACCAAGGACCTCGACGTTGGCCATTTGTGCCACTCTCCCACGAGGTCCTACTGTCTAGTGCTGCCGTTGCTGTGAGCCTTCAGAGGCCTTGTCAGCTCTGGCAGCTTTGGCAGCTCTTCGGCGCCGACTGCTCGGCTATACAGTGTCAAGTGCAATGTGCTCTTCACAAGGTTTGAGTCCTTACCCCTCCTAGGTAAACCCTGGTCTTCGAGTGGCGTTTAGACTTGAGGGTGTTCACTGCCGACCGTTAGTCTAGCAGGTCTGGCCAGACTCGAAAGCCCAGAGGTACCTGCCGCTTGGGAAAATCACCTGCGACCTCTGCATGTACTGGAAGTACCGTACCTTGTCTGGTTGGTGGGTAGAACGCACCCGCCTTTACCAAGAAATCCTCCGACGAGGGGAACCTTGGTGCGCATACTTAGTGAATGCACATGAAAGCTTGAGTGTCATTCTGTGTCGATTCATCGACGCTGTTCATGTCTCTGTACAGATGTCATCTAGTCATGCGTCAAGACCGTTGACTACATTGAAGTTTGAAATGCGGCATAGGCACTCGGGATTCTATATCTGGTGAAGTTAGATATTCTTTTGGAAGAAGCGTCGAAAGACAGAAATGACGGCGGGGCGATGGGCATCGGCGTCTTGTTCCCTGAGCTCCATCTCGAAGATCGTATGTACGTACAACAATAGTTACCTACAATGCTGATATTCGAAACGACGAGCTCCTAGGCGAGACTGAGACCAACCAACCCCCCGTCTCACCACCACTACTGCATGCATTCTGACTGCCTGCCTGCCTCCAGACTCGTCGGTCCAAGTCGCCAAAGAAGAATCACATCGAAGCTCCAGATGTCTAGTCCGCAACAAGATAATGAACTATCTTTTGAAGTTTGACGTGATGATAATATGCTGCGATGCATATCCCCTGCAACATGTCTAGGATGAATAATGATAGCATGTAGTTCTTGCAGTCCTTACCTATGCTCAGCCATGGTCCCGGTACTTGTGGGAGACAAGGCCATTCCGCGAATTTGGGGACTCGATCTCTCGATAGGCCAGTACCATTACAATTAATAAACTTCATGTACGGAGTACTATAGACCGGCCTCGAAACCCTGCCATACTGAAGATGAATCCTACAAGACTCAATAGTGACGTCCATAGATGGGGAGGGTGGGGGAGGAAACTCCCAGCTCTGTCCAGGACTCCTGGTACAATTAAGCATAGCCTGTGACAGCTGCCAGACTCCCTGCGCCTGAGAACGGTGGGGTCGGGCGTGTCAGTCTGGGTCGAAAACGAAGCCTTGCCTTTCTGACCTGCTCAGTGACCTTCTCTAAGCGGCGTAGAGCCCAGAGTTCGAGGACTCGAGGCGATCACGTTCCAGTATGCGAAGTATGTGTAGACTAGTAGAACAAGGATCGGCTGGCAGTTTGACGAGAGACAAAACCCCCCGACTGGCAGATTGAATCAACATGCATACGGTAAGTTCTACTTGGCAGATGCAAGACCAGTTCATAGTTGATCATGGCTTCTTCAATCCTGGACCCATGATGATTTAGCTCCTCATGCCATGGCCAAATGCGGTACCCTGGTCTAAAGATCACATCACCATCACCATGCTGTACCACCGTGCTGTGAAGAGCATGTGCAACGATCGACCAGTGTGCTTTTATCATACCTGTACATACATATGCGTGATGGTGACTGTGCACACTTGGTTGCCCAGTAGTTTGTAAACAGACCTCAAGGGAGAAAACAAGACTATCACTTTTGTAAACAACCTCGTCTCGCAAATTCCAAGCGACTCTACTGATCAACATTCCTACTCCGGGGAACACACACCCTAGCCTCAAAACCCGAGTACTCATTACTACATAGTACATTGTTCGTGATCATCTACTCCGTACTTATCATTTGGGAGGGCCCAGAACCTTCCGGGCAAACCCCACAACTACTTGGCTAGTCAGTCCATCATCAAGCTAGTTGATTGAATTACAAGTGGTAATGGTCCATTGCTACTCTAGTTCAGTAATACATACGGAGTACATAGTAGAAGAATTCTCAAACCGGAATCTCACTCTGCCCAAACAGCCTTGGAAACCCCTCCCGTCGCACTAATAAAGAAGTCCCTGGTAACCAATGTAGCACTGTACTACTCATGAAAAGTGGCGAACGTTTAACACTGGGGCATGGTGGTAAGGAATACGGAGTACATTCTCGTCCCAGGCGATATTCGTGCTCCGCTCAAAAACTGTCGATCGAGTCGATCCTACCATCTCCTTACGACTATCCATAAGTACCCTTTAGTGAAACTTGCCATGATTGCCTATCTGCTTGCTTGCAAGTGCCCATCCTCCTTGTTTCTTCGTCCAGTGTACTTAGTAACCCCACCGACCGATCTTCGGGCATCGGGGACTACGCGTACACGCTCTCTGTGGGAAATCCCTTCCCCATTATGGCGAGCTACCATTGTCCTCATTATCATCACTGGAGTGGTCCCCGGTGCCCGAGGCATCAGTGCCTGATTCATCCGTGTCGCTCAGTGCCCATTCTCCCAGAAATCCCTCCTCTCGCACCGCACTGGTCAGGTCGACGCCTCGACTTTCGGCCCACTCCAAAATCTTGGAACGATGGACAACCACCGTCGCCAGGTCCTCAGCCTGCTCCTGGTCGGTATGACTGCTGGGCCCATTACCGCCACCCTGTGTTTCTAGGGAATTTTTCTTCTTGCGTCGAGGAACCGTCACCTTGCAGATGCCCATCTCGTTGAGCGCCGCAACCACATCTTCCCCCAGCATGCCTGTGCGATCCCCAAGTTCCTTGACTGTCATCTCTTCCTTCCTTGGCTTGACCGTCCTTCTCTTACTGCCTCGCTTTGGCGCGAAAACCCGTTGGGCATCGGCGTCTGCAGTTTGCCCCATCATGAACCGCGCAATGCGCTCCGACCAGAAGCGCAGGTAACTTTTGCGTCCCATTGCGCTCAGCGGTTTCTCCGGCCCACCAATTACGCCCCCTTCCCACTCCCATCCACTGAGTTTATACGAGACCGCCATCAACAGCTGCCCCAATTGTCGGTGCTGGAACGGAGGAAAAATGAGGATGCACGCGAGGTTGTTCGAGTCCCAGGAAAGATTCTCCTTGGAAAAGAACCCCAGCACCTGGGCCTTCGGCGTCAGATCGTCGTCGAGGGCCGAGAAACTCCTCTTTCGCCCTCGACCCTTGGCTCCAGGTGGCGTCGCCGCAAGCGGTGGAGTATATGTCAATGTGTAGTACTTGAAACCCGCCGTATCGAAGAAGACACTCTTCTGCTCGAGAAAGAGTTTGCCAAACAAGGACAGGTTCTGGCAATACAATTTTTCCTTTTCGCCATCCACTTCCCACACAGCGTAGCCATCCCAATCGTATACTTGCACTGCGCTTTCCGGAACCGGTTGCGTCTCAAGCCCTTGTTCGCGTCGCGCACGATGGTGTATGAGATGTTGAACGTAGTCTCTCTCCTCTGGACAGTAGCGAAAACACGTGGAACACACGTACAATTTGGCACACAGCGGCCCCTCCTTCGTCATGCTATGTGTGATGCCATTCCTCAGGTCTGCTGCTCCCGTCACATGTCTGGTCGAGGGTAGGTTGCTAACGCCTTGGATGATGCTATCAGGATAGGGCGAGTAGTACCATGTATCGAACAGGAGATTTCCCAGGACCACCTGTCCGATGTTTCGATTTAATATTCGGAGAGATTCACGCCGCACTCTGTGCGGTGAGCCTTCCGCTAGTAAGGAAGGAATGCCCTCGGTGGCGGAGGGCATTGTTGTTGATTGTGGTGTCAATACCGCGTAGTCCCTTCAGTCATCGTGTGCTCATTGATATTTGGGGTTTTCAGCAGTGGTCACTTGATGGGACCTCGTCAGAATGTCTGTTGCGTCATCTAGCAGTCGATTTCTTATGCCAGACTTGTGACATCTTTTTCGACCTTCCCGTCATTCACAAAGACAAACACAAGCGACCAACGAAGCGCCATGGAAACATCACAATTATGATCACGTGCTACACTAGCCGTTTCCAGACATTTTCACGTGAGATATATATCTCACCTCGATTGACACGTGATAAATCTCATTGTCTCGACATACTATGGTGCACAAGATGCTCGCCGTAAATTTGCCACCTCTTGCTTCTTTCGAGAATGCCTCGGATAAACATGTAGACAAACAGTAAACAATAGAAACATCTGAGTGGTACTCGATTCTCGAGGATTAGAATGTCACTGCGTGCATACTCGAGGAATAGACTAACTTGATTCGGCTAATAAACTCTGCTGCGGAATGCAAGACAGGCAGGGGCAGAACCAATATGATTGGCAGAAAGTGACTCAACTTCACGCTTCGACTACGGCCTCACAAAAGGACAGATTGGTGCAATTGCATCCAACATTCATTCATTCATTCATTCATTCATTACCTTCCACGCCTTCTTCCTCTTTTCTGTACCATCCTGCACCCTCTTTCGATTCGTCTTCTACACTCGCTCTGTTGTCCCTCTTCCTCATCTCGCATTTTAGGCGTTGTCTTTGTTCATTCATTAAACAACCTGACACGGCATGCAACCATGATCTCCGCCACAGTGCGCTACTGTACCCTACTGCTCTCTCTACTGAGCCTCTCTCTGATCCCTCTATGCAGCGCCGATTCATTGAAGATCGAGCCTGACACCCCTCTTAACCTAATCAAGGCGGCTGCAAAGGATGCTCTTGCTCGCCATGCCAACGCCGAAGCCCTGACATATTTCGACGCCGCAGTCTCTCGAGATCCCTCCGATTCTTCCTCTTTCTACCAACGAGGCATCACCTACTTGTCTCTTGGTCGCAGCCTTCAGGCCGCTGCCGACTTCAACAAGGTCTTGTCACTCAAACCTGATTTTGAGCCGGCTTTAACACAACGCGCCAAATTGAGAGCGCGCAATGGCGAATGGGCCTCGGCAAGAGAAGACTTTCTCGCTGTAGGTGCCAAAGCAGAGGAAGATCTGGCCCGGCTCAACGAGGCAGAAGGTGCTTACTACATTGCAATGGAGGCAGAGAAGCATGGTGATTTCGAAGCGTGTATCAACCAAGCTGGAATTGCAATCATGACCGCCGGCGCGGCCCTGTCTCTTCGTCAGCTGCGCGCCAGGTGTCGTTTCGAACGCGGGGAGATCCAAGAAGGTGTCAGTGACCTTGCTCATGTTCTTCAAATCCACCCCGGCTCCATCGAACCTCACATCCAGATATCAGCCATGTTGTTCTACGGCCTCGGTGATACAGATCGCGGTTTGGCTCAGATTAAAAAATGCCTCCACTCCGACCCGGACTCCAAGCCCTGCAAGTCTCTCTTCCGAGAGGAAAAGATCGTCGCCAAGCAGGTGGACAAGCTCAATGCCCACATCTCAAAAGCTCAATATAGTGCTGCCAGCAAACTCCTGGTAGGCGCCGCAACGGAAGATGAGCCAGGGCTTCTTTCCGACGTCAAGACCAACGTCGGATCCCTCCTCGAATCTGGAGCTATACACCCTCGAGCGCCGTCAGGGCTCTACCTCGACCTGGTCGAGAAAGCATGCCAATGCTATTCCTCGATGAAGTCATCGTCCAAGGCCCAAAAATATTGCTCGGAAGCTCTCACTCTCAACCCCGACTCCCTCTACGGCCTGCTTCATAAAGCCCAAACACATAGCGATGCAGAAAATTTTGAGGCCGCCATCCAGACCCTGACAGCCGCACGAGACAAGCATCCCGACCAGCAAGGTGTGATCGAAGAAAAGCTAAACCAGGCTCAAATTGCGTTGAAACGTTCCAAGACGAAGGACTATTACAAAGTTCTCGGCGTGCCGCGCGACGCAGACGAGCGGACAATCAAGAAGGCTTATCGTGATGCCGTGAAAGCTCATCATCCTGATAAATCAAGGGCAAAAGGCATTCCTAAGGAAGATGCCGAGAAAAAGATGGCATCCATCAACGAGGCCTATGAAGTTCTGAGTGACCCCGAGCTCAAAGCACGATTCGATCAAGGTGAAGACCCCAACGATCCCATGTCTCAGCAAGGCGGCAACCATTTCCAAGGTAGTAACTTTGGAGGTGGCCAACAATTTGTGTTTCAACAAGGTGGAGGACGAGCTTTCAAGTTCTCGGGAGGCTTTGCAGGTTTTCCCGGATTTGGATAGGAATGCCTCAAGAGCAGAAGACTCAGTACCATTCTTGGACATCTTGGAAGAAGTAGGCGTTCCACAGATCCAACTTATTACCTTGAATGCCTTCGAGTTTGGTGTGATGTTTTCAGGCGAAATACCCTATCAGTGGTCTTATGAGATGACAAAGTACTGCCAATTCCGAGGGGACCATGTCGTCATAGGATCGACCGACTCAGTCCATTGAGAGAAGGTCATGAGGATACCTCTGTCCTGGCCTCGAAACTTGACAGATACCAAGTCCACACGGAGACTTTGTTCAAGACGCGACCTTCCTCGCGCAGGCAGCGGTTCGAGACCTTTCCTCCTCCTTGCCAGTCCTGTCAATTGACTATCACTGGTATCAGCTACGAGAAAATCTGCACCATGCTCCGCCCCATGGGCCCCTTTGTCAAAATCCTTGACGACGAGACTTGCACCAGAGGACAGCTGTGCCCAGTTGACATGTTCAACACATCTGAGCACACAACCAGCGCGGTTTGAATGCTGCGAGGATCTTCACTTACCTGGTCACCTGCTTTAGTGGTTGAATCATCAAAGATGTGAAGTTTTGCTTAGAACTGCCGCCGCGGCGTATCCAGATCGAAAGGTGTCGGGCTTTACGTTGGCAATCGCCAGTTGCCATGGATAGAGTAGATGATACACGTATGATTAATGAGACCGTCCACCGACTGGACTGATCTGTTTTCCATACCCGTTCTTCCATCGATTTCCTAGAACCTTTCTCTGTCGTTGCTCCCCAGTCTTGCAGCCTACAGTTTTCTGTTGACGCGAGAACTTGAGTTGCAAATACTTGTGCTTCGCATCTTCGCATCTTCGCATCTGACTGCCACGATCTTCAAGCTCGATCCCGTCGTTCTCGTTGCGGTTTTACACTGCAAGTGCTCCCAGCACCATCATGAAATTATTTGTACTGGTAGATGCCACACAGGACATGTCTGATTAAAAGTCACGACAACCTTGGGCGAGACGGTGCCTTCGGAACTCGACTCTCGGTGCCGACTGGCTAGCCCTTGCGAAAACGAGTGTACCCCTCAATTCATCTTGCTTCACCGGGTCTCGTTCCTATGCAGCTTGAGTCTCACAATCTCTCCATCCATTTGCAACACACCTCAACCTCAAGTTAGCACCACTGGATCCCCGGCATTACTAGCAAGCCATAGCCTTCGTTGAAAACCACCCTTACACAGCAATAATCAAGCACTGTGTGCCATAAATGCTTCATCCGCCCATTCATGTAACAGTTGTGGACAGTGATACCGCCACCTCGAAATGGCCTCGACCACTTACTTGATGGGCGTTAAGGTGACGCGAACCCCTGGCTGGAACGTGCAAGTCCCGCCTCACACGTATTGTTATACCAGGACAGATCGAGGCTGTCCAAGTACAATGTCTTTCTCTGACCCTGGACATTGGCGTAGAAGCTCAATGTGGCCAAGCGATAAAATTGGTAGTCGAAGTTGATGGGCCTCAATTGACACGACGCGAAATCCGGACATGGCGGGAGTCTGAAGTGCTGGGTCACGGCCAATCGCTGGTTTGCGGTGTCCTGGTCCCATTTCCAGCCTTCTGCGACAAAGTCACAGGTAGTGCTTGCATTTTGTGCAATGTTGTCGCAGCCAACCCATGCAGTCCGGGCATTGAACCAGTACGCCGAATTCGACTCTCGAACAGCAGCACCGAAAGCATTCGGAGGAACATACTGACCCCTAGGAAGTCCAAAGGTTGAAGAAATCCGACTTTCGTTGTACTGAGCGAGGCGGGACCCGGAATGTGCTGGGAATGGTTCCCTAGGGGGTGGAACAACCGACCATCCGTTACCCCACTGGAAGTGATGATACCATCCCACATTATTGATTGGAGGTAAATCTGTGGTGTCATTGTTGAAGGTAGAGAAGACAGCAAGATCATCGAACTAGATACTGGGTTAGATCTGTTGGTCCCAACAAGTCCTTGTTCCTACCTCGATTCGGAATGTGCCAACTTCGCCACAATTAGCAGTTGGGCTGGGGTATACATGGCTAGTTGGTAAAGATCCCGGGGGAGTGGTTGTAGCATCAGGGACGGAAGGTGGAGTGACTATAATCTGTCAGGAAGTTCCAAATATACAGAGAAGATTTGACCTACTTGTGGTTTCCCAAGAGGTGAAAGTCAAGACTGATTGTCCATCCCAGTTGTTGCACCAATGAGCAACATGGCCACTGATCGTGGCAGAAATCCAGATACAGGTCTGTCTCTTGGCAATATCACCATTCTCAACTGGACGTGCTGGGATATTGTAGCCATATTCTGATTCTTGGAAGTATCCACCGGGAATGGTACTACTCTCGGTAATGGTTGAGATCGCAGGCTGAGTGACAGTGACAACCTGGATGCTGGTCGCTGTCACTGTGGTGATGAAGGGTCCGCTAGAGCTGATGGTGCCATTTTGTGCATCAACAGGATCCAACGTTGTAGTATGGGTGCATGTCAGATTCCACCCCTCTGTATGGCTTGTAAAGGGGACATGGCTAGTGACATTCGCCGGTTGATGGGGATCCTGATAGGTGGAGGAAGCCGTGACCGCAGGAAGGGGCGAAAGAGTAATGGTAGTGATGTGGATCTCACTAGTAGAGTCATTCATAAGGCCCCTGGCGACTGTGCTGAGAGGAGGAGGAGGGCCGACCGTCACAGTGGTTATACCAGCAACAATGGTAGCACGAGTGATATGAGATGGATCATCACTTTTGGGTCGGTAGAAGACAGATGTACCATCATTGGGGAGTTCTGTAGCCTCAAAGCCAGAAACACGGACAGAATGGGTGAAGACAGGGTTCGCGGTGTTTGGAATGTTTCCGGTAGGGGCCAATTCACTCGACTGTCTAACCTGGAGAGTGTCGATGGATGCCATGGATGCAGCAACAGAGGAGGGGTCTTGCTGAAGGATGGTCACAGTGCCAGGTGTATCGGTGACAGTGACAGTGATGGTGCTGTAGATGGTAAAGGCTTCACATGTTGTCTCAGGCCTGATTCAGTGTCAGTCTCCTTGGAATAATTCCGCAGTCGAATGTGTTTTGAGGTGTAGGGAATGGGTTCAGGGAGACTTACGGCGGGACGCCTTGTCTTCTGAAGGGTAAAATTCCAGCCTGAGCCAAGCTGAAGATTGCCCCAAGCAGGAGAGCGTAGTTGTTTGGCTTCATGGCTGAAGAGAATATCTGATCTCTGTCAGCTCAGAAGCTTGATGTTCTGGCCCTGACGCTGTCAAGCAATAGCAGAGAGAGTTATGACACCGCGTGGCCCAGGAGGCAAGGAACGGAGCAGACAAAGAAGTGTCCTAGACCCCAGCAGCGTGGAAAGAACGAGAGAACACAGTAAGAAAGGGAAGGTAGGTAGGAAGGAGATGAGACTCCTGAATGAGTGAGTGAACTGAAATGAACGTGGGAAGGGAGCCTCTTGAAAGAAGGAAAAGAAGCGGTGTGTCTTTGAGAGGAAGACCGTCAAAGACGACTCCGCAAGCAAAGAGAAAGAAATGGTTGAGGAACAAGTGAGGAAGGAAGGAGCCCCAGCAGAAGGCGAAGAATAGCAGAATCGCGCCTGTCGCGTGAACAAAAATCCTGAGGTGAGGCAGAACGCGGTCTGGAAGGGAAGGCACTTGAATTGCGCGTCTCGCGTCCACCTTCATCATTCACATCTCTGTTGGAACTAGATCTGGATCATCATCTGGCAGTGCTGACTCAAGGCTACTTACATGTGGTATACTCTCCGTCTAAGAAGTTGCGTGCAACATGGTTCAAGATGACCAAGTAAGTCATGGCTGTCAAACTCGATCTCACAAGATCCTCCGAGTAGACTGAACGAGCTATTCCAGCATGCCTTTCGCTAGAAGAACTTCCTAGAAGTCGAACAACTCATATGAAATTGGCCGTCAGAGGTTCCGGTCGACATGAGAATGTTTGCAGGTTATCTCTGTGACTGGTGGACCATAGTATCAAATGTATGAGGGTTTCTTTTCATATCTAGCTCAGCCCTCAAATGCGATCTGGAATCTTTCTGTAACAAGGCTTGTTGCTGCTAGAGATGCTGTAGCACAGAAGAGCCCAGCTGCGCATCTCGTGTCACTTATAGCCCAATCAAGGCCAAGTTGCCGGTTGTGACGCGACTTTCCATCGGATAGAATCATGTTTGAAATAATAGTTGCGTTCGAGGCTGGAAGATGTTCTCCCACAAACATCAGCAGTCAACAACAAGACAGATTGTGGGCTAAATAGAGATCTGGAGATGTACATGGGCAGCCTCCAGTCACGTGAGTGATTCACACTACAGTCGATACTGGTCTATTGTCAGCATAACGATACAGAGAAAAAACCTGGAGAGACAATCCCAGACAGGTACCGCAAGCTTTCCAACTTGACTCGAGACATGTGTCGCGGCCTCGAAAGGTGAAAAGTTCCAGCATCGGTGGCGCGACACATAACCACGAACAAGACCACGGGACTGGGTGGAGTGTTGTTTGATGTGGAAGCACACGCGGACAGATTCAAGACCTAAGCATAATCTGATTGAGATTCGGCTACTCACAGTCTGAATTCGTCAAATCACCGATATCCGGACCAGCCACTTTCATATTATAGGACTAGGTGGTTGAAGCTCTTACTGCTGCTTCAAGATCGACTCTCGCCTGGACTGTTAGGATTGGTTATTATGTGGATAGTCCGGGTCGCTTGTGGCGGACCTTTCGCTTGTATGCTGCGTGGGGCCGAGCTGGTGTCGAAAGGTAACAAGCAGAAAGGGTAATTGTGCTAAGCCAAAGGCTAATGTTGAAGATCCAGACAAAAACCAGATGGATATGCGTGCAAGATTCATGGTGGTCATATTAGGCTAGCTGGGTATAATTGAGTCAGCTGGAACATATCCCCATACGACCGTCCTCACACCACGTCGAGAGGCAAAAGGACTTGCTGCAAATCCGTACACAAGAGAGAGTCTTCCGATCCGGTAGCAAATCGCAAAATAGTTAACGAGTGATGTCAAGAAGCCAGGCGAGGTCATCGCCACTCCGCCAACCCTTTACTCTTCACTGTGCGGAGCGAACAGTCGAAACAAGATTGATCGATAAGTTGGAGATTCCGCGCAATGCCATACCCAAAGTGAGGTTCTCTCAAACTCCCGCTTGCACAAATCCAGAATACCTGTTGTTGCTGCCAAAAATACGAAGCCATGAAACTTCAGAGCCAAAAACACACAGCCGAATCGAAATTGGTAAAAAGAGTCGTCATGGGTATCTCTCAAATGTGGGCCGTCAAGTGTCAAACCTCAAAAGGGCTGCCCGGTAGAATAGTGTACCTCCATATTTCTCGTAATCGTCGTCATATTCTCTTGGGCATCACAGATCATCAATATGAGACCAAAGGCGTTCATCAAGAGCCTGTGGATTGTCGGTAGCCGACGTGTCATCTGGTCATTTCACCGCTCGTGGCAACAGCGACGAGCGCGTCGAGACGATTCATCTCACCACCGTGGGCGCCACGACTACCAAAGGAAGAATTGCGCTGGTGGCGTGCCGAGTCCATGTAGGCCGGTGGAGCAAGGCATGCCTGATCAAAAGTCAATCCTCATCCGTCATTGTATGGCTTCATAACCTAACTTACGGTTTGTTGCGCATCCGTTTGCATTGCGGAATGCGGTGGTTCCATGTACCCATGGCTATTCATGATCATAGGGTGCACCTCGACTGCAGTCATGCCGGGAGTAGGAACTCCATCGCTACTGCTGGAATCCTCAGGCGATGTGCGAGCGGCCATCACGGGGCCATTGTACCACGCCGACCGCTTCGCATAGCGCCCCGAGCCCTGCGCGTCATGCCCATCCCTTGAACGGGGTGGGCCGTGAAACGGTATTGGGCCAAGCGTTTCATTCGGCCGTTGTTGCCCCTCAGTGTGTCGTGCACCGACATTTTGGAGTTCGTGAAGGGTCTGCTGGCCCCAACTGGCCGTTGGTGGGTTTCGGTCAACGTGGTCGTCTAATTCGGGATACTGACTTGGGCGTGGAATATCCCATGCCACGTGTCCTGGTCGGTGGTTGTAGTCAGAATACCTTGCCGTAGTGGGCGGTGCTGTGTCCGCTGGGTGCCCGTCCAGTTGCATCGGGCTTGGTTGTCGTCGTGGGGGAGTATACGGCCGATGCTGGACGTGGTCGAAACTTTCGATTCCAGGAAGTCGCGGAGCCTGCGCTGCAGCTGCAATGGCATGATGTGCGTGGGCGGGTTGAGGGGCATCGGGAGTTTGCGAGTAAGTCAAGCCGCTGGTAGCCGGTCTGCCGTAGTTGAGGTTGGTGGCAGGGTGGGTTGATGGGTGCCAAGTTCGTCTTCTCCAGTCGTCAGTTGAGGATACGCTGTGTCCATGTTGAAACGTAATTGAGCTGGATGGTTGGCTGGCAAACGAGGGTGCATTTGGAGGCGTGTGAGGGTCGGATGAGCCACCCGGGTTCATGTATGTCATGGGATATGCTGGTGGATAGGGGCTTTGAAATGGGTTGGGTCCTGAGGGCACAGAAAGTCGACGAGCTGGTGGTCTGGAAGAGTAGAAACTACCACGCCGGGAGTGAGACGATGGAGGGGATCCTATGGAGGACAGAAACCCAGGGCTTCCCGGCGTGGTAGAGAAATTGGCAGAAGTAGGGGTACTGAAGCCACTGCCATTACTGGCTTCGTACCCACGATACTGTGCTGGAGGGGTCTGTGGGGGTTCGAGAACGAGGCTGTTCCTGTTGGATTCACTGGCCATGAGAAGCGGTGGTGGCCTTCGTTTCGCTTCGGTAACGACACTATAGTTGGAAGAAGTAGACCCAATGCTGGAGGTCGAGAGGTTTCGACTGTGGCCTCGACTGTGGCCGCCGGTACTTCCAGCGGTCCCTGTGCGCGGCCGACCTGTTGGACGCACTCGATCAGTTCTGATCTGTCGCTGGAAACGTGTTCCAGTTGCGGCAAGGGAATCTGTGGGGATTTCCTCATTAACGTGAACCGTCTGAGCATGCTGGCGTAGGTTGTCGAGACGCGAAAACCTGCGGTTACAGTGACACTGAAACGGCCGTTCCCCAGTATGTTTTCTGATGTGACGAGCAAGATGCTCGCTACGTGTGAAGCTCAGATTGCAGGGTGGATAGCCTGAGCAAAAGAATCGTTGCCCCTTTTTCTTGCGAGAGGCCGAGTCCTCGGCCCCATCCTCCTCCTCATTGTCTGAATCATCTAAGTCCTCGTCGTCCAAATCCATGTCGGCGGCTGAGTTTCGGTCACCACCGCCAGAGCTAGGTCCTCTGCCATGTTGTATAGCAGGACCAGGACCATCTCGCTGAACAGGCAGGGTCGATGGCTGTGGCGGCTGGGAGGAAGTTGGAGATGGTCGGGGGTGTTGGATCGCAGTGTCGTTGATCGAGTCAAGATGAGATGAACTGAAGCGACCAGGTCGTGGCGTTGTTGGGGTATCCAGATCTTCAGCGTGTTCTTTTGGTGATAGATTGTCGCTCAACACCAGGGTTGAGATGGCAGCCATGGCGCAGGTAGTTGGAGGCTTACAAGAGGTGAGAAGCCGAAGTGATGCGGCTCAACGCCACGGAGGGGTTTAGCATCCGGAGAAGGAAGCGAGATCAGACGATTGAGATGGTTTGTTGAATTCCCTCAGGTCATTCAAAGGGAGATGGCAGGAGGATGAAAACCAAGGAAAGACTCTGGTGAAGCGGGCGCAAGGTGGCAACGGGCAGCGTCGGAGGGGTTGGACGCCGGCGATAAGGACAGGGATTTCGGCTGTAGTGGGTTGATGGGTACAGCGCAGGCTGGCTGGGATACTCGGAGGGGATGGAGGCGAGAGGAGGGGCGACAGAGGAGACTTAATGATGGTAGTGAATCAAGTCTTGATCAAACCATCAATGGTGACAAATGATAGGGAGGCGAAGGATGAGTATCAAATTACCCTTACAGAGTAGAGTAAAGGTATGTTTAGAAGAGTTAAGATGGTGGATGGTGGATGGCGGATGGGATGACGGATGGGATGACGGATGGTGGAAAGATGTTGTGCCTGTGTAGATCTTGGGACATCCAGACGCTGAAGTCACAGAAGGGTTGGCGCTGGATTTAGCGCCCAGGGCTGGAGATGGCGATGAGGCATGGATGCGAGGCAAGCCTAATCATAACCCCTGTAAACCCATGCAAGTGCCTGGAGTGTGGAGAATGCACAGCAATGACGAACAAAAAGGTGTTCCCGCGCCGAGCGGTGTGCACCAGCCAAAGGTAAAAACCCAGTCCCCAGTTGGTGCTTGTGGCAGGTCAGTGCTTGAAGATTATTAGTCCAAGGCTCTTTTAAGTCGAATACACCACCTAGGAGGATGATGAGTTCGATGCGAGATGTGAGGGAAACTGTGGTCACGGTACTCAGTCTAAGAATAAAAAGTTGATCTTAGTGGAAGTGGAGGTGGCGTTGGTGTTGGTTGTTGGCAATAGTGGTTGGAGTGTGTGAGTGGGAGTGGTGCTGATGATCATCAGCATCAGCATCAGCCCTTCATCATCGTCCAAGAATAATACAACGATGCGATCGTATCTTCATCAGTGTTTCTCCAGTCGAATGACACAGGCTGCATCGCAACGACAATCATCAAATATCTCTTCTCTTGCACGATCTTGAGTCTCTTCTGATTCCCATCGGTCAAGACCTTCAACCAACATGCGAACTGACCCAGATGAAGTGTCAAGCGTCAAGACACGCCGTCATTGCCGTCACCATCGAATGCATTATGCTTTTGTGCACTCTAGGAGTGGACAAACCAGCCTCAATTGAGGGGCAGGATTCTAAGGTGTGGGTGTGTAAAGGGCCAGGAGGGTTTAGATCCTTCCTGTTCCTTGCCACCTCGGATGTGCGCTAGTTACAATTTACGTGTGTAGATGGGGACCAAAGTGCTTGGAACGCCTGGAAGCGGAAACCCAGCGAGGCCTTAGGCGCTGTGGTTGGCTCCAGGCATTGCCTAAGGGAATGATTGGCGGCGCCATGCTGCGGGATGGAGCGTGGTCCAAGTGCTGCAAGAGGCTAATACGACACTCAAGGGACGAAGTCGTACCGCAAGCTCGACTGTCAATAGGCGAGTGATGGGCACCAGGGCAGCCGGGGGCATCCACCATCTGACCTTCTCGGATTCCAGAGGCTGAACAACCAAAGGCTAAGAGCCTCCGCCAACCGTCAAGCCGCACCCAGACCCTTGGTTGACGCAGTCGACTCGGGGCATCCTTGTGAAGGCACGAAGGACACGGGATCTTTGGTGTAGAAACTTGCCTTGGAGCCACCCACCACCATCTGGTTGTGCTGGTCTTTTGATTGTGCAGTGTGCAGTTTGTCTCTTATGTGTTGTGCTCCCACCCGTTGCCAGCTTATGTGTTGTCCATGGTTCCATGGTGTCATGATGCCCTCGAAACCCAATTTGTCCTTGGTCTGTGGGCAACTCTAGTCCATTATTAGTATTACCCTTGTCCGGGTGCCTGTGCTTAGGTGTCGCTCGTCCCCTCGTCCCCTCACTGAACCCTCTGCTGGGACCCGCGCCTGTATGATGCCACGTCTTAAACCATCTCTGCCGCAGTTTCCCCCATGACAAGGCTGTCCAGAGTTTCGTGGCCTTCATCACAAGACATCCACCATTATTAGACTCTCGGACGAGTTCGAGCTAAATGTCGTGACTCACGGATCCGGCATATCGAACATTGAACAATTGGCCAGTGGCATCTGGCAGCCAGCGCATGCGGGATGCCCCACCACTGGTTCGTATTCGCCATTGCCCGTGGGTTCTGGTGCCTAGAAGAAATCCCCCTCGCGGGCATCAAATTCATTTGCTGACCGTGGGTCGCGCACAGGCACCACCAGCCAGCGACTGATCTACTGTTCGGACTATCGGCTCAAAACCGTTAACACACCCAATCTGTTGCATGATCTGGTTGCGAAGTCTCAGGCACACCCGTCGTGGAGTACGCAATGGGCCTGATGTGCTCGTCAGCGCGCCCACTGCGGCCTAAGACGCGCACGCACGATCCCTTGACCTTCCCGATCCATCCCATCCCAGGCACAAGGAACACATGTCATGTCAGGTACTTTTCCATCATCTCACCAATGACCATCAGCTTGGATTTTAGTTGACCAGACACATCAGATGACCTGATGACACTTCCCACCTTGGTCATCCTCACCTGCATGATCCACGACCAACCGAAGGCCTCCGAAGCGATCGTTACCCCTACTCTTTTCGCCTTTTTCTGCTTTCCCCTCCCAGGGAGATCGACGACAATAACGCAAGGTCGGTTCTCATTATCATGCAACTAGCAATTCGCTATTATATTTCTCACATGTGCCCTACACGCTCATCCCGCCACTCCCTCTGATGGTGACAAATTGTCAAGGTAGGCAAGCAACAGCCTCGGGGCAATGGCTGGTATTTCAACATAACCTACATGACGCGGTGAGATAACAATGAAGTCTTTTACCTGCAAATAGAACACAATCTGGTCAAGATTGATAGGCAGAAGGGGCAATACCCTCGTGGATCAAAGGGAGGGCCGAGGCCCAGGCCTCGTGTAACCCTGAAGCTGTAGCCGCCTGGAAGTTCGCACCTGTCAACCGTTACCTTATTACTCTTTAGTGAAGTATCGGACACGTTAGGTACCTACCGGAGAGTTACAGTAGTGCGAAATCACTTGACCTCAGACCGTAGAGGGGCACGAGGGGTACTCAGGGTCCTAAGAGGGGTCGTGTCCTAGCCTAAAGTGCCTAACTTTAAGCCGCCCTGGAACGCCTGGATGCCCAGGTTTCAGCCTTGCCTCCCTTATCGAATGCCCGAGGATCAGCCGGGAGTCGCTCAAGGGGCCTTGCACGCCTTGGCATAACTCATGGTCACCACAGCCTCGTGAAGCAAGATATTCCTCAACCCTCGTGTCGCCAATTGAACGGAGAGATTCTGGGAGTGCACCACATGGAGTGGTTTTCTCCTCAGTTTCCTCAACATCTCCTATCCTTGTGTTTGCAAAAGAGGCAGAGCAAAATTCTGTCACACAGCGTTTTCCCAGCCTCGCTGCGATGATCACACCCTAGACCACGACTCTTTCGCAAAACGAAAGATAGGTACTCAATCATTGTTTTTCATCTGTGAAGGAGATCGTATTATAAAGCAGTCATGGCAGCTGCGGCATCTGGCCCTGCCACCTCTTCTTACATCAACTTCGAAACCCTGACGTCTGACGACTTTTCACCATATACACACGCCAACTCTCTTGTCTTGGCCTCAAACAACCCATCAGACCCCAACATTGACCTGACCACACCCCTTTCACGTGTTCTCTTTGATTTACAAGAGATCGACTCACACATCCATACTCTGACCTCCCGATCAGCCCTTGACATCTTAAAGTATACCTCGACCCAGAACGAGGCGGCCCAAAGAATTCTATCTCGAGTCGAAGATGAAAGGAAACGACTCGTCGTGAGTTACGAACGCCTGGAAAAGGAAATCTTCTTGCGCCATCAACGTGCTCTCGAAGCCAAGACGAGTGCTCAACGGAGCTGGGAGGTACTACGCCTGGGCCGTGGGGTTCAGAGGATCCTTGGTCTCGCACGACAGCTGGAAACTCTACTGGCAGAATCAGGTCTGGGCGGTCCGAGGTATGGCAAGGAAGACTATAATGCTCTTTTGACAGCTTCTCTCTCTGTCCTCGCGTTCCGAGACACCATGAATGCGCCCGAGGGTAATGATCTTGGACGCATCACAATGGTCAAGACCTTACGGGGTCGTGGCTTCGAAGATGGTGAAGCTCGGATCCTCGACTATGCGAGGAGGGTGGTTCGCGAATTCTCCATGACCACGTTGTCATCTTCAACGACCAACACCACATCTGGTCACGGTCCGACATACCGCGAAGCAGAAGATAGTCGTGCCCGGTTCACGGCTGCAGTGCAGATGCTCTACTATCTCTCACCTGCTCCAAGGATCGAGGGTGACAAGATGAACAAAAAGGACTTCGAGCCTGACTATTTTCTGAGGGCGTCGCAAGGTTATCTACAAAGTGCCATCACTTCGAGCTCGGCTGCGATTGGTCGGGCATTAGGACAACTACCAACACCATCACTCGATCGTGCTCTTTTGGAAGCTAGCGCCAGATGTCAAAACATTGTTGCATTGGAAGTGCTATTGGGAGGGATCCCTGCTCCTGTCCACCCGTTATTGAAATCAGAGCCGACCGAGGTTAACATCGACCGTTTAAAGATTGGTGATGAGGAGGACGAAGACGACTCTAGCGACGTAGCTGAAAAGCCACCGCCAGAGTCGTTGTTGTCGATCCTTCTCACGGCACTCGACACCTCATCTCTGCCGTCTTATTTCTGGCGCTCTCTCGCATCGTCACTCTCGACCAGGGTGTCGGAGATTCTCACTCGTGGTGGGCTGGCAGCTCGCACCCTCAAGAGTCAGAAGGACACTGTCCGGGCAGAGATTCGAGATTGCGTCCTGCGAGGCTCTAGACTACCCAAAAGTGTCGTTCTGGTGGATGGTAGAAAAGCCGAGGAACAGGTACTAGGGAATTGGGAACGAGAGGCCGCTGTTATGGCCGGCAGTGTTGTCGGTTTGCTCGGAAGGTAATGCAGATGCAAGACATGTGAGCGAAGATGATATTATTGGTAGTTGTCAATAGCTTTGATGAAGCCTGACAATTGAAATCTCGGAATCCCTCGCTATGCAACCATTCTTGTCCAGTCGTACATTTCCAACTGTTTACTACTATACAAAGCCATTGAACTGCGTCGGCGAACTTTCCATCTGGTTGTGAGTCCGGATGACCGGCCGATATAAAACTGGCGAGTGTCTTTCCCTGGGGATCTTGTGGAATGCTGATTGGTCTTTTGGCACAGTATATTGGTCGATAACACCTCTATCGTCCATCGAACGACCATTAAAACCACGCTCCTCGAGCTTTTCTCTCCGCCTTCAACTTGGCCACCACCGCATCATCTTCTGCCTTGATCTTCGCTATCGTCATATCGCGATTATATTCCATGACTCTTTTCTCCTTGAAGTATTTGATCTAGTACAGTCACTGTTAGACTCCAATGCGTCCTTTTCTCCAAGGCTAGGATGGTAGCCAGTTTCCACTCACCCATGTCTTTGCACAGTCTCGCTCGAATTCGGCGTACTCTGTCGGGCATACTTTGCGCGCCTTTTCGTCTTCCTTGACGGCACTCAGGATATCATTCTTGTCCAGACACTCAAAGAAGAGATCTCTTGATTCGTAGCAAAGATCTCGAGCGTTGCGGTCGGGGGCTACATAGCCACCGTCGGAAGACTTCTTCCGCACTGGTTCTGGTTGTGCAGGCGCTGAACCACCTAGCCATGTCGGTAGCCAGCCCATATTTCTTTTATAGAGAGGAGGAGGGGTAGGTTCGGAGGGAATGCGAGAATGTCGCTTCAACGGTGGGTTGCGGAGTTCAGAGCCCTCGACGTGTACAAGGCTTTTTGATCAACCCGAGTGTGCTGTTAAATCACAAGTACCAGTCAAAGCAGGTTCACCTGGTGCCTATCCGTGTTTTGGTGGGCTCAAAAATGATCATTCATTCTTCCATGAACTCGGAATCATTGACATCCAATGTGAAGATGTGCTGCCGTCATGCCCGTAATTTTTCCCAATGCGGAAGTGGCGGCGCCTCTGAAACACGTGATATGACTTCCGCCAGCCTCGACATCCTCATGTCGATTATTGTCACCAGGGTGTCATCTCCTCTCTTTCTTTCATCCCTCATATAATTTGCCGTCCCCCTCGCTATCCGTCTCTCAACAAAGTCAAAGGTACGACGAGGACGTTCTAAAAAGCCTGACTTTCCCCGAGATCACCTCCCTCCCGTACGGCGAATGCCACCCCGTCGACGCAAACCACCTCGCGCAGGCGCACTTACCGAACTACCTCCTTTGAAGATCGTCCGCTCCATTGTGTTACTCCAGGCGTTCTACTACTTACTCGCCTTAATATTAATACTCTTCACAACCCTGGTCCTGGGCCAAAAGTTCTCCATTGGTCTGATCTTTGACTGGAGAAGTGTCCGCGGCGACAATACCATCGGCTGGACCGTTGGTGTTCTCTGGGTTTTGGTCGGTTTCATCACGTAAGAGACCCATCTATGCTGTTTGATAGACTGATGCCATGAGCTGGCACTTGCAAAGTATATGGACTGACAATATATCTAAATTGCAGTGTTATCCCAATCCTACTCCTCGTCTCCCGATCCAAACTCGTTCCCGATTTCGCCTTGACCATCCACTTTCTTCATTTACTCATTACCTCCCTCTACACTCACTCCATTCCCTCGAATCTTCTCTGGTGGGGTCTCGAGGCACTCAGCGCATTTCTCATGGTTAGCTTGGGCGTCTGGGCTTGTCGATATCGTGAGATGCAGCCCATATCATTTGGTGCTCCTGGACCGAAGACAGCAAAGGCCACGGACACACCAAATGGGTCCGCGGACCCAGAAGGTTACGTCCGTGGCGGTCAGGGATCTGGAAGAAATCTGGATTCTGGGCCGAGTTATGAAATGGTCAATGTTACCAGGGGTGACGACAACGTATGAACCTCATGCAAGCGAAGTCCCTAAAATTGCCCCTACAGTCATTGTGATACTACATTTCGGCCTGTCTTCATTATCAGCGATGTGAGAGATCCCGGATCAATGGGGCCACATCTGTTACCAGTACACGGGGCCTCCCAGCCCCATCACGCGGAGCAATTCCAGGCAGAGAAGATGAATCTGAAAAGGAAAACAGTCTCGCATTTGCGGCGCAAACAAAGAATGACGGCTCAGGATACTAGCACAGGTGCCCAGAAGAGCAGAAAGGTTACTTTTTATGACTCTTGGTCACCATTTCAGGTGCTCTCAACCTCGGATAAAATCTGTGGCAGTTCGAACATCTCATAACTATCCTGCACACTCCGCTCTTTTGGTTCCCAGCCCAGCTGTCTCAGCCTGACTGCACGACTTCTGCTGTTCAACCCAATGGTCGCTCCAGTATACTCTCTTCCGAAAAGATCATCATAGTCACTCTCCGGAATGGTCTTTGGCTCCGAACTCTCAACTTTTCCAGCTTTCGCGAGACCTTGTCCGATCATTGTTGCAATGGCCTTCCATGAGGTATCACATCCGTTTTCACAAAAATAATAAGGGTTGTCGAGAAACTCGTCGGGTGCACTGGCCTCCATATGGTGCAATAATACAATGTATGCTCTGGCCAGATCCAACACATGGATTTGTGATTCAACACTCAAGCCTGGGCCTACATGGCCAGCATAGCCGTGCTTCAGGGCAAACCGGGTCAACGTGGGGATCTGAATGGACAGTCGGCGATGGACTGGATTGAATCCATATATGAGTGGTGGGATCATGATAGCGATCTTCGCTTTGTCACCTATTTCCCTCTGGGCTCGCACAATGGTCAAATCGATAGGACGATGCGGCGCGTCATCTGCAACGGAATCGACCTCGGCGCGATTATCGTCGTGGTAGATCTTGTCGGACTCGAAAGCGCCATTGGAGTCATCGTTCAACACGCCAGTGCCTGAAGTGTGAATGAATATTGTCGACTTGCCTTGGCCAGCTCGTTCGCGAATTCCATCGAGAACAGCTTCGACACTGGGGAGATGGTCGGCTGTTGCGGTATGGAAGATGATGTCATGTTGGAGAGTCTGGTTCTTGATGGTTGTTCGGTCATCAAGGTTCGAAACAACAAAGGTTGCGCCAGAGAGTTGGATCTGTTGACCATGGGCCACTCGTCGAACCAAGCCTGTTACCTTGTAATTCTCGGATATCAGACGGTCCAGGACATTCCAGCCAATAAAACCTGGCCCAATGATCAAGACTGATTTTCCTGACGACATGGCAGTATCATCCGAGCACTGAGTTACAGGATCCTTCTGAACGGTCACTAATGGGTTTACTCTGGTTGGGAAGCGCTTCTTTTGACCGTGAAGGTATAAGGCGCGCGACAATATTTGAATAGATCAACAGATGACAAATCCATGACGTCAAATTTGGAGATAGAAGATGGGTTTTATAAGCCAGAGCCTACTTGATCATATCTACTACTTAATGATATCCAGCATCTAGGCCCATGTGTATACTCTTCTATGTCTGTACGGCCTTAGGATGTATTTCTAGATAAGTAGGAGCTGGAGAGTTTGGACTTCAACTGACAAGAGGGGGACATTTCGGGTGATCTGATGTAATCCCACTCGTTCATACCAATCTTCCTATGAAAATCAAATCACAAGTGATCAACCAGGCCTTATCTCGTCCATGGTAATCTTCTTGCCCCCTTCATACCGTAGATCTGTACCGTGAACCGATGCCATTTCCATTTTCCAGTTTCCATTTCCGCATACTAGTTTGGATACACATGGCAATTACAGGTAATTTAATCGTATGATCGACAGGCCACAGTCAGTAGGAGAATTCATGCCAGCCACTTACAATCCAGTTCATTAGACCGCAGCAGAGTTCCGTCAACCCCATTCAACCAATCATTCCCAGCCAACTGTCCGGAAAAACAAAATGGCCATGAATTTGATCAGGTGGTGGCAAAGACGAAACACAGTATCCAGGATCCGCCCAGTCAACCAGTCAGGCTGTCAGGAATCGACCTCAAGCGTCACAGCGTCTACCATCTACATTTCCGTCCATGTGTCCATCCATTTTATTGGACCTGACACACTAGATCGAAATCACTAAATCGACCTTGATGTGGTGTTAGCAGATGTATCAGTCTTCCTTTCCACCACCTCAGTCCACCTTTTCCCGCTCCAATCACCTGGTTCAGTGACTTGAAATGCCCATCTTTGGTTGTATACCTGTCCAAATACGGAAATATTGTGTTGACTTCGTGACACGCCTGGGAAGCCTTTTTCCGGGAATGAGAGGGGGGGTTTGTCGATGGTTTCTCAAATAGATAATACCTAGTCTCTTGGATTTTCCTGGTGGGGTTGTGCATACATACCAACCAGCAAAGGAAAACTCGTTGGTATTGGCGGTGGTGTTTCCTACCTCTGCCATTACGAGTACCTATGTATGTATGTACTACGACTACTTGCCCTTCTGATCGACTTCGGATGATGTGACCAACACGGCCAACAGAGGCGCTCATTTCTTGGCCTCAGCGGAGTTGTTTAGCCTCGTTTTCCAGAATCGGATGTTCAACGCTTCACTGGGGGATTCATGTCCATCCATAGAAGGGAGAACACGTTACAGCTTACAGCTTACATTCATCGCTCATAGTTCACCGCCATAGGCCTTGAGACCAAGATCTTTGGTGGATCGTGTTGCCCAACTATTTTGTTACACAATGGTATTCTACAGGTTTAATACCCCCTCCTGTTAGCAATCATAAGTGAGGTTGACTATCAGGCCCAACCTCTGCTTGAATTCAATGTTCTTAGCCCATGTTCCGTATGGCCTTTCATCAATAGCCGTAGACTGATCGACACTGTACAGCGCCATGCAGAAAAGCTGACTTCTTGTAAACCTCCACCTCCTCCAACTGCCAACTTATTGAGATGTCCTCATCCTCAGAATGGAATGTTGCTCTCTGGCAACAACGCTGGCTTGTCGCCCCAGGAGGGGTTTGCAGCTGATGCATGTCAGGCGGCCTTCTGCAAGGACGATCTGACACAATTCCTGGCAATCGTTTTCCAACCCAATCGTTAATCTCGTGTCATCACATTGTTGATGTCAAAGCACGCGAGGGAACCGGACTTTATTTTCTCACTCTCCTCGCGTGCCTGACTAGATTTTCAATCACTCCTTCAAATGCCTCTTTCTCTTTTCGCAGGCCGTCTCTCTTCTTGAGCCAATATTCAAGTGTGTCCGAAGTCTTTTCGGAAGTCGCTTGCAATTCCTTCACATGGGCTTGTAGTTCCTCCTCTGTAAAACCTTCTAGCTTCTCATCGGTTGTGGCACATAACCTTTTGACTGCTACAAGGTCTAGATCTGGAGGTGCCGGGGGGCCCTTGGGTCGCTTCGATCTTCCGGCACGGTCCTTGGTGGCGGATTGTGTACTATCCACAGAGCCTGTTGAATCATTTGCAGCCTCAGCCTTCAATCTGGCTACAGATCCCAAAGCTTTGTCTGACTCAGACTTCCGAGAAGGTTCGAGGTTGATGTCAGGAAGGACTAACTTCTTCTGTTTCGAAGGAGGAAGGATTTCGTCCAGGTCAACAGGGACACCTAGACTGACCAGGAACAGTCGTCGAATACGAGATTGAGTCCAGTTTGGTGGTTGCAGAGGTGGTGGTGTTATGAGTTGTTTCCATAGGGAACGTGATCTGTCTGACGGAAATATTGGGGAAGAATCAGGGATTGGTTCTGGAGGTGAGAGAGAAGACAAATGATGAGTTGTTGACGACGGAAACATGGCGTCGAAGTGTGTCTGGGTGGCGGCGGGAAGATCTGGAGCTGAGGATAAAGTCTCGACATCTATCAGGGGCTGACACGAGACCATCAGCACGACGGGGGAGAACACGAACGACATCAAGACTTACAAATGTTTTAGTCGGTATTGAATTGGAGTGTGAAGTAGATACAGGCGGTGAGATGTGGAGATCATCATCAGCAGTTTCAGCTTCAGTATCAGGTTTCTGGAACTCTTGACCGAAGTCGCCAAAGTCATCATCAGCCCCCGCTTGTGCACCTTCTTCAAAGTCATCAAAATCGTCGCCAAAGTCATTTCCATCGTTGTCGTCGTCATCGTCTTGTCTGTCTTGACTTGTATCATGAGAATTGTGGACTGAAGATTTCCGTCTTGTATGTTTAGGTGATGAGGTGGATGTAGATGTCGCTGGATCACGTCAATGATCCGCCTAGTGCTTCTTTACGCAGATGGTTTACCTGGTTCAATTGGAGGCTCTCGAATGTCTGGTGAGGCGTCCAACGCTCTTTTCTGATGAGGTGCCGTGCCGAAGACATCCCCATGAGTGGGCGCACCGTCTACTGGAGTGATGATGGTCTCTGGGATGGAAAAGTTGGAAGATGAGCGGTGATGCACGTGTGCATCGTTGCCATCCCCATAGAGCAGGCGTTTTCCAGGCTGAGGGCTTTTCAAGACAACATCTGGCGCAGCATCCATTTGTCTTTGAATGTATGCCGCGGTACCTGGCTCTTCACCGTAGCTGGTCTCTTCGGGGTCGATCTTTTCCACCACAGTGAGGGGAATGACACTGCCACCGGGGGTGGTAGGAGGTTCAAGGTATTGGGATGACCGCTTGCTCAGGTGATGGGGTGAGACAATTTCAACCTCATCGGGTACAGCATCTTGAGCTCTTTTGTCGTAGGCTGGAGTTCCTGGGACCTCGCCATAGCTGGGTTCATCATCAAGCTTTTCTATTCGGGTTCTTGGGATAGGAGAGGCTGGTGTTGCAGGTCTCGATCTTCTTCGGCCTTCCGAGGCGTCTGAGAAATATTCCTCGCCATCAGAGGAGACTGTTACCAAGGTCAGCCAAGACTGAAGGTGTCAGTGTAGGACCTAGCCTTACGTTCATGGGCACCGGGGTCTTCAAGCTCAACGCTTTTCCTGGGAATTTCTAGATGAGGAGAGCGAGATCTGGACATGTTGGCTCAACGAGGGATACAGACAGGGTCCAGTCATGAAAGTTCGGGATGGTGAGAAACCATCAGAAGGACAAAAGTCAAGACGGACTATTGTCAGTAACATAGGGAGGCGCAGTCAGTGTGAAAGAATGCCAGGCATGGTGGCACCAATCGTAGGACAAGGCAATTGGATCAAGAGAGGTGGTTCGTATAGACTCATGCAGTGTTACCCTTTTGTATGTGTACCGTATTGTTACGCCTCGCTCCTTCCAGACCGTCCGCCCTTCCTCCTTCCTCGTCGGCTTGCCTACCATTTTGGGCCACATTGGCTCCTTGGACCGCGCCTGCCTCGTTATGTGAAATATTGGAGCGCGTCTGGTTTTGCTAATTGACAATCACTACATACAGAGTCTCTTGAAACTTACAACTGACATTTCGGCCCTTCATCAAGATCGCTCACTTTCCTACGTCTGTACCTCACCTATCCGAGCCTTTACGGTCATTGTCCTCTTGCCAGTGCCGCCATCTTGCGCCCTGTCCTCACAATTGGAACATCACCCTTCCTTGAGACTCCGAGTATTCGCTTGCTCATTGCTCTCATCCTTTCCATCTCCTCTAATGCCATTTCCATAATCTCACTTACGGAAACCTTTTCTTCTGCGTAGCTCGCAGCCGCTCTCTGAACCTGCCAATATGTCTGGTTTCAACTTCGGCACCCCATCAACGAGCGGCGCTGCTGGTCAGAGTCTGTTCGGGTCCACAAGCAAGAACACAAACCCTGGAGGTGGCCTTTTTGGAAGCAATGCGGGCACGCCTGCCCCGGGTACCACAGGAAGCACTGGTTTCTCCTTCTCCGGCTTTGGTAAACCTGCCGCAACTGGAACTGAGAACAAACCTGCGCAAAGCTTGTTTGGCGCTCCTGCGCCGGCCTCGACAAGTACGCCTACCTTTTCGTTCGGGCCCAAGGCCGATGAGAAGCAGTCCAATGAGGCACCAAAATCACTCTTCGGAAATGTAGGCACTCCCGACAAATCCTCAGCGCCAGCAAGCTCTGGTCCCTCTTTATTTGGCTCAACCACCCCTGCATCTACTACTGGTGGTGGCCTCTTCGGTGGTCTACAGAACCCTTCCACAACACCGGCAGGCCCTCCACCTGCTGCTACATCTTTTGGAGCAAGTACTGGCGGAGGCGGAGGCGGAGGTCTTTTTGGTGCGAAGCCGGCATCCGAGGCTGCTCAGAAACCAACCATTAGCTTTGGCAAGCCCGCAGAGTCAACTGCTCCGGCGTCGACTTCGTCCCAACCAAGTCTGTTCGGTTCACAGGCTCCAGCTCCGGCAAGTGGTGGTTTCAGCTTTGCTTCTACAAAACCAGCAGATAAAGCTGCCGACAAGCCTTCTAACACGGCCCCTGCCCAATCGCCCTTCAGCTTTGGTCAACCCGCTTCGAGTACTGCAACAACTGGCACTGCGACGTCGGCTGCCCCTTCTCAGCCATCAACTTCGTCAGCACCTTCGCTTTTCGGTGCGCCTCAGCCCACACAAAGTGCCGGCGGTCTGTTCGCGAAGCCTGCGGCACCCGCACCTCCGGCGGCAAATACTGCCAGCTCTCCTTTCACACTAGGTGGATCATCTCAGCCATCATCCTCTACTCCAAATCCTGCTCAAAACGACAAACCAAAACCCTCGGGTTCAGGCTTCAATCTAGGCGGTGCAACGCCTTCATCGACAGCCACCACCTCTGCTGCTTCAGCTGCTGCTCCAGCAACGACTTCTGCCGCTCCCTTCAACTTCCTCAAACCAACGACATCAGCAGCTCCCGCATCGTCTGGCGGATTCAGTTTTCCGTCTCAGCCAACGGCGACTACGCCTGCCACGCAGCCTGCGACATCGACCGCCACAACTACAAGCGGTTTCTCCTTCGGACCATCTGCAACTCCTGCCCAACAGACTACAACAACGTCGGCGTCGAATTTGGGGGGCTTATTTGCGCCAAAAACTACAACTCCGAGCTCCCAGCCGGCTTCCGCTGCTCCGACTGCAAATACCACCTCGCCATTTGCGGTGTCAGGTGTAGGAGGGGCTCAAACATCGACTGCAGGACCACCACCACCTGCCCAATCCCGCCTACGGAACAAGACCATGGACGAGATCCTGACTCGATGGGCAACAGATATGACGAGATATTCCAAAGAGTTCAAGGAGCACGCCGAGACTATCGCACGCTGGGATCAATTGATCGTGGACAATTCATCAAAGATTGACAAATTATATGTCAAGACACGAACCTGTGAGAGACAAACTATGAGCGTTGATATGCAGCTTGCTGCTGTGGAGAACCAGCAAACGGAACTCGAAAGCTGGCTTTCGAAATACGAAGGCGAGGTTGACGAGATGCTTGCAAAAGACAACGTCAACTCCAGCGAGATGGGTGGTCCGGATCAGGAGAGAGAAAGGACCTACAAACTTGCGGAACGCTTGAGCGAACGCCTCGAAGAGATGGAACGCGATTTGGGCAGCATGGTCGAAGACGTCAACGCGGCCAATGCTAGTTTGAGCAAGAACGGGAAAGCCGATGAACCCGTAAGATTTTGCGCGTCTCCCTTTACATTCATTGCTAATCGTTCACAGATTACCCAAATCGTCAAGATTTTGAACTCACACTTGCTTCAATTACAAGCGATTGACCAAGGTAGCGTTGCTCTACAGGAGAAAATTGCCGCGGCACAGAAGTCAGCGAACGGTCTGGGCTATCTCAATGGATCAGCCAATGGAGCTGGTGGATCGACCGTTCAGGACTTTTACCGCAGCTACATGGGAAGGAGGTGATCTTTTGCGAATCAGGGTGAGATCACCAGAAGCAACGGGATAATGAGTTTGTAAAAGTAAACGGGCGGCCATGGTTGACCAGCAGATATCAGTCAATGGTGTGTTTCAAGACATTTTGTATAAAGATCAAGCGACTAGCTAAGACTAGTCGATGTACCCAAGCATGATGAGCGGAGAACGCAATTGGCATTGCAGGTTGATCCTGATTTGTACAAGCGTTATATTTGTGGGCGGTAGGCTGCTACGCACTCAGCCCCATTCCTCATAGACCTGTGTAAAGCAATCTCATGACGTTGATTCGGAGGCAGCCAGTGGACAATGGTTGCCACCATCGAAACAAGTACGTCGACTCAAATGTTGATCATCCTGGCCTACTGTTCACCGCCTTTGGACGACTCCAGCTCATCCAAATGCGCCTCGAGGTCCTTCAGGTGCTTATGTTGTGCCTTGAGCTTTTCTCGGATCTTCTTGATGCTGTTGGAGGGAAAATGTCAGCCTAGAAACAACAAGACATAGTGGGACGGAGGTGTTTTGTACCTTTCCATCTCTTTCTCTCGGATGTATTTGGCTTCGCTGGCCTGCTCGCGGCGGGTGAAGGCATCGCTGAAGGGAGGACAGTCAGCGAAGGAGTCATTAGGGTATGTATCGTCACGGAAGCTGTACGGACCTAGAGGCAACACCCCCGGATCTCGGAGCACCAGTATCGCCTTCAGCAGCACGGTATACTGAGGCAGAAAATGCTCTCCGTGTCGAAGGAGTAGCTCTGGCGAGCTTGACAACTTGTGTTCGTAGCATGGCTGTGGATTGGGTAGTAGGAGTGATCGATCTGTAGTGTAGGAAATGAGATGAACAAGTGGAGGTTGAGTGAGGTTAATGATGTGATGTTGGAGACAAACAACTTTGGGAAGCTTGCCCTCGAATTGACCAAAATCACGTGATAGCACGTGACTAGAGGGGCATTATCTTCTGGGAGAGAAGGTGGGGAAGTCTGGCTGGGCTTCAGTGTCGTGAGTGTCTATCTGTCCTTCATCTGGTCAAAGTGCATCCGTGGCATGTGTACTGTTTGTCACGCCGTGATAAATCTCATTCGCTGTGGCATTACTCAATTGATTACCCGGGAAGTACCCTACATGTCTTGTCCTAGGGAATTAAAGAGAGTAACGTGACTCAAAGGATTATACGTTGAGTCGAAATTTACGCAAGTCTACGGAGTAGATGGAATATGTATGTAGATGCAAATGTGAAACAAATGAGGCTGAGTCAGTAATCTAGCCCTAGCTATCGAATACCCGTCTCAAGTTTCAGAGTCATCATTCTGGTATCAACTGGCACTGGATGGCAGATTGTCATTGCTTGTTGTGGATTGACGGAAGGAGATGACGCTTGACCTTATCGGGACGACGTAGCCAAGGTTGCACTCACAGCGGGTTGTGACTGCCCCGTTGGTTGGCAGCCACCAACTCAGCCCAGGCGTGAAGACAGGAAGCCCTGGGCTACCGCATGGCCCATGGTCATTCCTGCTCTTCCCCCTCTAAAGTCCCTTTCTCCCACACTCCCACTCACTCGGCTCTCCCACCTGCACCTTGTTGCGTACCTTCCCAAGTGCCCACTCCACCATTCACACTGCCTCTTGCCGCGTTCTTTTTACACTGGCAACTTGAATCTCTTCCTTTTCCCTCAATCCTCAATCCAATCACTTTGGTCACCACACCAAACTCTCCTTCATCAACATCCAGCCTCTCTCAATCAGAGATCCTCTACCCTTTGCGAGTTTCCTCAACACTCGCACCGATCCCAACGGTAAGCTCCTTGTCCCCTCAAAACCCGTCCTTCAACACAAGGGGCCACATCAACCCCACGTCCTCAGCTGCGATCCCTCAGCATCACACCGCGCAGCGCACGCACACAATCCATATGGCAACAGTCACAAGTTGACCTGGGGTTTTGGATCGATTGATCGCGTGAGCTGTCTCGTTGTCTCCAGTAATCCTCAATCACCAGCTCTCATTCTATCGTTCCCAACACAATAACTCAAGGTTTCCGTCAATCCCACCTGCGATCTATCAAATCACTCTTGCTCAAGTTGGACTCATTGCACGTTTCATCAAGCAAAACGATTGATCTTATGTTCAATCACGAATAATAGACACGGACGGTGATGATCTGAAATGCGTTGCTGCTCTCAATTCCACGCCGACGTCACAAATGTTTATCAAATTTGATGGACCCCTGGCTAACCATTCATCAACTAGATTTCCCTCCTTTCCATTTCCTAGCCAAAAACAAATCACAAAATGGGTGTCGAAGAGTCTGTCTACCTGGCAAAGCTTGCCGAGCAAGCTGAGCGGTATGAAGGTGAATAGCGCAGCAACCCCTGCCACAAGGTTGTGTGCTGATCATTATACACAGAAATGGTTGAGAACATGAAGGTTGTTGCTTCGGCAGACAAGGAACTTTCGGTGGAGGAACGAAATCTCCTCTCGGTTGCCTACAAGAACGTCATTGGTGCTCGCCGTGCCAGTTGGAGAATTGTGACATCCATCGAGCAAAAGGAAGAGTCCAAAGGCAATGAGGCCCAGGTCAAGCTCATCAAAGATTACCGTATCACCATCGAGAAGGAGCTCGGCAAGATCTGCGAAGACATCCTCGAGGTTCTCGACAAGCACCTGATTGCCTCTGCTGAAACCGGCGAATCCAAGGTTTTCTACCACAAGATGTAAGAGTTTCACTGTCCACGGTCCTTCCACACAAACTGATTCTTTCTTCCAGGAAAGGCGACTATCACCGATACCTTGCTGAGTTCGCTACTGCCGACAAGCGCAAGGAGTCGGCCGACAAGTCGTTGGAAGCCTATAAGGCCGCGACTGAAGTTGCTCAGACTGACCTCGCACCCACTCACCCCATCCGCCTTGGTCTCGCCCTGAACTTCTCTGTCTTCTACTACGAGATCCTCAACTCTCCCGACCAAGCGTGCCACCTGGCCAAGCAGGCTTTCGATGATGCCATTGCTGAGCTCGACACTCTCAGTGAAGAAAGCTACAAGGACTCGACATTGATCATGCAATTGTTGAGAGACAACTTGGTAAGTGATACTTGTACTGATGTTCAAGCCCGCGTACTGACATTGAGCAGACCCTATGGACTTCATCCGAGGCCGAACCCCAAGAGTCTGCGGGACAATCAAGCGAACAACCCAAGGAGACCGAAGGTGGCGCGGCACCAGAGTCCACGACTGAGAAGGCCGAGTAAAGTTTGGGGAGTATCTTTGAAGGCTTATTCATGATATCCCTGGCTGCGTAACATGGAGGTGGTGCAGTGTCTTTTTTTGAACAGCTGGGGCACATCCATGCATCCGACGATCTTTTCCTGCCCATAGTATCCCCGACAAACTCTCTGCCGGCAATAAAAGACGATGTCTGCTACGCTGTCGCGGTCGATATCAGATTCTACTCTTAGATAAAGAAATCAGAATAGCAATATCGTCCGATTCGCATTTCTGGTCCACAGAATGCTAACTATGAGAATTGCTTGATAAGCCGCTCCGAGCCTGGCTACGTGTTGGACTTTTCCTTTCTCTAGGTAAGGTAGTCAAGTTATACAATGTGTGCACCTCGTACTTTAGGACTTGGCTACCAGCATTTCGAGACTGGCCCTCAATTAAGTGAAATGAGTTAGCTACTGCCTCTCTCCATATCGACTGACAGCACTCCAGGTCTAAAATTTGACAATCTACCTTGAATGTAATGCCATCGTAGACGTGTGCAGGATCTACAACCAAATGGGAATTTAAATGATAATACTAGACAATCATGACTGTATATGAGTATGTGGTGGATGAGAGATCGATCGTTCCCAAAAGGGTTAAGCTCATGTCTGCATCAATGGCGGCATCTCGGGGCAGGAACGCGCAGGCCAGGCGCTTCTGTGCCTCGCAATCACTTCCTGACGACAAGCCAACAACTTCTTCGACCTACAACCTCTTGAGAGAACCTCTTGAAAACGATTGACCCACTCCTGTACAAACTTCGTCGTTTGGACGGTCTTTTGCCTTCGAACACTGCGGCGAGATTGCCATCACTTCTAATCCTCTTCCAAATCTCATCACCATCTGCTCGACTTAGGTTCGCGGCCACCTGCCCACGACTGCGGTAGTACCTGGGAGGCTCATCAACGCCTCTTTCATCTCGTCAAGTGCGACTCCCACCCCTTCCTTCTTCCTTAGACCCAAAGATGCCTTCAGCAACTAGCGGCCAGTCATCTTCACTGGATGCCATTCTCAACAGCCTTCAACAGTCCCTCAATCACGGCGATTCGAGCCATGCCCAGTCACAACTACAAAAGGCCAAACTGGCACTGTTGCAACAGAACGCCCTGATCCCTTCTTCCCAGACACCTATACAGACCCTTGCCACCGCCCGCTCGGTGTTAGAAGCCGGCGCCTTGCTCTCCATCCGCTCCAAAGACCCTGAATCCTTTGTCCGCTATTATTCTCAACTTCAACCCTTCTACGACTTCCCGGGGTTGCAGCAATCACCGCCACGAGATCGGTCCAAGATCACAGGCTTATATCTTCTGCTCCTGCTGAGCCAGAGTGACTATGCTGGGTTCCACACCTTGCTGGAATCGCTGATTGTGGCGGAAGGCGCAAATGGCTCTAGTTCCGTGGAGGAGGATCAATTCATCAAGTATCCTATCGAGTTGGAGCGAAGTCTTATGGAAGGTAGTTATGACCAGGTGTGGCGCAAAACCAATGGACGAGACGTGCCTGGAGAAGAGTTTGCCTTGTTCTCGACTGTAAGTTTGCTGCAGGTCTCTTCAATGCTTGTTACTAATGCCTGGCGCACACAGATCCTCATCAACACAATCCGTCTAGAGATTGCCAGCTGTGCTGCACGCTCTTATGCGTCTCTCCCTATTGCCTCGGCGAAAAATCTCCTGTTCCTCGACTCGGAAGGCGCCGTTTTGGAGTTTGCAAGCGAGCAAGGTTGGAGTATTGAGGAAGGTCGGATATATTTCCCCGGATTGGAAGACGCAAAGAAGGCCGAGCAAGGGGATCAAAAGGAGGTTATCAATCACATGGTGGAGTATGCGAGAGACCTTGAGATGATTGTGTAACCGTCATCTCTTCCTATTGAAAGCTGCGCCATGCATAGACCTGTACTCCTAGAATAGATGCAATTGAGATGATGTTCTGAGTCCCCAGGGGCTCGACATCCAGTTTGCTCAGGATCACGAGCTTACAGATCGACATCTTTGAGAAAGCGATCTATTCTTTGATTTTCTATTAGGCGAACTGCAGCTCTTGAGTCCACCCAGATGTCATGCATCCACAATTCTAAACATACTCTCGCCTCTAGACAAGACCAAGAAGGTCAGTTTCCATGCACTGTAGGCAAATATTGCAACTCCGTTCGTCACTGCAACCATTCCAACCCTTCATTTCCCTATTCTCACACCAGAAGCAGCCGCATTATGTTTCACGGTTGCTTTATACTCATCAACGAATTTCCAAGTACAGATCTTCATGTCGTAGAAACTCGTGCTGACCACAGTATACATGGGGGGAGATCCTTTGTGATGTTGTGTGTTCGCATCTAGCGTTGGACTGGCTTTGTCCTTTCCTTTGCCGTTGCTGTCTCTAGTTTCTGACTCTTGCCCTCGCAGAGGTTCACTGGGATTCGAACCCATGCCGCCCAGTTCTTGGTCGTCTACTTCAAGACTCGCGTCGCAGCAATACACCATACTTTCATGGCCCGCGCGAAACTTGGTCAATGGAGTCACTGTCCACGCGTCCTCTCCCGGCAAGGGGCGATGCGAGTATGTCAGGCGTAGAAGCATAGCGCCTGTGTGCATCAGCGATGCTAGGATCAGAGTGTGCTGCTTGACGTTGCCCAGGTCTGAATCTTGCCGCCCTGAATCATGGACGATTCCAATTTTTTGATCCTTGTCGATGAGATGCTCGTCGTTCGAGGCCCCGTGCAGGCTCAGTGTTGAGTATTGATCAAGCACCTTGAGACGCCAGACGCCACCTGAAAGGGATATCTCAGTCTTGAGAGTTGGGCGGAATGTAACGAGATCCAGCTCGAAGACTCGCAATATTTCATCGTAGCTGCCCGTCACTAGTGGGACGATTTCTTTGACAGTTTCTGGTCCACCTCGTGATGAGGTTGTGGTTCTGATTCGAGGTAAGGGGAGGATGGCTACCACGCCTGCGGTATGAGTCCGTCGTTCTTTCCAGAGCGGGCTGCTTGTGATGGTCTGGTCTTCGTCGAATTGAGAAGACGATAGGTTAGGTAGTGTCACTTGAGCGGCAAGCAACGCGCTGTCGTCGCCGCCGCTAAGGACCAGACATGTGGTGTTGTCGTGTGTGGAAGCCAGAGGGAAGGTGGATACGGTCCAAGCTTCGAGTTCGTGGTGCGAGACTTGCTCACGTTTGAAATGTACATCTGGAGGTTTAGTCGAGCTGACACGGTGGTCGTTGAGGTCTCTAATGGCTGGAATCTCGAGGCTGGCTATTTTGGTGTCGCCGAAGGATGTTGTGAATGCCAAACCCACCCTTTGGAAATCATTCAGATCTCTGATGCCGTGAGTGCTGAGGTCGGGTAACCAGGTGAATTGTGTGACCAGCGCTGACAGGCCATGCTGGTCGTCCTCGGCCACCTTGGCGATTCCTAAAGGGATGAGTCTAACCAAGACACGGCGCCCAAGGACATCGCCGTGTTTGATGAAGCGGAAGAAATGGATCTCGCCGATACTGGTGGCCGCACCAAGGAGAGAGGGGTCGGAAGGGTGGAAGTGGATGTCGACTATGGCGCAAGAAAAGTCGAGCTTGTCGAGAGAAGGGGGGAGCATGCCTGCATATTTGGGTTTGAAGATCGATGACACGGGAAGGATTTGCAGTGTCCCTTTGCGGGTTTGAGCTTCATAGTCGCGTGGTTCTGAGGTCTTGACCAACGAGTATGTGCCAATGACCATGTATTCGGGGTGGAGGGGCGAGATTTCCACAGTGTCGATCTCTTGTAAGGCTGTGCGTGTCACATAGTCTTGGGGCTCAGAAGGTTCCATCTTCGACAGAGGATGCCGATCGCGTGAATTCTGTTTTGTCGCAGAATAGCGGCTTTGGAGTATGAGTTTCAGGTTCTTTATCAGATCCGTAAGTGAGGGTTTGGAGATGGCCATTGTGGAGGGATGACATGTATTGTAGTATATGAACAAAGACTTACTCGATATAGTGGGATAGGACGAAGCCGTAGAATTGGTATGTTTTATGGTCTGGTAGTACTCGACACCTCGTGTCCTTCACCTCACGGGTCTCAAAAGTTGAACCCTGGAATTTCTTTTATCCGAGCGTAGATTGAAGTAGTTGAAGAGTCATTCGAGGTGAAGTCCACATATGAAAGAATACTCGTTCTTTGCATTTCGTAGCGGTTGAAGTCTCTGCCTCACCTTGGATTTTCCTGAAGGGCAAAGGATCAGCTCTACCTTGAGGAAATCGTTCCACAAAACTGTCCGAGCTAGATCTAATGCATTAGACTCATTCAGCTGAGCTACATGCCCATAATATCAGGGAGAGGATTTCAAATATCTAGAGAGACATTGCCAGGCAAGGCTGGCTGAACTGATGGGAACATCATGACGAGGCTGAGCTAGTCTCAAAGACAGTCAAGTGCTTGATGCACCACCGTAGATATCAACTACTGTGGGCGTTCTTTTCCAACGCGCAGTTCTCGTCTCTCATTTCTTCCTGCAAAGGAGACTTTATCAACACCAGATTTGATGACACAAGTCTCTTGTTCGACTACTTTTGCGACACAACTTTGTCATTTTTCTCCTCTGTTTGTGTCAAACGTCCTCCCGGGGTCAACTGCTGGTCGGTTTGGTCATTGATGCGAGCGTCAAAACTCACAACTCACAACTCAAACTCAGTCTTCATAACCGTCAATGACTGTGAACGAGGCATTATTGTATCTGTGCCTCTTCGTCCTTGGGGTGGTCTCCGACTCTGAAACCATGTATTATAACACGAGCATGGCAATCTGCCAACGAAGCAGAATCTTCCCGAGATGTGGCTGACTATGCTCTCGTTCAACAAGCATGAATCCACGTTCATCATACCGTTAGATGAGTCCTGTTTGGATGATTCCCCCAATGAGCGGTCATCGCACTGAAAAGGCTGACAAACGCGTAGAACCATATCTATATAAAGTTGGCTTCAACTCTGGCAATGCAGAGTTGGGGTCTTGAAATCACGCATGATATATTGATATCCTTCCACCTCTAAATCAAAATCAACTGTTCGGACGTGATTCACTATGTGTTACATCGAGACAATCCACTTCACTCATTGCAGACATACCAATGTGGCATTTCGAGTATGTCTCGGCACAGAGGATCTCGATGCCGAGCATATGCAGCCTAATGCCATTGGCCATTCCATGCGCAGGCTCTGTCCAAGTTGCCTTACACACGCAGTTGCATTCATCCTGATTAAGACAAACGGGTATAACCGCGATAATTATGAAGAATATGTGCAATCGGAAGTCTATGAGGACGATTTTGCCGAATATGTGAATGATGCACTTGAATCCAATATTCGAGCTCGAGAAGTGGTTTCCACCGGACTCAAGAGCTCTTACGAACTCTCCATGGACAGGGATACATGGTGTCCCCAGAACACGCACACCATCCACAATGACCAACCTGGTGGTATCGCGCATGGGGCTTGCCTCGTTGTTCGTCAGGACGAGTTTGACCACGCAGTCATGTGTCAAGAACCCGAGAGACGGCTTGATAGGGCTGTGGTCACCTACTCCGCGGCCTTTAGATGGGATCAACGCCAAACTATCGAATACTCGGAAACGGAGAATCCGAACTTTCGATTCGGCCTGGAGGTGCCAGATCTCTTCGAGGTACTTGTTTATTTTTCCCGATGTGAACACTATAATGCCATCTTCATGGAAGCCACCGATCGTACTTCATCCCAGCGATCCGAACACACCAAGTGTGGGTGTAACGACTTTGATTGGGACCTGCCGTTCAGCCAGTATGCCGAGAGTAGCACGGATTGCATGTACTGCCGACGACCGGCAGGGCATGAGAACGACCCTCGCTTTCGATATGCTCATAGGTTTATGAGGATGATTCCGGCAAGTGCAGCTGGATACAGACAAATAGCGACGTGGCCGGATACAGCACGACTAAGCAATTTAGAATGATGCCAGACATTTTGAACAGTTGATCCGGATGCTCATTTGACGTTCCAGGTTTATCAGAGCTTGCTCTGGTGTGATTCTGATCATACAGATCGAGCTTCTCCGTCAATCCTTGAACCAGCTACGACTGGTGTCCTCGTGTCGAGTGGTCAGCCTGTGATGATGGTGGCGATCCAGTACAAGAATTGATTGGCCCAGAAGTGCGATGTCGAACTCATGTAGCTGGTCTGTGATGGACAATTATGTCTTGGTAGTTCGAATGGCGTTCTTCTTTCATCTACACCGTAGGGACTTATTCATTGGCCATCAAGTGTATCACAAAGCTCGAACGGGCACTAAATAGCCCTAATTTTCCAATCAACAGCGTTGCCATATGTTTCAGAGATAAAGATTACAATCTCTCTCCAGTAAAAGTCTCTCGCACGTGAACCTTGTGGGGACCTTAGACGTTGTGCATTGACTGTTTGACATTGAATGCGTTTAAGGCCCGTGATTTCAACCCAGCCTTATCACGTGTCAGGGGGCTGGAAGGGGCTGCCTGAGGTGGAACAACAGACGTGGCTCCTCTTGGGAACAGCTGTCAGGGCCTCTGTCAAACCACTCCTTAATCTCCGACCTTCAATGGAACGCTCTCTGACATCAGGAGGACAGGGACATCCTCTTTGGGCGCAGGACTTTTTCTCTACAATGTGATGAAGCTAAACACAAACCACCTGGTAAATACTTACAGTTGACGATGATCAAGCCAGAGCACAGCAACAATGAAATCTTCAACTACAAGCCCACGAAGTACATGTGCACGCGACACTGTGATCCGGGCTTCGGGTACTTATGCTTGGACCACTTAGTCCTGACGCGTCTGGCTCGAGCTGTCACCGCTGTCAAAGAGCTACCACGCGCAAAACCGTAGCACTGATATGGCAACGACAGTAACCAGCCCGGCGCTTTCATCCACAGACCTCTGTCTAGACGCACGTCCCTCACATTCAATGAGACGTGCGCCAGTCAAGCCGACAGAAGGTAAACTCAAAGGCAGGAGAAAACCCTATCCCGTATAATAGTACCGACTTTCCCAGTTGTCTAGGAGGAACGTGCCCTCGTCCAACTCTACTCATTCTTTATACGACGTTGACATACTACGGAGGAGGTATTGACGATGTATACGATATCCCTTTTACTGTTGCTGTCCAGTCTTTTACACAGTTGTCTGGCACAACCTGCCTGGTGAGTGCACTGCTAGACTTGAGATTGACATTGCTAATCAGCATATCTAGTGATGTTCAGTTACTGCATTCGCGACTGTTGGCCGATGTTAACTTGGCCAATACATTCTGTACACAATATCTGGCATCGGAGTCGTTGAGCCGGAAGTTGGAGGCCGAATTCGGCACCGAGTGCGACCTACGCCAGGATGACTTGACCTTTGGTTGTTCTCTGTTCCAAGCAGCATCTCAACTATTTCAATCGACTCAGGCAACAGTCACTGTCACCGTGACTGAGCCGGCTGCGACCTCGATTGCCTCTCCTAAGGGCCACAACTGCACTCGCCACCATGTCAAATCACAGAAGGAGGCTGCGTCTGCGCCCCCGAATTTCTACTTGACACCGGGTCCGAACACACCAGGAAATCCTAGATATCGTCTCTTCAATGAGAATATCCCTCAGCAACAAGCCCTTCCAGCTCTCAGCAGCCTCACCGCAACCAAGCCCAATCCGTCCTCATTGATGACGAGTGTGCTTGCCAGCAAAATTGCGTCCTCAACACTATCTGCAACAACACCCGTTTCATCGCTCATGCCATTGTTCACCTCACCGACGCCCGCAAGAACAGGACGTTGTATCCCAACGGCACACCCACCGGCCGCTGACTATCATGTGTTTGAACCATTGATCGACCTCGCTCTACTCGATCCATCCACGGTCATTACAGCGACGACTGTGTCAGATCCCCAAGACGTCGACGCAGAAAACTGCTCACCCTACGTCAGCTTCCAACTTCCCAAAGAAACGGCAAGCTCGTGTCTACGGATGAAGGGAACATGGACCCCGAGATATTCAAATGTGTATTACGAATGCATCGCCAGGACACGGGCGCCGGAATTTGATCCAATGGTGGTGGACAGTACTACTGGATTCAACTTCAGCTCCGGCAATTCGTTCTCCATGTCAGCCAGCCGACAGTTTGGTCGACGACCAGAGAAGAAGTATCGACAATCAAGTATGTTGCTGTACACCCAGAAAGACAAGTCTTATGAGATTGACTTTTGGGCCTGTGGATCCGGAGGTAAAGTGCTGGTGTCAGAGTTGAGCTGCACTTATTTTGGTGAAGGGTACACCATGCATGAGGAGATGTGAAGAAGGAGAATACGGGAAAGGAATTGAGACCACTACAGGCTAATATGCCAGTGCAAAAGAAAGAACGAACGGATTATCTAGTTAGCATTAGGCGGAGTTATCGGTGATGGGAAGGCAATATCAGAGGATCGTAAAGCCTCACTTATTATTATTAGGGACTAGGGATTGGGGATTACTACAAGATAGGATATACCAATATATACTTCACATTGTACCATAGCCAGAGAGTTGTTCTTCTAGCCAACATCCATCATATGTGGCCGTCTGGTGTGTGGTAGAAATTCAACTTCCATGTTTCAGCCTGGCTTCAGATCCTGGTCGCTCTTTCCTGGTTAGATCCTACCTCACCGCGTCTGCCTCGCACCTTCCCTGTTCTACAAGCCAAGGCAGCAGTTCTTTCCATTCATTCATTCACTCACTCACCTGATCACCTGATCACTTTATCAACTGCGAGATTCACAACTGCAATGTCTTCATCCCCTCTACAACATCCTTTCAATCTGTTCAATGTCGGTTACGATAGTGTCAGGATAGCGGACAAGCACAATCAGGCCAACACAGGAGAGACTATCACTCGCCATGAATGAAGATGATAGCCTTGTTGCAATTCCCGATGATCTCTTCAGTGATGAGTCGGACTTTGTTGGTAAGCTTCTCCAATTGCCTTTGTTCATGGGGCGTGACTCACCTTTATCAAGGCAATGCCAATGTCAAATCAAGGTATACCACATATGCCGCTGCTTACGACCCCAAGAGACACTGGGACATAAATCAATGGAATATCCAAGTGCTAGCAGCGTATTCAAAAGAAGATCAAGGAATTGTGCCGAGGAAACGTGGGAGAGAGCCAGACGATCAGGGAATGCTTGTCGCAAGCCCGCCAGCAAAGTTCGCGAAGTTAAACTCCCAAGGGATACCGAATACAATCAACACTCGTCAAACAAGAGATATGGCCATCAAATATTCATCTGGTCGGGAAACCAGCCCTATGTGCCTTGACACCCCCACCACATCTCCAGTTGCCAGCCAGGCCGAGCCTAAAAAACAACAGAACTATTATGAAGGTATTCCCACAGCCAAACAACTGTCAGAGACAGTGGCGGCCTTCCTGAAACGTCTTGACCCGGTCACAACACAGCGCACGAACGGGTCTTGGATCTGGATCGCCAATCCCTACCCAGCCCCGTCACCAAGTCACAATCAGACTGATACAGGCGATGTGGCCGCGTTCAAGCAAGCTGGATTCGACATTCTCGATGCTTACCGGCAACGGGTAGAAGAGGTACAAACTTCCAATTCAAGTAGAGCGGCCGGCGCTATTACACGCATGTTACGCCCACATCGGCTCCAACTTGAACAGGACCTCATTCGCGTGGCCAAAGAACACCATGTGTTGCATGGCAAATGGATGCTGTTCCCAGAAACGTCTGATGTTGGTCGGGTGTGGGCAATTGTTGCACATGCGACGTGGGATGGAAAGTTAGGTGTGTCAGCTAAGGTGGCAATAGAAGATGGTGGCAACGCAAGAAATGAACTCCAGATGCGGAGACTGATTTGCATCTACACACATGATTTTAGTGATCAGGACGATGTGCGACGGGTGGTGCAGAACATGAAGACTCTGGGATTGTTGAGGGACGAAGGCAGCAATGGGGGGTTTATGGGCACAAAAACCATCTACTACAAATGCGATGCCTACACGTACCTCGACATTGACGGTGGGAATGAATTCAAGTTGAAGCCGAGCATGTACAACAGTCGAGATATGTTGAATTGATTGACGGGGTGGGACAGGGGAATGTTAGTGTTCATGTTCAGGTCGTTATGCAGATGTCTACAGTCAGGTGTCAAAGCACAGTGAAGCATCCTTTGTCCAACAAGACTCTTCACATCATGACCTGCATCTCCAACTCGCCCCAAGACTCTGTGCATGCCCTATACACCCGTTCCAGCTCGTGACAGGTCTATCTCTTGGAACCTTTCTTCTTGGAGGAAGCAGCATCTCCCGCCGCAGCGAGCCTCTTCTTCTCCTCTTTCTGCATCTTCTCCTTCTCCGCAGCCTCTCGCTCCTCCTTCTCGGCCAGTTTCCTTGCGGCAGCCTGTTCTCTCTGCTCGCGAATCAATTTCAGACGAGCCAGATCTGCTTTCGCTTCATCAGTCTTGCCCTCAGCATGCAGTTTCTGATATCGCTCTTTAGCCTGTTGTGCGGCGATAGCCTCCCTCTCACGACGACTAAGATTCTCGCCATCACCCTTCTTCTTAGCCGGCTCGTCTGCCGCACCAGCAACCACACGTGCTTGGCTTCGGGCTTTTTGCGTATGGTTTGGGTTCGCGGGCATATCGTCGTCGTCGTCCTCTGACTCCTCTGAACTTGTCGGCATGTCTCCCACAGCCGCGGCTTTCTGGTTCTTCTTGGCAATGGCCGCTTGTTTGCGCAGTCGTGCTTGTTCCTTGCGTTGCTCTCGTGTCAATTCTCCGCTGGATGGACCTACAGCTGATGGTCCGCCGGCGGGTCTGTCGCTCTCTTCTGAACTTTCTTCTTCAGATGAGGATTCTTCTTCTTCCTCTGACGAGGACTCAATCTTGTCTTTCGGGTCCCGCCACATTCCGAGCGGGTTGCCATCTTTGTCCAGCGGTTGGAGGTCTCGTGAGAATTTCTTGCCGCCTAGAAGAAGGAGAGTTAGTTTAGTTATTTAATACTAAAAGGGCTCTGTCGAGGAGAAGAAGACGGCGTGGGGTGTCCGACTTACCTCCTCGTGAGGGCTTGGAGAATTTGCCTCCTCGGCCTCGAGGTGCCATGCTGGGTTCGATAGGTGGGAATGAGAGGTGTGGAGAGAATTGGAGTGTTGTTTAGGACAAAGATAGAGGAGCGGAGGTGTGCTCGAGGGGCGAGTGTGCCTGTGGTGGGATGGTTGTTGCTGGTCTTGCTTGGTGGGGTACTATGCAGTGTCGATCGAGCCAACCAGTTCTCTGTGACAGATTCTAGGCGCCGCAGTCTATGTGAGTTGATAGAGAGGATAGCAATGGTCTGAGCGACAGGAATCAGTATATTTTATCACAAAAGACAGAGTGCGTCAGTGGAACAAAGAGCGGTGGCAGAAGATGTCGCTAAGGACTCAAGCAGAAGTGGTGCGGTTGGCTCTGCTTCTGCCTCTGGTGGGTGCGGGAAAGGATTTCTTTGTTGGCGCACCGACCCCAAAAGAAGAGAGGAAGAATGACGTAGACGGAGCAGATTCCGGACTCACCGACTTGAGGATACAGGTCGCTTTAGTGAAGAGATTGTTGCAGAAGAGGTGAAGGGGATTATGGCAGAGTATGGAGGAGTCAGAGAGAAGGATTCCCAGCGACTATTCGAGGATTGGAGGGAGCGAAGAGTGATTCATGCGTGGGTTGCGTTGCCTTCGTTGCAGGTTTGCATGTGTCTGGAATTTGAGAGATTGTCACTGGTCGCCTCCACAGCCAATCAGAAGAAGTAGAAAGGGTCGATGACAAGGCTGTGGGAAATGTGTGACAGCCTTGTATATCACGTGACAGATTACCATTTTGGAAAGATATCACAATTGATGTGATTGAGAGATTTGATAATAAACACAAACACCCATATATACAACAGACCGACAAACCGACAAACCAATAGACCGCTCGCTCGATCGCTATTTAATGCATCACAACATCCCCTTATGCCAACCCACCACCGCATATCGTGTCCAGAGCAGTACACATGCAGCCGCCAACATGACTATCGCCGAGAAGAGCTGAAGTCCAAAATATGAGCCTTCTCCATGGGCGATCAACGCGCCTGCAATGGGGGCCCCGGTGAGTACGGCAAATCCCTAGGACAAGATAGTAAGCATATGATTTCGGTCGAGGCCAGGCATCTGACAAACTCACCACCACGCTGAAAGCCATGCCAGCCCTCACTCCCGCCTTCTTTTGATCAGTCGTCAGACTGGTCAGCACGACAGGAAACAATCCCTGAATGCCTGCAGCCGTCAAGCCATAAAACGTGGCGAAAATCCAAAGACCTGTCACCGTGTTGACGGCAATCCAACTGAACAAGACAATGGACGCCGCAAAGGTGATGGGAATGACGGTGTTGAGCGGTCCGAACCATTGCTGTGCGGCATAGTTGGGCAACACTCGTCCAACCAAACCCACTCCGTTGAGCACCATGATCAGACTGAGACTCGTTGACTGGCTTGTCCCAAGCGCATCTCTGCCGAAACTGCCCACAAAGTAAAAGCCAATGTACACACTCCAGAAGTACAAGAACCCGCCCAACACGTAAATAGCATAAGGGCCTTCCTTGAACGCCGCCCACTCGACAATTGGGCCGCTCTTTCGAGGTGGCAATCGTGGCTAGGAGCAAGGTCAGTTGGTCTCCATATTGCTTTCTACCAGCCAGCCAGTCACTCACCTTGAGAAAACTCGCAGATATGATAGCTAAAACCAGCATCACAAAAGCCATTGTACGAACTGTCCAACCAAATCCAGCTCTAGGCAACATTCTTTCCGCGATGGCCGGGAAAACTAAACCACCCGAACAAGACCCCGTGACCGCAATAGCCAATGCAATACTCCTTCTTTTCAAGAAATATGTACTTGTCAACGCCAAAGTCGGAACAAACACCATGCCATACCCAATTCCCATGCAAATGGCCTGTGCGAGAAAAACCTGCCAGTAGGTGGTACACAGACTCAACAAAAACATGCCTAGCACATAAAGCAGACTTCCAACCCACATCTGCACGCTGAAGAAACCGGCATCCAAACCACGTCCTGAGAATGTGCCTATAAGATAGAGCACAAACGTCTGCACCGTGCCGATCCATGCCACTGAACTCTCATCTCCAATCTGCATTACCTGGACGTAGTAGACTTGGAAAATGCCGAAACTGTTGACCAGGCCCCAGATGTTGAAAATGACGAGATGGGCGAGACACGCCATGAACCATGCATGGGTACCGCCGTCTGGAGGTGGACCGGGATCGATACTGTCCTTGGTGCGTACTCGCGAGATTGTTCTTGAGAGAAATGAGTTTCCAGCGGCATGTTTCGAAGGACTCAACTCGAGTGGTTCGCCGGGGACTGGTTCTGGAATAGTGTTGGTGGTAGTCATGGTATTCGTGGCGTCATAGCTATCAGTACCAGGTTGATGGCCACCATTCTTCTCTATATCCTTCGGTGCCGACATGATTGCCTGGATGTGGCACACCTGTTGCTGCAATACGTGGGAAATTGGAAAGAATTGTATGGGTGTGTATACATGCCGGGAAACCAAACACGAACGATCCTTTTGTTGTATCTAGACCCCTGTGAAAGTGTCAGGTTGTGTTTAAGATGGTCTTCTTCTAACTTCACTCCACGATGCAATCAAGATACACAAGATTATCAAGGTCAGGAATGTGTAGATGATTGATGAGGTTGAGTTTTTCTCTCAGAGAGGGGTTCAGACTATGGTTATGTCTTTACCGCAAATTTAACCACCTGCTAACAAACGGAGTCATCAAACTACTTAGACACCCAAAATCCATTTATCAAGTCGGGAAAAGCTCCGGGGTCCAATAATATCATTGAATGGTTCTTGTTCGTCCCGGGGGGGGGGGGGATTTTTCTCAGTGTAAGTGAATCCCCGCACGCCCTCTTGCACGCCCAACGAGTCCAAGTCATGGGCAAGTATTATTGCATGTTATCTTTGAAGGAGATAGGGCTGGGCTGTTGGAGGCAAACAGAACCCCCTTGGCCCCATCGTAGGCCGAGTTATCCGTCCTTCGTACTCCGTAAGTAAGTAGTGCTGGTCACAGAGACGCCAAACTCTTGATTTGTTCGGCGAGAACGACGGGAGGAGGAGAGGGTGGAGAGGGGTGACACGTGCGGAGAAGGCTGACATTGATAAGAGACGCACGAGAGGGTGGTTGGACCATCACAACCTCCACTCCTATCATATCATATACAGTATTAAACTCAACAAAGGGAGGGCTACATAATCAGATCTGTAGAGTCTTCATGCCTCTATAGCTCTCGAGGGATCGCAGATATCTGGAGGTGGAACGAGTTGGGACGAGGTGAGGCATGGTCATCCGCTTGATAGGCGGTCGTCACATGATCAAGAAATGGAATGAATGAAGTCCCGAAGGAACCACATCCAAAACATCTTTTGCGTGTCAAGATATGTCTTTTGTTTCTATCCAACCATTTATCCCGGTCCATCCAAATTGATCCTGACTTGTCTAATCGTCGTCATTCATGCAATTCGTCACAAAGCTCTTACGTAGGTAGACGTTGTGTCGACAAAGCCCACCCCCTGGTTGGGAAGGCTGCCTACAGATTCTCTTGCTTGTTCAACGCTGCGATGCTGGCGATGACATCACTCGGCTCGAGAAGATGCCATGTCGCTAGGGTTCTCTTGCTGCTTGCTCCGACTGTGCATGCAAATATCGACTCCTTGGGAAGATCTGTCTTGAGGAGGGCTCGAAACATGTCTATTGGACCAGTCAGTTACTACATCACTAGATGATGGGACCTGGTCCTCGCGGAGCACGGAGGTGTTGATGTTGGTGGAAATCAGTGCAAAAACATGCTTACCTTCATCAGTTTGGTCGTCGCCCAGACATAGCACAAACTCGGGTGCCTCGCCACCTCCGTAGCCATACTCGTTGATCAATCTTGTAGCAATGAATCCCTTGTTGACAAACTGTGGTCGGATTTCGAGATTGGCCTTTCCTGACATGACTTCAACGTCCCATTTTTTCACGACATTCTCCTCAAGGGCCTTGCGACATTCACGAGCTTGGAATTCACCAAAGTCGGGATCGGCCTGTCGATAATGCCACGTGAGGGCCACCCTCTTCCTTTCGATCCAGGAACCCTGCGTGCGTTCGGTGTAATAGGAAAACACGTCCATGACATCCTTTTGCCAGCCCATGTCCATGCTTTCGGCGAGATTCTCCCACGTGTCGGCCCCAGGACGTCGAAGGAAGCAACCATGCTCAGCAGACAATCCCAGCTCCGAGATATGTCCCATCCACTCTTCTAAGAATGCTGCGTCGCGGCCTGAGATGATCCACACATTATTTCGTGGATCGGCCGCTAGCGCTTTCAGAGTGCGCAACACGCGATCGGCCGGAATCGCAGCATTGGGGTCCTTGACGATCGGCGTCAATGTGCCATCGTAATCAAACATGAACAGTCGTTTCCGTGCCGTATTGTATCGCTGAATCATCCTTGTTCGATCCAGCGCTGGGGTCAGGTCGCTTTGTGTAAAGGAAGTTAGGTTGGTCAACAGCCGTTTGAGGAATTGGTTGGCCCAGAAAGACACAGTGTGAGTAGTCACATAGTTATACATTTTTTCATGGTCGCTTTTTCTCGCGGCCTCGGGCATTTCGAGGGCTTGTTTGAGAGCCTCAGCGACGCCGCCTAGGTCCCAGGGATTAATGTGGATGGCATTTCCCAAGCTCGCTGCGGTTCCAGAAAATTCGGACAAGATCAATGGGCCGCAGTTCTCTTTTTGGCAAATGATATATTCCAAACTGGTAGTGTTCATGCCATCGCGAACGCTGGTTATCAATCCGACATCGGCCACCCGAAGAAGGGCGAAATATTCTTGGGACGAAAGGTATTGAGGATAATGTTGAACAGGTGAATAGTTGAGGTGGCCATACTCGCCGTTGATCCTAGAAATGAGGTTGGAAATCTTGAGCTCCACCTTATGGGCACCGTCGACCTTATCCTCTAAGACGCTGGTAGGGCTGGTGACTTGGATAAGAACTACCTTTTCCCGCCACTCAGGATAGCGCTCCAGGAAGATCTCAAAAGCCATGAGCTTCTGAGAGACGCCACGAACGGTATCGAGTCGATCACGGCCAACAATAATCTTCTTGCCGGCATAGAGTTTCCTCAGAGCGGCCATATTTTGTTCGATGACGGGATCCTGGAAAGCCTGCCTCTGGACAGCAGCAACGTCGATGCCGATGGGGAAGACGTCAACTGCGACGTGGGCGCCATATGCATCCACTCCCGCAGAACTGGACTCGAAGGAAAGGATGCGTTTACAGCAAGAATTGAAATGTCTGGAGAAGCTAAACGCTTGGAACCCGATCATGGTGGATCCCAGCGCGCCGGTCAGAACCTCTTTTCTCCTGGGAAGACATCGCATGTACTCGCTGCTGGGAAAGGGGATATGGAGGAAGAAACCAACGTAAATGTTGGGGATGCGCTGACGAAGCATGCTTGGCAGTAGCATTAGATGGTAATCATGGATCCAAACAACATCGCCCGGTTGATAGACGTGCAAGATGCGATCGGCAAAGGTTTGATTCATGTGCACATAGTCGGCCCATGAGACCTTTTCGGCCCTTCCATCGTCAGGGCCGTGTTGACGATAGTGGAAGAGCGTGTAGAGTTCATGCTCAGCGTAGCGACGCCAGCGACTTTGGTTCTTGAACAGCATGTCACCGTCTTCGCCATCTGGAGCATCGCCAAGGAAGATGGGTAGGATCTTGCCCGTCGACTGAACGGACAAAAGTTTCTCTACCCGATCTCTGTCGGCGTGGGAGATGCGGAGATGGTCTGAGTGTGGTTCTCGCTGGGCGTGGTAGCTCCCATTAACGGGGTAAGGAGCGGTTGACTTGTTGACTGGCACGGAGGAGCCATTGGTGGGAGGGGAAGTGGCCGGATTGCTAGCGACCGCATCAGAGGTGATGATGCTAGCGGAGCGCGCATAAGGAGCGGTTTGAATTTCGCCGGTCCAGCCTACCAAGGTGTGGTTCCAAGGACTTTTATCGGAAGCTAGGTAGGCGAAAGAGTCAAAAAGGGCGGATGTGCCATGTCGTTGGGACAAGCTCCATTGCCCTTTTGCGCCGTAGCAAAGCTGGTAGGGGATGCAGAAGGTGGCGCTGATGATATTGCCACTGAGACGAAGGCCAGGATGGGAGGTGCGAGGATCGAGGTCGAGGGTGTCGAGGCCAGAGGAATCGACTAGGCTCAGCCGACGGAGCAAGTCTTTACCGGAACGAGCGCCTTTCGCGACTTCTACCGGGGACGATACCGCCGCCGAAGCCTTAGGATCACTCTCCTTTGGGATCGAAAAGTACGAAGTTCCTGGACTAGGGGTGGTTGAGGGAACCCCCTTCTCCTCGGTCGGGCTCATACTTGAGCTGACGTCGATTGGTCCAGAAAAGTCACGTGAGGGGCTCTTGGGTTCTGATGGGTTGCTGGCCATATTTGGACAAGGTGCTTCACAGGAATTGACAGACGTTCGAACAAGAAGACCAAACACTAAATACGCTAATGCAGGTCAGCACTGTGTTGTAGCATGGCGAGTGCCAACAGTTGGAATGAAAGTATGTTGGGAGAATGATAATGGGGCAGGAAGGAAGGCGTGAGGTAGGATGGAGATACAGAGAAGATATAAAAGGCACAAGTACCTGAAAAGACCGGACCGGGACTCGAAGGGTTTGCCTATGCGAAGAATGAAGCTAAGTAGAAGGAGCGGGACGGTTAGGTGGTGATGAGAGGGAAGTGAATGGTGGTTGTAGCGAGGGTCGGAAGTTGTGGCGGACAAAGAAGGAAATTTAGGATGGGATTTGAGCTGCAGGCGAATGGTTGCAAGGGTGCATCAGCAAAGCCTTTGGAGACGGAATAGGTTCGACCCCGAAGAGAGTGTGGGAAAGAAGGCGAAGAGGCAGCCGGACATTCTTGTGGAGGGGATGAAGTCACCAGAGGCGAGGAGCCATGCCTGGTTAAAGAAGAGCAGGAGGAGGAGGAGGAGGAGGAGGAGGAGGAGGAGGAGGAAAGAAAAGAGTTTGGAGTTGAGATAGGTGCGTTTGTAAGAGTGGATAGTGAGGGTGAGGATAAGGGCAATGACGAAGAGGGAGATGGAGCTGACAATAAGGAAGAATACCTTAGAATCGTGCAATATGTCGAGGTAATAATGACATGTGCTACAATTGTTGGGCCACAATCAATCCGAACAAATGGGATTCGAAGCGAGTCGACATGTGAGTCCGTCTAAGAAGGAGAAGAACTAATAGTAAGAGAGGTAGATGTGGATCATAATGAGCGTGACATTACTTTTGTCTGAATTGTCCGTTTACATCAGCTCTGAGAATAAATGAACGGCGTTTGTGGTGGAGGAAATAAAAGGTTGCAAGTTGCAAGTTGCAAGTTGCAGTGGTGCAGGAACAAAAGAATACCTAGATGCAGGTTGTATCAAACAAGCGAAGGGTAGGACTCGTAGGTACTCAACATCGGTACCTGGGCACTAATGTTTACCTGAGGTACCTACCTACTGTAGGTACCTTGGGCCTCCCAATAGAAAAAGTCCCCTGCTCAACTCAGGTAATACCGTAGATGCGCCGGAGAAAGGTTGGGCACAAGTTTTGCGTTGGTGGTCCGATGTATTCCCGCCTCTCGCCTAATTTGAACAACTTGCTAACTTGCGGCGTCACTGACTGTGTTCTCAGATGTGTCCTCGGCCATATCTACGGAAACTGTATGCCTGTGCGTAATATCTGTCAGAGTATGACCGTCTCTTCTAGTCGTGAATAAGCAGAGGAGTGATCGGGCAATCGGACTACTGTAGCTGCTTACTCCTTTGATCCGCGAGCCAAGGTTAGAGGTCGAGGTCGAGGTAAGCATATGATGTTCCCGTGGCATGCCCGGGGCTAATAGAACTTGTAGGCAAGGCCGAGGGGCATGTCCTTCAGGCTTTTGACCCTAAAAGACCCAAAGCCCGCCTGGACATTTGCCAAGACACTCTAAAACCACACCACCTGCTGGTCTCCAACTCGAGCCTCGCCATCGAGCCTACCCATGTGCAATGTCTGCGTCTCCATCGTGATTGCTCCAATTGTGCTAAACGAGATAAATTTTTTGGAACCATCATCATATACGCCGACTATACAATCTTATCTCTCATCCACGCCATACTTGAACATCGGCCCTCCAATACTCTGTCGCTATAGTCTCTTCGTCTCTGCGTCCTCCTTAAGCTCTCCTCGGCCCCATTGTCACCCCCAACCGGTCGCTGTATGCCCCGAGTCCCATCGTCGTCGTTGACCTGGCTTTGCCGTTGCTCTCACAATGTTGCATGCAATCGCTCATGCAGACCCCTTCTGCGCCATGCCATTACCTCGACTCAATGCTGCCCTGTCCGTCAGATAGCCAGATTCTACTCAGATCCTCGTGTCCATGTCGAGAGTCTTGACAAGACTCTCGACGCACACCGAGAACATAATCGCAGCCGAACGTGCAGATATGATCCTTCGGGGCCTTCTGGACCTTCATCACCTCGCCACACTCCCAAAGAGACCTATGTCTACCGTCCGCGAGGTTTAAAAGATTCGTCGCCCGAGCCGTCGCCTGAGCCGTCGCCTGAGCATGACACCCCTAGCCAGCTTAGATCTAGTCACAAAGACAAGGCAGCCGCACAGCGTGCTAGACGGTTACAAGCCAATGCAGGAAGATTTGCCGATCATACATTTCAGTGGAAGCCTATGGTCGACAGGAACTGCCCCCTCACCATGCTTCTCCCTTGGCTCAGTCATCAGGAACCTCGCAAGGACGCTTACGCAACGGCAATTGACTATGTGACCGAAGAAATCCATGCCTTTGACCGGTACACCACGTTGAACTCTGATGAACAGAGTGCTGCTGAGATGGCCCTCCAAGACCTCAAAACCGTTGTGAAAGATTTTGACCAACACTTAGAAGTTGATGTCATCGGCTCCCGCGCCACTGACATTGCTGACCCTCTCTCCGACCTCGATGCCAATGTCTGGCTGCCCGAAGACTTCTCCTCTTCCAAACCTCACATGACCTCCGATCACATCATTGACGCCCTCCAAGCCAAAATTGACAATTGGCAGTCCACCCATCAAGGTCTACCATGTCCCATCGAGCTCATATTTCACGTTCGAAAGGCCGTGGTCCCTATCCTCTCATGCCGTCATCCTCCCACCGGCCTTTCCATTCAGATCCAGTCTACCCCGAGGACCGTTGATAGCACCCCGTGGGTCACATCCGTCATAAACGAGTTTCCCACACTACCAGCCTTGTTCAAAGTCCTCCGCCAAACCCTCCTCATTCGTGGACTGAACGATGGCGCTCGTGGTGGTCTGACCTCTTATCCTCTCCTCAACATGATTGTCGCATCCCTTAGCATGTCTGAACACAAGACTCCGGCGGACAACGCCGGAATGCAGCTCATGGACTTTCTCAACATGTATTGCGAAATCGACCTCAATAAAAGTGGTGTCTCCATTCGTCCCCTAGGCTACTTCCCAAAGCAAGAATTTGCCGAGGAAAACTCAATTGCTGCCCTGGACCCTCATACAGCTGACTTGTACTGGGAGGAGCTGGAAGGCCAGGCCGTGATTCGGCGGAGAGCAAAACGATTTAACCACATTTTGGCATTTCAAGACCCACTCGATCCCGTCAACAACATCGGCCGGAAAGCCACCCGAATGAGAGATGTGCAAGAAACCTTGATTCGGCTGCGCCATCAATTACAGCTCAGTATCCGTGTATGGGACGCATCGAGGAACTATTACGGCGATTTCCAGGACTTCAGGCATGAAGCAAAATCCCTTGGCAGAGATGCAAGCCTGCTCAAGGTGCTCCTAGAAGCAGACTATCGCATCTATGAACATAAACGCCGCGCCTTGACCAAAGCATTTCGCAAGACCTCATCAATTGGCAACCCAGTTGCAACACTCGACCTTGAAGAATTCCGGACTGTCTTGAACCCTGGGGGCTTGGTTGGCGAACATCCTACCCCAACGGCAGAAACAGCTGGCTCCGGAGATTCCGGTCCGAAGATTTCTGATACTCTGGTCGCTCAATGGGATGAAATGCTAGGCGACATGTTTCACCGTGATGGGGCAAACAAACACCGACAGGATGATAACTCTACACCTGACCTGGCAGACCCCTCCAAATCTAACAATGTTGCCACTAAACAGGTTAACAAAAAAGGAGGCTTACGTCCAAATGCACAATCCAGACGCAGGACCTGAATATACTTGTAGTTTTATATAGTTTTGGGCAAAGTTCTGGCACCTGATTCGACACATAGTGGAATGGTGTGTCAACTGTGAAGTCTAGATTGTATAACAGAGAAGACCACGTTGGGGTGGCATGCGCATGCCTTAACGCATCTTGATGAGACACTTCACACATTAATTGTTCGACAACACACCCTTTGCTTCAGTAGCTATAAGTATGGGATATGGCATGTTGCATATTGTCGTGATTGTTCATGTCGTGGTCGTTGACACTGCAGGAATAGAAAGGCCTTTGTGTCGCCGTACACAAATATTCGGTGGATCATTCAGACATATGCTCCCGCCTCTTACTGCCTGCGCCGACTCCAACTCTCTGGTTCTTTGTCAACCTGGCATCCTTGGGATCATTTCTCTTCAATAGACCGTCGCTACTTTGATCTCGATGAGTAGTCCTCGCATAGCGACTCCTCGTCAGTATGGCGGTAGTCACTTTGGGGCCACCGGTGACCGGCGCCCATCGGACATGCGCATGCCACGCTTCTTCAAAAGGTATGTCTCATCAGAACAAACAGTCATCCTTTCCATTCACTGGCTGACTTTGCCTCTAGACTCTTCAAGTTCCCTCAGATGGACTTCGAGATGGCTGTCTGGGAGATGACACACCTCTTGGTAGCGCCTAAGAAGGTCTTCAAGTCCATTTACTACCATAAACGTTGGTGAAACCAAACAAATGAATCCTTGTGAGCCTTGCTCTAACCGTACAACAGAAACGAGAAACACATGGCATCGCCCAGACCCGTCTTTCACCTACCTCATGTCGTTTTTCCTCCTTCTCACCTCGCTTGCATGGTCAATAGCATACACCCCGGCCTTTGGCTCTGTCATCAAGCTGGCCTTGATGTTCATTGTCGTCCACTTCCTCGCTGGCTCTCTTCTCGTCTCAACCCTGGCCTACTACTTTGTTGGCCGTCTCCTCGGCCCTGGCGTTGCAGGTCTTCCTGGTCGTCGACGACAGCAGGGTCTCTTTGGGCCTCCTGGCGGAACTCGCGGGGCTGAGGCCTTGGAGTTTGGCTACTGTTTTGACGTTTCCATCCGAGCCTTCTTTCCTCCCTACGTCCTCTTGTACATCATACAATTCATCCTCCTGCCAGTCATCAATCACCAAAACCGCACATCAGCCTTTCTGGCGAATCTGCTCTACCTGGCAGCTGGCATTTATTGGAGTCTGATTGTTTTCCTCGGCTATAATGCCTTGCATTTCTTACACCACACACAACTGCTTCTGTCACCAATGGTGGCATGGGTCGTGGTCTGGCTCGTCTGTACCATTCTCGGCGTCAACCTTACTTTCTGGGGCATCCCATGGTTGTTTTTGGGCGTCAAGCGTTAAAGTTGGTGCTGCACCTGAATTGGGAGATTGGTCAGCTATTCTACTGGCCGGGAATTCCACGAAGATATACGGCTTGCAATTTACGAGCAAAACCGCCAGAACTTTACAGGCATAATGGTGACTGAATCTCAAGAGCTGGAACTGTTGGCATTGAAGGATGGCTAACAAGGTCAATCACACATGACCAGGCCCTTCCGAACTATCGCACCGGGAACGACATGACTTGAGCTTATCGAAAACGCTAGTAGCATGCTATGCAACTGCCAGCTAGTCTCTTGATGCACTCATTTTGACTCGAATAGTCGTCACCACGATAAACGATAAACGCTCACCCACAATCACAAAGGAAACTGCGGCGAAGATGGGTTGAAGCGATTCAGACGAAATCCTAGTGAAGACCGACGACGTTGGCTGAGCATCTTTGCTCTGTAATTAAGCAGAACACAAGATGTAGACGTCGGACATGGGATGAGATTGCAACATGACTTGGTGTAATTTTGATTTTCGAGACTTTTGGTCCGATTCTGGCCTTTGGGATTTGAGGCATACTATGAGACTGGCCGGGAACATTCTGGTTGGTGATGATCACCCTTGCTCTGAACAATTTGCTGCGACAGGTCTGTGTGTGCCCGCCCACCGATCAAAGCACGTTCCTCGGCCTCTTCAAGTCCAGTCTTGATCTTAGTCGCTAAAACTATTTCCTCCACCCTACGCAGCCAGTGACTTTTTTGAATTGAAAAATTCCTGCCAAATATAGGCAGGAAACCATATGAATGCTGTCTCTCGCTGACACAGAATTCTCCGTCCAAAAGAGCAGTTCTGGATGCTTTGATCTCAGCAAATGATAAAAACTTTTCGCATATTCACCCCAGAAACGTGAAAAGTTCCGTGGCGACCCTTAGTCACGTTTGGGACCCCATGAAGAACCATTTCAATCACACAAGATCCATATTTAACGAGCAGTCACCAATCCAGTCGACGCCAGCCATGGCTCCCTGGTTGTCCGTGAGATCGAGCCACGATTCTGGGAAATTTATCAGGTCGGGGAAATGCATTGGGGACTGGTGCAACCACTGCGTCATAGACGCCGTCATCTCAGCCGGAGTCGTGGTTGAATGTACTGGAGTTGTTTGGGAAACGCTGCTGTCGAGGGTTTCAGTACCGGCGACGAGGTCCCGTGTTTCTGAAGAAGTCGTTATCCGGCTCTGCTCCTCTGGCAAGGCTTCTGCTCCACGAATACCTTTCTGTGCTCGTTGTATGGGGATCGCGCCATTCTTGTCAGCCCATTGGATTTTGCCAACGATCATCCCTGACTGACGTCTTCGGGGCCGGTCTTGAGGCTGAACTTCAGACTCCATGAAGGTGAGAAAATTGATCGCCCAGTCCGCAGCGATGTGAGCGTCAGAAAGTTCTCGAAGGACTTGTTTTGATTCTTCTAGTCGTTGTCGTGCTTTGTGCCGAACGACCGGATCCTCCAGCCTCAGATCCAGGACATGGCTCACTCCGACCGCAACTAAGCAGCTGATCCCAGTGGCGTGCAGGTACTTGACCAGATCTGCCTTGTATAGATCCATGGCGATCTTATTCACTTCTGCGGCTGCCGCTCGAGTGGCTGCACGGCTCGAGCTGGTGGAAATTCCTTTGGGGTCTGTAGGTCTAAGGTTGAATTGGTCCAGGAGTTGGGCTTTCGATCGATGTAGCAGGAATCGACACGTCTGGTACATGATCGTCACAATGGCTCGGTGCAAGTATGGGACTTGATCAATGTCATCTGGCGTTGGGCTCGCATGCAAAACCTCATGACTAACATAACATCTCCAAGCCGAGATCTCTCCCTCCACAGACTCGAGCGTCTGGAGGTCCGGTTGTCGTATGTTGGATGTCGAGACTTTTTCTGGGCTTTGACTGGTTTGGACATCATACATGATGCTGATATGTCCACTGGGCGTCTCAATATATGCGACCTCGACCACGCGACGTAACAATCTGCACACTGCGATCATCTCAATGCATACCTTCGCAAGCCGTTCCTGCATGCTTGCATCGTGCGTGCAAAGCCATAATGCCTGGCTTCCGCAATAGTCAACGATCTCGAAGTCGTCCAGGGTCAGTGGAGCCACGTCGAAATCGCTTTCCTTGAGCCGCAGAGGTCGATTGAGTCCAAGGGATGCTATCACATCTCTCATGACACAACACCACCATAATCTTCGCCTCAATCGTCGCTGGTGTGCGGGTTGTTGGTCAATGTGAGAATCACGATTGAGGCCAATGGACCGTGCAACAGATATCGCCACCCCAGACCAGTACCAGCCGTCCTTCTGCTCATTGGGCCCTTCCCACCACAGAGTCAGAAGCACAACTGTTTGAACAACGGCCAAACGATCTTCTTCATAGTCACTGTCGTACAGAAGCTTGAGGTTCTTGGTCAGCAGGTTTCAAACCGTATGCGACTTATGGGTCATTGCTTACTCTGGCTTTGAGGTAAAGCGCTCTCCGAGCAGCCTTCCTCGTCAAATATCCCAGTCTCCGGAACAATTTGATGTCGACCCAGGGGGCTCCAGCGAACATGATGGCTTGGAACAGTGGCAAGCTGATCCGTTCGTTGGTCAGACTGTTGTCTTGCAAGATGTCAAGAAGATCTTGTAGCTGCAAGATTGGTAGAGTGGGATGCACATATTCGATAAAGCTTCGGAGAAGCGCAGCCCTCAGATCAGGCTCTGGTACTGACAGAGCCCCTTTCCGCTGAAGATACTCTATATCCTCCTTGGGCATGTGGTCTGGAATAGGTTTGACGAATCGAGGTAACGCTGGTGTTTCCCATGACTCTTTGGCACAGACGTCAACGGCTGCGGTCCAGCTACTCGACTGGTTTGGAGACAGGGATGAACTTATGCTGCCAGTGTCGATGGTTTGCCAATTCATCTTGTCGACGTTTGTCGCAAATGGACCAGTTCCAAATCCATCGAGAAGGCTATCTAATGTGATGGGTGCAGGATCCGTATTGGAGGGGTCAATTTCTGGGATCGTATTGCTTGGTGGTGAGACATTGCTGTATACTTCGTGTGGAGCTGTCTCCTTGACAGCTGGCGGTTCAGGGACAACGACAACGCCTTTGGCGGGAATTACTGGTTTCAAGGTGTTTTGTTTTTTGATCGTGCCATGTGGAGTCTTGCGTCTGCTCCTCTTAGGCATCAAGATACATTCAACGTTTTCAAAAGTGCAGTTGAAGCAGGGTCGGCCATCACGCGCATCGCATCGCACCTTGCGTACTCGACATAGGTTGCAAGCCGCTCGTGCACGTCGTGGACCAAGAAACCTCAATGGGCCATCGCCCTTCATAGGAAGCATCAGCCCTGGCGTCTGGTTCATTGCTGTGTCTGTCATCTTTGAATGTCGGTGTTTCTGTTGCTGGACTCTGGTATTCCGCAAGCATTCGAATGCTACATGGAGGCGAAAATGCGGGCATAACCTGGGGCAAGGCTACTTTTACAAGAATTCTGGACCTCCGCTCAAACCCCACAAAATGGCTGCTCTCTCGGATAGCCCAGGGTTGGCGGCGGGGCATCACACCAGTCAGCGTGGCATGGATCCCAAGGCCGAGAACGGGCCTTTATCGCTCGTCATGCGCTGCATTAATTGGTCGAATTGTCAAATGATCAAGGAGATGATACACACACGAGTTCGAGCCTCATGAGGGGTGTGACCACCTTGAGCCGTCTGTAATCGTTGCTTAGAAATATGGAATCTACGCGGGAAAACTATGTTTTGATATGGCTACACTGCACTCTTCACCCTCCTGTGAGCTGGCACGCTTGTAACCCACCGCTCAGGTTTTTCATGCTGCTCAGGTCCATGTTATAACTTGGATTGTTGGACATGGATGAAGGGCCAAAGCAGATGCAGAATGTTCGGTTGAAGTGGGTCGTATCTGAACCCTGATCGTTGACATTAACGACCCTTGTCTCACGCAAAAGCTATCGTATTCGCGGGGGACAGCCGACTGACTTTCGGTCTTGGTGTTCGGGTCTCGGTTGTAGTGGATCTGGTATTGTCAGCTGTGCATCACCCTTGACCAACCAACAGCAAGCATCATATGGGATTGACGAAAGATGATCAGACGATCTTCCAATGTCGCGAGTGTATTCCAATGCATTCCCTAAAACTTCTTGAGGTGGCCACCATGGCACGCCTTCTCTCCTCATGGTTAGGGATCTTGTCATCTGAAGGCCCCCATGTCCGCGCCCACACACTTAACATTGTGCTATTGATTAGCATTCACACAGGGTCAGGAGGGCGGCACCTCTTTGTTCATGAGCGCGAGGATATCAACAGATGCATATCCAGATCAGGTACTGTCATGGACATTGACATTGGATATACATACAGCAGAAATTACGCCTTGCGTCGACCTACATATCTAAAGATGTTTATGAAGTCTTGTTGTTCTCGACAAGTCATCTCCACACGGGGTATTTCTGCAGATGTATAGCTTTAAGCTTAAAATCGTGCTGCCGCTCCAGAAACGAAGGACTGGGGAATCGAGCTACTAAAAGGCTTTGCAATTTAGACAGGCTCTAGAGGTCCAGGCCCATCAGCTTGCAGATCCCGAGATATCTCCTTCTGCGAAATAGTCTTGCATGCTTATTATGAGGTGGATTCTTTCATGCTGCTGGTGCGTAAGCTGAATGGTCCCGTTGCGTTGTGTTTAAATATCCAGTCCTCCACGGTCCGAGCTCGGCATTTGCCCCTTGAGGTATGTTTAATGACCGAATTGTAGAGTCTACCGCTACCACACCATGGGGCGAGCCTCCGCATTATGACAAAGCTGGTTACATGGGATGAAGCTGAAGGAGACGTCGCAGCCTTTATTAGAGATGATCAAGGTCACCTCTTCGTGTTCAGGACATCAAGTCAAGTCGAGAACTAGCTGATCAAGTAATCCGAATAACAAAATTGCCCATCATGTCATCAGAGGAATACCTTCACCCGCCGAAGCCGGCACCAGCCCTCAATATACCCACTGGTGCTTCTGTCAAGGTCCAGATAATCAATTCGACTTCAGCGTTGGAAGTCCCGCTTGGGACGTTCATGTCGCCCCTACAACCAGGGCATGAGATCTTGAAAGGACCTGCTTTCAGCTTCCTCGTGGAACAAGTCTCCTCTGGACGAAAACTCCTTTTCGATCTCGGGTGCCGAAAGGACTGGCAGAAGTTTCCTCCTGCTGTATTAAAGCTTGTCACCCAACCAGATTGGAAAATTGAGGTTGAAAAATCGGTTGCAGACATCCTTCAAGAAAACGGTGTCGACGCTGCCGGTGGGGCCATTGAGGCTATCATCTGGAGCCACTGGCATTATGATCACATTGGCGATCCTAGCACTTTCCCTGGAAGCACCGATTTGATCATGGGCCCAGGGACTAAGGAGGCCTTCCTCCCTGGGTATCCTGCCAACCAGGAATCTGTCTTGCTCGAAAGTGATTATGCCGGAAGACTAGTGAAGACTATTGACTTTGACAACCAACCCACCGTTCAAATTGGACGATTCCGAGGAGTCGATTTCTTCCAGGACGGATCGTTCTACCTTCTCGATGCACCAGGTCATGCAGTAGGGCATATGTGTGGCCTAGCGCGAGTTACTTCCACCCAGGAAGGAGACGCCGAAGACACGTTCATTTTCATGGGCGCCGATACAGCTCATCATGGGGCAGAATACCGCCCAACGGAGTATCTACCACTGCCAAAGTCCGTCGTCCCAAACCCGAATGTAGTCAAGTACCCATCTTTCTGTCCCGGTCATATATTTGAAGCAATTCATCCTTTGAAGAAGGGAACAGATCCCTACTACCATATCCACGACGGGGTTCCATTCAACACACAACAAGCGCATGAATCTTGTGGGATCATGCAGGAATTCGATGCTGTTGATAACATCTTTGTTATTATTGCACATGATGGAAGTCTTCTTGACGAGAGAGTTGGCATGACCTGGTTTCCGAATGGGACTTTGCGAGACTGGAAAGCAAATGACTTGGCTAGAAAGGCACGCTGGGGTTTCTTGAAAGATTTGACATATGCCGCGGAACAAGTTAGTGTTAAGTAGTACTAGGTACCTAGCAGCGCAGCATAGTTACGAAATCTTGTCCACTAAGCGTTGAGAGGTGATTGTGATTTCAAGTGCGTTTCTGGCTCTGAATCATCGTTCACGTATGGTGCTGGCTCCTTGACAGGTGAAATTGCGAGAGCCTCACGTTCATTCAAATACGATGATGGGAGATTGAATTGGTCTATCTATAAACAAAGCCCTTGACGTTGGCGTTTAGAAACACTCTTTACTTGAGCCATAGCGCAGCAACTGCCAAAACCGGCGCAACCCAATGACACAGGAGAGGCTTATAAGAGCCAACCTTGAAATATCGAATACCACACAACCCCCCCGAGGCAAACAAAGTCCAGAACATAAGATTCTCAAACTTTGTAGTTGGGCCCCCTGTGGTACTCCACTGCCAATTCAATAGGGCTGAAAATAGTCAGTCGACCGCAGAGGAAGAACTCGCAGAAACATCGTACCAGCGATAGCAAGGCTCCCATTCATGTAATCCCACCCATCGACCGCACCCTGTTTGCCGAACGCATGTTTGGGTCCGCCAGGTACAAGTGCCACGCTAGGATATATATAATCGAACCCGTATTTCTTGGGGACTGCTTAGTTGTCGATTGACCAAGAAGAAATGCTGAAGCTTACCATGTGGCCGGGTATAGATAACTATAGATCAGTCAGAATCAAGCCGTGACTCAGTCATCAGGAGATTTGTTTACCGCATTGAGCACGGCAGCTGCTTTGAAAAGACCACTAGAAGCCATTGCGAAAATGTGACTGACTCCAATTTACTTTTGTTGGATGTGTTTGTCGGTATGGAGGATAGAATCTGCGAATGAAAACAATGGTAGGCGGGGTCAATGGTAGGACAAGCACCTGAAGGTATACCCCGTACACATGTCAATCCTGATATTGGCATCATATCTTCTTGACAGAAGAGAGATAATCGCGCAGATTGGTTACGGCCGTGAGCAGACCATGGTCCAGTGAGCGAATTGCTTGGATGGATACCCCTCGGTTGTTCCGTGGTGTCGATGAACATCTGCAGCCTTGCCTACGATGATTTTTAATTTATTAAGCCGGAGATCCTTTATGCTCCGCCACGGTGTTAGAGTATTGATCCTCCCGGCTGTCTACGTAGTATGTTATGTCGGGCTGATGAGGGACTTGCTTCCTAATCATGAGAGGGAATAATGAAAATGTTTAAAAACTGGATGTGCTGGGTGGAGCAAGGCATAAACGGCCTTGAGGCCTCCCATTAAAACCAGTGGTCCAAAATCGGTATAGGGTGGGCTAAGGGCCGCGGCCCGCGGGTGAGAGAGATATTGCGACTCGAAAGTCAGGTATGCCATTAACCATTGTCCTGTTCGATGTTATTTGAGTTACTCCGCACTATCTTGCCTTTAATGCCGGAAGAGTGATTTGATCGAGATGTTGATGAACGAACTGTTGATGGATTAAGCTTGGCGAGAGATGTAGCCGTTGAAAAGGATTGTTCATCGGTGCCTCAAGGCGACCCGAAATTGCAATGTCAAAGGTGAATTGACGAGACGCAGGGTCGCCAATATGACTGATGAAGGATATTCATTTTGGATTTGCATTTCGTCTATCTTTGCAGCTGGGTTACACGCGTGGGTCCTGGATAGATTTTATGCCCTTTGAAGCAGGGTTGGATTCAAATGGAGACTACTGCAATACGTATTTGTCATGCACGGCTGTGATGACAGTATATCTATTAAACCACTCAAGTCTACTCGTGAATAGTCACGAGATTCTAGTCTTTTTGTGGCGATCCCACAGGGATCAGAGTGGTTTCCTGACAGTATTAGAGCCATCTAATCGTCACCGATTCAGAGCATCCAATACCCAGCTCAGGAAAGGTCCTTGCAGATCGGCCGATACCAGTCTAGGCAGCAGATTGAAGTGCTAAAAGAATTGGAGATGTATCCTTTTGGACAATTAGCCTGTCACTGCGGAATCGTTCTTATGTCAATGAGTTCAAACTTACAACATAGCCCCGAAACTCACAAAGCCGAGGCGCGCCAGCAGTAACTGAGTCTGGATCAACAAGGATGCGAGCCGAGAACGGTGCGATGATATCTTTGCCGTTCCTCAATCCAACTTCGACCCGGCCAAACGCCATCAAATCGCGATCGATATCATTGTGAGCATAGACTTTCTCGAATATGTGCCGCCTTGAATGGACGGCTCTCCAAACATTGTCTCTGCAATGTATTATTTCTGGACAGGAAGATCAACCAAGAGTGGGCACTGGTGCCAATGGTTTGGCCTGTAGGGTCGGGGGTTGTACCAACCTTCACGGCCTCTATGTTCCCCGGATGAAAACACCACGGTGGCATTGTCTGTATAGACCTCGTCAACCATGCACTGGCCTGCTTCGCTGGTGGTGTCATCAAGTAATGACAATGCTCGTTGGATAAGTTGCTTGACACTTGGACCGATCTTTACGGTTGTTGGCCACGTTACTTCGGCGATTGTGTAAGACATAGTATCAGGGGCCAGTTTGAACACCAAAAGACCTCAATTCATAGATGGTGGTGAAATAATGCTCTCTATGTACCTATGAGTAGGATCTCGTCTCTGGGAATTCCTCGTATAGAACAATTTATATGTGTGCAAGCCATGGGCTAGAGTTCGGGCCGAGGAATTCAAGGGCAAAACGGGGCGAGCTGGAAGTATATAGAGAGGCAGTCAAATATTTCAAGAGAGCGCCGGTTTGTTGAAGCATGTTATGAGGATGCTTGAATGCATCTTGTTCGCCATTTTCGTGCCCTGTTGGGCCTTGACGAATCCAAATTTCGAGCCCTTTGATGCACGAAAACCTGCATGAACAGAGTTGATAGCGAGAGGTCAGCACTCGCCGACTGTCGCGTTATTGATCTCAATAGATCACTATGTCTGCATCGCAATCTCACCGGTGATTCATCGGTATTGGAAGTTTGTCTCGTTGGCAAACATCCCCGGTCTGGCTGGTGAGATGGAATTAGAATTTAGGAAGCAACGTACTCCGTACACTTCATCGACTCCTAAATCACGTGCCAGGCACAAGCATCTGTGGCTGATAGTCTAACGTCTTTGCGGGGCAAGTGGCTGGGCATGGTGGCTGACCAAGGGTCAAATATTCAACAAGTTGCTCACCATTCGATACTCAAGGTCCATAGTAGCAATTAGATATCATGGATATGTAGCTGGAAGAAAAGTGCACGTCCCGGACAGACTTTCAGTTGAATGAACGGTTCGGTAGCTCATTGACCAGGATCGACAAAGCAGCACTAAGTCAACCGAAGACCTTTCGTCAATTCTCGTAAACCACTTGATAGGGGTTCAGCCCAGTATGTAGCTAGAGAAGTACTAGTCCTCATGGGACACGAACTAGGACAGCACCTGCATCCTTAGCGGGCAACTACACTCCAGTGACCTCCGAAAAGGGACGAAACTGAGTGCGGAAGGAACCTCCACTAGCACTTGGCTGCACCCGCACCCAACGCCTCCACTCGTTTCTCCACATCCATCACCTCCTGAGTTTTGTCCATTGATGAAACCCACCAAGTAACACAAGTCGTTCTCTCGACGCACCCAGGGCCATATCCTCTGCCCATCCACTCCAGACAGATCGTCTGCAATACCCCAGGACATTTGTCAAGAAGTCTACCGGCCCGACGATCTTATCGCACCACCACTCCGTTCACATATCTTCGGGTGTCCGCCCCTATATCGAGACCTCACGACGCGCAATTGCTGTCCTCATCGACCTCCAGTGCGACGATCGAGTAGTCCTGTTGACACTATCAAGAGACACATGCCACAGTCCACATCTCTGGAACATGCATATAACGTCAGACCAACGGCCTTGACTCGTGCGACACCCAACCGTCATACACACTGGTAGCTGTCTCAAACATCCTCTGTCCCAACCCTACTGACCATTCAGGGTACTCGTCTGCTAGAGCCACTTTGACTCCACACGTTGGACATGACTTCTACTCAACCTCTTCCCTCTCCGACCCTCTCTATCCCTCCCAACAGCCCATCTATACGTCACCCTAATTCTCGTGACGACCACCTCCCAATATCATCACCTGGGCCCACGAGGCACCCTCCAGCGACCCCTACTATTCAAAGTGCACATGGACCCCAGACGTCCTCCAACATGGCTGCGTCCGGTTCTTTCTTCTCAGAAACCCCAGCCGTGGAACATGTCCTTGATGCCAACGAAGACGTCGAGGATCCCCATGACCTGTCTTTCTCTTCAAATCATATCCTGAGGGCTTCGATGGTGGACAATCTGGTCATGTCCCTGGACCAGTTCTCCGCCAATTTCGATGACTCTCCCTACAACTCTAGAAATGTCACATACGACACTACAACCCCAACCCGTCCGCGGACCAGAGGACATACCCTCTCCTCCTCCGTCTCTTCTGAAGGCGACGCATACGACCTGAGAAGCATGCCCAAGATTCCCGAATTCGTTCCCCGAAACCATCCACGTCCGGCTACCCGTCATCCGAAGAGCGCTCAGAACGTTCCCAAATTGCCTAGCATCTTTGGTGAAGATGAGGACTCGGTACGTTCAAAGGTCTACGATGCCCAAAGAGCACCTCCCCCGGCCGGAGCAAGGAGAAAGAAAAACACATCCACAAGTGGTAAAAGTACCACCAGTAGCAATTCCTCAAGTATAGATCTGGGCCACCTCGCAGGTCTGTCAGAGAGACTAGGGGCCGTGGGCAAGAGGCGATCGCGCAGCTTCGACTACGGCTCCAGGCAGAGGGTTCTTCGGACTGCTAAGATGACGGGTGAAGTCGAGGGTGCTTCAACCTCAGGCATCTTCTCTGGCTCCGAGTCTCACCCTGCTCCAAATGCCTCCATCACCGCCCTACCCCTCATTCGGAAACCAAGCAATAGATCCTCAAAGAGTGCCCATGGCAGGAAGGGCCGCTCAAATGCCCTAGGTACGGCGACCGTGAAGAACAACAATGAGCCAGCAGTTCAGATTCATAGCATGAAGAATTCCTTAACTCATCCTGGTGCTGCACATGATCAAAAGCACAACGCCGCCCCATCTCCAGCCGAAATCACACCTGTCTCCAGACCTGGCTTTTTCCGGCGCGTCTTTGGTTCGTCTAAAACGCCTGCAGTACACTCAGACCTTCAGGTGAAAACCAATGGTCGATCAACACCAGTGCACGACGAGACTCCGGTACCAAGTACCCCAACTAGCCGTGGCCTCAAAACCCCCGGATTGCCGTCAACAGATGTGTCGGCAAACAAGGAAAATCACCCGGTTCTGACCAAGAAATCTTCAGCCTTCTTCCGACGACGCAAGAAGTCAATCTCCACAGCCGTTCCACCTCCATTGCCCTTGGCCTTGGCTTCTCAATTCAAACCTGAGCCTGAAGTTGTGGGTGATGCCAGCCCCGTCAGCAGCCTAAGAGCGTTCATGGACCCGTATCTGAACGAGAGCCAGGCTGAAAGGGGCTCTGGTCACGTTCGAACAAATTCAATGCAGGGCTTCTACACCCCCAATCTTCCTCCACCCTCATTCAATTTGAGCAAAGAGGCCACTAATCGCTCTAGCCACCGCCGTACTGAATCCCATGGAAGCAACAGAACATTGAGATCCAACCAGAAACCTACGTCCAATCTACTCATTCCGCATCAGGACTCTTTTCTCGCCGACAACAGCAGCTCGGGCAGTCTGGAAGATCCTGTCAAGAAATCACCACATGATTCCAGTATTCATTCCGACAACGACCGCTCTGGTCTGCGAGCTCGTCAATCCGTTTCTGAGCTTAACAAGGGCCGTTCTTCTTCACACAGTCCCAACCCCAAGCCTGACACGGAATCTAAGAAGACTATCCCAAGGCAGAGATCCTGGAGATCTGACCGTGTGTCGCTCCCTGCAACCGTCACGACTGCCTCTCAAGCAGGAACGTCTTCGAGTCCTGACCCAAGCGACAGGACCAAGTCATCGGCTCCACTCCGAGTGGCCACCCATCTGGAATCAGCTCGCAAAAATTCCATACCTGTTGTCGCCCTTGACTCAACATCTGATTTGAGCGAGTACAAGTCAGCTCCCAGCACCCCTTTGATCATCGAGACGCCAGTCAACGTGAAGGTGGATTTGACCCCATCAGATGCTGCCGTGCCTCTTGTTTCCCAAATATCTGCCGATGAGAGCTATGTTTCCAAGGCGCGACGCATTTTTGACAATGTTGATGATGAGGTGGACTCTTCCACCGTCGGAGCCTGGTTAGGTGAGGCCGGACCCGAGAGGGAGCAGGTGCGCAAGGCATACATGGAACTCTTTGATTGGTCGAACCAAGACATTCTTGATTCGCTTAGAAGCCTCTGCGACCACGTAGCGTTGAAAGGCGAAACGCAACAGATGGACCGAATCGTGGATGCATTTGCTAAGCGATGGTGTGCGTGCAACGAGGCTCATGCCTTTAAATCAAGTGGTAATGCTCCAACAGTCTCTTCTCTCTGGGTTGTATGCTAACAAGTTTAGATGTTGTACACACAATCTGCTACTCAATATTGCTGCTCAATACCGATTTGCATTTGGCTGATATCGGGCAAAAGATGACCCGAGTACAGTTTGTGCGAAACGCTTTGCCGACAATCGTCGAGGTAGCCCAAGGAAAGGATGCAGACAAAACCTTGCGAACTCCCGCGATTGGGTCCAACTTCAACGGGTCATCCGTGGGAGATGCCGATGAACGAGCACAGGAAAAGGGCCTTCCCTGCCGGGAATCGAGACAGAACTCGACCTGTGAAGGTGGGCCTGGCCGAGCTTGGGAATCACACATTGAAAATGTTTTGAGGGCCTTCTATGTGTCCATATCCCAGGAGCCGCTGCCATTATCGGGAGTGCCACTGGAACCAAACACCACTTCATACCCGCCCAACAGCTTCCTCACCATCGGCTCAAACATGCTTCGACGCACACCTAGCGTTCTGAGCAAGGCTCATTCAGACACTCACCGTGGACGAATCACAGGCGAGAGCAAATCACTTGGGGCGCGATGGATCAGCAAGACGCGGTCACGCCCCCGGCTGCCCTCAGCACCCGGGTTTGGATCTAGTAGAACCAGCATCGATGATCAATCTTCGGCTTGGAGTCCATCCATGTCAAGTACATGGAGTCGAGCGTCACTGGGCAAGACTCTGACATCGATGTCAGTGGACTCATTGGGAACCGAGTATGGACATAATGACTACCAATCTTCGATCGGGTTTGCCAACGCTCTTAGTCAAGCCATTATTCGGGAGGATCAGCTCGAGTTCCCCGTTGAGGAAGGACCAAAAGCAGGAACACTACTTGAAGATGAGTCTCTTGAGCTCTGTGGGGCACCGTGGGCCAAGGAAGGAATTGTGAAGCATAAGTGTCACCTCGAGGGTGTTGACAAGCGATCCAAGGACCGGAATTGGAACGACTGCTTCGCTGTGATCGAGAAAGGGTGGATGAGACTCTTCTCTTTCTCCGCGAGTGCCAAATCATTGCGGCATAAGGCTCGGACCCCCAAGGCCGGAGCAGTGGTGGGGGGTGGCAACTGGCAAGACAATGCCGAAGAAGTTTGGAAGTTCATGCTTCGTCACACGATTGCCAGTTCGCTTCCGCCCCCTGGATACTCGAAAGCACGGCCGTATGTGTGGGCTTTGAGTCTGCCAACCGGAGCGGTGCACCTGTTTTCGGTAGGGACACCCGAAATTGTCAAGGAGTTTGTCCACACGGCCAACTACTGGAGTGCCCGACTGTCGAAAGAACCAATGATGGGCGGCATCAGCAATATGGAGTATGGCTGGAGCGACTCGGTGGTAAATCGACCACTACCCGGGTCCGATGGTCCTCCCGTGACCAACAACGCAGTCACCACTCCTCGACCTAGCACTCAAATGTCGATGCGGAGCTCTTTGGAGCACGTTGGGGGTGTGCGAGCAAGGCTGGCGGGTGATAGGGCTCACATTAATGAATGGAGCCCTCCTCAGCAGTCCATGTTTGCATCACAGTTGTTGGAAGTGGATCAACTCAAAGCGTTGCAAACATATGTGAACAATGTGGAAGATGAACTTCAAAAGCACAACGAGCTGCGAGGGATGATGTTGGTCGCATTCACGACTAAGCATCCTAACTCGACCAAAGCCATGAACAATTGGGAGAAGAAAAGCAGCTATCTTCTGAGAGAGATTGTCAAATTCCGGACATATATCGACACTCTCCAGAATGCACAAGCCACAAAGGGAAAGATCTACCAGACGCGAAAAGAGGAAGGGGATGCGCAACGGGGGGAGATCGACTCACGCAGTATTGAGGTCGAATAGAGAGACTGCTCCTGTTGCCACTCTACTGTATTTATATCCAACGAATTATGACTTATGATGGATTTGTCGTGTAGGCAACGGTTGGTCGATGAGCATTGGGGTGGAGAGTGTATTATATAGCTGCTGCAGACGATTCACTTGAAAACCAGTCATGCTGATCGTCATGGCCTTCCACATGACAAGCAAGCACCATCTTTACTGTTCCAAGTCGAGGCTGTGGAAATATCGATGCTCTCTGGATTATCGACATTCCGATCTTTATAGGGGCAATTGCTTGCTGCCCAAAATGATGCCTAGCCAGGGGCCGAGGGGCTAAGGTGCCAGTAATAAGCGAGGATGCTAGGGCTGTCTAGACAAACTCCGCGGAAGTTTGTTTATTTGGCAACCCAAGAGCCTCGAGGGGGCGAGGGATAGGGGGCTGGGAGTCATTGTGAGAGACCGAGGACCTCCGCGTCTCTACCATGTTTCGTCTCAGATGCAACAGTAAACAAAGCGGAAACTCTATAACTTCAGATGCCAATGTCAAAGTTTGTTGAACACAAGACTCATACGGAGTACTCACGTTGTACGGTGAATAGATAGAGTTGAGATAGAGAATATGGAGTTAAAAGCAGCGTAGAATAGCCCCTGTCTAGGCTCTAGTGGCTATGATTAGTAGGCTGATAGGGCACTAACATTTAATAAACAAGACGCGTTACTGCAACTGCGGTGGTTGCCACGTCGTGTATGGACGCAGGTTGCTCCTTCCTCGCGTGTCAAAAGTCCACCTTCCCATCTCCACTTGCATCTTGAGTCCGTTTCTATTCATCACTTCAGCCAACAATCAACAACAGTCACTCACTCATGCCCTCACCACCACCTCCCTTAGACCTCGATTCTGCGCCGAAGTCGATAAGATATGCAATCCTGGCATTCTATCGCCCTCGCCCTGCATACCTGCTGCAGTCTTGATTCCCAGTAGCCCTTGCGGCTCCCCTTGTCCGCCTCCACAATGTCGTCCTCAGTCCTCTCCAACCGTCCATCCACTGCTCGCCGCTCATCCAGGGTCCCCGGTGGTTTTGACCCAGAGGAGGAAGAAGAAGATGTGTCGCCCCCTGCAAGCCTTAATGGTGATTTGTTCAGCGACTCGTTCGACTCCCATCAAAACACATCCTCCTTACTGCCCGGGCCCCACGATCCCTCCAGCCTCCTGCAGCCACAAGCCCATAATGAACCTGACAACGAAAACACAAACCTGGACCTACCAGCGAACTCCACTTTCGATGAGAGTACTATGGACAAAAGGTTACAAGATGTCGAGTCGAGCTTCCTCCCAGATCAACCCTCCCAGCTTGCCGCTAGTAAAGACTCGCAAATTCAGGGCGCCGACGATACCCATTTGTTTGGCATAGTCAACAACAATATCGCCGTCCGAAGGAAGCCACAGCCCATACAAGTTTCACGCTCCTATTCCCCTTCCAACCCCGACCAACCTCTCAAATCCAACCCCCTTCGTTCTCCCATGACTCCCCCCGGGGGCTACAAGACCCCGGCGCCCGATCAGCAACATTTCTCCGATATGGACGAAATAGAAAATAGTACCCCTCAGATGCCAAACACTTCGGCTTTAGAGAATATGTCATCCTCCCCCACCGCAGCTGCTGCCGCACGCACGTTGTCTAGGGTTCAATCCATGGCCACTGTCGGTGGTTACGAGACTGCCCACGAGGAGGATCAGCTTGAGACGCCACAGACGCAGTCATACCCGAGCCAGGAGGATTCCGAGGCCACCCCTAAGAAGGATCCCTCGACTGCCTCCATTTCACAATCTGGATTTCTCTCGGTCCCCGGCATGGAGGATGGACAACAAGAATGGGAACAACCCGTCGTCAAACCCTCGAGAAGGCCCAAATATCTTCACAAGCGATCATCTCAAGCACGATTGTCATACGACTCCATGGCTAGCTCCAATACCGACGCTAGCGATGCAACTCTCGGCGCTGACTTTGCCCTGCAGTCGGGCGGCGCGGTGCCTGATTCCAGTACCATGCGGAAATCAAGAAACACAATCTCGCGCCAGGCAAGCCTCGGTAGCATGATGTCTGGTATTTCGGGTATGAGTGATGAGGATTTTCGCGCCCAGCGCCAAGTTGGACCTTCCGACCTGAGTACCCTACAAGAAGAAAGCCCAAAATCAAGCAAGGCTGGTGGCATCATTACCCCCAAGGCTTCCAAGTTCAGCTTCAACATGCCGACGGATACCGTAATTGCGAATAATGTTCGCGACCTTGAGGTTCCTGGTACATTCGCGCGACAATACCGCCAAGAGCGCAGTTTATCACCAGAGAAAACCATCGGCACCCTAGGCATGACCCCAGGTCCTAAGAGAGGCCTGACCTTGAAGGAACACAGAAGTACCGTCGAGAAGCTTGGTAAAGAGAACTTTGACTTGAAGATGAAGATTCATTTCCTCGACCAAGCGCTGCAGAAACGGTCAGAAGATGGCATCAAGGAGATGATTACAGAAAATGTACAGTTGAAATCTGACCGACTGAGGTTGGAGAAAGATAATCACAACTTGCGAAAACAAGTGAGAGATTTGCAGAAGAAACTCGAGGAATCTGGAACCCGTGAATCGCCGACTGCGGATCAGGGGTATGCCACCGACGAAGAGAGAAGCCCAACCGCAGAAGAGGAAGTCATATATCTTCGTGAAAGAGTCGAGATCAACGAAATCGAGATTGAAAAGCTCCGATCAGAGAGCCTGGCCAAAGAGTCGGAGAAAAGGCGATTGGCCGAGATGGTCAAGTCGCTTGGTGACACGCGAGGCGCTGCGTCAGACGTTGGCTCGCGCGAGGAAAGGGATATGTGGAAAGACATGCTTGAAGCTGAGACCATTGCCCGTGAGCAGTCGGAAGAGGACAACAAGAGACTGCGTGACGAAATCCAAAGGCTGAAGAACGAGTCAATGGCCCAAGGCAGATCAATGTCGCGTAAATCTCGAATCGGAGGCTCGATCGTTTCACGGTCAAGCAGTGTTGAGGCCGCCGCTCGTGCCCAGATGGCAGACCTAGAAAGACTGCGACATGAGAATTCCGAGCTTCAAAAGATGATCGGAGCACAAGCATCCACCCTCACTTCCCGGAACAAAGAAAAGGAAAGGTTATACCAAGAGATTGAAGATCTGAAGATTGGCCGCATGGGCGGTCTACGATCCGTCGCCGGAGACAGCATCCTCGATCGGTCAGCTTCAAGAGCCCGATCCCATTCTCGCGCCAGTAACGGAACTCGATTGTCTCGACTCAGTGACCAAGAGCGTGAGAACCTCGAAACTCGAGTCAACGAGTTGCGGGATGAGGTTTCGCAGCTCAAGCTTGAGAACCAGAACCTCCAAGGTCAATTTGACGAGGCACTGGCCGAGCTCGACGCCGTTGACGCGCAAGCACAAGCGGATGCAGATCAATTCAACGAGGAGTTGCACCTCCTGACACAAGAGCGCGATAATGCGCTTCGGGACGCCGACGAGCAAGACCAAGCCTTCCAACAGCTAAAGGCCGAAGCCCAAGAGGAAATCGATGGTCTAGGAGATGAGCTGGATGCGAAAGTCGAAGAGGTGACCCGGCTGGAGCAAGAGTTGAATGCCCAGATTGAGAATGTCAAAGCACTTCAAGCGGAAATGCGATCGGCGGCAGAAGGGCTGATGCGTTTGGAAGAAGACGCCCAACAGAATCTCGCACGCTACCAGGCCGTCAAAGGAGAGCTGGACGATTCCAACCGAGAGATTGAGAGCCTGGAAAAAAATCTAGCCGAAGTGGAAAGCAAGATGCAAAGGTTGACGGTTCAGCAAGAGAGCAGTCATAATGAGATTGCATTCTTGCGCGAGGAGCAAGATGCGGACAAAATTAAGATTGGTGACTTGGAATCCCTCCTCAAGAAGGTTCACCTTAACCTGGAGTCTGAGAGGGACAAGAGTCGAGATCTGGAACGTCGCATTGCGGATGAAAGGGCTCAGCGAGAAGCCGTGGCCAGCCAAGAGAAACAAGACGTTCAACGAGTCATCAACGATCTCAACCGTGAGGCGACAGGGGCCAAGGACGAAGTGAGAAAGCTTCGCAGAGCCCTTTCTTCGAGGAATATTGAGGCCGATGCTTTCCGAGATCGTCTTCAAGAACTCGACGACGGGCTGCGGAATATTGTCGGCGACCCCAACGGATCAAGGAGTAGCATTCTGAGTGCCGTGAGTAAAATGAGTCGGGACCTGGATCAGACTACGTTTGATTTGGCTTCAGTGCGCAAGAAGCTGGAAGAGACTGAAGGCTTACTGGCGGATCGGGATGCCCTCCTCGAGTCTACTAGTCATGAAGCCCGGAGATTTGCCGATGCCTACGAACGTGAAAAGCAAGGTCGACGACAAGATAAGATTGACTTTGACCGTGCCAACAAAGGACACAACTCAACCACGAGAGCATTGACAAATTCATCCGCTAGAATCGCAGAGCTGGAAGGTCTTCGACAAACCGACCGGAAACGGCTGGCCCAGGTTGAGACGCAATTGAAGGACCAACTCACTGAACGGAACCAGGTTCTCCTCAATCTCTGGAAGAAGCTATCAGCGATGTGCGGGCCGGACTGGGCACACAATAACAGTCTGATCAATGGCAACCTTCCGTCTCAGGAGGTGATTGGGAACATGCTCTTCTGGCCTGGTTTCAGCCGTAATTTGTTAGTGGCAGCCAAACAAGTTGAAGCACAGCTTTCGACATTCCGAGACAAGATCAAGCGGGTTGAGCGGGAGTTGTACAAGGAGTACCAGGCATTGGAGCAAACGCTGGATGTGCGGACTCGCAAGCTCGAACGGATAGAAGAAAGTTGGGAGAAGATGAAACTCAAGATGAATGAGATGGAACTTCATACCCATGACCCTGGGAATCGGACGCCAAAATCGGCACGGACGCCGGAGATCAGTAAACTCAAAGGTGAGAACCGGCTGCTGAAGGCCGAGTTGCAACTGCTCCAACAGCAGCAAGCCCATCATCATAATTCGCACGCTCGACGCGATCGAAATGAAAGCCGCGCGTCAGGGTACTCGAGTGTTATGTCAGGTGATGGAGGAAATCAGCAAACAGATGGGTCTGGCAGCGGCGTTGTTGGAGTTCCAGCTCGATCGTCCAGCATGAGGCGGAATCGAAATATGGAACTTCAACGTCACCACTCGACCGGAATCGTGGAGCACTTGGCAAACTTCAACGGCGAGGTGCGGCCAAGACGATCGAACTCGATTTCAAGCCGCAATTCAGGACTCTCCCCAGGGGAGAGGGAGAGGGAGCGGCCGACGGGATTGATGATTCCTGCAGGGCCATTCAACGCTCCGGCCAACGGAAGTTTCGCTCTGCCACCGCCGCCACGAGAGGCTCCACCAGCCCCACCCAGTACAGCATCAGGATCTGACATTGCCAGTATCACGACCACGGGGGCTGCACAAGGTCAAGGGCAAGGGCAAGAGAAGTGGATCCATCGACTACGAGAATTGGAGCGGAGACTGAAGGCTGAACGAGAGGCACGACTTCTCGACCGAAGTGGAGCACGAAAAAGACTGGAGGAACGAGATGCTGTCAATGAAGAACTGAGGCGAGAGTTAGAAAGAGAAAGAGTAAGGAAGAATACCGAGACCGGAGAGTTGGGATCGCAGGGATACCCAATGACTGAGGCTTCTATGGAAGCTGATGGAAGAGTGCGAGACGGAAGCGGGGACGGGACAAGGAAGCGCTAGGTTCGTTCAATCACCGGATTTGTTTGGGCGAGGTATATGGAAAGCCGTATGGGACTGGATCGAGGGAAAGTGTACCAGTAACCCAAGCATGAGCATTGGAACAGCAGTACGAAGGGATTTGGAAATTTGGAGGTGAATTATTATGCTGAAAAGATTTGTATCATTATTGTAGCTGTGGCATCAGCTTGGTAACATTTGTGCTAGTCATTTAGATACCCGCGTCTTTGCTATTGTGGCCTCGATGACAATCTCTTCGACTTTTACATCAGACGTGATCATGGAGCGTATCTGAAACCTTCAACGCCTTCCAAAGCAGGTCTCTTTCCTTCGTCGGCCAATCTGTTCTGCCTCTTGAGCCACATGGAGGTGATGAAAGTAATAATACCAGTCATGATTTGCAGACTGATGGTTGTCCACATGCCGGGGATGTATTGCTGCAGAACAGTCACAGACAGGTATTAGTCAAAGCGCCTTCGGAATCATCATGCCGTCAACAGGAATAGATAAAATCAAACATACCGGCGCATCCTGAGCTCGAAAGATAGTACTTCCCGTCACACCGCCAGCAGCACCAACACTGATCATGACAGCAGCAACGATGCCCTTTTTATTCAAAGTAGCCGTTTGGTTCTGTCCATACGCCAAAAACTGAGGTCCGTTTGCCTGTGATCCATACACAGCCAGGAAAAGACCAAAGTATCGCACCCCAGGGAGGCGTCCGTACAGAACGATGATCAAACCCACCACGGCGATCGCACACTGTGCACAGATAATGGGCCATCGAATCCGGAGTCGATCCGAAACCCATGCGCTCGTGAGACTCATGATCACCGCGAATACGTACGGTGGGCTGGATAGAAGTTGCGCCAGTGCATAGCTGTATCCCATGCCCTGGCGTAGAATGATGGGTTGGAAATATGCGAGCGCATACACGGTCGCAGCTGCTGTGAAGTATTGGAATGAACTAACGGGCGATCGACTTTTAGTACAGACTTGCTCATTTTTCTTTCTCAGGGGTTTGCTTCAAGGTTCGCTTACAAGACGATCAGTTTCCAATCCAGGAGCATGCGGAGCACCTCCTTGACGGTCGCGTGTCCTTCGACTGAAGATGTTTTCACTCTATTCTCTTGTAGGCGCGCCAGCGCAATATGTTTGTCTCGTTCATTGAGAAATTTGGCCTTTTCAGGGACTATACAACGTCGTTAGCTTGCTATGCGGAGATCGAGAGGCTCAGAGCCATCTTGGCCAACTTGCAGTCTATTAAAAACCACGGGCTTATGAAGCCAACGATGATGGTGCAGATACCCTCGATAATGAAAACTATCAATACCGGTCAATAACGTGCGCATGTGAGTGCGAGAAGCAACAAGACTTACTCCATCTCCAGCCCTGTCGGTACATACCGTCTCCGACACGAATCAAAGAGAGAACATATGCAAACTAGGACATTCTCAGCCTAGGAAAACAAGATTCTTGTTGGTCGACTTACGATAGGCCCGAATCCAGAGGCGAAGAGGGCAGCCATATAGAAGAGAGAGATTCTAGCCGCCATCTCGTACTTTTTATACCAGGAGGCAATGATGAAAACAGCTCCAGGATACACTGTCATAGGATGAGCGCCACAGCATTGGAGAACAGTACAGCGAACACTCACATCCAGCCTCAAAGATACCTAAGATCACTCTCAGGACAGTCAATGAGACCCAGCTATGCACGAACCCCATTGCCAGAACTGATGATCCCCAGACGATGATGAGAAACGGGAGCCACACGCGAGCACCGACACGACGAATCACCATGTTGGAGGGAATCTCGAAAAGAGCATAACCGATGAAAAAGACCAGCAATGCGATTGAATATCGTGCTCTGTATGTGTCGATGAATGAATTCGTCAGTGTATCCAGATTTTGCAGAAGTATTTTCCAATCCCATGGGAGAAAGGGAACTTACCCAATGTGCAGTTCCAAATCCTCTGACATGCCCGCAATATACGCGGCCGAGATGTTGGTTCGGTCAAGAAGAGAGAAGCCGAAAATGATGCAAAGCATGGGGAAGACATGATTGTCAATCCTCCTCCTACCCTATGTCAGACTGCGAACGATAGATCCTCTTCGAGAGTTGCCACTAGGTATGTACTTACACGAGCTTCTTCTCTTCTTTCTCCGACCAGTCTTGGACAACAGGCTCTTCTTGGTCTATCTGCACCGACTGTGCGATGTCTTCTTTGTGGATGGACTGCTGAGAAGACTGCGACAGTACCTTCTCGTCGACGTCGGTTGGTTGATCCTTAGGAGACATCCTGAGAAGCAACAATTCACGAGTCTCGAATGGTTTGGACTGCTGGTGTTGGTATTGGATCCTTGATACGGGGTCGAGGAATACTAATCATTGTCTACATGTTCGAAGACCCCTTGATATATGTACTGGAGTACTGAAGCATCATGAATGTTGTCCGTTTGCCTTCGCACATTATAGAACAGCTGAGCTCTGCCTTAACCTTGGGCCACGGCCGGCTCGTGATCAAGGTCTGCCCACACTCTTGCTTTGTGGGATATGAAAGGCTGCCCCGGATTTCCCCACACTACACATACTATACTAGCGGCTGGGTTACGGCTGACGGGACTGAGGTCTGGCCACATGCTACAAGCGTCACGACTTGAAAAACTCTTAGCTACGAGCAAGTAGTTCTTGGCCTTGGGTTGCCTTAGCCGTTGCCCATGGCCGGCGCGTCAACCGTCAGCCTCACAACGATTAGAACAGATCAGTTGCATCAGTCTGCGATGAACTCTCGAGGGCTGCGTACCATGGTGTAGATTTTACACGTGTATTCGGTGGGACTGAACATTGCCATTTCTGACCAAGTAACATAATGTACAATGATAGCTCTGCACGCATTTTTGCATGTGATCTTCTCAATCCATGTAGTCCCTTCGATTACGGTGCTTTGATACCGAGGTAGATTTTCTTCATAGTTTCGCAGTCGTTTTGCCCGGGCCCCAAGTCGACAAGTAGTACTCCGGGTAAGGATACTCTCCGTTCTTGTTGGCGCCACCCTGAGCTCTCCAAGCACCACCATCGACTTTGGGAGTAAGAGTAAGTCAGTCACCAGTATAGGTATAGTGTGTAGAATTAGAAAAAGCATCCAACGTACCGACAAGAGTGTCTCCATTCACGTAGCTGCCAGTGTCTCCAAAGAGGAAAATCGTTGCATCTGCAATTTCCTTGACAGTGCCGAATCTCTGGCTCGGAATCGTAGCCACGGGTTTATTGTATCCTTCTGCAGATTCAAGTCTTCTCACACCCTCGGTTCCGCCGATCGGGCCGGGAGCAATGATATTTGACGTGATTCCTCGAGGGCCATACTCGATGGCAACCACCGAAGATAAGGTGTCGACACCTGCTTTTGCCGCACATCCATGTGCCAGAAGTGCCGTGCCTTGATACTGTAAAGTGGCACTGATGAACACGATTCGTCCTCCGGTTCCACTTGCAGGTGCTGTGGGGGGGCAACATCAGTATTCATAAAAGTCATTGCGTTGGTAAAAAAAACTACGTACTTGCCGCTCCAGTGGCAGGATACTTTGCCGCCGATTCCTCAAGATACGGCAGGACGGCTTTGAGAGTATTGAACGAACCGATCAGGTCGATGTCGATAACTGATTTGAAAGCACGTGGTGACATATCTGCGATGCGTGCGAGAAACGTTCCAGCAGCACCAGCTCTGGATTTCATCGTCAGCAAAACAAACAAAGAGTTGGGGTGGTAGTCGGGAGATGGATGAATCATGCATGACTGACATGACAAAGTCGATTCCACCGAGTTCTTTTACACAATCCTGGACCGCCTTCTGGAGACTATCGAAATCTCTGACATCTACTGCACCGTAACCAAGAACTCGTGCTCCCTTGCGGACGTTGGCCAATGACTTGGCCATCTTCGTGGTCTTTTCGACATTTCGTCCCACAATGCAAGCATTTGCTCCCAGGTACACCAATGCCCGAACTTGGACACTGCAGATGTCGCCTGCTCCTCCTGTACAGAAGACCACTTTATTGTCTGTGACGGTAGGTTAGGGATGCTGAAGTTCCAGTTTTGCTGAACTCGCAGTGATGACATTCTTACTGAAAATCCCCTCCCTCCAGCTTGAACTGAGGTAGTCTGGACGCGAAGCTGCCATTGTAGAAAGTTTTGAGGAGAATTGCAAATAGGTGGCGGGTTGAGTGGTGCACAGCGTATCAAGATATATAATTCAGATCTGAGATCTGCATCATGTAGGAATGGTCATTCCTCATATCTCTATAAATGGATTACATATCGAAGCCCGGAGAAAAGTCGGACGGTCAATCGCTACAGTGAGATGGAGTGCACAGGGTACGCCCTCGGTCCGCGGGGTGGATATCCGGTGCCAGCACTGAGAGTTTGTTCACTCTCACGCATATCAGGGTTCAGACTTGTTTACAATTCGCATTTTAATGAGTGATTTCAGACCATTTATTTGTGTTTAGCCAAATCTGAGACAATTGAGATGGCTACATCACCGCCAATGATCTCCTATACGACAAGGGGCAAATTTGCGATTTTGACACTTAACAAACCGAATCGACTCAATGCACTCTCATTACGAGAATTTCACGATTTTGCAAGAACTTTGGATGAAATCGATCAGCTGAAAGATGTTGTTGTGACCGTTGTCACTGGAACAGGACGATTCTTCTGCGCGTGAGTTTGATTCGAGGTCTCTATGATCAGGGTCTTGACTAAGGGGGGCCTGTTGTTACATGATCTGACATATTATAGAGGTGCAGACATCAATAAGTCTTCCTGGAAGACAGACGGAGATGTTAGACAGCACCACCTACAGGAATTGGTTGCAGCTAACTTCTACCTGACTCGGGCACTCTCCACGCATTCCAAGATTCTGGTGATTGCCCTCAATGGCCCAGCGGTCGGTGGCGGCGCCGCGATTGTTGCCTTTGGTGATTTCGTATACGCAGATCCAAAGGCATACTTGCTGTTTCCCTTTGCATCTCTGGGGTTGGTGGCTGAAGCTGGCACGTCACGGACAGTTGTGCAGAAGCTGGGGATTTCACTCGCAAATGAAGCCTTACTCACAGGCCGACGACTCCAAGCTGAAGAACTGCTCAAATGTGGATTCGTCAACAAAATCATCAATCCAGCCACTGATGATCGAGATGAAATCTCATTTTTGTCGTTTGGCATTGATCCAACACCTAAGAATGAGAGCAAGATCTCATTCTTACCGTCGGTATTTAAGGAATTGGACGAATGGCTTGGGGATCATCTGAACCCCTCAAGTCTCCTGGGAATTAAATATCTGATTCAACGGCCGGAGAGAGATGTCATTGAAGCACAAAACGTGAGAGAGGTATTTGCTGGTGTAAAGCGCCTTGCTTCTGGAGTGGTGGATCGCGAGATGGCTAGAATACGGAGCGGGCAAAAGCGGCATAAGCTCTAGTCAGATGCCCGAAGAATGTGTGGGTACTCGAAACAAGACCATTTGAGCAAAGCAAAGACCTAAGCCATTCAATCTCACTTGATGCCATGATCTGACTGTTGAGTATGTCGTGACAACTCTACTGACTTGCAGGTAGAACAGGTGGGCGGGCGATAGGGGAGTCCTGCTGTGTGGGGAAAAGGGGCCGAGGACGGCACACGGGATACAGCCTTATCACGTGCATCAACGGCTGACGGCCTGGCAGACGGTTAACGGCTGGCGCATAACGGTTGGTTTGTCGACCCCACTTTGCAGCAGACAATTGCGGAGAAGCTGGCAGACGGCTACGGGGTATCAAGCATCAAAACCACTTCAACCTTGGCTCCTCACGAGATGACCATGGGCTTACTGCCATGGGCCGAGACGAATTGGCAGAAGCCTAGGTGCCCTCACTACAGGTGGTGCATGGCAAATAACAGTATATGGGACACATGCCTATAGTGACACCCCAACTTCAAGTCTCAGGTCGACAACGCCTATTCTTAGGGATACAAACATCTGATTCTCAAATCAATCTGTAATAGTTCCAACTGCAACGACACTAGCCAAAGCCATGTATTCTAAGAGATCTCAAATGCCGGCTTATGTGCTGGGTGTTGGCTTGACCAAATTTGTCAAGCCACGAGGCAAAGTTGATTACAATGAGCTTGGGTATGAGGCCGGCATCAAAGCCATGCTGGATGCTCATATTAACTACGACGACGTGGATATGGGTGTCGCATGCTACTGCTATGGCGATAGTACCTGCGGACAGCGAGTCTTCTACCAATTTGGCATGACTGGAATTCCTATCTACAACCAGAACAACAATTGCGCCACCGCCTCAACTGGCCTGGCGATGGCCAGGAACTCTGTCGCATATGGGGCTGCTGATTGTGTCCTGGTTGTAGGCTTCGAAAAGATGAACCCCGGGAGTCTGGCCTCATTCTGGAAGGACAGGACAGACCCCTTGGAAAGAAGTAAGGCCATCAGCGACAGCATCCGGCCGGCATCCAAAGCTCCGTTTGCTGCTCAACTGTTTGCCAATGCGGCGCAAGAGTATATTGACAAGTAAGAATTCAGGTATTGCTTTGGAGAATATTATGCTAAACCTTGATCTCCTCTACTAGATATGGGGCAGAACCACGCGATTTTGCGGAAATTGCGCGAGTCAACCATGAACACTCTCAGCGGAATCCGTACTCGCAATTCCAGGACGTCTACACATTAGATCAAATACTCAGTGCGCCTAAGATCGAAGGTGTCCTTACTAAGACACAATGTTGTCCTACGAGCGATGGTGGCGCAGCCGCCGTTGTCGTGTCGCAAGCATTTCTCGACGCTCGCCCCGAGTTGAAATCACAGGCAATTCTTATAGCAGGACAACGCATAGCGACAGACCCCATCTCTACGTTTAATGGATCGTCGTTTAATCTCGTTGGACATGGCATCACTAAGTCTATCATCCAAGACGTCCTTAAGGAAGCAAATGTGAAATCAATCGATGATATCAAACTGGTGGAACTTCACGACTGTTTCTCGCCCGCGGAAATGGTCTTCATCGATGCCCTCGGACTGTGTGAACCTGGAAAGGCCCACGAATATGTCCGGGCTGGCAATATCACCTATGGTGGCAAAACCTTGATCAATCCATCGGGAGGCCTGCTCTCAAAGGGCCATCCACTAGGTGCTACTGGCCTGGCTCAGTGCGCTGAGCTCGTATGGCATCTTCGCGGATGGGCTAACAATCGTTTAGTCGAAGGTACCTCCGCGGCTCTTGCGCACAACCTTGGTCTGGGAGGCGCAGGTGTCGTGACCATTTACAAGAATGCCAGCGGAAAGCCTAGCAAGAAGGTCTCAAACGACGAGGTGGCCAAATTGACCGGGCTAGGCTATAACCCAGCTACTCAAGCAAAAGGATTCACGAAGGCCCAGGCTGAAAAGGTTCGGTCAAACAGGTTCCGAAGTGATTGGGCACTAGGAGACACGCACACACAGGTTGAAGCAAAATTTTGATAAGAGCTTCACACTAGCTAGATCCAGAAATGAATATAACTTTCCGGATGAGTTTGGAAGACCATATGATTCAAACATTCTTGATCGAGGAGAGTCAACTTGGCATGACCTTAAAAGTAGCATTATTTATCTCGTCAATCGAAACCAGTCAGAAAAATCCATCGATGGTATATGCAAGCTCCTGCAAAACTTCCCATGTTATGAGTGTCGACCTCCCTCTCAAACATTATTGCATCGAGATTGCTTCCTCGCCCACTTCAATCGGTAAAACAGGTTGAAAATCGTGGTAGAAATCACCGAGAAGCCGGACTGTTTCGTCTCGGAAGTTGCGGTAATAATCCCATTCGTCAGCGTGCTGTCCAGGTATCGATACTTGGGCATCTTGTAAGGCACTTCCAAAGTCGAGCGGTAGTTCCCACTCTAGATTGTCTTGCTGAAAGGAAAACATGTGCTGGGCACCTTCGACGGCACCTCGTTGCTCCAATGGCACATCCCACCCAATACTTTCTTGGAGCGCGACTGAATCGTATGACAAGCTAGTGCCCTCTGGAAACAGAGCTTCAGGCAAGGGCCGAGTAACCTCAGCTACTCGTTTGCCGTCATCCGGATTGTCAAGAACAGAGTTGAAGCGGGATTGCGCCGAGACTTGATCTTCGAGGTCGTTCTCCGGCATGGCCAGCGTTGTCTGACCCGTCAAGGATTTTTGTGATAGCTTTCTTGCCTGAGCCAGTAGACGGATAAAATCCGCCGAGAAATCAGCCGCATAGTAGTTTTCGCGCAGCTCATTCAGCAAATGTGAGCATTGTTCGAACCCGCGCACACCAGCCTTCTGAATGGACTCCTCACTGGACAGCATATCGGAGATGTGACTGACCACTGCAGCAACAAGCGCACTGATTCCGGTCTGAGGAAGATGGCGGGCGAGGTCAAGCCGATGGAGCTCTACGGACAGCTCTGTAATTGACTGTGCTGAGTGCCTGACTGTTGAGCGTACCTTGCTCTGGAAGGCGTCTTCTGGTTGAGACGGTCGTAGCCACGGCCGGTACAAGGTGATGAGGCCGGTGTGATAAACAAGATGTAACACTGTGCGAATGACGATAAATGGCTCGAACCCCGAGTCAGAGATCTCGGATCCTACCGTCGTGGTTCGAAGTTCAGATGGCAAAGACGCTCGCCATGACTCGAGGGAACTCTCGAGCTGGTCGATTCGAGATCTGGCAGCTTCGGTAGTCAGGGGTAGAAGAACCATCTTCGACGATTTGCCATCAGACTTTCCGGCTCTGCGGCGATAGTCTCCCAATTTGTACTGCTGGGACAATACCGAGTAGAGGTGCTTATTGAGTTGCGCTTGCGAAATTGTCGACAGGCACAAAAGGCGTCTCTTTCCAGGTGGCCAGCGAACTCCTACCTTGTTGAAGCCAGGTAGGGGTACATCGCCGAGATCGTAATCCTCAATGGTCAATTCAGGGACGTCATGATCCCGTGGATAATGGCTGAGGGGTGCTTTCAGACCAAGAGCGCACAATGGATCGCGCGTGATAAAGGACCACCAAATTCGTCTTCGTATCCGCCTTTCATATTCTGGAATGTCCATGGTTGCTGGATTACGGTTCAAACCTTCACGCTCGCACAAATATAGTGCAACTCGAAGCCAATGGCAAGCATTCTTTTGGTCATCTGGAGTCTCATACCAATATGACATAAGGCCTAGGGCTTGAATGACTGCCATCCTGTTCTTCTCGTACTCCATATCATAGAGAGCCTGTGATTTGTCAGTTGAAGGGACTTAAAGTGCTGTTAAACGTGAATTGGCGCACTTTTGTTTTGATGAATAATGCCTTTCTAGCTGCTTTACGGGTTAGAAAACCCAGCATGCGGAGTGGTTTGATATCAACATGCGCACTTCCCGCAAACATGACAGCTTGAAATAAGAGAAGACTGATGCGACTGGTGTTGGGTGATGGATCTGTGATGGCATAGAGGAATCGACCGAGGTCGAGAAGGGGCATGTACGGGTGGGAGAACTCAGAATAACAGCGAAGAATGGCATCGCGAAATTTTGGGGCTGGAATGTCAAAGCAGCCCTTCTTATGAAGATACTCAATATCTTCTGCGGGTAGATGGCTGGGAACAGGCTCCAAAAACTCCGGTAGGCAGACTGTTCCTAACGAGGAAGAAGTCTTGATCATGGCATCGCTAGTACCTTGAGGCGATGTGCCGGAATTGACGCTTGGAGTCAGATTGAGAGAAGGAGCTGATGAACAAGGTCACTAGGTATCTGGCCATAAGGTCCTTTTACATACCTTGAACGATCTCATCTGGGTAGTGAATGGGGAAAGAGGCTGCCACTTCGTCTGGATCATGAGGAGAAGGCACACGGTGGATGGGAATTACGTTCTCTGGTGAACGTGGCTCAACTTGCTGCACATGGCTGCCATTGCCATTGGCGACACTTCTGGCCTGGTCTGCGGTGATTGCGACAGCATTTGCACTTTCCGATGCTTGTACAGGGTTTGAGGCTTGTACGGAGTGGTCGAGCTTTGATTTCCTGTGATACCATGTCAACTTAGGATTACAGCAGGTGGGAAAGCAGGACAGGCATACTTGGACTGTCTCGTCTTTGTGATGGCACATTCGATGCTCTCTAAGACACAATTGCTGCAGGGGTGGCGGTCCTCAACATTACAGCGAATTTTGCGCCATTGGCAAAACGAGCAGGCTTTGCTGGCACGCCTCTTGAAGGTCTTGTGGGCAACCGCTATGGATGTGCCGCCAGTGGGAACGGTTTCACGGCCCATCGGTGCTGGGTTGCCTGTGGCAGGGTGAGACATGTTGAGGATAATGAGAAACAGCCGACGGCCGTGGAAGACGGGAAAGATGAGTAGGATTTGTGGGAAAGACTAAGCATGAATTGACGATCTCAAAATGGTCAATTGGCAAAGGCCAAAGCCGAGGATGGGAGGCGGTCGAGTCGATCGATGAATGGAGTAGACGGAGGTTCGAGGACGGGAGGGGTCTCATCCCGCCACACTATGGTTCCAAGCTGAAGGGAATTATGGATAAAGGCTTAGAGAGGACCATTAGAGTCCATACGAACCATGTTGCTCTCTAAAATGTAATCGTAGTAATTCACAAGTGAAATTCATTGGAGGAATCGTGCCCTCGAGGAATTTCATGTAAGTCTGACTATCGCCATCCGTTGGTACCCCAGTGCGGGGGGAGGGGCCCGAGGCGCCAAGGGGGTTTCGAGAGACCGAGGGACCTATAGGGGCCGGCGGGGGTCCTTGGCCTGCCAGGCCCCCCAAGTCTACCAGTCCATGAGCTCCAGAACCTCTGGAGTATGCCTGGGGGCCTCATCTGACTTGGCTCTTCATGTCATTGCTAAACTCTGGAATTGGATCCCTCTGAGAAGCGTACTTTCGCCATTCTCTATACTATATGCTGGCAAAGCATCTGGCAATCGAGTCTGGACTAACTTCACATGTTCAGGGACAGTACATAGGCTCGTCCTTCGCCCCCAGGGACAAAGGTGACCTCTTGCCGAGACGTCCTTCGCATAGGTAGGTAGGTAGGTAAATGGTAGTATGGGTCTGGTATTGTCTGTTCAATGGCCAATACAGCATCCAGTGTCTTCTAAATATGACGCAAATACGGTCCCAGGGTTTTTCTGGGGTTCAGGGAACGGCTCTATTGTCATCGTGTCGCGTTTGTCACGGCCATTGTGGGAGGGCGTGTTGTTAATCCTAGCCCACGCTACAGCCAGGTGCACGATATCAAGTAAGGTCAGCAGACCAGCAACAGACCTGTATCGAAGCGGACCCCTGGCAGTACAAGCACTCAGTTGGAAGTGCCACAATTTGTTCCCAAGAGTTTGTTCATATGAGGTGCTCCTATTGACAGTCCCCCACGTGCCGAGGCTGGTTATGGCCCGGACGCTTTTCCGTCAACCGTCGCCCGCCTGGCGAGGCTCGCTGACCATACTGACGGGGCCCTACCTCTGAATCTACAAATGCCTGATCTGCAAAGCAATATGAATATGAACACGCCCTGTCGTCTTCTGGAGCTAGCCAAAGCCGACCAGTGCTTCGCATACTGACTATCCTCTGTTCCAGCCAATATCACACCAGCATCCTTCACAATGCCACAAAAGTCAAGATGGAGTGTGGACATTCCCATCACATCTATCCCGTCACTCATTCTCGGCAATCCTCACGACACATTACCAGACACTCCAGCTTATTTCGATACCGATAGACCGGAGACTCTGCACTTAACATGGCGAGAATATGCCCTGTGGTGCAAAAGGATTGCTGCCGGTCTACGAGCCGCCGGCCTCCGCCCAAATGATCGTGTATTGGTCTATTCGGGAAACAATATTTTCTTCCCCGTGGTTTTCATGGCAGTAGTCATGGCTGGTGGTATCATCACCACCGCAAATCCTGCTTTTGTGCCTCGCGAGCTGGCATATCAGCTCACGGATTCCCAACCAAGGTTTCTGCTGATTGCTGAAGCAAGTATCAATAGCGCAGTTGAGGCTGCTCGGCTTGCCAACTATGACTCTAGGAAGATCTTTATTTTCGATGATGCTCCACTGGAAGGTCATGGCAAAGATGCTGGAGGGATACGACACTGGGGCCAACTGATTGCGTCAGTAGACAATGGCAAGGATTTTCGATGGAAAGAGATCTCGACGATCGAAGAAGCGAGGCAGACTGTGGCTTTACTGTACTCGTCGGGTACCACCGGTGTCCCCAAAGGGGTGGAACTCACACACTATGGCCTTGTGGCCAATTGTGTCCAGCTGAACCATCTCTACACACTGAATCCAGTCCAACACCCTCATCGCCTTCTGGCAATGCTGCCAATGTACCATGGACTTGGACTATTGACTTTTGCCACAATGTCACCATATCGTCGCATCCCAACCTACATTATGAAGAAATTCAGCTTGGTGCCCTTGTTTAAAAACATTGAACAATTCAAAATCACCGAGCTGATGCTTGTCCCACCCATCCTGATTGCTATGGCCAAGAATCCAGAAGCAAAGCAAGGTAAGTATGACCTCTCAAGTGTCCGCAAAGTTGGCGTCGGCGCTGCGCCCCTATCACGGGAGATGTGTGAAGAGCTAGAAAAGTTGTGGCCTAATGGACAAGTAAACGTTAAGCAAGGCTGGGGTATGACTGAGTATGAAATCCTGGACTCAAGAGGCGTTCAAGCTCGTGGTGCTAACGCGCGAACAGATTACCTATCTCTTCGTTGAACTGGGATGAAAAAGAAATCTCAAAAACTCAAGCTGTTGGCGAGCCAGTTGCGAATTGTGAAGTGAAAATAATGAACGATGAAGGCACCAGCGAAATGCCCTTGGGCCAATCTGGAGAACTATGGTGCAAAACACCAACCATGATGAAAGGCTACTGGGGCAAACCAGAAGAAACGGCCAAAGTTGTCACATCAGATGGTTGGTTCAAAACTGGTGATATCGCTTTCGCCGACGGCAATGGTAAATACGTCATCATAGATCGAAAAAAGGTATGCCTTGATCGTGATCCTGCACGGAGCAACACTGACACATCGTGAAGGAGTTGATCAAGGTCAAGGGCAATCAAGTTGCCCCAGCTGAACTGGAAGGTGTATTGCTAGAACATCCTCAGGTGCAGGATGCTGCTGTAATTGGCATTAAACAGTATGTATCAACCCAAACAGACGACTCTATTAGATATATACTGACACAGTTCCAGTGGCGAGGATGAGCAACCTATGGCATACATCGTCAGAAAGCCTGGGTGCAGCGTATCTGCACAGGAGGTATTGAAGCATATGGCCGAGAGAACTGCAAGAATCAAGCATATTACAGGAGGAATTGTCTTCTGCAATATGATTCCCAAGAACCCGGTTAGTGCTGGTCATTGATAGAGCCCTGAGCCCGAGATTAACGTGATGGCAGTCTGGCAAGATTCTACGACGGTTACTTCGAGAACAAGCTGATGCAGATTCAAAGAGAGCAGAGTCTCAGGCGTCGTCGAACAGTGCTAGACTATAGATGAGATCCGACTAAGAGATTCAAGATTTGTCGCATATCGTGCCACTATGGGCGAGCCATAACACTATTAGCATCATCTAGCTAAACATTCCATATCATCATTTTATGCTCAATGTTCTAAGTAGAAAAGAGGAGAATGCTAGTAGACAAAATACATCAAATCGACCAGTTTCCATAGCTCCCCACAGTACACTTCTAGCTTAGGTGTCACTTGTCTTAAAAGCCAGCAATGCTTGCCTCATGGAGATCAGTAAGTGTCGTAGTCAAAACTGGACGAAGACACTCTGGGTTTGGGCCGAGTGAAGGACGGTCTGACAGGACCTCCTAAGCGAAGGCCCGCGGCATTTCCACAACAATAGCTAATAAGCCTATTAATTAGTTTCGGGACTCCACTTCACATTGTTCAAGCCGTTTAAGGAGCTGATTCGTCTTCTAGTTCCTGCCGTGGTACGAGGCTCGGTTTCTCAACCTTCTCCTTCCCAATAGCAGAATTTCCGGCCATGCATGGCAGTTGATAGCACGCAATGCATAGTCACATAGCATATGAGTACATAGTCAAAGCAATGGAAATCCATTTATTCAATTATGTAGTTCACGAATTGTACAATTTTCCCTATGAAAAGTGGTCAATTACTACCCACAACGAGTTCTTCCAACCATGTCGCTCCGCTTCGATAACCAGACTATAGTCGTGACGGGGGTCAGTCATGGACTCGGCCGGCTGTATGCAACATCCTTTGCATCTCGAGGCGCTAACATTGTTGTCCATGACCATTCTAACAAGGTATTACTGAAGATCATTGCGGTCCAACATCTATTGACTGACATGGCTACAGCCACTTGTCGATCAGATCGTCAACGAGATAAGCAAATCTGGTGGGAAAGCCGTCGCAGACTATAGTTCTCCGCAGAATGGCGGTAACATCATCCAGAATGCCGTCAAGACCTTTGGCACGATTCATGTGATCATCAACAATGCCGCCGTCGCTCAAAACCGTACTTGGAATGATACTAGGCAAGGGGATTGGGATTCACTGCTCGAAAGCGATTTCAAATTGTCTTATAAGGTTAGACCGCCATCTCAAATCAGAAATCACAAGCAAGGTCAAACTAATAGTGATGTATAGTGTGTACATGCTGCTTGGCCGCACTTTAAGAAACAGAAGTTTGGACGAATTGTTAGCACAAGCTCGGTGTTCGATAGTTCTGGATCTGCGGATTCGCCGTTACTTGCGGCCGCCAGACTAGGACAACTAGGATTCATCCAAACGCTTGCCAAAGAAGGCGCGAAATACAATATCATAGCTGCCACGCTCTCGGGCTCCGTGACAGGCAACGACAATGAAAGAGGCTCGAGCAACAACAAGCTGCAAAGCTCTCTTCAAGCCCTAGCCGCTCTCACTCACGGAAACAATCAGACCGAATCGGGACATCTATACCATGTCCAAGGTACTCGATGCCGCAAGTTACGATGGCAACGATCCTTTGGAGCATGGCAGAACCCAGACGTCGGATTGACTACAGGCTCCATCCTCAATAAATGGACCGACATCAATGACTATTCGAACCCGACGTATCCCAACTCAGCAGCAGATTTCAGCGCTATCCTGGCAAAGACGACAAAATTGGGCCAGAATGCCCCAGGGAGAAATATCCGCTTTGATGGAAAGGTGGTTCTAGTGACGGGAGCTGGGTCAGGGTAAGAGCTTGTCTGCTTCGTATCTGTTTTCTTCGCAACAAGACGAACATACTGACCTGTTGTGACTCTATATAGTCTCGGTCGGCAATATGCCTTGCATTTCGGCCGTCTAGGAGCAACTGTGATTGTCAATGACTTGAAAGATCCGTCATCCGTGGCAGAGGAAATCCGCACACAGGGTGGAAAAGCCCACACGGTGGTGTACTCGGTCAATGAAGGGGAGAAGATTGTAGCTGAGACGATCCGGTTGTGTGGGCGAATCGATGTGCTTGTCAACAATGCGGGATTCGTGCGAGATAAGTCTATTGCTAACATGACAGACGATCTGTGGAATTCGATTATGGAAGTCCATCTCGATGGGCTGTACAAGGTTACCAAAGCGGCCTGGCCACACTTTGTGCGGCAGTCATATGGACGAGTGGTCAACATTTCCAGCACCAGTGGCATATATGGAAATTTCGGACAGTCGAACTATTCTCTTGCTGTGAGATAAACCCATCCCTCTAAAGTTTGTCCAAAGGACTATGTCCTAACAAGAAAGATAGAAATGTGCCATTGTGGGCTTCTCGCAAGCGCTCGCACGAGAAGGTGCTCGGGAAAACATCATAGTCAACGCCGTGGCACCGGTGGCCTCGACTCCTGCTTTGGCCGTGGCCGTAGAAGGAAGTAATCCAGCAATCTTGGCTGAATATTCAGCTCCGTTTGTCGTCCTCCTGTGCTCAGATGTGGTCCCATACCCGGCAACCGGCGGAGTGTTTGAAATTGGCGCTGGATGGCACGCTCGCACGAGACTTGAAGCCAACGAAGGAACTGAATGTCAAAGCCTGGACTCGGCTAGTCAAGATCTGGGTGTGTTGGGTGAATTTCAAAAGTCTGCATTGTCTTACCCTGGAGAAGATGACGGTTCCCTGAGAGCTCTTACAACCCAGGCACGCCAGCATGGTGCATTGACAAGAATCGAAAATGCAAAGCAAGCTCGCACCGAAGGGTCAATCTTTGAATACACTCAAAGAGATGTCATCTTATACAGTGAGTTGGATCCTATAGTAGATGAGACTTCTGGGTGGTGGAAACTAATGCTTCTTGTAGATCTTTCTCTGGGAGCAAAGTGGACGGAGATTCCCTTGATTTATGAAAGAGTCAAGAATTTGCAAGTCATTCCAACCTTTGGGGCGATCCCCTGGTTTGGCGCCGCCTTACCCTTCAGCTACGACGAAGTTGTCCCCGGTTGGCATCCAGAGAAGTTCCTGCATGGCGAGATTTACCTCGAAGTCCGTAAATACCCCATCCCCACGAGTACGAAGCTCGTGACACATCCACGGTTGCTTGAAGTGCTGGACAAGAAGAAGGCGGCGGTTGTCACGACAGCATACACGACTCAAGATGCGAGGTCAGGCAAAGACATCTTCTACAACGAATCGTCTCTTTATGTACGTGACGCGGGTGGATTTGGTGGACCTCCTGAAGCAATCGAGGGTGTTTTGGCAAAGCCAGTTGGCAAACCACCGTCGCGGACACCGGATTTCCAACGCGTTGAGAAAACCAGCGACGAACAAGCGGCAATCTATCGTCTGAATGGCGACACTAATGATCTACACATCGATCCTGAAGTCGCCCATCGTGTCGGATTCGAGCGCCCGATTCTTCACGGTCTGGCTTTCTTCGGATTTTCGGGCAAGCACATCTATCAACAGTATGGGCCTTACCGGAGCATTCGCGTGCGCTTTGCTGGGACGGTCTATCCCGGGCAGACTTTGAGGACCGAGGCTTGGAAGAGTGATTCTGACAATGTGGTGTTATTCCAGACCAGGGTGCTGGAGACTGGCAAACTGTGTATCTCTGGCGGTCGTGCTGAACTGATCCAGCTCCCAGAGCAAAGTAAATTGTAGAAGTCTGTCAATTGTCCTTCAAAGCTGATAGGAGATGATTTGCCTAAGATGGGCCGCCGAGGCTGGGGTAACGGTAAGCCATAGCTAGGAGAAGTGGTGTTGGCTTATGCATAATGGCGCCCAAATCTACTCAGAAGACACCAGAGACCCACTTCCCTTACCTGCCGAACCGTCAACCGCGGCGGCCGAGGAGTGACTACGCATAATTGAACTTGAGATGAACTTCTAACCTACAGTGACACCAGACCGTTGATTTCCCCAGTGTTAGCTATGGTATGCCACGCCAGGTTCATTTTGGTACAAAGTAAATAATAGTGCAGTATGCCGAGGTATTGCATTGGATCCTGACCGCCACCAAGCTCATGTAAATTGTGGCAATAATATTACATATATTGTATCCTCGCGGCTCGCATCACCTAGAGTAGAAGCACTTTATTTCTATCGCTAGCACGGCACCGACAAGGAAACTGTTTTAGGGTCCCTTCAAACAGAAAGAGACATCATGGAGTCCAAAGCACTTGTCATGAGGCATATCCCAGGAAAGAAGGGAGAGGTGTATTACCCGTGAGTCTTGTATGCAACTGCAGTCGGCAGTGTACTTAGCAGGTCATGTTGCATCATAGGATCGAGGTAGCCACTTTGAAGGTTCCGAAGCCACAGGGCACGCAGCTGCTTGTGAGAATATCTGCTGCGGCGTTAAACCATCGCGATTTATTCCTGCGGCACGACCTCTATCCCAAACCTCAATTCGGCATGGCAATGGGATCAGACGGTGTAGGTGTTGTGGTCGACATGGGTCCACAAGCGTCCGGCCTTTGGATGAGACAAAGGGTAATAATCAACCCCGGACAGGGTTGGGTGAGCCATCCTGAAGCGCCCGAGTCGCCTGAAGGCTACTTGACGCTGGGAGCTAGCCCTGCAGGGACTGGTACATTGCAACAATACATGCTTGTGGACGAGGCCGATGTGGTTATGGCTCCGGAACACTTGAGCGACGCTGAGGCGGCAGCAATCCCAGCAGCAGGACTGACGGCGTGGAGAGGACTCATGGCGCGGTCACAGAATGCCGTGCCAGGTCGAAACATCTTGGTCCCTGGGATTGGGGGAGGCGTAGCACTGTACGTGTTGCGCTTTGCCGTGGCTTTGGGATGCAGAGTCTATGTCACATCAAGCAGCAGTGAGAAGCTGAGGCGTGCAAAAGAGTTGGGAGCTGCAGGAGGCGTGCTTTACACCGAACCAGATTGGGAGTCGAAGCTCCTTGCGCTTCTCCCAGCAGAGAGGAAGACCTTCGATGCCATCATCGATGGAGCTGGAGGAGAGATTGTGAAATCGGGTGTGAAGCTTCTCAGGAACAATGGGGTGATTGTTTCATATGGGATGACTGTTAGCCCGACCATGCCATACACGATGAAGGCACTGGTGCGCAACATTCAGCTGGTGGGCACAACTATGGGGTCAAGAAAGGAATTCCACGATATGATGCAGTTCATCCGCACACACAAGATCCACTCAAATGTGTCTACAGTTGTGCAAGGATTGACGGTGGAAAAGGCAGACGAACTCGAGGAGCTTTTCAGAATTCTTGCGAAAGGCTCACAGTTTGGTAAACTGGTTGTGCAAATATGGCAAGATGGGAGGGAGAGCAGGTTATAGAAGAGAAGTAGCCATGATGACGATTGTCGGTGTTGATGTCGTGTGGTGAGAAGATCTGTTCTCCATAGACGCCATGGGACATTTTCTCTGCAGAAATGGTATTTTTGGTCTGCCGTACAACTCAGGGCAAGCAGAAGCCGTCGAGGCGCCAAGTACTGGAATTTTGATTCCGGAGCCGGAACACGGGCCGTCGTTAAATGCAATAAAATGCCGATTCATGTCTCTAGCGATTATCAGATGTTAAATGTACGTACAGAAGAGCGGCTCTGTCAGCACAGATCAATCAACGAATTGTGCGTCACCATAGCAGAGAGGACAGGATAGATGTGAGTGCTTCTAGTTCTTGCGACCGGTGACAGAGTAGACATATTTTAATTGCTTCCGAAAGATAAGAGGGACGGTGGTAGCCTATGCCCCTCGGCCGTGACCAGGCCTGATGGAGTTGTTGGGCCGCCAAGCTGCTCGGCGAAGTGTAATAGGTGGTGGGAATAGGCAAAGTAACCCCCGACCGATCCCCGAGTGCCCCCCATCGCTAGTGCCCGTGCAATGCTTACGCCTATATGCGTACAAATAGTGTCTGGTCAGGTCTTAGTCAGGGCTAAGTCCAAGCCCGACACCAGACTTCCGACTTGGCTTCAGAGACTCTCAAGACTCAGACTTCGGTGTCAGGGTCGGCCACAGAGCTCTCGCCGTTCGGCAGAGGGTAGAGGTGGGTGATGCATGTGCGTGGCGCGCCCCCTGATACTTTAAAGACCACGGAGTACAGGCTGATAAGGCGACGCCGACGGGAGAGTTGTTCCTGCCGAAAGACGCACACGAATGCTTTACTTACTGTACCTTCCCACATTCCACGCCCTTCTCTAGAAATAAACCCCACCCTTCACCGGTAGTTGCGCTTGCCTGTCTTGCCTTTTGCTCCCACCACAGGGCAGGTACGCAGTTACGCACCCACGGCATGCTTACCTATAGGCACCCCCAGCGGCTCCTTCTGCGGCATCTAAGCGGCACTGCAGCATTATCAGCCGCACCTTCCACATTCCGGACCAATTTATCTGTCCCAGTCCCTCCTTCCCCTCTCTCGAAAGATGTCCGACCCTGGAATTTATTACTCCGAAACCCACGGAATCCATTGACCGGATTTTCCGCACCACACCAGAGCACACACCACTTACTTCACTCACATCATACTACACCGAACCACACCGTTGGTCAATTTCCCACCTCCATCTCCATCGGCTCACGACCCCATCCCGAACAGATTGCCGGTCCGGCTGTCTCGAGTCTTGCGCTTTCAACCTCCGTGTGGCTCTTATCCCACATCCACGGAGACTGACTGACTCGTTCACTCCTTTGCCGTCACTCTACACACACCGCATCCCAACCTCATCTCACCTCGAACAAGGTCCGCCTGGACTCATCTTCCATCCCTCTCCTGGTCCAATTTCATCAAGTCAATCGCTAGACTTTCCTGCCCTGTCCTTGCCTTCGGCACTTCCGCATGACGTGACGCCCGGCGCTCGGCCTCAGTGGACCAGACTTTTCCGTCCGGTAACAGTCCGGACACGCAATGAGCTCTCTGGCTGCCATCATGGCACCCAGTGAGCCAGTCTCATCAACCTCGCTGCCGGCGTCGCGACCGCAGACGCAATCGCAGACGCAATCGCAGCCTCAAACACAAGCTCAACCTCAACCCCAACAACGACCGCAGTCACAACCTCAATCACAGCAGCGCCCCATGTTGCAGCCTCATTCCCAATCTCGACCTCAAGCACACCCTCAACCCCAACTTCGATCCCATTCGCAGGTCCAATCGCAACAGCAACAGCCACCACGGTCACCGGCGCCACCACAGTCACAAACCCAGTCAAACTCTCGACCTCAATTACAGTCGGCGTCCTCGGCGTCCTCGACGTCCCAGGCACAGACCCATTCTCTGACCCAGACCCAGACTCAGAGCCAGCCGCAGTCCCAAACACAGACCCCGACACAAAATCAAAACCAGAATCCTACCCCACCTCTCGCTCAGACTCGGACCTTAAGATCTACAGTTGCCGCAGCAGCAGCAGCCAGTAGTAAAGAAGCCACGCCGACGCTACAGGGCGGTGTCATTGAAGTAAAGAAAAAGGTTGAAGAAGCCGAGGAGGATGAAGAGGATGGTGATCCAGACGGTGACGACAGTCTAGAGGGCGAAGAAGGTGATGAAGAGGGTCTCGAAGAGGAGGAGGATGAGGAAGACGAAGAAGATGACGAGGACGACGATATTGACAAGTAAGTTGACTCACTCTACCAGCCCGGCTCTTGGGGATTCTCACCCTTCGACTCATCTCTAATGCTCTTCCTGTATAGTTTCACCACATCCGAGATCGTGACTGTTTTTGTCGGACATAAGCGCAAGCGATTTTTCCTCCATCGCGGCCTGATCTGCGATCGGTCTCCATTTATGGAAAAATGCCTCAAGAAAGACCGCTTCGATGAGGGCTACAAGAATGAAGTCTATCTCTCCGAGGACGACCCAAAAGCCTTCTCTATCATTGTGGACTGGATTTACCGGAGCAAAATCCCACAACGCACCGACCCGGCCTTTGATGTGTGCGACATGTCCGCTGCCTATGGCATGGCCGACAAATTCGGCATGGAGGAATTGCAGAACACTATCATGGATCATGTGCGCATGAGTCTTGGGAGGAGAGAAGGAGAAATGTGCAAGACGCCCCATTTCGCTGCTCTCGCTCTCACCCATTCTAGTGGGCCTCCTAAGAGTCCATTGAAGCGCTTCCTCGTCGAACACATGGTCTTCCACATGATGAAGCATCCCAAATTCTACCAGGATCTTCGGAGGAACGAGGCCGCCAAAAACGCTGTCGAGGATCTTTTCAAGATTCCCGATCTGGTCTGCTATATCATGAGGAAAATTTGGCAGTATCAGACCGAGAACTGGAAAGACCCGGCCATCGTCATGCCCGACCGATGTTGTTATCATGTTCATTCGACCACGGCATGCCATGCGAAGCAGGCCGCTGTGGCCGCCAAACAGACCCGGCATTCTGGCCTAGGAGGATTGGGAATGTCAGCAGGCTCCGCGGCTGGATTGCACGGTCACACCGTCAGACCTGGTCAAGGGTGGCCTGGCGCTTCACTGGGAGGGGTCTGGCACCCTGGTGTTGGCTGGTAGGAACAAAACCATCACCTTGATGCTGTAGTCCACACCTACCGCCATTCCATTCCAGATCCTACGGTCTTTCAATCTCTAGTCAGCGAACGGCGCAACGGAATTCAACAAGGGCTTTGTCGTCCTGAAACTTTCAAGTTGGTTTGTTTAGATACTGTGTTGCCATGTTCAATGTTTGGTCTCGACATGATTGATACGATCACACAGGGCGTTTCGAGGATTATGTTTCAGGCCAAGTTCATTTTTCACTTGAATTGATTGGCTTTCACGTAGTGTCTATCGAGCGTCTAGACAGACAGATAAATAGGTAGACACATACAGAGACTTTATGATATTGATATTGATATTCAACACTCGGCCCCTGCGAGGGTCTCGGCACTTATTATGCAACTCTCGGCAAACCCGTCCGGCTAAGTATCGACGGTCTCTTCTGGGCGATTGACGGTGCTGTGTTCGCTTCTTAGGGCGCTTTCGTCTCGTCAGCGAATGGCTCGCTTCAGAAGCGCAAATGGCGAAGAGAGAATCGTCCTGGGGTAGGGGTTGTCGGCTGCAGCCAACGCTCACCTCCCACCACACCAAGCTGACGACGACACCGACGAGCTAGCAGCTAACAATCTCAGCTTCTCCTCTTTCTTTCTAATTCCACCATTCCTTCATATTTTTGCACTGTCTTTCGTTCTCCAGATGCTAATCAGAGGTGCATGTCACTGTCCGTGGACTGAGCGATTGCAATCCAACAACGGGCCGATCCGTGATTAACCCCTACCTAATCTTAGTTTGGCAAGGAACAACATTTTGGTCTTATCGGGGCTGGGCCTGGCTTACCGTACTTTCTAGGCGTACCCCCAAATCAATTCTATCCCTCCTCAACAGCTCAATCGACGCTGGACACAACAACCACGCCGTCTCGGTAAGCTGGGGTGCATAAGCCGCAAGTCTCCCACCAGAGACGTGAGGCCCATCGCTGGGATCGTTAATATAGGGGGCTTCGGGCTCTTTTTCTCTCAGTGCGCCTGTTGACAGATATTGAGCTCTACTGCGAGTGCTGGCAGAGGCAGCTTTGGTTGCTGCTCGATCGGTCCTTCCATCCTCACGCACCGGGTGGAGGCACCTTCCCTTTTCCGTCTGCTGGACTGTTGGGGTGCAAGCTTTGACGACGCAGGAACAGCAGAATCTGCGTTCTATTCATCATGCCATCCAACGAGCAAACTCCCCTTCTCTGGGGATACGCCGACACCGCAGACTCGTTCAGTCCCAGTCTGCACTCCCAGTTCTGTATGCTTGTCGGCTGTCCTTCATCCTCCCCAGATATAAAACCAAAAAACCCCAAGGTGCGCATACCCGACTTCACGCCTCCTCCAAAATCGCTCTATGGGCGGGCCACCCGCCAACTGCGAGCCCAAAAACTCAAATACTACAGCACCGCTGCCCTCTCCAACGCCTTGTTGCTATCCCAGGTCATTCTTGGTGCCGCCTTGACCGGCCTCGGTGCGAGCGAAAGCAGCCATATTCTAATCACCGTCTTCGGCGCCATGAACACCATCATCGCTGGCATCGTTGCCTATCTGAAGTCACAGGGTCAGCCCATGCGTGCTCGCATGTATCGAGACGACTTGGACCGCGTTGTCGATGAGATCGAAAACTCCGAGGTCATGTGGCTCGGCATTGCCAAAAATGTCCACGGCTACGACGAGATTGACACGGACGACCATCGTGTCACCGTTAGAAGCGAGGTCGCGAGGTTGACCCGTCTCTACGATCGTGCTGTCAGGAACAATACTCTCAACAACCCCGATCTGTACCTGGCTGGTTCTAACGGATTTGATGGGTCAGGTGGACAGGCCTTACGATCTCGTCCTGCTAACTCCCACCCCGTTGTTATTGGCGGACCTGTTCCCATTACTCTGCCTGTGGCCAGTGGCCCTTCGCCTGGTGCCGATGCCCCCCAGGTCCCCGCCGCTGCAGGCGCTGTGCCTGTCCAGCCAGCACATGACCCTGATGAGAGCCCCGCCAGTGCACCACCCAAACCCAAGCCAAAGGACAAGGACGAGGAAGACGCCAAACCTGCCACTCCTGTTGAAACACCCCCTACAACTGACAAGGCCGATCCTCGAGGAGATGCGTCCAATCCAACAGCGGAGTCTGAACAATCGGGCACTGCTTCCGGCAATGGAGATAAGAAAGACACTCCGGACCCTCCTCCAAACGCCACTCCTCCGCACGACCCAGACGCCTCACCTGCAAGCGATCCGAATGTTCCTTTGAGAAAGACAGAGAGCAGGAAATGACGTCAAGTGAATTTCAGCAGACAGCCAAAGACTTTCATAGAGGGGACGTGTCAAGAGAGTGACATCTAACAGGAGATACTGAGGAGGCCAGAATTGGGAGCATAATATTAATATGGAACGATTAGCGATTGAGACAGCATTCGAACAGTGGCTACGCAGATTTGATGAGGTGATGGATAAGTTGGCCTCAATTTGCTGTAAGAAGAGGAACCTAGTACATAGAGCATTGCACATTGAGAGAGGGCATGGAGGGGCCTGTTGATATCACGTGATATCACATGCAGTCTCTCGAAGTCACGTGCTGCCCGGAGAATGGTTTTCTCGCTGGAAATGATTACGACGTACTGCCGGAGCCCGGAGTTCCCGCCCAGGGACAGGCCGGGGTCATCAGATCCACCAATCGACTACAGAAGTACTGAATGACATCAAAAGGTTTCTATTCTTTGTCTTCATTTAACCTGCTGAACCAGACTTTTGGTCATGCTTTGAACGAGAACATGTGTCTCTACCTACTCTACCAGGTTGCCAACATGATGAGCTCTCAGTGCCTGTGTGTCACAGAGACTTACCCCTCTCAGTTATGCAGACATGATGTCGTTCCTTGATCCATGTTTCACGTTCCAATGACTGTGTCGTCAATGGAGTCGCCCATTGTAACACAAAGCATGATGGGACAAAGGTGAGCCAACGCTTCAAAGGTGAGCCAACGCTTCAAATGATGCCTATATTCAGTGACACAGACACTCGGGTCTACCATGGACTTAACAGTCTGGAATTAATGTGGAATTAATGGAAATACCATCAATCAGGGAAAGAGGAGCGCGATTGTTAAGACTTCACCCTGGGAGGCAGCTTCCCATCCCAATTCCCATTCTCTCTCTCTAACTTATTTAACTGCGTTCTCGCATTCCTCTGTCTCTCTCCCAACCTTTTCTTCATCCACACCAACTTCTCGCCATCCTGGGTTTCAAAGAATTTGAAATCAAACTCACTCTTTGTATGCCTCTGCGCTCGTTCTTCAAAAAGCTAGTCAATCTCAAATCTCGCTGTGTCACCATGTCGGCCCTCGACTCCTTCTCCACAATCCTCATCCTCGGCGGCACCGGTGGCATTGGTGAGTCCTTTGCCCGTCGCTTCCATGGCATGGGAAAGAAGGTCATCATCACCGGCCGTCGTCAAAATCGTCTTGATGCTCTCGCTCAAGAACTCCCAGGCCTTGAAACCTTCGCCCTCGACAACTCTGACATTCCCAACCTCGCCCAGAATGCTCAGGCATTGATTGCCAAATATCCCAATGTCGACACCGTCTGGGTCAACGCCGGTATCCAATACCAGGGCAACTTCCAGTCTCTCCAAAACTTCAGCGATGAGAAGCTGATCCACGAGATCAACACCAACTACGTCGGTCCCCTCATCCTCGCCCGTTACTTCGCCGACCACCTCCAAACCGTCAAGCGAGAGACTCATTTCCTCATCACTTCCTCGGCTCTGGCCTATGTTCCCATGGCCGTCTTCCCCGTCTACTGCTCCACCAAAGCCGCCATCCATTCCTTCCTCATCGGCCTCCGTGACTCTCTGATCGACACCAATGTCAGTGTCATCGAGATTGTCGCCCCCTATGTCCGTACCGATCTCGACGCCGCCAACCGTTTCGACAAAGTTGCAACTCCCATGGAACTTGACGTCTTCACCGATGAGATTCTCAAGTCTTTCCAGGAGAAGCCAGCTAAGGAGATCAAAGAAGTCGGAGCTGGATGGGCAACCAACATTGTCGCTGCTTGGAGAGATGCCTTTGCCAGTTTCCTGTCCTTGAGAAAGTCTCGTGGCTAGACAGACCGCCCCGGAGTTTTGTCACGAAGAGCCATTTCAGGATGGTAGCTACCTAGTATGCATGGCGCCTGGTGCTCAAGGGGTTTAGGTGCATATGAAAGGATTGACAGCATTGCTGGCTGCGCTACACCATCATGGCAACATTGGTGGTAGTGATAGCCCAAGAATGTCTCTCCCTTCCGACGATGCTATGAATTGAAACAAAATCTACAAAAATACTTAGCCAAACATAAAAAATCAAGAATCAACACTTGAACAATCTTTCAGATCTCGACTTTGACCACTTCCGTTGATCATGATTATGCCGCGTAGACCTACCTATCAATGTAATAAAATATATGTAGCGAGGAGCAGCTGCAACTAAAGCTAAGTCGCCTACAGAGCTCTGAAAATCACTGCTATGCAATCTCTCCAGGGCACTCCTCTCCATGTCACTCTTCCTAGGGTACCCTCTCCAGCGCACATCTGGATGCTAGATTTTCCTATAATAGGACACTAAACCTAATGTAGAACCTACTCCGCCTCGCTCCCTGGGATAGATTATAGCTACTGTGGCCACCAGATTTTCTCGCTTTATGAGTGCCGAACATCTGGCCAACATCAAATCATACCTCTATTCTTGACACTTGAACCAGTCTGTCCTTCAAATGGGAGTCCAGGGCTCATGACATCTCTCGGGCTTAGATGTCTGACCAGAACTTCCATCAAACAAGTCGAACTGCCCCCATGCCATGCTGGCAGGATCTAATGCCCGTTTCTCTTCCGAGAGAGCCGCAGTCGCCGGGTTGACCGTGTTGGCCTGTGCATGGCGCATCTCGTACACGTCTGCGAGTCTGCTTGCGGCCAGCCTAAGTTTTTCCACAACTCCAGGGTCCTCGAGGTACACCCTGGTCCGAGATTCCACAAGACTTGGCTGTGAGGTGCTTCTTGTGACGGCTCTCCAGTCATCCAGCTTGACCTTGTCGATTCCTGTGTCTGCACTCAACCTGCAGAAGAAAAGCTGGGCCGCGTCAGACTCTGCGATATAAGCCAGTCGCTCAGCACAGCTTTCCGATTCGGTTGCTAGCTTGGTTAGGTCCGCCACCAGTCCAAAGGCCTGGACTAGGGCGTTGGGCAAGAAATGGGTCCAGAGTGGTCTTTTGGTATTGGTTGTGGAAGACTCTGGGCCAGGGGTGCCTGTTCCAAGGTTGATGATGATCATGGGTTGGTTCTGTGCTAGATGGTGTTTATGTCGATAATGTCGCCATGCTTCCCACGAAGGATTGTTGGTTTGCCCATAACCCCCATCCACAAATCGTCGATTCTGCACCACCACTGGCTTGAAGTACGATGGTGCCGCAGATGTGGCACACGCTGCATGGCGGAGCTCAATGTCACTGTCTAGGTTATCCTCAAAGTCTGGTCGACGGCACTCCTGGGTGCAAAAGAACCTAAGCCCGAGACTAGGTCGCTCATGACATAGGACAGATCTTGCAACAAATCCTCAGCGATGAAATCCATAGACTGAAGCCAAGAAGAAGGACCGGACAAACGTACCCATGCATCTTGATCTGATGCTGATTGTCTTGTAGTTTCATATTGTGGGGATAGCCTCGAAGCCGCAGTAATGCCTCGATGCTTGTCTGAAGTCGGTTCCCAGAGTACTTGGAAATATCCGAGCCAAAGAGTCGCTCACACAAAGAACGCTTCTTGACAAAGATCTGCCGAGAGAGCATCTGATATTGATCCAGACAGTCATCGAGACTCATTCCAAGCTTGGAAAGCATCAGTGCTATTAGACTGTTTCTCATCAGGTAATGGCATTACAAAACGGATGCTCAGACTGACCCTCCAGTGCTTGTGCCTGCAGCAAAGTCAAATATTTCTTGTGGCTCAAGCACATCCTCATGCATGGATATGACATTTCTTCGTAGGACTTCTTCAGTGACCTTGCGTAAAAGGTGTTTGAGAATCAAAAGGGACGAATAACCTCGGACTCCACCACCGTCTGTGGACTATAGTCAGTTCTCACTTTCTTGATTTATAGCAAGCTTCGTGTTGGCATACCGAGAGATAATACCACCACAGTTCCTGGAAATGCTAGCGCATTCGGGTTTTCAAGTTGGGGTGTCATGATAATCTGTTCGAACTGGGACGCTGGCCTAGAGATGTGCGCAGCCTGTGAGAGTTGATAGCCACAAGTGAGAACAGGCGAAATAGGCTGAGTTTGGTTTCATGTCAGAGCATCGATGGAACAGGTATTGATATACCTTGATGGTGCACCTAGATTCCTGGATACACATGTTGGCGGGCATGACTTGGAAAGGTCATAAGCAGCAACACGTGTGTTGACATATCAAGATGAATCGCCAGATGACAAAAGTATTTGTCAATTCCTAAGGAGAAGTCACGGCCAAATCAAAGCTTTGAATCTTTGTGTAGGGGCGATAAATGGGGCATGAGCGGATGTCAAACGATGTAGAAAATGAGTCGCAATTGCCACCAAAATCATAACGATTAAGACGCAGGCTGGGCGAGGACTAAACGAACCAACATCGCACAGCGAAATAGGCATGTCCAAAAGACAAAGAACCGTAGCATACTTTGAGTACTGGAGGCCATCATTTGCATAGAAACAAAGGCAGATGTATTTGATACTCGAATCACCGCGTCATGATTTCGAGTTGATAGTGTACAGTGAACAAGGTTGGGTTAAGTCGACTTGTCACGTCTTTCGTGAAAGGTTGCCCCATCGTCTAGGAAGAAGGAGAATAACCAAGAGACTCTGGGTTCCGAATTCTGAAGATTTGACGTGCTGGTTTAGAGTTGATCATGAGGCCATATTTGATGACTGAGTATCTCAAGCGTTGGCTAGAAAACATCATCTTTAATACCTTGTGACCTCTGACGCCCGAGGGGACGGGTCTTGGGAAGAGCACGAGGACGATCTTGACAGGTCAAGACATGTGCCTGATCAACGACCTTCAATTGAGTAGTTAGCTGGCGTCATCTTGTAGTCTTCTTTGTCAGAAAAGGGAGATGTTGGAATAAAGCATGCCTGACAATTGTAATGTCGTGAGGATGGCGAAAAGACATGATCACGTCACAGTATTTGTGGAGACTGTGGAATTGAACTTGGAATATGAAGTGAGAGCTGCAATGAATGAAATTTTGGGACGGAAAGCATCAAAGAGCCCCTTTCACCAGAAAAGTTTTGAATTCTTCAGAATTGGCTTACCCGTGGATGTTGGGAATCACCAGTTGACAAAAGCTGGAGAGGAAACATCTGGGGACAAGGAAAAACTGGCACTGGAGCCTAGTCTCAATGACATTTCCCAGCGTGGAAGGAGCTTCTTTCCCTGACAAAAAGGAAGTTGCTATCGACATGTAGTACATCCAACAGTTTGAGTATCTTACCTACCTACCTGTGGTTGTACAGAAAGTCAGATAGTTCTCGTGAATCATTATTGAAGAGAACCGAAGAGCCTGTTTTAGTCAATGAGGATGCCACACCACATGCACTGGAGCTTGGTGTTGGTGGTTGATGAAGTCTTATTACCCACTTTTAGTAATGTGAGTGAATCAATAGTCAATGGCCAAGGGCTTCGATAGGGCAGGGGCACTATTGCCACTACCGAGCTTTTTACAGCGCCATAGCAGGTGCCTTCATGCCTAATTATATCGAACCTTAGGTGCTATCCACACCTATCTCGCCCCCAGGACGCCCATAGCGCCACTGCCAAGCGCCCTGTTGGCTTTCAGGGAGAGATACCTGAGACATAGAGACGCAAGGCATAGCTAGCTACAGAGAACGTCCATGATATCTTGATCGTTTTACAGACGATCAGGTAAGTCGCATGTGCCTGACACTAAAGCGATATCCCAAACGAGGAAACAAGGAGGGTTTGGTATGCTGTACCTGCCCAGCACCCATCCCTGCGCAACTTAATTTGAGACAACAGCATGCCATGTCCACGCGTGTTCCACCTGTGAGATCCAGGTAGAGGCCCAATGGTACCAAGGCTGCCATGCTTGTGTGGAATAACCGTGCGTCTCAATAGTCCCTTGAATGGTCAAGCCCACGCGGGCCGTGGCATGGGAGCTAGCCCCTCGGCCTACCATTTCCCCCGCAATGCAACGTTCGCCGCTCCCGCAGTCCAGCAACGCTCTGCAACACACTCACGTTGTCCTAGACTTTTGCTAACATCATCAGCTCACTTTTTGCTTTCCCTGTTGCATGCCCGATCTGGATTGCCATTCGCCTTCCACCAGAGCCCATTCATGTATCCTGCAGGCCTCGTCACCTTTTCGATCCGGACCGATGTGTCAGCCAATCCCTTGTGGTCGGTGGACCAGCCCTCCACGGCATCGTTCTGTCACTGCCACACTGTTTTGCCAGAAGCTCGTGTTTATCTTGTGATTTTCTAATGAACGCATCGTGCAGGGTCTTCCGAGCGGTATAAAGCTTCGATCCACGTCCCACGTCGTGCTGGAGCTCTACTTATCCACTCCTCTCTTCTCCTCTTCCCACTCCCTAAGCCCTCGCTCCCACAACTTCAGTGTGCCATTTCCGCGAGGCCTTCACCAGTAAACATGGTCCACTTGGCAAGCGTTGAGCAGGATGCTTATCCTGGTAAGCCATTTGACCATCCACTGCGTCGTCAGTCTGTGGTTCCTGGCCTCGAACACATTTCTCTAGAAGCCCCCGGTGAGGATGAGTTCTCCACATCCGTCTACGGATCTCGATTCGCCGCACAAGACCTACCGTCTAAGGAAATGCCGGAAAAAGAGATGCCAAAGGAGATTGCTTACCGTATGATCAAGGATGAACTGAGTCTGGATGGGAATCCCATGCTCAAGTCAGTACCTCCACACCTTTCAAAAGGCTCATTCTGACAATTAGTTCTTAGCCTAGCAAGTTTTGTGACTACATTCATGGTACGTTCGCCAGTTGGACCTGTTGGTGAAGCCACTGAAAATGCTGACTTTATTTCTAGGAAGATGAAGCCGAAAAACTTATGACCGATGCCTTCTCCAAGAACTTTATTGATTACGAAGAGTACCCCCAGACAGCTGAAATCCAGAACCGGTGTGTCAACATGATTGCCCGTTTGTTCAACGCACCGATTTCGGAAGACGGAGAAAATGCCATGGGTACATCAACCATAGGTTCCAGTGAAGCCATTATGCTGTCCGTTTTGGCGATGAAAAAGAGGTGGGCCAACAAGCGCAAGGCTGAAGGCAAAGATTTTTCACGACCCAATATCATCATGAACAGCGCGGTCCAGGTCTGCTGGGAAAAGGCGGCTCGATATTTCGATGTCGAGGAGAAGTATGTCTACTGCACCGATGACCGCTACGTCATTGATCCGGAGGAAGCAATTTCCTTGATCGACGAGAATACTATCGGTATCTGCACCATCCTTGGCTTGACCTACACCGGCGAATATGAAGACACAGAGGCCATCAATAATCTTCTTGTGGAGAAAAATATCGACTGCCCCATTCACGTCGATGCAGCCTCGGGTGGCTTTGTAGCCCCTTTTGTGAATCCTAACCTCTTGTGGGACTTCAGACTGGAAAAGGTCGTCAGTATCAATGTTTCAGGTCATAAGTACGGATTGGTTTATCCCGGTGTTGGCTGGACCATCTGGAGATCTCCCGAATACCTACCCAAAGAGTTGGTCTTCAACATCAATTACCTGGGAGCCGACCAAGCCTCATTTACCCTGAATTTCTCCAAAGGTGCCAGTCACGTCATTGGGCAATATTACCAGATGATCCGACTAGGGAAGCGTGGTTATCGCAGCATCATGCTCAACCTCACCCGCACGTCTGACTACCTGGCGGCACAACTGAAAGCCCTTGGTTTCGTCATCATGTCTCCAGGTGGTGGTCGCTCGCTGCCCGTGGTCGCCTTCCGCCTGAACCCAGACGCTGGCCACTTCTATGATGAATTTGCCATTGCCCATCAACTGAGAGAGCGCGGTTGGGTCGTGCCAGCCTACACTATGGCCCCACACAGTGAGAAGTTGAAGATGATGCGTGTGGTCGTCCGTGAGGACTTTAGCAAACAACGGTGTGATGCCCTGGTGACAGATATCAAGTTGGCGGTTCAGACACTAGGAGAGATGGATCGCAAATCGATGGAAAAGTATCAAGAGTAAGTGTCATTCCTTGACTATTCCATTGACACATAGGCTAACTACGACGAGCAGGCATGTGATGAAGCACACGAAACAGGGCAGGGTGGCCGCCCGCAACAACGCCCCCAGACACAGTGAACACTACAAGAAGGAAAAACATTCATTACAAGGGAAGCACGGCAAATCTCATCCGATCTGTTAGTCTTAACTTGCCGATTCAATCTCTATCGAGCGTCTGCTATGCGTCTCCTATGCCTCTCCAGTCATGGATTGATCACGGAAGAGTAGTGGCTATTTCATAGATATCAGAAATGATATACCTACGGCTCGATGTGCACCAGTGTTCTTATCTTGTTTATGCTGTGATTTTGGTGTTTTGTAACACTCGCCATCATGCTTGACGACGTCACTTTCGTAAGGGGTCGCCATCGCACTACATTACGCTGGAGAGGTTGGGATCTTGCTTAGAAGGGCGAGGGGCGTGTCGTCGCGACAAGTGCACGGCTCGAGATTTGATCAGGCTGTCAGCGGCGGAAGACCAGGCGCATTGGGCACCCCCAGCCCTCCGGATTGGAAAATGACGACGATGGAGCTGCCATATCGGTCACCCTGGACAGACTAAAGTCGGTGACACACGCTGAAAGCGACGAGGATTGAGAATAGTGAGCTGAACCTCATCCCTTGGTCATCGTCTTGTTTTCAGCAAAGGTAGAACGTTACTTGGAGCATGTAAGGTATTGATTTTCAGTTGGGTTGAATTTCTCGAAGGCCATGGCCGAGATCACGGGGCAGCGCGTGTAGCCCCCTCGGCCCCTCGGCCCCCCAGGCCAAGCCGCCTCGAGCCCCTAGCCTAGGTACTCCGTACTTATAGACCCTTTGACCTCCCAGGCACGGCCGAGGGGTTTCTGGTACCGTGTCTCGGGTACCCAAGAGCCAGGTCCAGGTGGGACTGCGGGTGCTTCACGCGCGAAGAAGGAGAAAAAAGGTACTTGTGCCTGCCTCTGGTTTCCAGTTCTAGGTGGTCTCTCGGCCCTCTTGCCTTCTAGAACCGTCAAAGTCTGCCCCTCAGGCTCCTTCCCTCGGCCCCTGTAGAGACGCCAAGACCTCCATCGCCGCCAGTTTGTCCACCAAGAACTCGCAGGCTGGAAAACCCAAAATCATCGATGACATTCCACCTGTCAACACGTCAACCGGCTCCTGAGAAGCTCTCAAGGGCAAGTCTGGAGTGCTCTTAGCCCGCGATGACGACTCTGCCAGAGTTGTCGGCGTTTCAACTCGCCTCATTCGGCATTTCCAGGCCCATAGAAGAGTCCTGCCCGTGGCTTCAGAAGGTCTTCGGGGCACGCGAACCTCCACAGAGGTAGGTCCAAGATATCGTGGCACGCGTGGTAAGCCTCATCAATACTGTTCTTTAACTGTCCTGTGTGTCTTGAAGAGCACAATGATGCGCCGCTGATATGTAGAGCTATTTCGTTATCACGGTTGGCCAATTCCTTGAGGCGATGCACTTGTTCATGCCTCTGTGCTTCAAGTCAATCCATATCGGATGCCCCTGTCTCTGATCCTCCAGCTGTCAGCACTGGATCAAGTCTTTGTGACAGGTTCAAGGCTGCCAGACCTTCTCATGAAGATTCTCCTCCTGGATGTGACCCAATTCTCGACCAGCTCCGCCACTCATCGCCGTTGTCCGCTGCACTGCTACACGGCTTTAATCGCGACTTTTCGTCAGTGCGCATGCCACCGAGCGCTTTGGCAACCAGTGACATGACGCCTTGGGCAAGGCACGCGACGACTCCTCTGCTTCTCGCGTTGGCCCCATACCTCACGGCGGGAATGGGAATCCCGATTTTTCATATACGTCGGTGGGTGGCCTGTTCACGTCTACCTCATGTCCTTTGCGAATGCAGCTTGTTTGTGGTCGTCGTCGTTGATGTTTGGAATATACACACGCCGTTTCGAGTGAGGTGATGGTGAGGGTCAGATGCAGGAATGTCTAACTATCGCGGCTCTGCCCTTGAGGTCCTGACCGTTGCTTTTGCGGGGGTCTCGCTCGTTATCGTTGCCCTTCGAGCCGTTGCAAGACATCGGATTGCCCAAGTCTTCGAAGCCACCGATATCCTCCTGCCGATTTCTCTGGTAAGTCGAATCGTTGCAAAAGCTGCATAGTCCAAAGCTGATTCTTTCGCAGGTCTTTCTACTCGCTCAGAGTGCCCTCGTTCGTATTGCATTATTGGACGGCCTCGGAAGACACACCGAGGACTTGACCGATGACCAAATTTCCCTCTTCCAAAAGGTACTGCTTGCTTCGAGGAAAGCTCTGCTTGTAGGCTAATCATGTCTGCAGCTCATCTATGGCAGCAATCTCGCCTTCCAATTAGTCCTCTCTCTTGATCAAGTCGTCATCCTCCTCCTCATAAAGAGCGTCGAACCGCAACTCCCCGTCCGGATAGGATGCAATGTCCTATTTGGTTTCATTGTCTTATATTCGATTGCCGCATTAGCCATCCAAGGCTTTCAGTGTGCTCTTCCAGAGCCATGGAATGTGACTGCTGACCGATGCATCAATCGCGTGAGTGTACCATGCCCTATGCAGCTGATGCCATCGTGAGACCAGTCAAGCTAACGTGGCGACATCGTAGCAGGCCTTCTTCACCGGCTTTATCTCAGCAAATATTCTGGTCGACATCCTCACACTCATTCTCCCCATTCTCATGGTTTGCAAATTGAAAACATCTCGAGACAAAAAGATCTTTGTGTGCATATTGTTTGGCGCTCGGATTAGTGTACCTGTGGTCACTGTTTTTCAAACCCTGCATCTGCACTCAGTATTGGGCTCAGAAGACTTGACTTGGGACATTGTTCCCTACCAAACATGGGTCCAGGTCATTATGAACCTGAGTCTCATCACTGCTTGTCTGCCCTCACTGGGCCGAATGATGTGGGAATTATGGGCATTCGGATCAGGACTGAGGACGTCGGCTGTGGACAAGACGTCGGAGAGTAAAGACTTTGGACACGAACTTGGGCTGCCACAAGGCCAATCTTGGTTTGCAGAGAAGAAAGAAGCTTCTGTGACCATTCGAGAGGTCCGGAGTTTTGACTCGACAAGCACAGTGGATGAGGAACAAAAGACCCAAAAGACCTTGCCAGCCCTTCCACGACGAACGACGTCTCGGTTCCGTCCTGTCCGGAAACAGGACCATCATTATCGACGTCCTGCATCACTCTCACGCGATAAGCGCTTTCTTCCAGCAATGGAATTTTCTGCCCTCGACATGCCCTCACCTACTGTCATGATCCAACGGCACAAATACGAGGAGGAAGTCAACTCACGCAGACAGTTTCCTTTTCCACCCCACCCATCTTCAAACAAACCATCACCGCTTGCCGCATCTCTCCCGCCAGGTCGGCTGGAAGAGCCACTGCCGGTGTATACGCATAGTGCACCCGTACGGGAGCCAACGCTACCTCAGGTCGCCGACACATATCACGAAGCCGACATGTCGTCAATCGACATTGACAGCTACTACATGATGAACAACGTGCCTCCGCACGACCCCGGTCGAACGGAGATGGTGTTGCAACACATGATTGACGAGCTGAAAAGCCAGAACAGCTCGTTTTACTCCCGCGTACAGAGCTCGGTGTACTCTGTGCCAAGGATGCAGAGTTCCGTCTACTCGATTTCGCGGACGCAAAGTCCGTTGCATCCAACAGTAAGAACGCAAAGTCCATTGCATGCAACAGTAAGAACACAAAGTCCTCTTTACCCCGGCAAGAGCGAAGGAGGCTGGATTTGAAGCGAACCCGGCGATGCTGGCTCGCTACGATCGAGGTCATTCACACCTCGATGACGATTTTTGCTTATGATATGCCCCATGGTTGATGAATGTTACCTATGTATGATTCATGTATGAGATAAGGACAAAGCTCATTCGACACGATCCGGAGTGTATAAATGTTTGAATAGATCTTGGCAACAAGTCACAGCAGCATATGCATCAATTTGAATTGCTTGAAATACACCATCCCTATGCCGTTTACTTGGATTTCTCGGAAGTATCTGTCTGCTCCTTCATGAAATTGGGAGGCATGGTCAGAGATGCTTGATGTGATGTGACACGGTACTAAGATAACAGGAATGCTGTAATTCCTGGAGAGACTTTTCACCAACGTTGTACATGAAAAGGAACATCATGGTCCCAGCAGCGTGCCCTATCCTTGGCTCCATGATGATGGAGAATCGATGATATCAGTCCAGTTAGGGGCACAGGCGACCTCCCTCGTCATCTTCAACAGCCATCGAAGGGTCGAGGGGCATCATGGACAACCCATTCGAGGTCGCATTCTCATCCAAGCCAGTCACAGGGCAGAAGGAAGCATTTGAGGTCTGGTGTACCACATGGACTATGATGTCGGCAAATAAGTCACGTGGGTTGAGATGCAAGCATGTACTACTTAAATAGTATGGCAGGCATTCGCTTCCATCCTTCGCACCTGCCATCTGAACACTGGGGAAGTGCAGTGAGGAAAGTGGGAAGGCAGTTGCCCCTTGTAATTGATGGTAACTGCCTGCTGTCCAAGTTCTCATCTTGGTGGCCAACGGACCACGCAGTTCTCTCAGACTTTCTTCTCTCAGACTGTCACTTCGATCATCCCTTTGGACCGATCATCATGCATCCTTTTCACAAAGTAGGCAAGCGACCCTATCACAGAGAAGCCCGAAGCCGCGTCTTAAGTTGGCCTCTCTGCCCCTGCCCGTTTGCAAGTCACTACTAATCAACTCGCACGCAATAGATTCCGGGCACAACCATCTCCCTCAATCGGTGTCTCCACGGAGCTGCACTCTGTTTCCTCTGGAAGCTTCAGCTATCTACGTAAATCCTGGATCGGCCCCGGACCTACACGCAGCCCCCTTTGCGGGAAACAAAGAATCCCTGATCTTCTACTCACAACTACAAGCATGATCCTGTCATTCTCGATGACAAGAATTTCCTCTCAGGCCTCGAATCAGACAATTTCGCCGTCAATCTCGAGTTTGGATGCCCAAGGCCCCATTTTAGTATCACAGTAGTCCGCTCGGCCCATCCACTCCTGGCTTGGGTTCCGCTTCAGACTGGCTGCCAACCACGCGGCTGGGCTGCTGCCATTCTACTTTTAGCCTAGAATTTCGTGTGTTCCCACACCACGAGTACAGCACCCGTATAGGCACTCCCCACACCCCTGTCGGCATCTTTTGCTCGAGAAAACTGCGAACACGGAGTGGACGTGAGTGAGAGACGCCCAGCAGTGTGCAATCATTCACCACATCGTCTAAAGGGATTAATAGCAGCATGACTTGGCCAGTCTTCTACCCCTCCACCAAACCATTAAACCCCCTTTACGGAGTAATTTCCGACTCCAATCCTCTTGGCTTCCAATCATGACGAAGATCTCTCTACAGACACACGGAGTACAGACTACGGAGTACATTTCAATTCTGGCCAGGCCTTTTCAAGTCAACTCTTCACCGATGGACCCTGGGGACATATCAAGCAAATCCCAGGGCCACGCATTTTGGCCTTCTCGCTCGCCTTGGTCCCGCAAGGGTCCTGTTTGCCCGGGACAAATACACTTTTGCGATCGTCGCCCTTGCATGAATCTTCTGCACTCTGTCTGTAGTGGCTGCAAGCCCGTCAAGACTGTGCTGTCCTCCCATAATAACGATGGCCCATCATACCTCGATCTCAGCACTAAACTCTGCAACCCATGTGGCGTCTCGCTTCGGTATCTGGTTCTGGAATTCTTCAGCCCGAGTCCAAGGGGCACCAAGTACGGCGGACGCGTACGAAGTTTCTCTTCTAAGGTGGGGCACCCAGACGTCTGGGTCCCTCATGGGCATCTTAGGCCCATCTAAACTAGGGGTTCCTGGCGCCGCTGCATCGACTCCCTGTTCACTTCCCCGGCCTCAGCCTGCAGATCCCTAGGTCCTCTAACTGAACAGGTCTGCAGTAGCGTGGCAGGTTTTGAAGCCTTGTACGACAACACGTGCACAATCACATTCACATTCACAGCCATATGACAGCCATCAATTCCATTCATCTAGGTTGATTCACCTGGACCACACTTCTCCCAATACGACCAGTATTCCCATCCATTCAGCACCTTCTCAAGCCAGATCAGCGAGAAAGCAAGTCGTTCCCACTGTGTGGTCAATAGTTTGCAGCCACCCGTCATTTCGCCTTCCTCCAGCAATAGAGTTTCCCTTTTACGTAGGTATCCCCCGACTCGCTAGTGGACCCTTCAACGGCGAATCTGCCTGCTTTCCCACGACCGGAGTCGCTTTGTGGCTTTCTCACGACCATTGGGCATCCATGCCTGTTTGAGTCAATTCCCACTTGTTCCACTCGAAGCATACCAGGTGTCTGGATCTGGTCGATTCGATCTCGATCGTGATCGTCAAATTAGTCAAATCACTTTGTGGTAGAGGTGTCGTGGGTGTCCATGGAGTTGCTATGACCATTAACCTTGGGTCCTGGTGCGTGCCTTGTCAACCAACGATACGTGCCGCTGTCAAACTCAACCTTGGCGAGACTTGTTGAAGAAGTTTTGGTCATTCTGACTTTCGATCCTTGCCGTCTTTGGTCGAGAACGTGAGACTAGGGTCTCCAGCAAAATATAAGTCAAACCGACCAAGGTCATATTGGGAACTTGCCGCCTTGCGATTCATCAACCACGTTCTGGTAGACGTCGCTCCTGTACCACCTTGCACGATCTCGTTGCCGTGGATTTTCGACCGGCACCGTGTTTTTGCCCCTCTCCGAAACACTAGGTGATACTTCAGGCGAGACTAACAGACTGTATTGAAGGCCGTTATCTCATTGTCGCTGAAAATAGTGAAGCTCCTCGTCACGGCTCCTGAGTGGAGGATCTCCACCTGGCTACCCTCGGCTTTGACTGTACTTAGAGCTCCTTGGATCATGCAAGGTTGGCACGATGTACGAATCTGGCCATTATTGGATTGCCTTGCACAGCTCTCCCGCAGGATCATGATCCTTGGGCGTATGGGGCTATTTTTGTTCCAGCTGCTTCTTACCCAGACTTACAGTCTGCTATCAAAATGAAACGAGAGGTGGGCCTCGCCATACCAAATAACCTCTCCTTCCTGGAGTTTCGCTCGAGCACTCCCGGCCTGTAGGACGGTGCATGTCGTTGTCCACTTGCCCAAACAGACTGACAAGGTTTACCCTCGTTGCTTGACACAACCCCTCGCTTGTGACGAATTGGGCCATTGCTACACGTGCATAGAACAGGAGACTCCGCATAGGAACTTCGTGGCGACAGCTCGTCACTCAAGCCTCGGATGGCTGGCGCTCGCTTCATTCGTGCGAAGCGAAGATCTTCACGATTAACGTTGCCTGTGGTAACTCTCACACCCTCAGTCCCAACTTTCAGAATCAACACATCGTTTCCATGCAGCACCATGCCACCGCGCCCCATGTGGGTCTTGATACGGGGAACATCTGAAGACATTTGGCCATCGACAGTCCGACTGTGGCTGTCATGCACGCTATTCCAACTTGTTCTGCCTTGTAAGTCCTCGCTAGCGACCAGTTTTCATAGGAGACAAGGGCACGACCACACTTCTTTAGTCTGATGTTTTAACACAGCTGGCCAAACTACGGAGTACTTGGCAAGCACAACAAGCCCAGCGGGCATCTCGGCTTGAACCCCGATTTGACGAATACTTTTGGTCTGGATACTGTTGCTCCCAGATATGGAGGTAGTCGGGTCCTTAGTGGAAACGACTCCACCTCTCTACTTCCCCCGTTCAGAGCCATTGTACCACACAGTGTCGTTGTTACATATGTACAATTTCATCTATTTCAGGTCCAACCAGCCTCTGTCCCCGCTACCGCCAATGCCACAGCACTCGGTCAACGTAACGGTCAAGGGGGTTCTGGGCAACTTAAGTGTCTACCAGGGTTTTCTTTCGGCCTTGTATTGCACCGAACGCACAACCCGATATGCCATCCCGGGATAGCTACCATGATCAACAGTCAGCAACCAACATCGAGACCCAGGCTGAGTACGTACATCTTAGTTCTAGCCACCAGCCGCCCCCGGCAGTGCTTGCATGGACCCAGAAGCCCCATGCAACGTCCCGCCACTAGGAATTGCCTTAACACACGGGATGCGATGGGGATTATCCTTGGACTTCAACCTCTGTCGGGATTGGGATGAACTCGAAGTGCTTAGGCCGCGGCTCGAGGGGTCGAAAGGCCTGTGTCACCTCTGGGAGTGCTTCTTGTTCTCCTTCTTAAAGTCCAGATTCCTGCCTGGCGCTCGCGAAGCTCGCCAAACATAACTGATCCCCTGCTCGCGGTCTCTGTCTAACACGATCACTGCCATGGCTCCTAAACGAGGCAAAGAAAGCCTTCTTGACCTTTGCTCTCGAGCGACAGTCTCGGGCAATGGCATCTCTGTACGTATGCTCGAGTACATGAGCACAGCGAAACATCAACCTCATGGCTTTCGTGAGCTCGCTACCGAGTTTCTGGAGGTCTCTCGAATCTTGTGGTCTATTGAGGCGGGCCTCTTGGAGTCCACCCGCACCCAGAATCGACTGCCCGCCGACATGGTCCAAGAGCTCGACAAAAAGTTCCGCCAAACCAATGACGAGTTTTTGGTCTTGAATCAGCTTTTAGCCAAATTCCTCGACTACGAGAGAAAGAAGGGCTTTGGCAAGCTCTCAAAAAGCTGGCACATGATGTTTGTCGACACCGACATCCATAAAATGAGAGACTCGCTCGAGAAGAGTCGCGAAGCTCTTCGCATGAGTGCCCTTGTCTTCCGGTGGTCTTTAGGAGATGACAGGGTCGATGCTTCTGCAGGCATTGGCTACACCGGCCTGGCTGCGGCTCTTGATCGCATGAATAACACCAGAATCCATTCGCTGTCCACAGCCCAGGATTCGTTGCCGGATCATGCACAAACTCGAGAGGCCCAGGTGTCTGAAATCCCGGATCGGCTGCCACCACTTCCGTCACTTCCTGCGACCGAAAGAATCACAACGTACAGCCTCTTCCCCAAACAGGATCCCGACAGGCCCGAAGAAAGTTCAGTCGCTCCATCAACCGTCCCTACGACTGCTACTCTCACCTCGCAGTCTGACCGTCATAGCTTGAGGCCGGCGCCGAGCACTCGATCCAGTAAACTCTCGCAGTCAACGGCAAGAGAACACTCTCTCTCCAAGGGAGGGGTGCATGCCAATGAAGAGGTGATTCCCGAGGACCAAGTGACAGTCCAAGATATGGACTCGTTCTCGCAAATTGAAGAGATGATTCACGAGATTCAACTCGATGATAAACATTCCAGTCAAGGCACAACCATCAAGGCAGACTCTACGTCGGCTGAAAGGTGGACTCCAAAGCAAACATCTGGTGCAAACTCGACGGCATTGCGCTCATCCTTGGTCAGCGCTGTACAACAACGAAAACACAAGATGATTGAACAGCTTCTCGACTGCGGTGTGCCACCCGAGAACCCGGAGATCAACTTGCTTCGAGAGGCTGTGGTCAACAGGGATCTCGAAAGTGTTCGTCTGCTCCTGTTGTTCGGCGCTGATGCAAATGGCTTGGACAAAAATCGCCTCACACCTCTGTATTCAGCAACTGAGCTCTCTTTTGTCGACAGCGCTCGATTCCTCATCAAGTATGGTGCAGATCCCAATCTTCCTGCCGGCCCTGACGCAGAGTCTCCATTGGCCTCCGCCGTCACGGACAACAAGCTTGAATTAGTGAAGTTGTTCCTCACCTACGGTGGAGATGCCAATCTTGTGACCGCCGATGGCTCCACTCTTCTCCTGAAGACTATCAGCAAGACATCGTCTAAGCAGATGGTGGAGTTGCTTCTCAACTATGGGAGCGATCCAAACGGTAAAAGTACAGAGGGCGTCAGTCCTCTATTCGAGGCTATTCAGGCTAAGCGATTGGACCTGATTGAGCTTCTCCTCGCAAACAAAGCCGACCCCAATCTCCCTGGACCAAAACACCCCATCTGGCCATCGACATATAACGCCAAAATACTGCAACTGTTGTTGAGCCATGGGGCCAAGACGAAAAGGGCACCCGGCTGTTTGGAACTCGCCACCAGCGTCAATAATATAGAGTCTATCCGCATCTTGCTTGATGCCGGTGTGGATCCAAACACGCGCAAAGATGGGATCTACACCCCACTCTGTTCTGCGATTCGAGACGACCGTAGTGAGCTGGTAACGCTGCTATTGTCAAGAGGAGCCGACCCTAACTTCATGGCCTCCGAGCATCCAGCCTGGAAGTGTGTAACTCACAATCGGACGCACTTGCTCCCTCAGATCATTGCTGCTGGCGCAGACATTCACAAACCCAAGGGTATTCTCGAGAAAGCTGTCGCGCACAACAACCGTGACGCCCTAGTGTACCTCCTAGAGAAGGGTGCAAACCCCAACGATCGGACCTCGGATGGCCACACTGCTCTGACAACTGCTATTCAAGAAGAGCGTATAGAAATGATCGACCTGCTTCTCGCAAACGGCGCCGACCCCTCCATTCGAGGCAAAGATTGGCCCATCTGCATGGCAGTGAGACAACCCGAAATACTGAAGAAGCTTCTTCCTGCCCTGCATAACCCTCGTTCCGTCAAGGGTGTGATGGAAATGGCCGTCGTTGCCAACCAACTCGACAGCATCAAGATGCTCTTAAAGGCGGGCATTAGCGTCGAGGACAAGAATGGAGGCGTCTTCTCCCCACTGACCACGGCCATTCGTGAGGATCGTAAAGAGATTGTTCGATATTTGATCGACGAAGCCGGGGCCGACATCAACGCTCCGGGAGAACATCTTCCCATCGTCAAGTCCATCCGAAGATACAAAGGCGGCGATACCGACACCATTGAATTCCTGCTGTCCCGAGGCGTCGACATTAACAAGATGTACCGCGGGTGGAATTCGGTCCTGCAGGCTGTCGAAAGCGGCAATGCCAAAATCCTTCGCCTTCTTGACGAGCAGGGAGGTGGTATCAATCTTCAAGTCAAGGACGACAACGGCAGAACTGCCGCTGAGATCATGGTCGAAGCCGGTTGGGAAGAGGCGTATAACGCTCTGCTCGCCGAGTCCGAGTCGGACGGATCATCATCCTCTTGAATTCCCTGACCTTAGGGATTCCATTGCTCGACAATCATACATTTTCCTTTGTCTTATGTCTTATTCCCAGCAATCGGAGTCACAGACCTGATGCTTAACAGACTTTTTCTTCGTGTCATAAGCGAGACTACAGATGAGATCCGGGGGGGGGGGGGGGGGGGGGGGCCTGTCCGGATCTGTTCCATCTGACGTGTAATAGTATTGATGAGGAGGCTTTCTGAAATAATACCCCTTTTCCCCTGTTTGCAAGGGGATATGATCCATGCGTTTAGTGTGGGGTGATTAGGCGCTGGTGTGGGCGGGTGTGATGTCTGTGTGGAGCGTCTACATTGTTAAGTATTACTGTTTTTCCCTACCTTTGTGCTTCTCACTATCACCGTCATTTGTTCTGTATTTCGGAAACTCGATTTCAACGTTTGCGCACCGAAAACAATCAATACTCTGAAAATGTATAACATCTTATGTTGAGCTCCTCGGGCGAGCAAGCATCAAATTTTTGTTTGGCTTGAAAGTCGTTCTGTTTTGATAGTTTAGGTACCTAGCAGTTGCAATATGGATAGTATCTAAATGTGCCCTCCATGGCTCATCTGTTTTGCGACTTTGTATTCCACTGTGTGAGACAGTACATACTTTATTACATGGTGTTGCTATGATGTGCTACAAGGAGCATTTTGCGTAGGGCGTAATGATTGATAAATTAGAAATTAGGTACTTTCGTCTCGACGGACACTTGTATGGGCACATCAGACCAGCAACAACTCTTGATTCTAAATAGATATGAAGTGGTCAGGTCACGATGACCTAAGTAGCCTGGTCACAGAGTGATTTCGAGTTGAAGGCCAGAAGGGATTCCTTGGTGAGTAATGATCATGGTGATAGGGATGGTTGTACGTACATACCCATGGAGACGAACAAAAGTGGTTACATTGAAGGTAGCACAGTGGTGTGCTTCACCAGGATAAGGGATCAGCTGTAGGTACCTCGCTAGTCTTTCAGCTCCTTAGCAGGGCAATCCCTGTGTCGCTGTATACTTACTGATTTATGCATCTTCGAGGAACTACGATCACAAACTCGTGTCTCTTACTAGGACATGGGAATAGACCAAGGTTGGGGGATTCATCTCTTTTTTTTGGTGTGTTACTTACCTTTTTTAGGGGCTTGAGGGAGAGGGGACAGGAGGGGGGCGCTTAACTAACCATTCCAAACCTTTCGCCGAGCCATGTGGAATATCTCTGATCGCAGAGAGGGATTGCAATCTCAGCTGAATCCTGCTTTCCTGCTGCTGATAGTGGTACTAGCGATACTTGCTGTAAGTGAGTGGGCCCAGGTTAGCCATGAGGAACGAGTGCAACTTTGCAACGGCGATATCGAGAAGTACGATCTCCTCCTCAGGCTTCAACTGCAAAATAGCAAGTTTCGCGGCCCGATCTGCCAGCTCCATGCCCGCCTTATGGACTTTCACGCAGAGTTGACCACAATCGTAAACGAAAGCCTTGTCGCACTTAGCACGATATTTTACCTTCTCGTAGTTGCGGATTTGATTGGTGCTCCTCCCCGGCTGGGCTTCAGGACTGTAGAAAGCTGCAATTGCTTCCGTCAGAGACGACACTGTCTTCTCGAGATGGTTGTGGACATGGTTTAGAAGCTGTAGATCACGATCGTGGAATGTGCGCTTTGGCACTGCCTCCTTCATCTTCTCCATTCCTTTGTCGAATCCCTCAAGTCGAGTGTTGGCTTCGGAACGGATATTCTCGAGTTCATCGATGAGAACTTTGTAGGGATTTGAAGATGGAGATTTATCGGCTTCGGGAACACGGTCGGGTTGCTTGTTTCGCTCTTCTGTTACAACTGGGCTGCATCGGGCTTCGCCTTGTCTGGTGGCCTGAGGCTGGTCTTGTCCGCCGCGGGTGCCATGAGCCTTGTCCTTGGAAGAGCCAAACTCATAGTAGAATTCATGTCGAGAGACGCGCACACCTGGCTGAGTGGATGATTCTGGTCGCCAGAAGTCATCTTTTGCCCAAAAGTCATCTTTGGCTTGTCTCTGATGAGTCCTCGGCGAGGTCTGAGTTTTGGTCTTAGTCTTGACATGGACGTCGTCCTCCTTGGATCGCGGCTTCTCGCCGCCGGCGTCAGGGTGTTCTCGTCTCCCCCGCGATGGATGGTCGTGGTGCTTGCGATCGTGGCGGTAAGTACGAGTATAAGTGTGGGTGTGGGGACGATGACGACTGGCCTGGCCTCCCTCTGTATCCTGTTGTGCCTGTCTCTCCTGCGCTCGATCATATTCTTGACGCTTAGTTGGATCTCGCAGGGTTTCCCAAGCAGCTTGGATCTCCTGGAATTTGGCCTGGTCCCCACCTTTATCAGGATGCGCGGTCAAAATCAAGGCTCGATATGCGGCTTTGATCTCATCGTTGCTGGATGTCTTGGACACGCCCAAGACAGTGTAGTGGCACGGCATGTTGTTGGATTGTATTTGTTACCTGCGTAGGTTGTATGTAGTGGACTTTTACTGGTGATACTTACCACAACAGTTGCCGTGTGAATGAGGGAGATGAATGGTAGAGGAAAGGAGGAATCCTTGGGCTTTCATCGTGTATTATAGAGCATGGGACTGGATGAATGAGCTCGCTGTTAATAATGACTGATTCATGTGTCTTTGTCAAGACGAGCGGGCTTCTCATTGTTGTGAATAGTGATTGATGCATTGTTGTGAGAAGGGTTGGGACAAGGCACAAAAAGTCTCCTTGAGTACTTGTCCAGGCACGCCAGGTCACTGAAAGCAGGCAGGTAGTGAGAATTCAAACAAAGTCTCACAAAACCATGATAGATGGCTCTTTCTTCAGAAAGACTGTAATCCTGGAAAAAACAATGGTAGATCTTTGGCAAGGGCATATGATATGTCTATCGAATGGACTGACTCTACTGGAGAGATACGTTCATGAAGCCCCTCCATATCTCAAAGATGGTCTGTTTGACACACAATACAAAGAATAGGCATACTATGTGCATTCCATTGTCCTCGAGATGAACCCTGAGGTCTCTCTCGAGAGAAAGGATGAATGAAGGAGGACGGGGGTGGCGTTTGACCCTGAACTGTGGCGCTGTGGCGCATGGCTCATGGACAGTGGAGTATGGCGTAGACAACTGTGGCTGAAATGCTCGGCGGACAAAAGATGTGGAGGGAAAAAAAAGATGATCGTCCCGTGACGTCATGGCAGATGCACCTCATACCTCGCGTGTCAGATCTACTGGACTGTAACCTTGGCTCGAAAGTTGGCAGCACCAATCCCATAAGATCGGCACTGAAAGTAGTGTCCTGTAGTTCGACATCGGAGTTCCTATGTGGTTAGAATGATCGTATTGTCGTACGTGGCTGTTTATCGGAGAAAAGAAAAGGAGATTTCTGCCTAAGATGAGATTTGGCCGAGGCGACAATTGGAAGCTGGCAATAAACGCTAGGTGAGAAAATGATCGACGGCGCCAGGATCAGGACCCTTGAGAATCGACATTGTCCCAAGACGCGGCGTGGACAACGTGTCTTGGAGCTTATCCAGGCGGTGATGTGCGGTGGCTGCCTCGTGGTGGTAAGGGATTCTCGTGGGTACGTGGGTTTCTTCGTCGTGCTTTGGTTTGCGTGGTTTTCACCATACGAAGAAAAAAGGTCTGATAGCGTGGGTAGGTAGCTGCGCATGGTTTCAACTCTCCTCTGATCGCAAATCCCATACTTCCTTACAGTTCCCACACTTGACCGCATCGATGTGGCGGCAGGCGATGGTCGAGACTTCCTGTGGCTGACATTTACACTACCTTCCTTTTTGCTTTTGCTACTGTAATCAATTACTGTTTGGTAAACCGAATCGAAGTGTACAAGCGCTAGTGAGTAGTCCAATTGTGCCACGCAATCGAGGATATTGTAGACACGACGCAGCGGCGACCCCGTGATTGGAGCTCTCTTTTCAGGAGGCGAAGATATGCTGGGCACTCGTCTGGTGACTTGCCGTATTCCGACCTTGGTGCATTTCTTGTCTTGATTCCACCATTGGTACCTACATAACCCAGACCGTGACGCTACTGTGGCTACTACAGCATCACTCGCGACTGGCGAGAAACATATTGGGGACAATTGGGGGCCCATCTGCAGCCAAGACTATCCATCCCAGGGTTCCTCGGGTGCCAGAGCCGGGAAAAAGAGCCAGCTTTCACTACCAATAGGGAGATAGATACCTTACCTACTACCACGCGTGTACGCCTACGTACCATGATACCAAGCCTTATGCTGCCATGACCGTCGTCGACTTCACGATCGTCCCATCGATTACCAATTTACCGTTGGACCCCCGTCCCCCAAATGCTGCCCTCAGTCTCTGAATGGTCCTGATCCAGGTACCGCCGCCGAGTCAACCCAGGGCTGCCAGGGGTCTCGATTTTCATTCTCGCTGACGTGGCCCCTCGTCTTGATCAGCGTACCTGACCTGTGTTCTATTTCCATATCACCTGGTCGATCGCATCCTATTCTAGAGCCACGAAAAGAACTTTCTTTCCCACCGCATACTGTGCCGAAATGCTGTGCCATGCGAGGTACTAGCGCCATGCACCTCTAACACCTACGGTATACGCCGAAAGTCTCTGGCAGCCAATCATATCAGATTTCATGTCACTACATTGCTATGGTCAGATGACGTTCTCCCTTGAGACACTGCCCCAAGAACAGCCCAGCCTCGTGCAGTAGACTGCAGGCCAACGGCGCAGTACTCGTGTCCAGTCCATCCGGGTCTAGGTCGACCAGGCACAAGTACCTTCAATTGGTTTGGACCGAAACACCTCAAATCTGGTCAAGCGCGTTCCTGCATGCATGGTGCGATCAGGTTCCTGATACCACGCGGCCACCTATTGCCCTGCCCAGGCCAGTCTGGATCAAGTAAACGCTCCGTAAGCCTTCCAAACTGAGATCGCCGTCGAGCCAACCTAAGGCGCGACAAATCGATGACGAAAAATGAGGAATGAACTCGGCCACTCGACGTACCCATCTCAGCCCGTCCATGGTATGTCCCAAGGAGAACGGTCATTCGTGTAATCAGTATTAGCGAGGTAGTCGATACAGTGCCAACTCGATGATGGGATCCTCCAAAACCAGAGATCCCTCAATGCCCCGACAGAATGAGTAAATCTGACAAAATGGGTATCTTCGAAAAGTCGTGTATCTCGTGAATAAGAAAAGTAAAAAAGGGTCGGCACGTCGCTTGGGGACCCGTATATCATCCCGTCGTTCGATCGTCCATAGTCTTTGCTTGGAGAAAATGGGGTCCAATATCCACCGCTCCACCGATCTTGCATCTGTACAATTCCACGCGTGTGTTTGAGCCGCCTCAAGTACATCAAGGGCCTCGCGCCCAAGGGGTATCAAATAATATATTCCACCGGTGTCTGATAAGAAAGCCCATGTCATGATGTCGGATATGGTGTGTGTTTGAGAAAGATTGAAACTGAAGTCAGGGAAATAATAATTTCGTACAATTTCGAGCCTCGTAATGTGATATCGTTTGGTGCCGGGGTTGAGTTGTCTCAGTAATTGAGCCACATCTCGAGCCCGTCCGAGACGATGATGTTGGATGGTGGAATCTCTGCATCGACCATGACCTCGGTTGAGGCTGGAGCAATAAGCTCTTGCTTAAGTGGTTGTTCGCCCGAAGCAGGAGTAAATTCCACCATCATGTCCTGTCCTTCAGGAAGTTCGCGGACCACCTCTTCGTCCACAAGAATGCGCAATCCTCGGGAATTAACATGGGTAACCTGTGTCACCCTATGAGGATCGACTTCGAACTTTTGTGCGATTCCATTGATCAGATCTTTGACCGTCCGCTGCATTAGATAGACTGCACGATAGTATTCTCTCTGCGAGTCTTTTTGACGGACGTAAAAGCAAGCAACTGTCAACACGTTAGGATTGTAAAAACCATCACTCAAAGGCTGCTTACCTGGTCGTATAGGTCGATCTGATGGAGGTTTATAGCTACTGTCCACATCCACCGCGAAGAGATCCGTTTTTGACTCGACCTCGGACTTGGGAATCTTGACGGGTCGGGTTTGTGCTGAGGATACGTTGGCCGAGGAGTCAACATCTAGTTCGCTCTCTGGTTCCTCCTGGATGACTGAATTTTGCATTTCGGAGAACCTGCGCTTTGGGGTGTTCGGAGACGTAGAGCTTGCGGATGGTGAAGCAGCGTTGGAGGTGGGAGAGTCAGATGCACTTTGCCGGGATTCCCATGTTGTGGACCGCACCAACTCTTTACCCTCGGGGTCATCACCAGGGAGTTTGACGGGGTAAAGATCAGGATCATCCTCTGGGTCGCCCTTGAGGAAGAGCACACTGATGGGTTGCGTTGAGGTGAACATGTCTTGCATGCTCACCAGTTTCATCTGTAGGTCCTCTTCTGCGGTGAACTTGCCCCCTTCGCCCTCTGAATCTACCGACCAGGTTCGTTTGTGCTTGACAATCTTGCCGGGCCGTGATCCTGAAGCTTTAACCATCGAGCCGCTTCTTCTCCGTTTTCCAGCATTGCCCAAGCCGGCTTCTGCTTGTGCAATTTGCTGCTTCAGCTTATCAATCGTCTTTTTAACATGGGCCACGTCATTGGAGAGTTTGCGCTCAGCGCCATGGTCCCGGAAGAGTTTGACCTTGGAGAAGCACACCTCTGGTTCACCATTTGTAGTGGTTCCATCCAGCGAGATCAGCTCCGTCTTTGCACATAGCCGAACAGGAATACCCTTGACACCCTTGGAATGGCTAAAATCGGTGGACAGGAAATTAAATCGCACCGAGATAGAGCTGTCAGGCGCACCGTGAACTGAGGCAGGGAACCAAGTGACTGCAAAGCCGTCGAAAGAGGCCTTTTCAAGCTGAATTTGGGACTTTCGCAGATCGTCGTCACCGCCTTGATTGGGGTCCACGTATTCGACTGCCAATAGTTTACCACCCCGTTGGTGGGCCTCGTTGGTGCCACGGCCTTCCTTCCAGAGTTGCCAACAGGCGCCAGGCCGAGCTCTCTGCTGTTCATCCTCAAAAGAGACGCGCACATAGGTACGATACTTTAGGATCTGTCCTGGCTGTGGAATTGGAGGAGTTGTATCGAATATCGACATTGTGTAGGCCTGGCCTTTGTTGAGGTAGGTGATGGGGATCTCGTCGGCATGCCGTACCATTGCGGTTGGGGCATTGAGTGTGGTCTGGAATCGGAATCTGTAGGGGTTAGCTGGGAATGTCACTTGGGCTGGAAACACTGACTTTGGCGTAGGAGTTTGTAAACCAACACCAACGTGTGTAGACATGGCTGTAGGTATTGGCTGGGCCATGGACGACGGTACGACACCCAGTTCGCCAGGTAATGGAGTGGTCTTGTGAGGGGAATCGTCCATTGCGACGTAGCCAGAGTCCTGATGCTGGAGAAACTGCTGTGGCGCATAGGTCTGAGGTTGGTGTTGAGCCATAGAGTGAACAGGGTGTTGCTGGGAAAAGACATCCTGGAAAGGATGGGGGTTGTGCAGAAAGTGAGGATTAAAGTGCTGAAGTTGCATGATGGAGTCGTGTGCGTGTAGGCCATGGATTGAATGAGGAAGCGACAAAGGCGTATTCATGCCCATCCCCGGTGTATGGAGGTCACCGGCCTGAGGATGATAGAGCGTGCCAAAGCCACCTGGGGTTGGGGTATAATACCCAGGCGGTTGGTTTGCGAAAGCGGAAAAAGCAAAAGAATTGGGATCCATCAGGGACGGCGTGAATCTCCATGAGTCTGTAAATGGCTTTGGCGTAGCATCCGGATCTTTGACATCTGCTTGAGCATCATAAGATCTGGTAAAGTAGTCAGCATCTGAGTATGTGTTGTCGCCGTGATCAGGCGACTGGGCAGGCGGCGGCGACATTACGACTGAGTGAGAAAGACCAAAGCCATGAGGAAAGGAGGAGGAAGAGGAAGTAAGATGAGCTGATGTAAATGGAAGCATGACATACCGTTGAGGCTCGGAAGGGTCATCGACAATGGCCTCGCTTAAAGTGGACGATCGGCGAAGAGGGCCTGGGTCAGTCCCTTGCACGGCTGAAGCAGTCGATGGCCCAACATTGGGGAAGTTTTGTCGGAAGGACGCGTACAACTCCTCATCGGGCTTCTGTGTATTGCGTCTGTGTTTGAACATGGCAGCGTCAGTTTATGGTGGGCAATGCGCGAGGCAGACAAATGAGACACAAGCAGAACTGGAGTTGGGACGAACCGATTACGAAACATTTGCGACGACGCGGCGTCTCAGGCTGCAGGTCCAAGATAAAAGGATATCAAATCAACGGCATGTGTGCTGAAGTCGATGAGGGAAACAGCAGGAGGAATCCAACGGCGCATCCGTGAATGGTGGATTACAGATTCGTGTATCTGTTGATGCAAAAGGAAGGGAGAAACAGGCGAAGTGCTGCGCCTGGTAGTTTGCGTGTAGAGTTCTTCAGGTGAGAGACGGCGTATCGAGGGTATGCTTGGTAGTCGAGGGAGTCTTGAGTGCCACGAATGCTCAATCGAACAGACAGGGTCAAGAGGTCTAGAGTTGGGTAATATGAGGTTCGACAAAGGACTAGAGGAAAGATCGACAAGAAGGTTCACAAATAAGTGATCCAGACGCAAAATGACGAGAAGGCGAGGTGTCGTTGTCTGGTACTCACAGTACTCGTACTCTGTATTAGAATGACAGGGGGGTCATCGGTCTGCGGTCAGTGGTCGTGGGCCATGGGCCATGGGGAATGGGCAATAGGACGATGGTGCACATCAGAGACTAAAAGTAAAGTACTTAGAGCCAGTGATTTCCATGAGTGGCTCAATTGGGGGCCATGGATCAAGGATGGTGAGGCAAGTGGACACTGGCATCAAAGTCAGACTTAGAAGCTCCGGAGATGCGTCGACTTTTGCGATCGAGTGGTGCCCGCGGCATCAAAGTCCCTTTCTGGCCAAAGAGACCCAAAAGACGACGGATGGCAATCACAAGTCCTCAGCAAAAACGCCATGGACATGGGCGGAGACTTGGACCGGGGTGGCAGGTCTGGTATCCTCCCAAGGACCAAGTTACGGAGAAGAAGATTCAATCCAGCAAGCAACAACCCACAATTCACAACCCCAATCCACAGGCTTAGAGGCTATCGAAGGCTCAAGCCCCATCTGGTACCACGCCCGAGAGGAGTACGGATACGGAGTACTTCAAAAGCCTGGAGGCTAGAGGTCAGAGTGGTTAGACGAAGCCTGAAGCCTGAAGCACGCCCCGAGCGGCCCAACTCATGGCCCATTCAAGGTCCACTTGAGCCACTCGAGCCACTCTTGATCAGACCCAGAGAGTGGCAGAAGTGGAAGCTCCAGCACTCACGGCAATCCTCATAACGTGGACTCCGTGGGCTTTCGTCAGACTCGACCGGGGTGGGGGGACTGGGGGACACTAGCTACCTATCCTGTCTAGTCTGGGTGGGCCTCAGAGCCTAGAGAACAGACAAAGCCAACAGAGTTTGGCACCCGCCTCACACAGCGACTCGGTGAGCCACTCTATCACGACTGACCCGTCGCCCAGCTGCAGACTCATTGGGTGGCCGGCAGCTCGGCCGTTATAAGGCGCCACAACCACCCGACCTCCCTCTTCCAGGTGGGAAAAGAGTGCCAGATGCGAAGCGAGAGCGAAGAACAAACTCTGTTGGAGCAACGGGTCAAGTGGTACAAGTGGGTAACGGCCAGCCTTAGGCCATGAGGACCGCCAGTAAGCCTCCATCGGTCACCCGTCATCGGCCAACTGTCCCACGCGCGATTCGCATTCACTCGTGGCGTCGGGAAAGGAAAAAAGAGGAACAAAAGGGTCATGAAGTGGCACCCCTGCGGACACTGCCCATGGAAGCACGGCAGATACGTGGCTTGAGCGTGCTGGGGGTCTTTGAGTGGGTGAGTAGCTGCAGCAGAGTCTAAGAAAGAGCGACTTTCTCAAGACAAACTACCTAATTCGAAAGAGCTTCCCGCCTCATATTCCTCTTTCGTTCCTGTCACCTTGCTATTCTCTCTCCCTTCTCAGGGTCAATCCTTGTTGCAAGGATGGCAGAGGTCTGCTCAAACTCTCAGGATCCCTCCCCTCCAGAATCTATGTTTGTCCATGATCGACAGTGCACCGCCACGTCTCGACGGGAATGGAGGGCAGAGGGTCTGTAGATGTGGCTGTTGGTGGCAAACCGGCGTGGCACACGGGGGGTAACCTTATCTGATGCCTCCGGTATGCGTAGCAATAATGGCTGCCCTCTAGAGGTATGCGTGTCTGCTGCCCAAGGGCATTTCTGGGCACTCAAGGGGTACGTATGCAGCCGAGGATCTCTACCAGAAGGGCACTAACCAGGGAGACTTTCTCCGGGTGTTCACCCGTAGTGATTGTGACTCGTGGGCCATCCGTGGCTTGGGTGAGACCCGAAAGATCTGCCCATTGGCGACACGCAAAGCCCCAATGTTGATCTACGCTCACCTACGCCCCATGCCTACACGATATTTTTGGAGGTTGACGCCCACACCACCCAAGTCACCACGTGTGGAGAAGATCCATTCTCTTCCAGGCATAGTCACCAGGTAGGTTACGCACGCTGAGATGAACTCATCGCTTGTTGCGTGACTATGCGTACACAAAATTTGCTGTCCTCCTACAGGGCGAATATTATGAGTCAAGAGGATGATCCAACATTAACAATTTTGAAAAGTGAACGTGGCAAAACGGGTGAAGTGTTCCCAAAGTCCCAAGGGGAGGGGAGTCCGGCAGCCCGGCAAATCTTGCCCGGGCGCTGAATGCCGTTTAGGCAGTGGAAGGACGTGGGTACCTCCGTAGACTGGTATGCGGCAGGTATGCGATAGGTACTCGTAGTGTCGCTTTTGGGTTTAGGCCAAGGGGGCACGGGGAACCTGCGATGGCTTTCTTGCGAATTTCGAATTCCCATTGCCCGGATCTCCCTTCCGGGCAGCTCATTCTGCGACAAATGCCCCAAACAATGTTCCCTCGAAACAACCCGTGCGCCCGTACTATCGTCTACCAACCTCTTTATTGAGCTCGCTACGTCGGAACTGCCGCCTATAGCTAGCTACATGCATGTAATCAGTGGTACTCGCAGTGGTTGTTGGGCACTTGTCATTGTCTGGTGGCAGTGATAACCATCGTGAATTTGGCTTGACATCGACCGACTCTCACTCACCGCTTTAACAGGCTAAATGCCAGTTTTCGTGAGCGTACGGCAAGCCAGGAAGCCCTGGCGGGAGCACACCTCTTGCTCCCTCCCAGCCGGACTACTAGACGATTTAGTTAGGTACCAATCATGTGGGTTTCCTGGGAATGGCCTGCTGACAAGTTCAAAGTCTTCGATAAGCGCCTACTAGGATGTGTGGTCCTTTGAATGCTGGTGCACGGAGTACTTCGACGCGACTTCGATTACCTTCCATACTGTATTGGTGCATGGACAAATCTCCTCCCCGTTGTACATGACAGGAGTCCTGAAATTACATCATGGGTCTTAATGGGCGGTCACCTATTGGTGGCGGCGCCTGCCTGACATCCTGAAACACCAAGCCTAGCAGTAAGAAGACGCGGAGGAGGAGTGAGGAGACGCCTTGGAGGGGTCAAGTGACCCTCGTGACCCTTTACAATCTCACAGCTCTTTCCTGCAGCAAAATGTCAAACCACGGGCAGCCACCCAGTCAGACTCTTCCTTGCTCCTTTTGCCGTCGTCATGGGGGTGAGAGAGATAGCTTCCTTAACGAATCACTGTCGAAGATTCATAATGTGCTCGAAACCAACAAACTTGCACCGTGGGTTGTGCACGTAAACGTAATTCCAAAGCATCCTCGAGCCATCAAATAGATTGCGACAACTGCGAATGATGCCATTTGTGAGTAGCAACGTAGCGTAAATCTCATCGTCAAATTCCTGCGTCATAAGTGTCACTCTATCATGAGTTTCAGAATTAGTTGAGGGATGCTGTCATCCGGTGCTTTTGTCCATCGTGTTACAGCCATTCAGCCATTCAGCATAGACAACCAGATGAGACCTCTTGTCCGTAATGAAACCCATATTCATCAATCTGACAGTCGGCCATCCTCAAGACCTGGCGCTATGAGTTGTCGAATCAAGCCGATGACGGATCCGGTGCATCATCTGGAGCGGTGGGCCTTGTGAATTGTGGTACAGATCCAATACCATCAATACTTGTTGGAAGGACACGGGTGATGACCCATACCAGAGACTCCACTGCCACGCCCGGACCATCCATCGTACCCACATGCCTCTCCACAAAAGTCCTCTCGGTTATTACTGCACGATCCGACGAACCTCCAACGAGTCAAGCGCCGCAAGCTATGCAAATTGCTCAATTCCATACCACAACATATGCGGGTTGAACCGTAAAATCGGCTGCAAGTCGAACAATGCACAATTCGCATTCGTGCTTATCGAGTTATGAATCTCGCCCTGGTCCTGGCCTCACTTTGATTTGTTTCCCACTCAACGTCTTGGCCTGACCTGGTCGCCCTGCCGTTGCGACTGGAAATTAAGGATAGCACGAATGTCACATATCCACCACCCCAGCACCCAGCAACCCGTCAACAGTTTCCAATAGCAGAACACAACTGACAGTGGTACATAAACAGCCGTGACAGCCACGACCTGATGTTGGCCAGCCCGGGGGGCTCCGAACCGATCCTCATCTACGCTGTTTCCGTTTCAACAATGGAAATCATGTTACTGTATGCTTGAAGCGAGAACTCCTGTAAGATTGATCCGATCCCAGTGACTACGGTTTGTGATCATGAGGAGTCCATCTGTAAGCGAGGGTGACATACTCCGTATAATCCAATACCAACCCCCCGCATGATCAGACTTCAAGATGTGAACTCTCTTACACACCCAATTCAAAAGGGCATTACAAGGTTCTCGATTTCGATGTGGCTGTTGTGGCTAATTTGCGAAATGCGGCTCGAAGTTTTTCACAAAGACGGGAAAGTCTAATCTTTGGAACCGTTTCTGTGCGCAAAGTTTGTCATTTGCATCCCTGTCGTGCTACAGTTTCAGCGCCACAGATGTTGCACCAGTGAGGGGCCATAGTGGGGATTAAGTGTGGCTAGATGTGGCGTTTTGTGGCTAGTGAGGGCAATCTGGCCCACTTTGGTGTGGAACCAAGTGTGGCGTACATTCCATCACGAACAACTTTCCCCTCTTTCTCCCTTACTGCACCACCTGCACCTCGGGACGAGGGTTCAGGGTTCATTCTTCAGGGCGGTTGCGCACGGTCTAGAATCTCTCAAATTTCATCACCCACAGCCGATCAGTGGTAAAAATGGAAACATAAAATTCATCTCAACCATACGTTGCAAAAAACCCTTGCAGAACACAGCAATCTTTGTCTTCGAATCATGGACCATCACAGCTAAGACTCAGAGGACGCGTGTTCACCTTCCACACGGCCATGCCGATACCGTCTCGAACATCCGTGACCTCTTGGTATGGACAATCCTTTGTGAAGAAACCGCGTACACAAAGCCTTCAAACGTCCTTTGCCAAGCATTGCTTGATCATTCGTCAAAGGGCCCTTCTCATAGCCATCGCACGGATGGTCAGTCTGGGGAGTCTTGGAATCCCCTGAATCCAGAGCGTCAACTTCTCAATCGCTCACTCAAGAAGCATCAAAATCGACAAAGGAGAATTCCCGTGTGTCCGTAGTGGTAGGCCGTAGACTAGCCTGGAGGAATTGGACCATCTCTTACCCTTCGAACGAGATTTCTCTTGACTGAGAGAATGGCCCCATGGCTATCCACTATCTTCTTCAGTGTCTATGTCAAGTCTATGATTTATTAGACTCGTTACGATGCCTGTCTTTCAGCATTCTTCCAATTGATCACAGCAGCAGCAGTCTACGAATGGAGCATCATGTTCTATATTTCTCCTACGGCTCTGGAGCCTATTGACCATTATCATATAACCCCACTCCTTCCTGCAATCTGCCTCTTGATGATGCCGTCCACCGCCCATACTATGGTCCGGTGAATTATGGTAGGTATTTCAGCCTCGTCTCAAAGACCAAGTCTTGATATAGTCTTGGCAAGCATGCGGAACCTTCCCAACACAGCAACATTGCCGCCGCAATTTCCACCTCGCTGCCTTTGTGCCGTGTCCAACTCATTTTCCATGCAGAAGAATGCCTGCCTACCGGTAGGCATTCAAACCCCCCCTCCCCCCACGAAAAGAAAGAGACAATAATGTCGGATTCTCGATCACGGTCCCCGTCTCGAGATTCCCCACCTTCAAGACGACGAGGTCGTTCACCCGACGACGCGACTTCATCTAGGAGATGGAGAGTCGACCGACCATCGAAGAGAAAACGTGATCGAAGTCCCAGTCGGAGCCGAAGTCGAAGTCGAAGTCCACCACGGCCTGCTCGTCGAGAGCGGGACCGAAAAAGAGACGGAAGTCGTGGAAATGAGCGTGACCGGCCACGCAAACATTGGTCGCGAAGCGCAGATCGACATTTGACGACAAAGACGCGCAGGTCGAGAAGTAGAGGAAGTCCTCCATATAGAGACGACAGGAGAAGAGAGCGATTGAGAGATACCGATCGGGACAGAGAAAGTGATGACTATGAAGAGAGACGACACCGATCTAGTCGAAGACACCACCACCACCACCATCATCGTCGACGACGATCACGATCAAACTCACACACCCCTCCACCCCATCATTCCACCGATCCATCCTCCCCAGCCCGCAAAGTCGAGAAATTCCAACGCTCACAAGGGCCCCTCCCATCTCAAAAGGACGCATTCAAAGATACGTCGACACCCTCCCGCACCAAACCCGGCGAGGGAGGAGACACACCCAAACAAAAAGCCAATTTCAAACCATCCGGCCTCCTCGCCGCCGCGGCCAACAGCGTCAAAACCCGTGGCGGACAGGCCGTCGTGTTGAAATACCACGAACCGTCTAACGCGCGTAAACCGCCTGCGTCACAGACATGGCGGATGTATGTGTTCAAAGAAGGCGATATTGTCGATACGATTGATCTGTTTGAGCAGTCGTGTTGGTTGTTTGGGAGGGATGAATCAGTTGTTGATCATGTGTTGCAACATCCGAGTTGTTCAAAACAGCATGCGGTGGTGCAGTTTCGGTTCGTGGATAAGACGAACGAATTTGGTGATCGAATTGGTGCGGTCAAGCCGTATCTCATCGATTTGGAGAGTGGGAATGGGACGAAACTTAATCATGATGCTATTCCAAATGGCAGATATGTCGAGTTGCGCGATGCCGATGTTATTACCTTTGGGTTTTCGGAGAGGGAGTATGTCGTTCAACTACCTCCTGCGCAAAGGTCGGGTCAAAGTGCTGCTTGACTTGTTTGTCAAAATCAAACCGGTTGTGCAGGTTCATTCATCCATGTCGATGAACCTTGAATTGCCTTCAAAGCGGGAAAAAGATAAGCCAGAAAGCCACTACTACTTGCATCGAACAAGACTAAAGGGACATGAAATTCAGAAGCCTATCGGCTTTCACGCACTATACTTCTTGTCATAGTCTCGCCTACATTGGAAACTAGCTTCTCCTTCGTCCTCTCCCAGTTCCATCAGGGTCAAAACTTCAAGGTCTCCGCGCCTTACATGCATCCAATTTGCCGCTCCATGTAGTCGGTGCAAGTGCTTTTGGATCTCCTCGGGGTTGTTCCTCAGCCGACGTCACCTTTATCCTGTGTTTTTGAGACAGGCCCGGTAATTTCATGTTTCTCCCGCCTGTAGGTACATGACATAAAAACGATAGATGACTGAATCGATGCCGGTGGTGGTATCATGAATAACAGAAAACGCGTGAAATTATGCGACAAATTAACAATCAAAATCAAACGCTTTGCATACCCTGCCTACAGCGGCACGGCGTTGTGATGCTTCTTTGTATGGTTTGGACTCCTGTCACAAACCTCTCAGGTGGCAACAGATCGAGTGTGCACGTCGCGGGACATGCTAGTGTTCTGCATTGTGTTCAACACTGCATCACTCCTGCCAACACAATCTGTTCCACCAACATGAGTGGGAGAACATACATCGCGGGCTCAGGTCACCACCCACTCCGATCCTCTTTTGAGGAACTTGTCAAGCAATAGTGACAAATCAGTCATGACAAATCGAATGATGAAGAAGGCAAAGAATTCTGCTGCATTCTTCACTCCGAGCTCCAGGCCGACTTGTGTCTTGCTGCTACACTTCAAGCCCGGATCTTCCACCTGCCGTGCAATGCCATCCAGCACTTGAACCGCGTCAAAAAGCCGCGCCAAACTTGACATGTAGGTAGCATAAACAATTGCGATGTTGGGCAATTGGCTGGGCGTTGGGGGTGGATTGAGCTTGCGATTGGCATGTGATCGAGATGAAGACATCACAGAAGCCATTGTCATCGGGAGTGAAGACATATTGAGGCCCGACGCCAAGTCCTTTGAACCGGACTGATTTCCAATCGCCGGAGCACTCGACTTGGACCGAAGCTTCCTCCAGCTTGATGCAATTGACGACTTTGTCGTGGTGCCGCCAGATTTAGACCCAGTGGCATCCTGATCTTCAGGATTGTTTTTGAAAAGATTGCTTGACCCAGAGAATCCAACCTCACTGCCCAGCTTCTTCTGCAATGTCGTCCGCACCTGTTCGATGATAGTCTCGAAGCTCTGTAATTCTTCTAGGACCGCATCGGCATCCAAGGTGTCCACTTTGGCCAATTTCAACAAGGCTTGTGTGAGGTGGTCACATTGGGAAATTTTATCGTCCAAAGCCTTCAGCTTGACATTCCTGACTCTCCAAATATCGCGGGGAATGAACAACTTGGTTGTCACATACCCTCCACGAGGATGAGCGAGGGTTTGGTACAAGCATCGCATCAACCAGAATGGTCGCAATAAAGTCGGTTCCGGACATGACTCAAGTTGCTGAGGATGTGGAAGGCTTACACTGGTCGGACTGGTGGGTGTCTTCGGTGTGACCGGTTGGATGTGATCTTCAAATAAATAGTATCCGCCAGTCTGCAGCAAATGAGGCCCAAAAGCACCCATTGATGGCGTAGGCAAGGCAGCAGAGGGCAACGGGGGGACGACGTTCTTATTGTCCGGCATCCCAATCGTGTTCGGCGTCAAAGGCGACTCGCCTGAATTGTCCAGCGTCGTTACCGAAAGGTTACGCATTCTGAGGCTCGATGACGACAAACGTTTCTTGAGCACTGAAGGAGGCATTGCTTTGACCAATTTGGACGGTGATGGCGGCTGGACAATGCCATCGTCTGGACTTCCCAATGAATCTCCTCGAGTCAAAGGCGGCGTGAGCGGCGAGATACTGCCCACCGACTCTATTGAAGGTATAGAGGTCATGGGTGTCACTGGATTTGCATTGGTCAGAGGCGAAGGCGTCTTGTCCATTGATGATGTCGGGGGAATCTGTAGCTGGGTTTCCGCAACGGCGGCAGAGGGGTTCGTGGGTACATCGATTATCTTTGTAGCCAACATGGATGAGCTACGTTTGTTAAAGGTCTCGATTTTCAATTGCTTATTGCCTTGACCTGAGAAGCGTCTTTCCCGAAGGCCCAATCCGGCATATTTTTCAGTGCTGGTTGGTCTACTCCGAGGCGGTGGCGGTAACATCGTGGGTGCTGGAGGAAGCGAGACTGTTGGGGCCGCAGTCACAGGAGAGTTTTTGGCGGGAGGGATGGGTCGCGGTGACAGCTCAGAAGCAGGTTCCTGTGATTCCATCAGAGTCGTTAATGTGGTCATATTAGAGATTGCTGTTGACGGCACAGAGCTGGTCCAGGTGCGAGCAGACACAGTACTCGAGTCAGACTGCCGAGGAATGGTAGACTTGGATTGGTCATCGAACGAAAAATCATCGAAAACGTAGCCTTTCGTCATCTCCTCCAGTAATCTTTCCTCTTCGTCCGATGAATTACCTTCGTCATAATCTCGGTTGAGTTCGAGGTCCAAAGGAATGGATAGTGAGGCAGAAGTCATCGTAGGCAGTGGGAGGGTGTAGTCCTGATCGAAGTTTTGCGTTTTCTCTAGCTTTGGCGTTGATTCTTCGTTAAGGCTATCGTCCCATGCGGCATCGACCGCAGCATCGAGTGCTGCGTCCAGATCTGCTCCGATATCATCGACAAGAAGAGTCGAGTCACGAATGCCAACATCCATCGACGAAAGGCGAGATGACCTTGCAGAGGATGAGGCGTCTTCGTAAGTATCCAGCCAAGAGGTAGATTCGGTGCTGATGCCTCTGTAGTGCGCGATGTTACTCGAGACATCAAACGCCCTCTTGGTGGCTTGGGGCGTATCCGTCCCACGTCCGTCCTCGTCGTCATCCACGGGGGAAAGTGGCCTTCGAGGCGATAGAGGCGGTGGCATATACTGGCTTTCCATGGGAAGACTCAGACTGGGGATGTTTAATCTGCTCCGTGTGCTCGGCTCATTTAGATAGGCCTCCCCACCGTAGATCTCTGGAAGCAAGGATTCGCCACGAGGGGGAATTTGCACAGTCTTCAACACATCAGCCGTATCTACATCTGTGACATCGCTTGTGAAGAAAGACTTGTTGCCTTCGTCGTATGGCGGATCATCTGGGAGTGCCTTTTCGTGCAGGCCTGGGAATGGCTCAAGATCGTGGAGTTCGGCAATGCGATTCGAGTATGTACTTCGGATGGCCGACAGCTTCTTGCGGTCGTCCATGTCGGAGCTACGCACCATGACCTGTTGCAGGAGCTCACACGCTTCGTCGTATGCCTCGATGGCGCCTTCGATGTTCTGTGCATTGTCTAACAATACTGCCGAGTTTGCCTTGGCCAGCGCCTTTGATAGCATTGTCTTTTGAGTAGGACTACGATGACTTCTGCCTCGTGTCGGTCCGTTTGACATGGTGGACGAATCTCCTTGTATCTGCATTGGTGGTTCCTGCGATTCAGCTCGAGGGTCCAGGGGTGAGGTTTGCTGTGTTGGGTCATCCAATTGCTGACCAGAAGTCATGTAGACAGACATTGCCACCTGATCGCCCAGTTTACTAGCCTTGCGAGCTTGCCACGAGTCGGCAAAATACTCGCTTGCGCTTGGGTTGAACATTGAAGTAGGCGTAAGCGGAGAGGCTGATATTGGACTCGCATCGCGCTGATTATATGATCTGGCTGGATGTAACATGGAGGAAGAGGATTGAATTCTTTGAGGGCTCTGACCGTCTGCCCTCAACGACGAGGAAGAGAATGGGGCAAACTGGGTTCGGTCAAGTGGCGGTGGTCCCGTGACCACCGAAGGGCCGGCACTCATGCGTCTCGAAGAATTTGCACGTATTTTGCCAGCGTCGGTGTCAACTGCTGATACGCTGGACGAAGTCGAGTGTGACCAACGATTGATATTAAGGTTTGGTGTCAACGTCTTTCCCTCACTTGGACGACGGTCTGAGCGAAACCGAGATTGACTCGTCTCTGTGCGGGAGTCGATAGTATATGGTGAGACAAAGTCGGGGCTTCGAGATCGCGTTCCTAAAGGCGCATTTCTGGAAGTGGAACGCACTGAGACCGAGGAAGACTTCCGAAGCGATTGAGTGGATGAAGATGTCGAGTTTGTTGTGGTCGAAGTCCGGTTATAGGCACTTGTGGGGATGCCGCTGAAGCTCATGCTTCTATGGCTTGTGTTGCGCCTGGGGTATAATGCTGGAGACAGAGGCCGTCTTTGTCAGGGTACATTGATGGGGAGTAGCGCCAAAGTCGGGGTAAGACAGATATTGCGGAGCTCCGAGTCGCACGGATACACCACAGCTGTGGTCTCGTGGGGCTGCAGGTAGTTCAGCGCTGATTAGTGTAGGGGTCTTGCTGTACTTGACAGATCTGCGAGTCTTGTTGTACAGGGATTGGCAAGACAAGTGGGAGGGCGAAATGCAGGATCGGTTGAGTTGGGAATCGAGGTGAAAGAGTTCGGAGTTCGTTCAGGGGAGTCAGGTCAACAGTGGCGTTGAACGAATTCGCGCCGTCGGCAGGAGAACAACCCACGAGAAGGATGTAGCGTATGCGTGTGCCAGAACATGTGTGGTTGGTCTATGGCGTGTTCCAGAACTCGATCAAAGGCCGAAAGGCCAGTTCATGAGCAGCATGGAGGATCGAACATTTCTAGTGAGGTAGTGGGTGTGCTCTGGTTTGCTAACAAACGTGGGTTTGAGATAGCCGATCGCAGGGCGCACGATTCGAGGATTTGAGGCAATGGGTCAGTGTCTAGGAAAGCGAGCAGTTCGTTCGACTGTCTTATGTCGTCTTATGTGTATGATCTTAAGCAATTAGGCAGGGACGAAGAAGTAGTCGACTTGTATTCTGACGATGGGTCGGGTGATGTTGTAAAGGAGGGCACGTCTCCGACGGAGATGGCGGAGATTGATGGAGGAGAGGTCGCTCGACTAGAGGTGGATGGAACCCTGAACGCAGATGGGAAGGCGGGTGGGAGGAAACGCTGGTACCGGACCAGGGAAGGAGGAGTCGTTGATCGGTTGTAAGCCCAAAGGTGACTGCGATGGGCGATGAATGGAGGGAGGAGGCGATGTGAAACGAGAATGGTGTTTAAGAAACAGAGTCAGAAGCAGAACTAGAAATGCGAGGTCGGGTGAATCATTGACGCGGAGCAAGTACTGGTGGCCAGACTGGACTCGAGGCTGTCGAAACGAATTTGGAACCAGATGATTGAGGATGGAGATGGAATGTATTTGGAACTGCGTGGTCGGTAGTTTGACGGGGAAATGTCGTTGGACTCGTGTGGAGAGGACGGTCACAGACTCACAGACTCACAGTCACAGAGGTCACAGAGGTGCTCGTGCAGATGGTGAACCGAGATAGAACAACGATGGCCCATGGAAGTTGAAGGCCTGCAAGGGTCAGGAGAGAAGACGACGGGTGAATGCGTGGAGGCACTGGAGGGCAGGAGGCGCAGGCCACGAACCCCGAATGAATAAGGTTGCGGCAGCCTTGGGGGAGGGAGTTTCCACTCGGGGCGAGCCAGAGCCAGTCATGCGGCTCAGCCATGGCCCACTCCACGTTTCTGCGCCTAGCGTCAAGTGCGTAGTGCATCTTTGTCTGACTCTTGGGAACGCTAGGCCCGTTCCTCTCGTTTCTTCACTTACTTAGTATCTCGCATGTCGCGCTAACACAAAGAGCCGTCCCACCTCGGCCAGTAGGCGCTTTCTCCAGTTCGCAAGCGCGGGCTTTAGACTATCCACAATTGTCCCTTTCGACCCGGACAAGTCAGGCAAGTCAGGGGCACATCGCAATTCTTCAACACTTTAGGTACATAATACGCTGTGCAGGCGGTACGCATAGGGAAACGCTGCATGCCAAGCTAGGCAACACACAATGTAAGGGAATGGAGGACGCAACAGGGCAAGGGCTTTCAACGGGCGGCCTTTGGTGTTGCCTCGCTACAGCACACTGGGCACCTATTGGCTATACTGCTTGGTACCTGGAAGCCACAGTGAAAGCCATCCCTTTATCCATGTCTTACTACGAGGACCCTGACTGTGATGTATTATTGATTAGACTTTGTTATTCTTCAGCTTGTTCATCACATGGCAGAGGTGGCGAGGCCTTTGAGGTTGCCCTTTTGTGTCGCTCTAATAAGTACCCAGGTAGGCGTGACGTTGTCATCGCACTGGAAGGAACGGAGGACTCGAGGCTCAATAGGCACTACCAGTGCCTATCTTCTAGGCACATACAATACATATCTACCTACCTGGAGCGGCGATCAAACACGAGGCTCGGCCGCTCCCTCAGCGATGCAGACGGCTCAGGCTAAATTTTTCCGGCCTTGATTGTTCACTACTTTAGGTACTTAGGTAACCACCAACGGAGGGATAAGGACCTAGGGCACTGCAGGTATACACATAAATACCAGGTAGTCTGAAATCTGTAAACACAATTCCCACAGTCTCGATCAAGAACGCTTACTGTCAAACCCTGCCCAAGATCAAGATTGATCTACATATATGGACATATATGCGTATACCAGACCTTCCTCAGGCTTACATGAGTTGGACTGATTTACGGCTTTTCCATATCGGCCAATTTCATCCTCTATCCCACTGTTCTGGCGATTCTACTTGTAGGCATGCGCCCTTTATTTACTAATAAGTCATCCTGCAGTGCCTGCATGCAAGCGGTCAGCGATTGCCCCTGCATCATGCCAGGGGATACCCCGGGACCACACATGATGATGCTTCTGCAGCATTTCTCAAGCCTTTCCCACCCGTTATGTTAGATGACGATGGTGATGAGGTCCGTTCAACGACTCTAAGACGTATTGATTATCAAATCTGTTGAATGAGGCTTTACCCTTGACAGATGTCGACTCAGTATCCAGTCATCATGTATCACGCTGGCAGGTCTAGTGTTCTGAGGGCAATGATCTCAGACACCAACGGAGTTCGACATTCCTCCTCAGGCTTAGTGAACCAGGGCCTGTAAAGAGTACGTACATACCCAACCTCGCTTCCATTAAAGACACGCATATGTCGAGGTAACTGTCGGTTAGTGATTCGGGCTTCCTTGCAAGTACAATTTCTTCCCCCTGCGCACTATTGCGCATGGCACCGTGATCCCTTGGGAATGGTCCACCTGCTGCCACTAATCAGTTGCCGTATGTCAAAATCAAGGCCACCACTGAAAGCCGACTCAATGACATAAAACTACAATCTAGGCTCAAAAATAGTCTCACCGTGGCTAAACCAACAAATGAGCTCTTGTGGCAAGAGATCAGACCTCAAAGCACGGATAGAAAGTTCGAAATTACAGGTTTGGAAGGCTGACCTTTCGCCTGATCCCTCGGCAGTGTAGGAATTTTCTGTCGTGATCCAAGAATATTCACCTCCATCACGGAATCGAACCACATCCAATTGGTATCGGCAGTCATGATTTCGATGCTAACGAATCGAAAAATTCTATCTTCTCGTCTATCCTAGTCGCCGTTGCAATTGCGTAAATATCGGCAATCCGAATCTGGACCGGCTGATTGACAAAATCTCCGAGTGGATTTGGGATCCGATGAACGAAAGCCATGCTCTTGCCAGGGACTGCCAACTACTGGTCTGATTTGTTTGTTTGTCTTGGTGCGTGCCGAGTCCGATCAACCTTTAGACAGGGTCGCATCTGGTTTCTGCAAATTTTCAAATTCGTAGCCTTCGGAGGCATCTGTTTATGTTCATACTCTTTCGTCATATATAGTGCCCAAGTCATCACCGACCACTCCCAACCGAAAATCGACCCATGCTTTGTGGTGGAGATGCTGATGACGATGGGAATGAAGACATGATTTCGTCCTTCATAGGATGTGGAGGTCTGGTGTCATCCGAAGCATGAGGAGACCAACTCTGCATTGGTAAGGGTACCTGTTCGGTTGTGAACCACACAACCTTGAAGGCCAATGTCCCTTCAGCCTTCAAGATCGGATTTTGACCGATAGAAGCGGTCTGCCAAGATCATTGTTTGGGAAAGTCCTTAAAAAGAACTCCATTAAACCCCGGTGCTGTTGTCTTCGACATCATGGATTGACATTCCTCAAGTCAGCCACACTGGCTTCCGGTGTTGATCCGCCCTTGTCTGCCCGACCTGGTGTTCGGAATCCTGCTGTTGGAGTCTCAGGCCGACTTCCCACGCTCCGGTCTCCGGTCGATGCGATCAAGCTAACGTTCTCACGGAAGGCCACGTACTCAGTGTCGGCATAGCCCAGCACCGCCATGATCTCACTGCTTCTCAGTCCCTTGATCCTAGCCACCTCAGCGGCAGCATAGTTGACCACTGCTCGGCCAATTTCTTCGCGGTTGCTAACCATTTGCATTGACGCCGAGGAGGAGTCGCCAGTTGGCGAAAGCGATCCCAATGGAACTTTGTCCACAACCACAAGCCGGACAGACTCTTGTTGGGCGAAGGAACCCTCGACCCCGACAATACCCACAGGCAGGAGGCCTGCCTTGTTTGCGAGAGCGTTGAATGCCCCGCGGTCAATGTAGATTGTCCCATGTGGAGCCAAGCCGTGCAGGATCCAAAATGCACGGTTTCGGATTGGGGATGGAGAGGGAATGAACCTAGTGTGAAGAGGAGGTAGTTCAGTTTGTAGCATGGGTTCATTGGTGGACGGGTCGATTGGAGGATGGAGGTGATTAATTATGGCGGCGATGTTGCCCGGTTTTGAAGACTTTGTAATAATTGTCGATGTGCCGGCAGCCGTAGCTAGTCGAGCTGCAACGATCTTGGTAGCCATACCGCCTGTTCCGAGAGCGGAGCCCGCAGAGGACACATCGGCTTGTAGAGCGTCGATATCGTCGACTACCAGAATTGGTTTAGCATCAGGGAATTTCCGGGGGTTGGAGTCGTATAAGGCTTCCACATCGGTCATGAGGAAGAGGTAATCTGCATGTACCATGGCAGCTGTGATGGCAGAAAGAGTATCATTATCGCCAAATTTGATTTCTGAGACGGCCAAAGTGTCGTTTTCGTTGACAATTGGAACAACACCCATTGAAAGCGTTTCAGCGAGGGTATTTTGGGCATTGAGATATTGAGATCGATCGGCGATGTCGTTTCGAGTGAGTAGGATTTGCGCCACAGGTTGGTTCATGTGGGCGAATAGTGAGTCCCAGATGGACATAAGGCGGGATTGACCTATTGCAGCAAGAGCCTGCATGAAGCTGAGTTTCAGTGGCCAAAACCAGGTTCTTCAGAAGAGTGAAATACCTGAACTTGAGCCAAATGCTTCGGTCGTTTAGACATTTTCATTCTCTGCAGTCCAACGCCAATGGCCCCCGAAGACACAAGTACCACTCGATGGCCATCTCTCCGTAGCTTGATTGCAGTCTCCACAATCAAAGAAAGAATCGATAAGATGGGCTCATGAGTCTTCTCATCGACAATCGAGGATGTTCCTATAACAATGGTGAGCTTCTTGTAGTTGAGTGGCTTTTGGTTCAGCGACTTGGATCGATAGATCATGGCGAGTTCATACCGATCTTAATAACGATCGTCAGGTGTTTGACGCTCTTGATTTTTGCGAGAGACATTGTCGGACCTTTAATGGAGAGTCTTGTGGTATGTATCGGAATTTAAACACGACGAAAAGATGACGCAGCTCGACTCTATCATTTTGACATGGGTGGGGGAAAGGGAAAGAAGCCGAAAGAGATATCAACTGAGGTGAACTGAAAGACTGTCACGCCCTTTGAGATTCCATTTCCGGTAATAAATTGTTGACAGTGTCGAAGTCTGGAGAAGTCTGCTTGGCCGCCCTGCGAGAACTTGTCAATCGTTGAGAGTCATTGGTATTGACTTTTTTGTGGCCCCAGCATTTGCTCCAGGAAGGCACGACTGGGTGCAAAGTTGTGGGGCTGAGATGCACGTGGATCATTGGTCGAGATTCGGTCCAGGCTTCAGACCGCCTTCAAGGAATGAGGAACATATCATGCATCTATATGATGCTACATGCGCTTCAAAATTCTCTGATACACCGTATGATACAATCTGACCCCAGATATAGATGTTCTTATTCACCTTGGATGTGTAGCTAGAAGTTCAACTGGACCAACATCGTCCCTGACTCTCAGTATTTTTAGAGGAGTCACGTGTCATGGCACGATTTCTCGTGACTTTCTTGACAGTTGGGAGACTTGATGCCATTCACTGTAAGTAAAGTATAGACTGCCGCCCAGAGTGATTGGAGACCTAAAATCCTCAAACTCCAGTGGACCTATTAGTTCACCGACACTTCTCACCTCAATGATGGGCAACTAAGGAAAGACTGGCAGAGGCTTGTTCATCAAGTCCGTATGACGGAAGCTGCATGCTTCGGGCTTGGCAAAGCGCAAGAAACATTTCCATTCCTTTGATGAACCAACATCGTCTTGCTACAACAAGCAACCACACAGCAACTGGAGATGGTATCCACGCCCTAAAGTCAACGCTGTCTAGCTAGTCTCTCAACGCCGACTGCCTTCGATTTCCCCTATCATAGCCGCCATGGCGGATCCTAACTCCTCAGACTCACAATCCTCCACTACACCGTCAAAGCCCTCCTCTTCCTCGATTCCATGGAATGGAAACACATTCATTGCCACCGACACCAGCGCTGGCCGCTGGAAGATGCTGTGGAGAGCCATCACAAATCAACTACCCCCGGATGAATTGAAGAAATACTGGTGGGACAGAGATCAGCGAAATAGCGAGTTGGACTGTCGGATGTGCGAGAAATGGCGCGATGACCTGTTAAAGACATCGCCGGTAATCGTCTACATGAACCAACAGATTGCAGCGCTCGGTGGTGACGTCGGCAAACACAACATCCGCTGTCGCACGTGTCCTCAGCCGAGCTTAGGTGGCTTTGATTCGGACTTTGGTATCAAAATCTGCGCCAACTACGTTGACTCCAAATCGAAGATGGAGGACACTATAGCCCATGAAATGGTGCATGCCTATGATATTCTGAGGTTCCGAACATTACTGGACCAGACAAATCTCAAGCATGCTGCTTGCTCTGAGGTGAGAACGTGCAATGACAGTCCGATCAGTGAACGCACTCATACTGACATCTGGCTTGATAGATCCGAGCCAGCAACCTCAGCGGAGAATGTCGCTGGGCCAATGAATTCTTCGGCAACAAATTCATGAAGTTTACGAATCATCACCAGGAGTGTGTACGGAGGAGAGCGGTCCAATCCTTGATTGGACGGCCGGACTGTAAAGATGATGTCAAAGCAGTCAAAGCAGTCAACGAGGTCTGGGACAGCTGTTTTGCCGACACCAGGCCATTTGATGAGATCTACCGATGACCATTTTGCGGAAAGCCTTGCATGTATAAAAGATTCATTGGAGCGTGGTGTGCATAGGTTGTGGGTTTTCATCCCTTGTGATTCCTCACAGGTGGTATCTCGATTCGTTATATATGATCTCCGGTCTGCATGACACGGTTTGCCAAATCATCCCTGCTCTACTAATTGTTACATCAACGCCACCAGAAAACCAACGCCTTGATGATGCACTATATATTGCCAGGTCCGGCATTGATCAATCTCGCCAGCGATTCAAAAACTTTTGCGCGTTGCCGTCGGCCGGCATGGCAGCAGGAGGAATCTTGACGAGTGTTAGTAGTGGTCACGAGTGGTCAGGCAGGTGGCGGGTTTCAGACATACCGTGGGTTCCACACTTTTAACTGTGTATGTCTCTGGTGCCGTCAAGGTCGATTCGGCATCTGGTGGTCCCGCGACCTTCTTGTAGACGGTATATGCGCTGGTAGGAAACTGCATCTTGGGATTCTTGGCAGTGATTTTTGTCCCCGCCTTGGTGGGCATGGGAGCATATCGAATGCTCCCACTTTGGAGGGTATAAGGGACGTTATATTCCTCGGCACCCGCCGAAGGAACGGCTGGGGCAGGGGCTGCAGCCGCCTGGACGTTGTTGACGTCTACCGGGCCAGCGGTGCCCGTAACAGTGCGCAGGCCTGCTTGTACAGACGCTGGGAATGTCCCTGTCATGCTAGCCAAGGTGAATCTGTCCGAATAGTTGATGACGGTTCCCCCTGTTGCAGCGGAAATGAACTTGAGGAAATATGCATTTTTATCGTCTCCTCCCCAGCCAGCGGTCAAGGGCACTCGAACGGTGCTGGCGTCAGCAAAGTCACCGGCCTGCACCAAAGTGGCCAGTTGGATCTAAGGTTGAGATGTGAATAGATGTTTGTCTTACTGGTCGAGAGGAGAACTCACATAGTTGGCATCCGTATTCCCTCCAGCACAAAGAAAGACCTGGAATGAAGCCAGATCTTTTAATGCCGGAGCCTTGCCAGAGTCTTCCCATTCAATGTCTAATGATAGTCCAGTGATTGTATCTCCAGGCTTGGGAGAGAGTATAGCAACATCAGCGAGTGTATATGAGGCTAGGAGAGCCGTCAGGAGGGAGGCGTTCCGCAAGATCATGGCTGCGGTGTGTGTGAAGGGGGACGGTGGAGGGATTGAGGGCGAGACGATTGCGACGAGAAGAAAGACCTAGAAGGAGGGGTGGGCTTTGAGAAGCTATTTGTTGCTCAGAGAAGATAATAAGGGAGCGTCGGAGTTGAGGTGCGGACTGGAGGTGAGCAGGTCAACAAAGATCGCGGTGGTTGGCGAGGCATGAGAGTTTCCCCCAGAGTGGCCACAGTCTTTGTCGCTGGCCAACGCGGTGCGCACCTGCTGCAGCAGCTGCTACAGCCGCAAGATAATGCTAAGCAAATCCGACCCAGAATTGAAATTATTGATCTTCCAGGGGCTGCAGTGCCCCAAGGCTGTCAGAGCCTTGCCCCTCTCGGCGGATGGCAGGGGGGTTGGTGGGCGTCTCCAAGCATGTTCCACGGGCACTTGAACTGCTCTGGCTGTGCTACCGAACCATCTGCTCGTGGGCCTCGAGTGCTTCTAATTGGCCTGGACCTCCCTGGTAAGGCTGCCAACCTTGGCTAAATGACGAACCTCCGGGTGCGCCCACACTATTGAATGCCTGAGTCCAGTGACATGACATGCGACCTTTGACAACATCTTCAACATTTGATCTTGTTCCAGCTTCTTCATCTTGAGTCTACTGCAGAACGAGACTCTAGGATGGGCTGGTCATCGCCTGATGGTTGGCTGACCAGACTTTTCTCTGGCGATCCGTTGGCCATCGCCATTGCCTTCATTGTGACATTGACCCTGCCCGCACTGCTTCATTACTACTTCTATACCCAAAGTGCACGCTCTCAGCTCACTCCAACATTCCTCCTCCTGGGTGCCAGTGGCGCTGGCAAGACATCGCTTGTTTCTTTGGTAAGTCCGGGTTCAATTCAACACAAACACTACAGTCTGACCAATCCAGCTACAAAAACAATCCTCCCATCCTGACGAAAATGAGCCTCAACCCGCCCAAACTCGTACCTCTCAGATCATTAATCGAGTCAGTCTATACCTCCCACCTACGATATCGCTAGGCTCCAACAAATACCGCTCCGACAATGATGTCTCGTTGAAAGACAGAGAACCTCTGCCGTATACCATCATTGACACTCCTGGTCACGGCAAATTGAGGCTGGAGTCGGGATTGTCGCAAATCTCAAATCCAGCTTTGCGCGGCGTCATTTTTGTTGTTGATTCCAGTGTGATGGATTCGAGCGACTCCTCCGTTTCCAGAGATGCTGCTGCATATTTACACGATACGCTGTTGGCTTTGCAGAGAAGGACAACTGGCAAAGGCTCCGTCAAGGGCAAACCACCCATTCCTGTATTGATTGCCGCCAACAAGCAGGACCTCTTTACTTCTCTCCCTGCCGGGGCGATCAGCCAACGTTTGCAAACTGAGATAGAACGAGTCCGGGTCTCAAGAGCAAAAGGTCTTTCAGCTGTAGGGCAGGATGCCGATACCAATGAGGAGGACGATGTGCTCGGTGGTGGAGGGGAAGAGAAGTTTACGTTCAAGCTGCTGGAAGAGGAATATGGCATCAAGGTGGATATCATTGGAGGAGCTGTCAAGGGGGAAGAAGCCGGTAAAGGGGTGACAAGATGGGAGGAATGGATTGGAGGTTGTCTATGAAGACATGTAATCTATACCAAAGCGCCTTGATCTCAAACAATGCTATGTGAATGAATATCATGTGGACCATGGTCATGTTGATATCCTGGGTCGTCCTGCGCACTAGGAGGAAGATCATGATATGGGTCATAATCTGTCTGAATACTCCCCACGCCCTCCTTAAGGTAAAGTAATAGCCTGTACGCACTATTTCCGTTGAGATAGTACCGGTGCAATCTCTTGCTGCGAAGAAATCCCAATCTCTCATACAACTTTATGGCAGCAGTATTGGTCTCCTCAGTCTCAAGGGCGATTTCGTCCGCATCTTTCTCGATCATCAGGTCAATGGCTTTGCTGACTAGTGTTTTGGCAATCCCTTTGCCCCGAAACCCCTCTTTTGTGGCCAGCATTGCAATGTATCCTCTCATCGGACCTCCTCTGTGTTGCTCTAGTTTGCAGATGACCACTCCAGCCAGCTTATTGCTGTCTGTCGTGTCAACCGCCAAGAAGCACAGTTCTGCCCACTGGTAGAGAAAATATCGGTAGACATAGATACTGTAAGGCTCGGAGAGATCTTTGGTGATCAAGTCGCGGATCTGACAGAGGTACTCCGGTTCGTGTTCGAGCGAGTACTGCAGGTAGGCTATGCCTGGAGGGGTGACCTGGAAATGGCTGCTGGGGGAGGCGAGCGGTGTGACATTTTTGGCGCTGGACTTGTCTTTACCGGCTCCTGCATGTGTGTTGGAACCTGCATTATTGCTCATCGCAGAAGTGATCGTCCTTGTGGTGCACCTGAAGAAATGGAATTAAATTGCGTAGGACATTGCATGCTTCAAAGGTTGCCCATAGGACCAACTCGACGTCGAGGACGCGCAGAAATCAATGCAGAGTGGAATTGCCTCCTCGAATGCGGTATGGTAGTGGCTGTGGTGAGAGCCAAATGGGTCAAGGTCCGACCATGAGTCGTTGCTGAAGACGCTGAAGTAGTCAACGCTGAGCATTTATTATGGCCGAGAAGGGAAAATCGAAGCGGATGTGCAACTGCAACTCCGGCCGGCGGGACGATAATTCTACTTAGTTGATTATTATGACGCAGGCCTCGTCTCCCCAACTTCTGATTGCATGTGAAGGAACATCGCCTGCTCAATAACACCATCCTATCTTGCTGTTCATCACCTCTTCTCGCTCTCTAGTCTCATATTACACCCTTTAACAAATCTACGTCGAGGGCTTGGTCGGCCAGGACCACCACGACCAAGCATGTCCACCTTGCGTAGGAGGATCGCCAATGTTTTGAGAGAAACCCCGTCTCCCAGTCCAAGTCGCGACAGCACCCCGGATCCTGGCGAAGAAGTCAAACTCATCTCAACTGCAAAGCTTGATAAGCTGACCAAAAGGAAAAGCAGCAAGAAGAGATCCGGCATTATCTTTGGCTTAGGCGGTCTTCTTGGACTGGTGCTCGCATTATTGTTTGCCGAGTCTCAGGATGTCATCAAGTTGGAAGGACTTCTCGAAGTCAATCTGGATAGTTTGATGGATGTGATACCTGCTGGTATTATCAAAGATGTCAAGGACTTGTCCAAGGCCGAGAGAGATGCGGTCAACTACGACTCCTTCTCTGTTGGTCTTCATTTACAGTCCCAAGGCGTCACTGCCCATCATCCCGTCATCATGGTGCCTGGCGTCATCTCGACGGGCCTCGAATCGTGGTCAACAAGCAGTCAATCCAGACCATATTTTCGTAAGAGGCTGTGGGGTTCGTGGTCCATGATGAGGGCTCTCGTCCTCGACCAGGCTGCTTGGAAGAAGCACATCATGCTGGACAAGGATACTGGTTTGGACCCGCCTGGAATCAAACTTCGAGCGGCTCAAGGATTTGACGCGACCGATTTCTTCATCACGGGCTATTGGATATGGAACAAGATCTTGGAGAATCTCGCGACCATTGGATACGATCCCACCAACGCTTATACTGCTGCATACGACTGGAGATTGGCTTACCACAACCTCGAAGTTCGCGACCAGTATTTTACCAGGCTCAAAAACTACATCGAGGTTGGCAAACAGACCTCAGGCAAGAAGGTCGTACTGGTGTCGCACTCTATGGGCAGTCAGGTCTTGTTTTACTTTATGAAATGGGTGGAACACAAAGATCATGGCAAAGGTGGATCGTCATGGGTGAATGATCATATCGATTCTTGGATCAACATTTCCGGTTGCATGTTGGGCACGGCCAAGGATATTCCGGCAGTTTTGTCAGGTGAGATGAAAGATACTGCTCAACTCAACGCCTTTGCTGTGTACGGACTGGAGCGATTCTTGTCCAAGGAAGAAAGAGCAGAGATCTTCCGCGCTATGCCTGGGATCTCGTCCATGTTGCCCAAAGGTGGAGAGGCTGTCTGGGGCAACAGTACCTGGGCTCCAGATGATCTCCCCTACCCACAACAGAACACCACCAACGGTATCTTCTTATCGTTCAAGCCGAAGGCGAATTCGACAGAGATACCGCACAAAAATCTGACCATGTCGGAATCACTTGAATACCTAAATCAAAACTCCGAGGACTGGTATAAGGACCAGATCAAACACGCCTATTCTCATGGCGTGGCCCATACCAAAGCAGAAGTTGAGAAGAATGAAGACATTCCCCGGAAATGGATGAACCCCTTGGAGGCGAGACTTCCCAATGCGCCCAACCTGAAAATCTATTGCTTCTACGGGATTGGAAAGTCGACGGAGAGAGCATACTACTACAAGGAGACGGACAACCTATCACAGGGGAACATCAACATCTCAATTGACACGTCGGTCTCGACACCGAACGGTAAGCTGCAACAGCTCGGCTCAGTTGACCGGGGAGTTATATTTGGTGAGGGAGATGGCACAGTCAACCTCGTATCCACCGGCTACATGTGCGCCAAAGGCTGGAGGAACATCAAACGCTACAACCCTGGCGGTGTCAAGATCAAGACTTATGAGATGCCTCATGAGCCTGATAGATTCAGTCCGCGAGGAGGACCCAACACAGGAGATCACGTCGATATCTTGGGCCGAAGCAGTCTGAATGATCTGATCCTTCGAGTCGCTGGAGGGAAAGGGGATCAGATCGAGGAAAACTATGAAAGTCGGATATGGGAGATTGGTGAAAAGATACAGATCTTCGATGATGAGTAAAACATCACGGGACATGACCGGTAGTTGATGAACGACCTATGATGAGTTGCATAGCCATGGTGGGACTCGGCGTTGAGGCGACGGGCCATTTGTACATTATTTTAGACTGTTTGAAGGATTTCATCCAGATAACAAGATACCCTGGTAGTGTGAGTATGAAGGAGGCGATTGAGACGGACTATACAAATGCAAAACGTAAGTATATCACTCTTGTACGCGGTTATCATGAAAGACCCGAGTGTGTCTCATGATTTTGATGCTGGCCTGGATCTGAGAGCGAATGGCCCCCTTCGAAGAATGAGACTACGGAGTACGTACCTCGAACGTGGATGATGAGCCACAGTGGCGCCCGTGGCCCCCACACGGCCCCAGAGCCCCCTCGGCCCAACGTGACTTCTCCATAGGGCTTGATTGTTAAAGGACACAAGGTGCGAATGACGAGTCCCGGTGACGCTGTGGCTGAGTCTATGAAGTACAGCCTGAAGTACTCGTGGCATCCTTCGGCCACAAAACAGTGTCCACGAGTGCCACGACACCTCTTAATTAATGAATTCGTCCTTGGCCCTCCCAACAAAGCAAGCCTTGAAGGACTACTCGGCCCCCAGGCGCTTGGACCCAGTGGGCCTTAGGGGTCCTCTATCTCTATACACTACTACCACATGCCCCTCCTTTGTTCTTGTTGGATGTCAAAACCACTATCATCGAATAGATGATTCCTTAAGGGTGAATGCTCGTCAATGACTGCAGGCTTTAGATACTTCTGAGTGACGTAGAACGGCTGAAGCCTCTGAGTCATTAGACCCCAAAGGTTGAATGCGGCCAGGTTGTGAGTTGCGCACGAATTGTTTGACGCTGCAGGACAAAGGTGGGTCCCATCCTGCAGACTTCTCCCAGTAACCAAAGGGAACTCGCACTACAGCTGAAAGTCCAGGTTTCAGAATCCTAGGTCCCAGGATCCCAAGGATCCAACGCATGCATTTACACCGACGCTGTTGCGACTATCTTGTTTGTGATTGCATCCCACGACTCCCATTGACAAAATCATTCATCCTTCCATTCCTGCTGACTCTAAGGTGCGCCCTTCATTTAAAGCCTGCCGCCTACTCTCCCCCCACCACTTGACGTGGTCCGACATCATCATCGTCCTTGCCCACTGTCTCTTCAGCAGAAACTAGCAACTCTATAACTTACGTCAAACACAAGTTCGCGCCAATTCCCTGTGTCGTCACCCCTATTCGTCAATTCTTCTCTCGATCATGGCCAAACTTGGTGCCATCGTCCCTCTGATCCTCACATTGATCCTTGTGGGCATCGTCGCCGCGATTGCGTTCGTCGTATGGTCTATCGCACACGACGTCGGACATCAGACCAGACAAAAATTGGAGAGGAAAAATGTCTCATTTAGTCGAGACGGCATGAAGGTCGGGGTCAAAGAGATTTCGAGAGAGCAACAGGAAGACAAAACCCAAAGGTAGGTCGCACACACCTGGTCGTTGCAATGAAGCGAGAAAGCAACTTGTGGCTTGTCGACTAATCACACCGGGCGTTGACAGTGTGCTGATGAAGGTCTGGAACAATGCATCTTGGCCGGCCTATCAATCACGATTGGGATGGGGACAGGAGAGTCCAGCTGGAACTCCTTCGACAGAGAAGAGAAACCCGTAAGTTGATCCATCCATTGGGGACGCAAAGATGTATCAATATGCAATTGTTTCCTGACATTGGGCATATGGACAGATATTCTCGATCGTCGTCAAGTCAAGCCTCAGTACCTCGATCCGCATCCACATCTACGCCCTCCGCTTCTCGAACCAATTCTTCTACCAGAATTAGATGAATCACAAACCGCATATCAAAGGGTTGTAATGGGGTGTTTTCGGAAATGTGGCCAAGCAGGACACATGTGCTGCCTGCTACATCGGAGCTTTGAAAGTTGCTTAGCCATGTGCTGTTGAAAACTGGGGTTCAGAACCGGATTTATACCACCAGATGAATTATGAGCTAAGCGTCGGCTTACGCAATGAACGAGATCACGACAGCATGGCACTGTGTGCGAGTTTATCATGGCCTCCCCCGTTAGAGCGGGGAGTTGACTGACGGGCAGACATTTCGACGTGGAGAGAATGAACGCGCGCAAATGGAATTTGCGACTGTCTCGGAAATCCTTTACAGTTTCTACCAAGACCCATTGGTCTCGGCTGCCTCGATGGTTTAGAATTCTATACCAAACTTCCGTTTGAAAGATGCGAGGATACGTCTGGGATGCAAAGCTCGTCTACTAAGTAAACATTTTCACGCCTTGATGTAGCTAATACCGACCCGTATTCGGACAGAAATATGGACGGGTAGATCCGCGGTTCGTGGGGGAGTGAAAGCGCAAACCGTGTCTGTGCTCGTGTTGTTCCAGAACCTTGATCGAATCGAGTATGAGCCAGTGCCATTTGGATGGGATGCCAGTTGAGGCCAGAAGGGATTGAATCATCATGAGGACAAGGGAACATTGTCCGACTTCTTTCTTTATCAAATGCCACCTATAAGATTGTCGTCTCGAGTAATTGCAAGTCTATGTGTATTCTTGATCGGGCATGTAGTTACATGACTGGAGGCCATACAAGACGACATCTGTGTCTGCATGTGCGATAGGAACTTGTTCGCAATGGGACTAGACAAACGGCAACAACACGACCCATCATAGAGAGAACTGCACGTGCTCATTCGCGCTGTCTGCAATATGCGGTTGGCCTACGCGTGTCATGACATATCCCCACGTGTTAATTGATACCCATTGAAGGGAATGACCCATGGTTCGTTGGCCACGACCACAAGTGTCGGTACGCGTATCATCAATTGACTCATCTACAGCCTGTATGCTCATATGATCGAGGACGATGACTAATGTTTGGACGCCAACGTGAATCCTTCTGGAAAGCTACTGACACATTCCCGAGGCCTGATCGACACGTGCATCCCTGAATGTCCAATGCAGGATCAACGGCCGATCAACTCAGTCATGGCCCCAGTCTGTGGACTTGAAGATTTCCATGGTCATCGAACATGGGAGAAACCGAGGATGCTGATCGCCTATGCAAGCTGCAATGAACCATAAATACCTAATTCCGGATTGAACATAACGCCTTGGTCAGCATCATCATTATAATGCAGCTGGTATACAGCACAAGTGGTACAGAGGATTGCAGATGGGAGATTGAAGGAGCACGCGAACAATAAAGTTTGATACTGGAGATTGGGCGCAAAAAAAATGGGAGCAAATGAAAATCGCGCATTGGCATTGAGGGAAGCAGCGATTCAGAATTGGCTGTGAGCCTGAAAGCCTACGAGAGCCAGAGGGGCTTCCGTCCAGTGTCGGTGCTGACTGGGGGTGTCAGCGTGCCGAAGCCCCCTTGCTTCGTTTAAAGCGACCCTTCAGGTTCTGGGCCTAAGTACCTAGTAAGGTAGATTCAGGCAAGCAGAGCAAGGCTGGATAATCTGACCTGTCGTGTGCACTCAGACCGCATGCGGCCTGACAGTTGTAATATTGGCCATCCGACTTCAGTCTGCGCCTGCACACGTCCCACATTCACCAACTGTTTTCATCATACGAGGTTGGTAGATGCTTGATGACAGGCCGCAAGTTAGGGCCCGCCTAGAATATCCCAAGGAATCATGATTGCAAAGTCTATGATGACGCCCAGGTATGCACTGGCACGGTAGACGCCAGACGGCACAACATAGGCGGTCGGTGGGAACAAACGGCCACGCCGAGAGAGAGCATCGTCATACAAAAAGTCAACAACTCTCGTCGTCTCTGCATAATTTATGTCACGGAGACTTTGTCAAGCCCATCCACTCGACAGCTTGACCGTTCGAAAGACTTTAACCCTGACGTCGTTGCATTATTTTTACTCTGTAAGTAGCCCAAGCAAGGTTTAATGGTCCTTTTGGCTATCTCAACTTTGATTTCTCTTTTACTTGGCTTTTTGGTATCCGAGTGCAAGCGGTGCAATAATCCGATGAATAGTTGAACCTCAACCTCATTGAGGCTGAAAACGTGCATTGGCAACTCACGTGGAGTTCATTATGGAAGCTCAGACCAGCTGGAGGCTAGGCACAATAATAAAAAACAAATTTGATCAATTCCAGCCACTAGACATTTTGATCATCGGCAATTCATAAGTGCGCAGACCATTCTTTGCAGGAATAGCATCGAAAGTTAATCATCATCGACCTCATTTGGATACCTGCTTTGAGAGCTATGCACACCGCACCTCCTCCACAGATCTCTTCGCTAAGCATGCTCCAGGCAAATGACAGGCATTTAGGCCAATCTTTGCCATGGATCCCACCCCCATAATGCATGCCAATCACCATGAAATTTTAGCTGGTCCCGGCACGTCCGGTCCAGCCACCAGTCTTTCATTGGCTCGTATTTTGGTGCTGTCGAACCGAAGCAGCCGCCCATCTCCACCGCATCTTCTTACCTGGAGTCGAAGAGTTTTGCCCCCCAGGTCACTCTGGTGCTACCCGTTGAAATTTAGAACCTAGTAATTGTGAGCAATCAAAGCAATCATCCGTGACAGGACAATCCAGGATCAAGGCTGCTGAGAGGTTTTTCTGCGTGCCTGTGGAAAAAAAGAGCTCTGTGTTTGCGGTGTCTTCTGCAGTGCTTTTGGTTGTCGCCTAGGTGCCTAGAGTACTACTAGTGATCTCGTGCAATTTTTCATTGCCTTCCAGGCTGCCCACGAGTAAGGATTGGTCCCCCAGTGTTCTGGTCTTTTTGCAATCTGCCTTGCCAAAAGCCCACCCACGCTCCTTGGGGCATATCGGCTGCTGTTTGCATCAACCACAGCGAAGAAAGTCGATCGAATCGACCAGTCACCAACCTTCAATCCTATCGAATGCTCACCTAAGCCCGAGAGGCCTTACCTACCCTGCAACCTTGTGGCTCCACCATCCTTCATTTCTTCTCTTTCTCTTACACACTATTCCTCTACTACTGCACGCTACAACCCCTACCCTACCAAAACCTTCTCCTCTCATATTAGTGCCTACCTAATCAATTTTAACCATGTCGACTGCCTCTTCTCTCCCCATTCACCACCACTGACCGGCTTGCTCGGATCGCCTTCTTACACACCACCCTCACCATCCCATCACCACCACTACTTGTCGCCGACCACCTCTGCTTCTACTCGCCGCCCTCTCACGCGACCATCTTCGCCTCTCGTACCTCATTGTCGCCACTGGATTACCTCGACAACTCCTAGAATACATCTTTTTCACAACACTATCCTTCGTTGCTCTACCGACGGTCAGGCGAGTCAACTGCACAGATGCAGGCAGCACTTCCTTCATGGAAGGACGCCGCTCTTTCAAAGAAGCAAATTCAAATACCATGGCGATCAATACAACTGCTCGTTCCTCACAGGATCCGGCGCAGGCTTCGCTCAAAGCTGCGCAATCGAGGATCCCCGGCTTCCTCTCTCGCTGCTCTGTCCACCTCCTTCTCTCCCAGTGATACCCTTCAGTCTCTACAAAATCACAAATGGACAGTTTATGATTTTCAGTGGCTGTTCCTGGCCATCATAGGCGTCTTTTCCTTAAGCATCATCGAATCACCTGGACCTCTGGTCAAGACCACCGTCGCAACCCTATTGCTTCTCTCATGGGTCTTCCCCATCACGCGACAATTCTTCCGACCTTTCATGCCGATAGCTGCGTACTTGATATGGTTTTACGCTTGCCGGTGAGTGACATTAGACGGACTATCTATTTACCTTATTCGCGTCGCTGTGCTGACTTCAACTCTAGATTCATCCCCTCTGAATGGCGACCTCCTATCTGGGTCAAGGTTTTGCCAGCCCTTGAAAACATCCTCTACGGCGCCAACCTCTCCAACATCCTTTCCGCCCATCAAAACACTTTTCTCGATCTCCTAGCATGGTTCCCATATGGTATTGGACATTTCGGGGCCCCCTTCGTCTGCTCTGCCATCATGTTCATCTGGGGCCCTCCCACAACCGTCACCACCTTCGGATTTGCCTTTGGCTACATGAATCTCATTGGAGTCATCACGCAGGTCCTCCTTCCTTGCTCCCCGCCCTGGTACGAAAACATGTATGGTCTGGCACCAGCAAACTATTCAATGAAGGGCTCTCCAGCTGGTCTGGCCCGCATTGACGCTTTGTTTGGTCTTGACATTTACACCTCTGGTTTCACCGCCTCTCCGATGGTTTTTGGCGCTTTCCCATCTCTTCATGCCGCTACCTCAACCTTGGAGGCTCTGTTCATGAGCCACGTCTTCCCCAAGTTGACACCCCTATTTGCCGTCTACGTTATGTGGCTTTGGTGGGCGACCATGTACCTCTCGCATCATTATGCAGTCGACTTGGTCGCAGGAAGCATGTTGGCTGGTGTCATCTTCTACTTCGCAAAATCGAAATTCCTCCCTCGCCTACAGCCTGACAAGAACAATCGATGGGATTACGACTATATTGAAATCGGAGAGCGCCACGATGAATACGAATATGGTCTTGCAGGGATGGATGGGCTAGGTCCCGATAGCGACGAGTGGACCATTGGATCTTCATCCTCCGTCTCGTCGGGCTCGATGAGTCCAATCGAAGAGAACCAGACTCTGTGGACAGAGGCATATTCCAACCACGAAAGGTGATGGACCATAAGCTGTCACTCTCCAACATATTCACCACCACGACATATTATTTAGTCGTTCTACGACATTCTCAGGTCCTAACCTCCAAATCGAGGCTCTCTGAACTGGTTTAGCCTATTTTTTCGACGACCGGCTGACGAACCGCGCCACATCCGTTAGAGGGGCTGTGTGCAGGAACACAGGAACGTGTCACCTTGTGGAGGCGACAGCTATCATCAACATTATCTGAATCGTCACGTGGAGTGCAGCTGTCTGCTTCGAGACCTTGGACCCTCACATGAGTTGTTGGACTCTGGATTCTGGAGAAGTTCCGCCCATCAGTAATAGCAGGAACGCATTTTCACTTGTTTTGGAGCCAAACCATGCTTGATCTTGGGAACAGCGGCTACTGTTTACCGCGACTCACTGGGAAAGACTACACTCGCTTGACTGTGCATGGCCTGCACAGTTTGTACAACTATCGCATCATTACGACCGATACGCCATTCGCTTATTCCACAGAGAGGGCAAGGTTGGAGTTTGGTACATTTTGGATTGCTTCTGGGGCATCCCAAAGAGGCTGTTTGAAGACGGCTCGAAAGTATGAGTAGCCACGCTTGTGAGCCAACAGGCTGGGTTACCATCGTGGGATTGCAAAGATGTGAGGAGGATCCAGCGACCTGTTAATAGAAGGAACGTGGATCAAAGATGAAGCATTCGGACATGATTGCATAGCATCGGGGCTTTGGAGCCATTGCATTACCACACCATCCAAGAATGGATGTGTTCTGTCGGCGTGTCACAGGACGCTGACGACCTAATTTAATACCTAATACTTAATCCATGAACATTCAACCCAACTTTGCACAGAAGACACACTTGTCCCACGGAGCGAAGCGGAGTAGGTTCTACATTAGGTTCAGTTTCTTACTGTAAGGAAACCTGGCATCCGGATAAACTATTAAGTGATATGATTGGCTGAGAAAAACATGAAGGTTAGCTGAAGCCTGAGACTAAGCGGTAGTAGATAAATGATTAGATATACGCGAGTTGCGATCCCGTGACTGAGGATTTGGAATATTCTCCTTGAGTTTTCCGAGTAATCTTGGAGTACTAGGTAAGTGCCCTGGAGAGAGTGCCCTGGAGAGAGTGCCCTGGAGAGAGTGCCCTGGAGGCTAGAGAGAGTATATAGGAGTGATGCCTAGAGCTCTGTAGGCGACTTAGCGTTAGTTGCAGCTGCTACTCGCTACGTATATTTTATCCTTGAGAAATTGAAGAGTTGATCGTATCTACTTACATTATTTTATCCGTCAAGTCTCCTCAGAACCCCATCCACACCCATACGATTCAAACACGATCTATTTATATCCTTGACACGACGACATCCACAAAGCGCCATACATCTACGAAATTCATCATAGAGCAGCTGCAACATCTTCTCGACGCCTTTCTGGCCATTATAGGCGAGAGCCCAGAGCACCGGTCGCCCTACCCAGACATACTCAGCGCCGAGAGCAAGAGCAATAAAGATATCAGAGCCACGACGAACCCCACCGTCGAAATGGATAGGAATCCTCCCCGCAGCGGCATCAACACATTCGACGAGCGCGTCAAGCGTAGCAGGAACACCATCGAGCTGTCGTCCGCCGTGATTACTCACAATGATACCATCACAGCCATGCTGGATAGCTAATTCAGTGTCTTCGGCCGTGAGAACACCTTTGACCCAGATTTCCATTGCAGGATTGCTACTAGTGGTGGTGCTGGTGCTGGTGCTAGTAATCCGGTCACGGAACCACTTAATATCACGAGCCCAACTGTGAGAATCGTCATTAAAGGCCGTGAATCCTCCGTCATGGGTAGTGTTTCGAATCTGTTCCGAAGTGCGTTCTAGGATCGGCCAGTGTAGACCCTCTGGTGTGCGAAAGTCGTGTCGCCATTCGTTATACCGTACTCCCAGAACGGGCGAGTCGCCGGTGAGGAATATGGCACTGCAGCCTGCGGATTGGGCTTTGCGTAGGATGCGTGTTTGTAGGGCTTTGTCGCGCATCGTGTACATTTGCTGTGCGAAACTGATGGGTAGGGTGTCGTCGGCGCGGCCAGTATCGGTCGCTGCTACTGGTGATGTTTTTGCTGCACGGATGATCTCTTCCGTCGGGAGGTTTGCGTAGCTCGAGATTCCCATATTGACGTTCATGGCGGCGGCTGCTCGACTTGTTGCTGCTTCAGCATCTGTATGCACCAGTCCGTGGAGGCCTGAGGGTGCTAGACCTAGTGGGAACTTGACTCTTCGTCCGAGACATATCGTCGAAGTATCCAGGTCTGACACATCGACCAGCACGCGAGACCGTAGTCGGTATTTGCCAAACGCAGATGAGTTCTCGGCAATGGTCGTCTGATGAGTGGAGCCATCGTTGATGAAGTCTAATGAGATTCAAGAGCATGTTAAGAGTTGGGCTGGGAAGGTCGTTTTTGTCTTGGGATGTTCACTTACCTCTAATGACGAGCGGGAGGATTTCATCGGCTTTCTTTTTGATGTCATCGACGCATAAGACCATGTCTTGAGGGTTGGAAATTGGGATAGAGATTGGGACAGGGGCTCCAGCAGACATGCTTGAAATGATATCTAGACTCGGGCCGCTGTCGCATAAATCTGGAGGTTATAATAAGAAAGAATTCAATTAGACTGTCAAGGAAAATTGAAACAAGAGTAAACCATGGTCATGGAGAGTATATTATCAAGGGTATGGGAGGGAAGTGAGAAGATGTGAATGTTTCAAAGGCTCGAGCATTGGTCTGCGCCCTTGTACATGCATGGATGTGTTGACTTTACCGCGGGAAACGTGAAAAATGCATGAGAGCCTTCAATACATAGATATACTCCAGACTGTGGCTTTCCAGCCATCACCCGAGATTATTTTTCCGCGTCAGTACTCAGAATATGGAATGAGAAGACATTCATTAGAGAACAGAGCTAGAGGACTGTCCACGATGAAGTCGAGGGTCACGAAATACACGTGATTTGAATTTGTATCTTGCACGTGGTAACACGAGTGTACCAACACCTGACATGTGATTTCTTTTTATATCACGTGAAAATCACCTGACTTACTCATCATCCACGTCATCTTGCATCAAACAGACTTTCGGCTCCAGCCTCGTCCCCCAGATGAGAAAGGGCCGCCTCGGCCCCATGACCAGACTGACTGACCATCTATGCCTTATGTACCGTCCTCCAACAGATGACGACGACTGCTGCGGAGCCATATGTACGATTATGTGGCTGGTCATGCTCATTCACTCATTCCAAGCATGATGACTGGGACAGCCACAGGCGCCACAGGCGCCAGGCAATGCCAGTGGCTCTGCTAATTGACTTGTGTATGTACTACATCGTACACTCCCACCGCCTCATTTGATTCTCGGCCGCAACAAGAATCAGCCGCAAAACGAGTATGTGCCCTACAATAGAAATATGGACGAATCCCTTCAAATGCATGGTCATGCCGTGACTCGCCGAGATTAAACGTTGAAGCAAACCTTGAAATGGAAGAACTTCCACAGAGACGAGTCAGAGAGGTTTATGTCCACTCATATCGCCAGTTGAATCGTGTTGGGTCAAAGTTTATCTTGTCCCATCTCCATCTTTGACCTAGTAAATTGCCATTCGGGTATGACGGGCTGGGTCATGATTCTGGACTCTCCTTAGGGCAAGGATATTAATTAATGTTTATTGTTGGAGCTTGCAAAAAGGAAATTCGGAACTTCATAGCAGATACTATCAGACCACCTACATTATAGCAGCTATCGCAGTTCTTTCCTCACTTTGTCTCAACCTCAAATCTACAACATACCAATTCAATCACCATGTCTCGTCCTCCATCATCTTCCGACGATATTTTTCTCTACTTCCTGGCCATATTCTTTCCGCCACTGTCCGTGCTTTTCAAGACTGGTTGCGGCTGCAACCTTATCATCAACATCGCTCTGTGTTTCCTAGGTTGGATACCTGGCGTCCTTCGTAAGTAGTCCCTCATCGTCTATAACTTGATCCAGTCGTGATCGATGCTAACTTGGAGAAATAGATGCTTGGTACATTATTTCGAAATATGAAAGGCCGCGGAACGACTGGTAGCGCGCTAAAAGAATGATATGAGACCAGAGTCTGCTCGATACTGCTGTTTTCATCACTCTGCCGCATCAAAGACAAACAAACCAACCTACCACTCCAAACCGAGATAATTTTCTTGTTGCTGCACGAGTCAACATCGCCTACAGAAGCACCTCACTTATATTACCGTCTTCATGCCTTATGATGATACGACTTGTCGTTAACTTGGCGTTAAATGGATGCGACGAATCCTTTATTTTGCTTCCGATATCCTCCCGCCGGTTAAAGGGATAGTACAGTCAGGCACGAGAAGAACCAAGCACGTGGACATATGGGACGTTTGGGCATCTACCCATGAAATTTACTAGTAAATAATCACCAAATGGCTAGCATGCCGCTTTCATACATATTATTCTTCTGCCGTCACATTCGCATGTCGTACGTAGATCATGATGAGGTAACTTTTGACCGGCGAGGTCATTGAATTTTATCTTTCCTAGTTCACCCTATCAACAATGGAGATGATAATGATGACGATGATAGACAAGCATCGAGACAATCCTCCTATACCGCCGGAAAGGACAATTAAATCATAAAGTCATTCATTCTCTTGTAGAGATCCATGATCCATGTCCTGCACAGAGGAGGGGGGAGCCAGCTACAGCAAGGTATCGCCAAGTGCACAACGGACGAGACTGACACCCGCCCTGACTGTCTCAGATGCGCCGGCAACCTCAAGGCTAGGATTAACCTCGACGAGATCCATTGCGACGAGCTGACCCGTCTCATGGACGCATTCAGCAATATAGTCACCTTCTCTTAGAGTCAAGCCTCCACGGACAGGGGTGCCTGTGCTGGGTGCCCACATGGGATCCAAGGCATCGACGTCGAAGCTGAGATGGATCGGTGTATCGGAGCCGATATGTGCGAGGGCCATTTCCATAACGCGGCCGATTCCGTGGCGGTCGATGTCGTGCATGCTGAACGCTTTGATACCGTTGTCTCGTAGGATCTTCTTCTCACCACGATCGACGTCCCGTAGACCGATGTAGACGAGTTTGTTCAGGCTGATGCGTTGGTCCTCTTCGATCCAGCCAAATATGTCGCGCTGGTCTGATGTGGCTAGTCCGCTTGCGAATGCAACGGGCATGCCGTGCACGTTGCCAGAGTCCGATGTCTCCGGTGTGTTGATGTCGGCGTGTGCGTCGACCCAGATGACTGCCATCTCCTTGCGTCCCTGGTATCGTTCATGAATCGCTTTGGCTGTGCCTGCTAGAGTTCCAATGGCGATTGAATGGTCTCCACCCAGTGTCAGAACCATCCTGCCGTGTTTGGCCTGCTCATAGACTTGGGATGCTAGTTTCTCTGTCACCGCAGACACTGCCCGCGGGTTCTTCATTCCACGGTGGTCCTCGTCATTGGGTTTTCTCATTTCATTGAAATTGTGCACCTCGGTGTCTCCGTGTAGATTGTACCCTAGCTCGTCGGAGAGTTGGTCTAGTAGTCCTGCGCCCACAAGTGCTGTTGGTGCAGCGTCCACTCCTTCTTTACACTGTCCACCGGAGAACCCGACGAGGACGACACCGAGGTCGGAAGGAGAGGTCAGAAATCGCTGGCGAATGGTCGAAGGAAATGCCATGTCGTACTTGTTGTCATCGGCGGTTTTGGCGGCATGGGTTTTGGAGTGACCGTTGCCGTTGGCGTGAGCCGGAGTGGACTTTGCTGGAGCCACAGGATGCATGTTGGAATGGGATCGGCGAGAGAGTAACAATATCAGGTGTCGGATCGGTAATGAGGTCTGAGTTCTGAGGTCAACGTTGGGTCGCAGAAATGATGGAACAGCCTCCCAGGTACAGAATGTATATGTATGCAAGCGACACAACAACAAAGACGGTAAGTCCAAGGGAAAAGGAATGTGATCCTAGACGTAAATGATATGTAGGTGTAAGGGAAGACCAACAAAGAAAAGAGAGAGTAATAAGGTAGAGGGGGGACCAGGGAGTGAATATATATGATCAAGAAGTCGATGGATGTATGGGATGGGAAAAGTGAATGCGAATTCCACCGATGTAGGATGGGATCGATCAACCTTACCACGCCCACCCACCGACCCACCAGTCAGTATCAATTCGAGAGCCGCACAGCCCTGTGTGTGTCATGTGCAAGCGTTTGCATATGTCATGATCCATGGATAGCTCTGTGCACACCGTGACCACCCATGAAGCCACTCGGACTTGGTTGAACTCCAGATGTTCGTGTTGTTTCCCACAAGGAAACCTTGATGCAAGGTCCCCTAGCCAGGATGACGATTCCACATGCATGTGTGTTGGTCTCGGCCCTGGTTCAATCCAGGAACTGAAAGATGTATGGAGCTGATGAAGAAAGCGGAAGTAGACAGCGTGACAGAGAGATAGCGAGTCGGAGGTGGCGGGGGCGATACGGCGAGGGGCTTCGGGGGCTCGTGCCAGTAAAGTGGCGCTCTGGAAGCCCGACACAGTGCCTCGGCGGCCCGGATGTTGGGCTTGGAAGAAACAAAAGTCCGGGGGTCATTGGCCTCTAAGCGGAGGCTTGATAGGCACGCCGTAACGGTGAGAGTTTTTAAGCGCAGCATGCAGACGCCATTAGGGTCGAGGGGGTCTCTGGTGCCCCGCCTTAGGCATTCCTGGTGACCGTTAAGCGCAGGATTACCCGCACCGGTGGGCCCGGGTGACACGAGGCTAGGTTGTTAAGTGACAAACAATCCGACTTATCTTTTCAATTTCCCCTAAGTACAGTTGTTGTCGAGGTTCATCATCACATTTGATAATGGAATCATCTTTGGTCTTTTTCATTTGTAACAGGGCGCATACTGTCCCGGATTGTGTGTAACCTCTTTTACGTTTGTCATCCCACATGATATTCGCAATCATCGGCGTGGGATGTCATGATGCCATTTCGTAATAATACTCTTGACTCCGCGATGGTACCTACGGAGCAGGTGGGCCTGGGTGATGTTGTAGACCCACGTGACATCCACGATCCTCTGCCCAACGAGTCTTCAGCCAATACTGTCGTCTATGCTACATTCCATAAATCTAATCGATATGCACAACCAATTCGCTTTTGTAGATACAATGGTTATGCCCTGGGGTTCCCGAAAGCGCCATGCCAAACATCCGAGCCACCCATCATCCACCTTTGCACCGTGCTCAGCAATGCCAAAAATAGGAGCCACTCCTCACTCTAGGTATCTTTTCAGTGCACTCTCAAGCTGTGACAGTGCGAGTGGTTTGGTCAGAAAAGCGTCCGCTCCCGCAGACATGCACATGGCTTGCGCATCAGGGCCCACGACTGCGGTAGCCATCAGGATAGGTCTTCGCCGACTCAAACCTCCCACTTCTTCCATCTCGCGGATTTCTCTCGTCGCGGTTATTCCGTCTTTTTGTGGCATGGACTGATCCATCAAAATCAGATCAATCGCGTCATCGTGCTCGACCATCTTTTGGATGGCATCCTCGCCATCATCCGCCACGAATACATTATATCCGAGAATCTTCAGCATCTTGACTGCTAATTTTTGATTGATCTTATTGTCTTCCACCAGTAATATGGTTGGCCCGTTGAGTCGTTGCTGCTCCACGATTGGTCGCCCCGGTTGCTGGGCAGCCTTAACGACGTCCACATCCGTCGCAAATCTGACGGTTCGGTCTGCCGACGAACTACCGGAGCGGATGGTCTTTGCAATGGTGGCAGAGATGGAATGCCACAAGAATGGTCTCTTGATCGGAACAACATGGCTTGGGATAGCAGCGCCGAAGGTTTGGTCCATGAGAAGTTGGGAATCGTAGGTTACCAAAATCAGCCGGTTGGTGGCCTCGAGAACTCGTTCGAGAACCTGCGAGTGTGCTGCCAGATACTTAACATCAGTCCACACAAGGTGTGATGACTCGGCGATCGGGTCTTGTGGCGAAGCAAAAACAGCCTTGACACCAAACGATGCCCATGCAATCTCCAGGCCCTCATTTGAACGTGCTTCAGGCTCTTGGTATATCAATATTTGCTTGCTACCCAGATCATCAATTTCAGGGAGCTCAAGTGTGTCCACCTCCTGGATGGGGATGTTGACTCGAAAGGTACTACCGCACTTGTTTGGGCCAATTCGATCGCCTTCGTGTTGGCAGCTTTCCACCGTGATGGACCCATCCAGTTTGGTGAGGAGTTGTTTGATGATTGCTAGACCTAAACCAGTCCCTCGTTCAGCCCCCAAAGTCTGAGCTTGTTTGAAGGGCTCAAAAAGCTGGGGCAAAAATGTTTTCGGAATGCCCAACCCCGAGTCTTTGACGGTAATGATCAATGTGTTGGCCTTGAACTCGATAAGTAGAAGGACATAACCACCATGTGTAAATTTGAGAGCGTTGGTCAGCAGATTCATCAGAATGCGTTGAAGGTAAGTCTCATCGAGGTATAGCGAGGAGGGTACTTGTGGGCTGACTGCCACCAGAAGCTCTGTTGGTTTCTCATCGTCTTTGTTGGGTAATATGTTCAAGATAGATTCGCAGACTGTCCGCATGTTCAGATTGACAGGCCGACAGACTGCTTCTCCCTTTTCCAACCTCGACCAGTCGAGGACGTTGGCCGTGATCATGGAGAGTGATCTTGTGGCTTGCTGAATGGCCAACAAGAGAAGTCGGCCTTCCTCTGTCAACTCGGTGCGCGCCAGTAGGTCACCATATCCTTGTAGTTGATGCAACGGTGTGCGAATCTCGTGGGACGCCGAGGCGATGAATTCACTGCGTGCTGCTGCCGCGGCTTCGGCATTCTCCTTCTGAGCAATGGCTGCCCAGAGCTTCCTCTTGGTCTGCACCACTTCCGCTAGCTTGTTCCTGGCCATTGTGGCAGAATGTGCCAGGAGGCCGTTGGCCAGGATACAAGTTCCAATCGCCACGGTACTAACGGCGACGGCTAGTCGTGGGGGATAGCCTCGGTGCTCGCTGGAGGGTTCGTGACTCCAGAAGGTGGTGGCCCACATGCCTGTAAAATGCATGGCTGCCACTCCGGTGGCGGCTACACTCGCGAACAAAACCTGTTGTGATAGATTGACTTCGATCGAGGGGATCAAGATGCAGCCCACCGAGCATACCAGCCAGCTGATCAGCGCAGAGAGCAGGACACCCAGGGGTCGGAGAGTAAAGCGACCCTGTGGGATTTCAAGAGCAAGAATTCCAACATAATGCATAGAGCTGATTGCCAGGCTCCAGACAAAGCCTTTACTAATATTGCGCCAGGTCGCTCCTTCGTACAGGGCTTCAAGAGTTGCAGAGAGGGCATTTTTTGTTTTGTCTGCCTTTGATTTGGGTATTTTGAAGGACATGAATCGAGGGAGACTTAGCCCATGGTCAGACTCGGAGGAGCCAGATGATCGACGAGGATGATCTTCATCCATTGAGCTCCGTACAATGCTCTCCGAGTCCCTAGTCGAGATATTCTCGACATTCAATCCAGATCTTGTTGGAATAGACAGATTTGATGTTTGGGGTTGTGATTGACCTTGGCTCGGAGCCTGTTGGTGGGGGAGAAGAGAATCATTTGGTTTCTGGAAATGATCATGTAGTGAACCTAGAGTCTGGCTGCTGTCGCTGTTCTCTCGCGATATTAGGGGATTCGGGCGTTCGTCAACTGCTAGGAGCCTTTGAGCAAAATTGTGGTCTCGTTCTTGGGTATCGGTCGGCGGCAGTAGAGCCTCACTGCTGGATCTCCCTTGTTCAGCCTGGGGCAGAGACCACCCACTCAATGACCGATTGTGGTGTGTCTTTCGACTTCTGTGCTTCTTCTTCAAATAGTTGAGATATCTCGAACTTAACAAGTCGGGAATCAATGCGACAAAGGTGAATACGACAGCAAGAACGGCACTTAGGGCGGTTAGAGGAACATTGAGGCCAATTGGAACATCTAGTTCGCAGGCAAGCATTGCAATGAAGTGCAAACTCCAAATGGAACAGAAGCCAAACGTCAGGCTGCCGAGGATTGTCCAAACGAGCACGCCTGAAAAGTATCGCGAGGTGCGTGCTTGACACATCATCTGGGTTGAGGTGAATGCGCCGAGGAGGGAGACGGTGATGGACGCCGTGATGAGGCCGCTGTTCCATTCTGGCTCGAGTTGCCTCATATCCATATCACGAGGAATGCGACTCGCCATTTTGCTCGCCGGACGCCTGCGGACGAGACCAGCCCGTGTGTAAGGACAAGTATTGTTACCGAGGGACTTGTCGCTGGTGTTTCCAACTCTGCAACGACATCTTCTCTTGGGGTGCGACTCCAAGTCCTGTTCAACTGAGATCACAGGCTTGCTAGAGCGGTCGAGGTGCTCACCGGACTGAAGGACGGAAGAGAGGATCGTCGGGACGCAGTTCTGAGGGTTTGGGTATTGGGAGCAACGCGGTGGTGTCAATGATGGTCTGAAACAGGTCAATTGGGTTACAACTGCAGCCAATTTGTGCAAACTATTGCGTCCTGAGCGTCGAAGCTGGCGCAGGCACAGTTGCTGGCCATATGCTCTGTGCTCAGAACTCGTGTGGATGAAGCAAAAGCGCGACGAAGACCTAGGAGGATGTGAACTCTGTCGTGGGATTGTAGCGCTAAAGTGATGGAGCGGGGTTGTCGGGGGCAAGAACATTGGATCAGGGCCTCAAGCCCCCATCCGTAAACCTTTTTTAGGGTTCGTGTTGTCCCTATTTGGTGGAAGCTGCCGCCTAGACTGGCCCATTTTGTCCCCATATTCAATGGTCCCTAGTTCAGAGGTCCACCCATCCTCAATGGCTTGGGAGGCTGATCGATGGTTGAACAGACGTAATCGATAGCCACGAGTCGGACACAGTACCAATGAGGGCATCCCAGCAACCCAAGGGGCTTCTTTTCCCTCAAGTGCCAACTGCTGGCTAAAATCTGTGGTCTACGAACAGGCATTATAAAAAGATCCTTTGAAGATTCTTAGGTCGAGCTGGAGAGTGCCGGGGAGCGAGCGGTCCGGGCTTAGACGATTCCAGTCAACTACGGAGTATGTTTCCCACATCCGCCCTACCGACTCCCAATTGGCCATTATCATAATGAGAGGCTCTCAGGGCTCCTTAAGCCCGATCAATCAGATCTACTCCGTAAACGGTACCAGATTTTCAACTTCAGCATTTCCTACTTGAGGTTAAAAGAACTCCAGGGGCAGTCCGTGTTTTTTTGTGAGGGTAGCATCAGACTTACCGCAACTCCTTCCCAGCGACTTCTTACCATGTCAGTTGAAATCCGGCCGGATGAGACATTCTTGGCCACATCATTCAATCCATAGACAGCTGTTGCTGCATGATATGTTTGCTCAAGCTTCGACTGGTGTTACCTTGGCCGAGGGGGCCATCCTTGGACTCCCCACCAGTTCGTGCACGCTCAAATATCTCAATGCACAATTTTTAGTGTCTTTATGAATGTTGAAACCAGATAGGGATAGGAGGTACAGTCTGCATTCTTCGTCTCTTCTTAAGGTTAGTAGGTGGTAGAGAGGCATGAATGAGGCCTTATAGACGCGACGTTGAATATCACGTGACTCCTCTATGGCGCTCAAACAGATGATTAAGGATGTCCAATTCCACAATCCAAGAACAGACATGGAACAAATGAGAGCACCTCGGTATCTCTTATCTTTTCCGTGGTATCTGAATGGTTAGACGTAAACCAAAAGGGCTGACGGAAGGTAGGAAGACAGACCAGAAATGTGCAGACCCTTGACATTCCGGACGCTCTAGCATTGATTCATGACCCGTTGTGTGATACAGCATTCCCATGATGTACCTGCATCATTAGTACATCTGTCATCTGTGTAACAGGGGCTCTTTACTAGCAAATAGGTAAGTCTACGTTCTGTCCTCTTTCCCTCCCTCTCCCTCGCCGCCTCATGTGGCATTCCTACATACATTCCAGATACCAACATAACCAGGCTAATCCAATGGCAGGCACGGCAAAGAGGAATTTCAATCTGATCTAGATAGTGGCTATGTATATCGTCTCTTCGTTTCTTCATGATCTAAAGAAACGAATCAGTTGCAATATGCAGTTCAATGCCCTAATCTTTCCTCTAGCTGTATGGTCTCGATGAACCTGCGTTCACCAGCCACCCCTTCAAATGGCATAAACTCGCCCGACGGTAGAGTATGTGGCCCCACGATCGTGCATGTCAATTGGCACATTGTCTCTGACTGGAATATAATGTCATGGATCTGCATGTGACCGACTCTCTCACCTTGGACATAGAGGAATCGGTCCCTCACCATCGAATATCGCTGTGCGAGTTTCAGTGCCACTTTGCTGTCCCAAACCCCCTCTCTTCTGTCACTTAGCTCTAGTAGTTCTAGACTCTTGCCTCGGATGAACGGGTCATTAGATCGCCAGGCAATGACAAAAAGTACCGGGATGACACCGAGCGACATTGAAAATGTGCTTTGATCACTATTAGTTGGATGGTCCTGACGTCTGAGGAAGATCTCTGCCAGTTCCAACGCCCTTGAAAGGTCTACATCGAATCGGTCGAAGCAGTCCCCATTAGGGAAGCTCTTGATCATGGCAGTAAAGAGCGACTGGAAGATTTTCAAAATCAGCCACGCACCGCTCTGCTCGCCATATTCTTCTCCATCGATGATTTCTTCAAGTCGGTTCATGCCAGCTATCCAGCTGCTGAAACGGGCAGCGATAGCGGCATGGCGAGGTTGGATGTCGGTCATGAAGACCGCAGCAAGGTCAACATGGGAAGTCTGAAGGAGTTTGCAATAATCGGAGAGACAGTATAACTCATTGTACACAATCTCCAGATGATGCGCGGCTTCCTCAACGGATGAGAACCTATCTGATACAGCCGGCTGGAATCCGTTCATGGCATCAAAGGCTCTCAACGCATCTGAGTTTCCAAAATCTCTGACTTGGTTTTGCAGAGCAAGGAAGTCGCGTGACAGAATCTCGCTGAGTTGAGTTGATGGATGGCGTCCAGGAACTTGGAGACCATCACTGATGATCTTGACGCCAGACTGTGCATGTTGCAAAGCGAGGTGGTAGCAACCTCGCAGACAATCCAACGAATGGAATAGAATCACCGTCACGAGAACGGCGTCGAGGGGTAGCTGCTCTTCTGCTGCTTGGCTTATGTCTCTGATGGTTTTGTTGTAGTGATGGATGGCATCGCTATAGAGCCGAGCTCGAAGATCGGTCTGCCGAGAATAGGATTCATGCATGCTGCTTAGTGCAATGAGGGCTGACATCACAAAGCTATATTGATCGGCAAGCTGGAATACGTAGCCTCTCCATAGCTCTGATTGGAAAGGCGCCGTGATCTGGAGACCAGCTCGATGTCGGAAGTATTGCAAGGCCCGCTTTTCCGAGTCGAAGAGATCAGGCGTCCTAGACAGCTCTCTAGAAACGGTATTGGAATAAATGACGAACTTGTGGCTGGGTTCCTGAGCAGCCTGAGGGGAGTATTCGCAGATCCTTTGGCCTTTCAGACACTTCTGGCACTGGGGCCGGCCCTCATCACACTTCACGCGGCGGGTCTTACAAGTCTGGCATCCAGAAGAAGACCGAGCGCTTTGAACTCGAAGTCGGACATCACGGGATCCTGCGTCCATGATATGGCCTCGGGCACGCTTACTCGAAAGGATTGTCCTTGATAGATGTCAAAGTCTGCTTGGCTTTTGATCGATCCGTCTGCCTGTCCGTATGATGGAAAATGTAGTAGATGTGCATCTAGACTTCAAGGTTAAGTTTGGTGGCTTCGTATCCCCCTTCATTCAGCCTTGATGCTTGCCTGGTGTAACACATTGTTTGGATCAAACCACCATCTCCAGTAGTAGAACCCATGTGCCAACTTTTATTATTAGTCGTTCAGTGATCGTGATCTACGTTGAAGTCCGAACTCCACTTGGAGCCTCCGGGGCCTCAAGCTAACATATAAAGAGCTAGTGTTCACGAGGTTTACTTGGCAGCCAACCAGAAAAGCGACATCTAACGTGATGGGGTGTACTATGAAACAATCCCCAGCATGGTGATGTAATTCTACAGACGCGAGTAATTTCGTGACTCGGATGTTGATATGCGCTTGCCTTGTATGTATCTATACAACATCACATCTTCGGCCAAACACCTTAATTCAGCTAGCGTTTGCCACAGAAACTTGGTCCTCTCGGCCTCTGAACAATGCCATGTCGTGCATGTACACATGTACACCTCGTACACAATCACGAGGTCAAATTGATCTTCACTATGGCTTTTGTTCTACCCCTCTCTTTATTCAGCTAGCGTTGCCGAAAAGGACCCAAACCCCGATTTTCTAACCCTCGACGTCACTGTACATACTGTAATTCTGTGAGGCTACACTGGTCTTCGATATGGCTTTCAAGGCCTTGGTATCATGTCACTGGGAAAGGACTACTGTATAGGCGAGCGAAAGATTCATCCTATCCCATTCTGATCGCCATATGTATGGCATAGGCCAAGAGACCTATCTGAACGCGATGCTGGCCATACTCCTGAATCTTGGAAGGGATTTTTATGGAGCAATTTCATTGGGACAGACTAAGATTTGGTGCATCCCATACCCATGCTCCATGCCAAAGGTGTTATTGTATCGTAATGGCCCCACGAAACGTCTCCAGGACCTGGTGAGTACATAGCTCCAGGCAGCAAGCTCTCGTATAATAAGAGATTCAATTGACGTTGGGTTCTTCTCTGCCTTCTGAACACTCAGGTTCCTTCTTTGCCTGTTACTCCAGTGCTGTGTTTAGCCATGTTTCCCTCTCGTTCGGCTGCATTCTTGCTTTTGGGCAGCATCGCCCACGCACAATTTCCATCTCTGCCAGACGATGTAATTGTTATTGATTCTGAGCTGACCCCAGAGGTCCAGCTCTCATACAAACAGGTTCGTGCTGACGGGGATACTGAATCATGGCGAGAGTCAATTCTGACCAACTTGAACAAAGACCGAGCTTTGCGAAACCACTCCTGGCGTCAGATCATTCGCGGGCTATGTGCATCTTCCCACCAGTGCTTTGTCCGACATGGAGTTCGACTTCCCTCTCAGCACATTCTTTTTGTACTTCGAAGCTCGTAACAACTCCGAGAATGCGCCACTAGTCATCTACCTGGCAGGAGGACCTGGCGAGAGCTCCGCCTTCACAGCCATGAATAGCGAGGGCGGACCTTGCTATGTAAACTTGGACGGCAATAGCACTACCTTGAACCCTTGGTCTCTCAACAACCATGCCAACATGCTATACATTGATCAACCTGTCGGTGCTGGATTTTCCTATACGACTTTGGTGAACGCGACCTATAGCCTGATGGACAACGAAATTGTCCCTCTTAGCGAGTATGATGGCGACATCCCCGAGAGCAACGAGGCCTTTGGCCAAGGAACTTATACAGATCCCATTGTCTATGCGACAACAAACACATCCGTGTCTACCGCATTGGCCCTGTGGCACTTTGCCGAACACTGGCTTTCAGAGTATGTCTTATAGCACAGACTTCCCCCTGAGGCTTGCGACGGTAACTGATCTTCCATTGTAATAGATTTCCCGAATACACGTCGACCAACAAAAAGATTGGTGTGTGGGCAAATTCAGTAAGTTGCTGACATTGAAACAACAATCTCGAATCAAACTAACCCAGCACACTAGGCAGGAGGAGCGTGGGCACCAGAAACAGCTGCATTGTTTGACCAAAAACTCAAATCTTCTAATACAGACTCGCCTCTCAGCGAATGGTCTGTGGATAATCTCGGTATCACCAACGGAATGATCGACTTGATGGAGGAACTCCCATTCTGGGCCAGTTTCGGCTACAACAACACGTACACACCTTTCATATCCGAAGAGATGCTCGCCTCGGCAGAAGGCAACTTCACTAAAGAAGACGGTTGCCGCGACCTGATCCTTCAATGTCGAGCAGCCGCACTGGAAGGCGACCCCGAAGATTTCGGAACCAACGACGACGTCAACACCTTGTGTACAGGGGCCACTGGACTTTGCTTGGAAGAGGTTGGCTTCACCATACTCAACGCACAGCGATCTCCGTTTGATATTGCTGTCAGCACAGAGGAAACAGAAGGCTCAGACCCTTGCCCCTTTTACCTGCCTGTTCACACGTTCCTGAACCAGGAATGGACGCAAAAGGCTCTTGGGGTGCCGTTGAACTTCACATACATCTCCGAGGCCGTGCTGCGGTCATTTACCTTGAGCGAGAAGGAGGTACCTCCCAAGGGTACTGGGGACTTTGTCCGGACCACCAAGGCCAATCTCGAGTATGCGTTACAGAACGATATTAAAGTTGCCTTGGTGTACGGCGACCGTGATGCTCGTTGCCCCTGGACCGGAGGCGAGCACACTTCTCTGGTCGCCAATTACTCAGGACAAGCCCAATTCGCGGCGGCAGGCTATGAGTTCATCGACACCAACGGCACTTACCAAGGCGGAGTGGTGAGACAGTATGACAAATTCAGTTTCTCGCGAGTGTTCATGGCCGGCCACGCCGTCAACGCATACCAGCCAGAGACAGTGGAGAAGATTTTCCAACGCACTCTTGCTGGCCAAGACGTCGCAACAGGTAGCAGGCTGGTCGATAGGAGATACTCGACCCAAGGCCCTTCGAGCAGTCTAGGCATGTTCAACGCCACGTTGGAGGAGGCACCACCCACCTGTATGGTATTAGGTGCCTTTCAGAGCGAGAACCCATGGGCTCCAATCCTCGCACTGATGGAAGACAGCCAGGACAACGAGGACCAATCTGGGACCGACTCGGGAGAAAGTTCTGGTAACAGCACTGGAGGCAACAGCAACGGAGACAGCTCATCTAGCGGCGACGGCGACGACGACGGCGACTCATCAATGTCGGTCAGGACCGAGCCAGGTGTTGTTCTCGCTCTTTTATTCTGTGGTGTAGCCGCGCTCAGCCATATGATCTAACAGATCACTGCTAACTTTACATTGTTAATTCCATAGCCTCTTTCTTCAGGGATAAGGGTTGTTACGATTGAAAATTGGATATGTCACATCACGTGTGTGTGTGGCGCGTGATGCGAGTGTGGGCGAACAAGGACGCGGTGTATGAAAGGGAACCTCTTCGCATCGAACAGCAAACCAAAGCTGCAATAAGTTAGAAAACGCCAAAAAGAAGCCCCCCCGAAGGAGGCGAGAACCGCTGGCGTTCTAACTGATGGTCCCCATAGACAGTTCCCCTGCTGCTTAGAACACGACCTTCACACCTCGTTGGCCACCCAAGGGCGATGATCGTACCGGCTCTCCGACAGAGCCAGTGCGCACTTGGATGTCGGATGCTAGAAGACAGTACCAGGAATTCTCGAGGGGAAGTTTGAGAGCTGAAATAATAAGTTGTGATTAATGGCGAGTCAGTGAAGAGGTCTGGTAGTAACTGTTTGAATGGGTGATTGTTGCAAGGCTGTGACTCCCCTGCCCAGTGATTGGTTGGATCTGCGGCAGAAAGGGGCAAGCAAGTCATTCCATAACACATTTTCAATCCTATGCGTTTTCTCTTGATCCTGGAGCCTAACCTCTGCTGAATATCAGGATATAGCCAATGGTGGAAGCTACGAGGCTAATGGACGTATCAGAATAGATGGAACCACCAGTGAGATTCTGTATGAAGTATCCAAGCTCAGCGGATGTTTCGAGTGGATAGCTTTGGCCGGAATGGACTAATCGAAGACAGATCTCACATATCAAATTTGACAATAAAGGCGAAGAAATTCACAAAGCACAAGGAAGAAGAAGTTCACGCCGAGACCAATGTCGGCCATATGGATATGTTCTCATTGATGCAGTCTGGGAAACTGACTGGTTTGCCTAAGAATCTTTTCACAACGAGTGTGTTGCCTGGCAGGCCTGGGGCTACAGCATCTCTGCGGGAATACTTACATTATGTCCAACCACGGGTGAGGACAAAGATCGTCCAGTTTTGTAAAGAGTCTCAAGACTTGAACGTCATGCTCTTGCCAGCAAGTTCTTTCCCCATCTTTGATCTCTTTGCTCCCGTGGTGGTGTCTAGTGATTTGGCAAATGGATTCATCCGTTTGACGCCCTTCTCTTTGCCGTCTGTTACGTCTGCAGTCGTATTCAGTAAAGATGGAGCACTTGCATAGTCGAACGGCTGACTAGTCGAAGCCTGCGCCGCCGAGGCTGCTTCGGCTTGAGACGCCTTCAAAGCCCGCCTCTCTGCTTTGTTTGGTTTCTGATGGCGCGGTGTAGCTTTGGTCTCCGTTTTGGATTCTTGTTGTATGAACGAAGTCGGCGATGAGGCTGTGGACGATGTGGTGGAGGACGTGTCGGTCTCGTTGGAACCCGATGCCTTGGTCCTGGTTGTAATAGGGTTGGAAAAATTCACCGACGCATCGGATGCCTTGCGCTTCCTGGAAGAGCGAGAGAGCTCGTTCAATGTAAATGGTTCAGATGGGTTCGAGACACCAACTGCTGTGGTTGGTGGAAGAACCTTAGAAGGGGCGCTGACTCTCTCATCTGCAATCACATCTCTCAGCAACGTGAGACTGCTAGGCTTGATCTGGGTGTCTGTCGATGGCAAAGGGAGGATGGTTTGTAATGCTGTCAGTGTCACAGACATTTGAGATGCTTGGTGTGGGTGCTGAGGGATTACATTACCCCACAATTGTGAACTTGCAGTTCGAACTGCCACAGGAGTATCGATGGGGGCATCCACAGTGACATTCTCATTGGTGGCAGCTGGAGAAGGTGCAGTCTCTGAAGCGATTTGTTGCAGGGTGGCCGCAACGCCGGACAAAGTGGTTTCCTCTTTACGCCAGGTCAGATGTCTTGACCTCCGTGGGGCATTAGGAGTGCTATAACCCGAGCCATCAGCATCGATGGCGAGTCTTTGCTCGGAAAAGAATTCGAACATGGACTTTCCCGTCTTTCCTTGTGCTTTCCCGTGCTTAACGGCATCGCACAATTCTACAACATGGTCCATGACAGGCTTGGTGCTGCCGCCTCGACACACTTGAGTGAAGGTGTATGGTGTGGTAGGCATATTTTCAGCAATCTGCCAAAGAAAACGGTTGGGTAGAACATGTTGAATCCCTTCATCCCGCTCTCGTGCTTTTCGATCTCGCCAGGCATGGACCGACCGAAAGACGGCAAATTGTTGGTTGTCGAAGCGAATGTTGCGAGAGCTAAGCATGGAAAGCCATCCAGCAGGTCCACGACCAGTCTCAGCATCATATACTGGGTGTTGGTAGACTTGAAGGGCCTCCCTCTTGGATTCGACGAGGACATAATCGATGAGGTCGTTTTGTGGAGTTGATGCATCAATCAGCATATTGCGCAAGTTGTCGTAAATGTTGAGCAGGTAGTGTGTATCGGAGCGGGCATAGTCGATGAGTTCTGCAGGAAGAGGGCGTACGCGCCAATCGGCAAGTTGGAACTGCTTCTGAGCATCGAAGTTTGCGAATCTTGCCAGCAGATACTTCAAGCTCCTTCCTGGGAAGTTCAAAGCAGCAGAGGCATAGTAGGTGTCGAAAAGGCCCACGACATACAAGCCTAGGTCGCGTTGAAGCCATACCATGTCCATACTCGAGCCTTGAAAGACTTTGAGAATCGTGGGATCAGCAAAGACTTGGTTCAAGACCTGGAGATTTTGTCGCCAGGGCTTCAATGTATCAATGATCCAATCCTTTTCCCGCGTGCTGATCTGCATAAGAGAGACCAGTCCAATGTAAGAGTGCTGGTCATGATGTTCTAAGTCTATTGCGATCTCTTTTGCACCCTTGAGTTCTTGAAGCATGGTTGCCACACCCTCCTCGGTGTCAACGTATATGGCCTCATTCTGGTCTGCGGGGACCCAGGGAATTGGTGGCTGCTTTTGATAGACGGCAGGAGGGTATCTGTATTGCTCAATCTCTGAGGCGTAGGGATGTTTGTGCCTGAAAACTATTAGAGCGGCTCATCAGCAGTGTCCGTGGACCAGCAACATACCCAGATTCTGGATCACCGATCGAGTCCTCAAGGGGAATGATAGCATGTGGTTTGTCACTAAGTAAGGGTTTGAAAGACCCCGTTGCATAATTATCTGGCTTGACGTGAAAGAGCTCTTGAGGCTTCTGCATGGAATCTCGTGACCATGCTCCGAAAGCTCTTGCAGGCTTCACTGGTTTGGGGGAGGGGGAAGCGACGGACTGATTGGCAGGGTCATGGCGCTTGAGCACTCCAGAGAATTCGTCGAGAGAAGTGTCGGCCTTTTCGAGGAGGTTATCCACTGCATCTATGACCTGACGCCAGTTGTCATCGATGCTGTCTTGATCGTGGAGAGTTGGTGGAGGTCTGAGGGTTGTGTCCCGAGTTGCAGCTTTCAACAATTTATTGGTGAGTCGCAGAAGGTGGGCATTCTGACGATCTAATGAACGTGAAAGGTTCTCACTTGCAGAGCGATGGAAGCCTAGATCCTGGTTAGAAACCTGACCAGCACTTCGGGTCACATTGACGAGGGAGGAGGAGATGAGGTCTTGGAAGGCCTTGAAGTCGGCGCTGATATCCATGCTGATGTGGATGCGGAGTGATGGGTAGGTGCTTGAAAGCTAGCCATCTAGTTGGCCAAAATTGCCAGGACGACTTGGTGTCTTTGCATGACCTTTACTTGTCGAAGCGAAGAGATGTGATTGTTCTGCCTCTGTCAAAGAAAGTTGTCAATCTTTGAATGGGCGCAGGTGAACCAAAAGTTATCCCGGTTGGATTTTCGCCGCTGACGTTCAAACAAAATATACTCCGCTCTACATGGCATAGGTCGAAGCATTAAAGTGGTAAGCGAGAAAACTCAAACCTCATATCATATTCGAGTTTTTCTGCTTCAGGGATTCTTGTTCGTTATAGTGATAAGCAACAGCGTGTTGAGTGCATCAAGTATTCAGACTTCGATGCTATCGTCAAACCAAATCTAGATGTTCGCCTGGGTGGATTTCCCCTCGGGAGTGGGATATGGACAGTACTCCGTACATCCTGATGACATTACCCCTAGGCTGCCACTTGGCCTTATTATTGAACAATTGACATATGATGAGTATTCAAGATGTCATTCTATCAGTTCATGTTGAGAATACTACTTCCTCAAGGTGTCTTTGAGTTTTAGGAGTCTGCAAGGCCGAGTGCCATTGAAGAGCTGAAAATGAAAATCCCTGCGCAGACGACATCGATCATTTTCTGAAGCTACCACAACAACTCCTTGATATCTAATCACTTTGAGCTAGTGCTTGAGCTCCCAGCCTATTTGCACCTTGGAGTCTCAGTTGCATGGTCTGGATCCAAGCACAGGCGGTGGTTGGAAAGGAGAACAAAGCATTTTGCCCATCCAGCCTCGCAGCTGGGTGAGGCACTTGAGCAGTGCAGCCACCATCGCCAGCAGGACAGTGAATACAGAGTCACATGCCAGCAGCAGAAAAACGCTCTTTAAGAGTTATTGTCCCCAAAATCATTCTCAATTCTCGTGTCTGTCTCACCCTGCGATGGCATCTACACCTTGGTGTAGTCAGGACAATTCAAAGGGGACGACCTCACCAAGTACGAGGCAGTTACTTGACTCCTGCAATAGAACTACCCCCGGATAGTTCTGGGAGGGGAGTACCTGACGATACCACGATACTACGAGCGAACCAATTCAAAGCGACCGACCGATCGATCGAATAAACGAGCGCAAAAAACCCCCGCCGGGTTTTCCCTCCCCAGGCCCCTCACAAAGAGGTGCTTGGGAATAGGTTTTTGCCTTTTGATGGTTTGGTGATGGTACTTTCGTGGGCCCTGGAAGTATCAGGAGGGTAATTTTGTTTTTGCAACGACCGGCTGTTGGAGGACCCGTGAGGACCAGGGTTCGATTCCCTGCGCCGCCACGAAATATTCTTTGTTTTTGCAGGACTTTTTTTCCGACCGCACCACTGTTATGAATAGGAAATAAGATCTTCCTACATTTCAGAGGCCCTCCTGCAGCGTTTCACTCTCCCCTTTTGGTTTCTTCCAAGCTGAAGCAGCCGAACTTGAGATCGTAGCCATGAATCGCAACCAACAATTGAGGTCATTCAGGTTGCATGCCCGAATCTGCGTGTGTCAATAGCGACACATTGATTGAATATGACCATGATGTGAATCTCAATCTAGGAGTGTTTATGTGGCTTGAGATACCCTGGTAATGTCCAGCTCGGCCGAGCGCTTCTGCCACTGTTCTTAAAGCCGATGGGCGAACAATGCCGCCTACCGTGCCCCACAGTTGCTCCGGGCGACGTCGGTGGTAGATTCAAGCCTATGCTAAGCTTTTAGGGGCGGCCCCAACGGCGCCTCGGGCGCCACAAGACGCCTAGGGGGATACTCACCATGTTCCTGGTGCTTGTGCCTGGAGATCATGACGAAGTTGTCCCAGCTGGGGTATAGAGTAGAGAACCAAAACCTTGAATCTCTCTATCGGTCTTCGCTTTCAAGAAGTCGGAGCCTAAATTCGGGGCCGAATGATGCACTTTGTCCTTTTTTCATACCATTTAAAAATACCTCTGAGTCTCGGGCTCATTGATATAAAACCCTACATTGATCCCAAGAGCACAAGAAAACGAACTTAGACAGCATTCAACAAAACTATATCCAGACAACTCTACTTGTATCTCTGCTACAAACTGAACCAATTCTCATCGCATTGAACTCAACCAGAGACATCATGGGAGATATCTTATCCAGTGCCACACCCGCAGCAAACACTTTCCCAGTCAAAATTGGCATCATCATCGGCTCGCAACGCACCCCTCGAGCGGGTGATCAAATTGCAACATGGGTCCTGTCGATTCTTGAAGAATATCAGGCCAATACTCCACTGGAAGGTTCAACTTCCAGACCATACTCTCTACACCTGATTGACCTCAATGACCACCCACTTCCACTCTTCAACGAGCCCGGAATCCCCTCCAGGATCACATCGTCCTCCGAATACACCCACGCACACACCCGTGAATGGTCCCAGTTCATCTCCTCATTCGCTGGATTCGTGTTTGTTACACCGCAGTACAATTGGGGATACCCAGCAAGTCTCAAGAATGCAATCGACTACTTGTTCAATGAGTGGAAGGGCAAACCCGCGATGGTGGTGAGTTATGGTGGACACGGAGGTGGCAAAGCCGCTCAAGGCTTGAAGGTAGTGTTACAGGGGCTGAGAATGAGATTGGTCGATGAGCATGTCGAGTTGGTCATAGGTGGAATGGACGAGATGAAGAAAGCGGCGCGGGGCCGACCGTTGGGGCTTGATGGGGAGCATGGCAGGAAGATTTGGGTGCCGGAGAGTGCTCAAATTGGGCTCCGATGGGAGAAGTTTCTGGAGTTGTTGAACCAACGATGAGCGACATGGACTTGAGGCATTTGGGTCTCGTTGTTAGGATTAGGCATGTGGCATTAGGAATAGAGGCGCAGAAGAGCTTGAAGAATCTGGGTTTTAATTCAGCGTGGGAAGCAAAGGACAAGCTACGGATAGATTAATGAGACTCTAGACTCTTGTTAATGAACTTTTGAATCAGAGAGAATAAGGACACATTGTTCTCGATCAAATATTGTTAGGGACATGTGTGTTTTTTGATAGGTATCTTTCTATCTCCCCATCTTTTGGTGGTCTGTTGGTGATCTGTTCTGGCGGGAGTCGAGAATCATCGATCGGAAGCGGAAAAACGTGGTGCCGAAGCTATTTCTCCTCGGTTGCGGCAGCCTTCATTTCATGTGGCAACTTGACCATCATCACTCACTTTCCTATTCACCCTCAAATCTATAAATCTCTGTCGCTGAACTCGTGGAGAATGTCTGCTTCTCTTGCTCCCGAGTGCAATGAAGTCAAAGAGTAGGCTCTTAAACCTCTATTAACGATAAGCCAACCCAACTGACCATGATTAGGAAATATGACACCTGCTTTTTGAAATGGTACTCTGAAAGTACGCCATGTACCCTTCAAGCAGCGTCAATTCACAAGTTCGACTGACAGTTACCACAAGGCTACATCCGAGGAAACTCGTCAACGGACGAGTGTGAACCGTTGTTTAAAAAGTACAAGAGCTGTCTTACGGTAGAGGCGCCCAGAGCCATTGTTTCTACGTCATCTGACTTCTTCCTAGAAAGCGCTCAAGGATAGAGGAATCGACACCATGCTGAATGATGCTCGCGAAGGGACAAACGAAACCGACGCCGAACACATGCGACGATGACACACGTCAAGTCCACTCTTGAACTATCTCGGCACGACAAGATCGCTCCTCAAAACCCACTTCTCACCACTCTTGACCTCTTTGCCCTCATGTAGCAGGCAATCGTCACCATGTTTATGAAGCAGCGCCATACCTGCTTCTAGCCCTACAATTATCGGATCCGGGGCTCGCTCTTTCTTTGTCGCCGGTTCGGGGTAGAAGGCTGTTTCTCCTCCTTCGCATGTTGTAAGATAGATCAAAAGCGTCCAGGTGGTTTTGGCGGGGACTGAATCATCGCCGAATTGTAATTTATTGCTCTCGTCATAATGTTGATCGAAAAATTGTCCAGGACGATACCTGTATACTCTGATATTGGGGTTCAAGCCCAACACACGACCACCAAAAGATATCTCATTTTCGGGCCGTTGAACCAGGCTCTGAAGTCCGCTGCGTTCCCACAACATCTTTGCGAATGATGCATCTTGAATCTGAAATCGATCGTTGACTCTTGTGGCCTCACCCCGCTTTGGTTTGCCAGGAGTGGTGGTCAGTGGTAAAGATGACAAGAAAGCAACATAGTTTTTGCATAAAGTCGAAGTGAAAAGATTCCGAATGACTAGAATTTGGTCGTCTAGGACTGTGTCGATTGAAAGATCGTCGGTTGGGACGAGAGGATCCAACGGTGGCCAGTTGGGAGTGGAGGCTTTTGGCTGCGATTTGAGCTCCGAGTCGGCGGTGGCCTTGACAGGTTTCTGCTTGCCTCGAGGTGCCATTGAAGAGACAATAAACTTGATACTAACTAGGTTTGAGCATCCATCCTTGATGCCCTTTGATGTCGCTCAACAATGGAAGTGCTTTATGCGTACAAGCAGCGCGGCCTATGAACCACTAAATCATCAACACTAGGACTTTAGTGCCAGATAGAAATCATCTGCTGCATCTATCCGCACCTGTGATTCGCCAAATAAAATCAAGTAGTGCTCTTTTCCTCGATCATGAATGGCTACTTTCGTTGTTAAACTTTTGATGCCTCTTCCCCCACTCGTCAAACTGCAGGAGCAACCACCGCAGTGACTCCAAAGGCTCCACTTCTCAATCCGCCCTCGACTTTTGTCCCCGAAAGTTCATCTTCGACTTTTCAATGATTTCCCCAGACTGCGCGCCCGCGACAACAGACCTCCCCCTTGCGCTCTCCTCTCCCTCAATTCGCAGACCTCTGCTATGTCGTCGCATGCAGTTGCGACGTCCACAAGAGGTCTGCCGGATCTCCCTGACTCGCCCATCGACCTAGACGACTTTGATCCTCCCTGGCCTGATCAACATGATCTTGACCGACCCTCCGCCGCCACTCACAACCAAGCTCTGAATGCCAACGATGCCTCTCCCTCTACCACCACCGCCTCCCGTCCCTCTTGGAGTACCATGGATAACCAGCAAAGGAACGCAGCTGTTGGAAATCTTCTGGCTGCACTGGCGCCTCCTACTTCAACCCAGACCGCAACTACCCCAACAAAGCCAGATCCTGATACTTTTACACAAAATGAGACAAAGGACCCTCCACCCATTGTCAACCCCGAGCCCGATCAATCGAGCGCTGGCCAACCGCCTGCGGACGAGACTTCTGTCACTGATCCCAGTACTTCTCTCCCAGTTCTCCCTGATGTCGCCGCCAATTCCTATGGTGCTCCTTCCGACCAAATGCCCGCTCCGTTAGCACTTCCCCTCGATACGTCCCAAGAACAGACCAACTTTATGTCTCTCAATCCCATGGCAGCCAACATCCCCTCGTTACCGCCTCCAATACCAGAACCTATTCCAGAACGACGAGAAATTGAGGCCTTTGCCAAAATCGAGTTCGAGGATGGCAACTACTATATCACCACCTATGCTTGCGAATTAGGTAGGGATGCTTTCGCCTACAGAGCCGCCTTGGCTCGTGCCGAAGAGGCACGACAGGCTGAACAGGATCGCGGGCATAGTTCAAGCGGCCGAATCTCAGATGGAATTCCTCGACAGGGTGACAGCCAGGTTCAGGGCAGTGTCATCAGTGAAGCTGGCGGCTTTGGTGGCATGGATGATGGTCAAGGAGTCAATGATGGGAATCGCGACCCAGCTCACCCATCCCACTCTTCGGAAATCTCGGCCGATAGTATCGTCAAGCCGCAAGAGGTCCTGTTCAATCCGCCTTTGATTCCATTCGACTACCACCGCATGGCTGAACGACAAGCTCAACTCGAGAGTGGCTTGATTGAACCGGACAACGAACAGCCTGCTCCAGTCACTGCCGATCACATCCCAGACGCCAATAATTGTCCCCTGATACCTATCCATGCCATGCGCAACTTTCAAAAATCAGAGGTTGAAAACCACAGAAGTATCTCCAGGAGACACGTCAAGATCCAATGGGATTTTGATCGAGAATGCTTCCAGATGAAGGTTCTTGGTCGAAACGGGGCATTCTTAGACGACGAATATCTCCTCCGTGGTGCCGTGAAGCGATTGCGCGATGGCTCAAGAGTTCAAATCTCCAATGTCTGGATGACCTTCCGTCTACCCAATCAACAGGCCTCGCCCATCAGTGACGACTCAGAGCGCGAAGCTGGAAAGGATCAGTCACCTGTTCCACAGAGGAGCACCTCTATGACAACCGACGATGGCGACAGGAAGCCGTCCCCATCCCGATCCGGCAAGACCAAGACCAAAATCACCCTCACAACCACTCAGAAACCGTCACCCTCTATTTTCCCACCCCCGCCTTCTCTTGCAATTGGTCCAGATGGCCAACCTATTCCTCCCAAGAAACGTGGTCCAGGCCGACCACCCAAGAATGGTATCATGTCCAAACGGGAAGAACGTGAGAGGGAGAAAGCAATGAAGCTGGCTGAAGCAAAAGCTGCAAATGGGGGATCTACCCCGCCGCCGTTACTCAAGGGCAAATTCCCGAAACCGATTGTCAAAGAAGAGGAACCGGTCAAGGAAGAGCCCAAACCCGAAAAACGAAAATACAAGAAAAGAAAGCGACCAGGTGAAGACGGTGATGTCGTTCAATCTATTGAAGGTGGTGAAGTCGATGTACCAAGTGAAGCCGAAAAACCTGTACCAAAGAAAGCCCGGGCGTCCAAATCACCTTCTCCCGAATATCCTCCTGCTGAGTCCTTGACCGAAGAACAGCTGGCAAGACCTTCTGAACCATACGCACGATTGATCTACGACATTCTGATCGACATCCACCCGAAGGCTCTGCCACTTAAGCAGATCTACCGAGCACTCAAGCTGAAATTCCCCTTCTTTGTTCACAGAGTCGACTCAGAAGGCTGGCAAAGTAGCGTACGACACAATCTGAATCAGGAATGGAACAAACTGTTCGAGAAGGGCGAAAAGGAAGGCAAAGGCTTTGCGTGGAAAGCAATCCCAGGAGCCCTGCAACCACAGGCTGAACGAAGACGTGCCGCCCAACAAGCGGCCGCTTCGAAACCAAAACCTCCGCCAGCACCTCGCCAGCACCCTCAAGGACCACCTCCACCATTGAATTGGCAAAACAGTACTCCTTATCCTCAGCAAAATGGCATGCCTCCAAGGGGTCCACCACCGCCTTTTTTCATGCAAGGTCCCCATGGCCAGATGCCACCTCCGCCAAATGGCATGCCGTGGCCACCGCCACCTGGCGCTATCCCTCCAACTGGTGGTGCGCCTCAACAAGGCACGCCAGGTCAGCCTCAGCCGTTTTATCCGACTGGAGCCAGACCTCCATATCCTCCGCCCGGAGCGCCCGGAGCCATCCAACATCCAGCAACGCCAACCCCTGGAGCATCAGCATCCGGTCCGCCAACACCAGCACCAGGGCTCGCCCCTCTCCCCACAAGCTCGTCAGCATCAAACATGCCTTGTACGATGGAAGGCATCGTCGCGATCCGTCGATTCGAAGCCGCCATGTATCAGCAGGTCAACAATCCAGAAGCCAATGTACGCTGGCAAGCTATATTCGGATCTGTTAAACGTCGTCTTCTGCACGGCGCCCCCCATTCGTTGATGCCCGAAGGCGAGACGAAAGAGGAGAGAACCATCGTGGAGCATGTTGCCAGATTCATCGACCGTTTCAAAAATCCTGCCTTTGTTGGATTTTCTGCCTCAACAGATTCCACACGAGGCACATCGTCGCCAGCGCCAGCGTCGAGTGTTCCCGCCAAGGCAACACCAGCTACAACGACAGTCCAGGCTTCTCAAACACCTTCACAACCAAAACCCGAAGTCGGCCCTACTCCGACTGTTGCACGGACAGATCAGGGTGCAACGGCTCAAGCTGCTCCTACAACTGGAAATGAACCGAAAGCTCCAACAAATGTGCCAGCGAACGTGCCAGCCAGTGTGCCAGCGGTACCTGCACCTACTACGTCCACGCAAACGGCCGCCATGCCTGGAGGGTCTAACACGGTATCGACCTCACAGGAGGCACCGGTCTCGAGTGAAGCACCCAAGCTGGGCGAGGCAGCGGTGACTGCTGGTTCGACTGAAGAGAAGCCGTCAACAGGATCAGTACCGGGAGACGTGCAAGCCAAAATAGAAGATGTTAAGGATGATTAGACATGGTGTGGTGAACTGTGGGCGCTCGCGATTTATTGGGCTTGAGCAATGGCAATAATTAGGAACGATTGCGATGAATTCGACGAAGTTGATGATGGCAAAACTAGGACTTATGGGCTCAATAGGGGAATAAGTGAAGCCGGGTCTTGCGATGGAGGAATTGGACTTGGAAGCGAAAATACGATGACAGCATATGGCTATTGAAATGGTGGGCTCGCAACAAAGAAATGGTGCGTCATTGATTAAGAGATTTGAAGTTAGATGGCCACAAAATATGTACATGAGTATGATCAAGTCTAATGTCATAGGTCTAGAAATCTAGCAGCCATCAAGGATGAAAGTGAAGTGTCGATAATAGCTGTGTCAACAATATACCGACTAGGAAAAGGCGTTCAAGACACATGTATAGGGAGATGTGGAAATTCTAAGTAGGGCACACAAGTTGCGTCCTCATGGGTTGACTGACCATTTCAGGTTCCTGGGGATGTCACGTATCAGTATATTAATGAGTCGTTGGCATCAATCGCGAGATGTCTATATCAAGTACAGCAGTGGCAAATCCCCAGCCTCCCAGTTCAAACTCACATTCTCCATCCACCGATATTCTTCAGTCACCAACCCAACCATCAACAATCAAACGGGCGACATTCATGCCCGCAAGAGCCGAAGTCTCCATTGTGGAGATGAAACTTTCCATTCCAGAGAGATACCACAGATTCGATGAGGACGTAGCAGAATCTGTTGTTGGCGATTGCATCGTAAGTTCAAAGTCCTCAAATTGTCGTCGTGGCGTCTCGTACGGATAGCTATGCCAGAATTTATGATGGTACCAGGTAATGGCCCCGTCCGGGAGAGAGGAGATGGAATCTTGATCTTGATCTTGACCTTCTTCAAATGACTCTGATGAGGATGATGAGGAAGGAGAGGTAATGTATGGGATGTCGAATAACTCGGCCAGCCAGCTTGCTTTTAACGGAGCGGGGCTGAAGATCTTGTAGAGATATTGTGGTGAGTCTGGATAGTTTGGTACGTCGGTTAAGACTTGTAAGGTGCTGATGGACCAGAATCCGGGTGAACCGGCGGAGTTGGTCAGAGTGATTGAGTCGGAAATGGAGCTGGTTAGGTTGGTGGATGAAGATTTTGGTGGGAGAGTGGTAAGAACGGATGCAGGTACGTCTTCGATATTTTCGAGGTTGAAGAATGAAGGCGATAGCCTGTATGGTGTAGTGAAGAGAGTGACATGCAGAGGAACATAGGGTACGGGTTTCGGTGGTGATACGAGTGGTGGTGTGAAGCTGAGATTGGAGAATTGGAAAGGTGCTGCGAGGACGACGGTGTCAAAATCTTGAGTAATCATTTCGAGGTCTGTTAGGTTCTGGATTGAAAGCTGGAATACGTTTGACTTGTCGTCCCTGACGACATCTGTGACTGTTGTGTTCAACAACACTCGATCGGCCGCAACTTTAGCCATGGCCTCGAATATCTGTGCATTACCGCCTTCGACCGCGGTGGCACCTTCGACAGCCATACAGACCAAAGCCTCGAGACCGTGGATGGCATCGAGATTCGACGCATAGTTGACTCGGGTCGATGCCTGAACAATTTCACGACGAAATTTCTCCGACACTCCTGCGTTAATCAGAGCTTCAGTGCCGGTGACGCTGGTGTAGTCGATGAGCCCGGTTTCTTCAATGACTTCCTGTAAACTGTGGAAGGGGAATAGTGGAGGCTCGTAGAATTTGCTAAAGGTTGCTGCGGCGGCCTGGGCGGCCCGTCGAGTGCGGATGGGAGCGAGGCCATACCTCCAGAGCAATTTCACGATCCCCCACCAGCCACGAGCAGACGAATTGTCGTCGTCGTCGACGTCGGCGGTAAACACGAATGATGTTCCGTCCCAGACGCCTAGTTCATATTTTGCCTCTGGTGGAGCTTGATATATCTTGACTGACGATGTCAGGTTCAATTCTCTGGTCGCGTTGACTAGGATGTGGTTGATGGCGACGAAGATGCTGGCGCCTAACTCGACAGGGTACTCCGAGAGGGAGAACGCGTTGACAATGGTGGCCCGACCACCGATATATGGGTTCCGGTCGAAGATTGTGATGTCTAGTGGGATTTGCTCGGGTTGAGATGATGCATATTTGCGAAGATGGTAGGACAGGGACGTGCCGCCGGCGCCTGCGCCGATGATTGCGACTCGTTTTGGGGATTGGGAGGATGGGTACTCGTGGAGCGGTTGCTGGGTGGGAGTATCCGCAAGAACGAGGGAGGTGAAGGCTAGGAGGTGTAAGGTTGCATAGATGAGAGTCGACAACATGGCTGTCTGCCTATAGTCCAGCTTTAGGGCATTGCTCTGGGTAGGAATCAACCAGGACCCGCCAGGATCCTTAAGGAGTGGGAGGACTAAATAGATATACGAGATATACGTGACGTCGGATATGGTCGAGCTTCCCACAGCCTTGTGGCCCAAAGAGGAATTGTTTGTGGTGTTTGCACTCAGCCTCGTGATGCCCCTCACTCACTATCGACTTGTATGGAATGGTGTGATAGTTGAGTCAATACGATAGTCTTGGCCTCGAGCCGAATTACCCGTTTAAGATGAGACAGAACAAGTGGTCTGCACGGTGACTGGCCATTTAAGAGGGTGGACATAACTACACCTGCACTATCTGCAAAGTTTTATACTGTATGTATTACTCTCTGCAGACCAGATTCTTTCAAGGCCCCCATTGAACAACTCCAGGAGAGCCAGCTCCCCATGCCGCTTGAGATGTCACACGAAAGCCAATGCAACTGCCGCCCGATGCCAGTCATCAAAGTCTACAGCAGACCCTTTGCCTCTTTATCCTTGCATAGCTTAGCAAACTCCTCGATGTTGCCTTGATCCCCTCCGTCGCGGAAACCCGGCATCAACGCCAGCCAATGATACACGCTATCCCTCAACTCCTTCGGTAGGCGCGGGGGTTCATTGAGCACCTTGTCGAAACCGTCGATGATCTTCTGAGCAATGCCCTCGATGGCAACTTCACCAGAATTAAGGGTCTGTCCGGCCTCGGAGGCCTTAGCTAGCCCAGCCTTGTACTCTACCATGGCATTGACCGTGATGCCAAAAGTCCTAGGCCAACTTGAGCTCATCAGATTCCATGAGTCACCTTTCCCTCCTTGGTCGCCAGATACGCGGAAATCAGTGCGGAGAATGACGGTAGGGATGTCGGCCATCTTGGCCACCATGTACTCGACCACAGTGCCAGCGTCCAATTCGGTCCCATCGTAGGTGATAAGCGCCAAGTCACAATTTAGCAGCGCACGCAAGTCCTCATCGCGTATCGAATGTGGCGTCAGATCGCGCTGTTCCAGATCCTGGGGTAATACAGGAATATATTTGCTCGAGGAGAGTTTAGAGACAGCTTGAGAGAGTAAGACATTGGTGTGAAGTTCGGCGAGCGTGAACAATGGTCCAGCATGGTAGTAGGTGTACGTCTTGGGCGCGTCAGGGAGACTTTGATGGTCCGTGTTGGGAGTTGTATGAGTGTGGAGAATCGCCGAGTCCAAGAGTTCCTGGTCCGCCATTGGATTTCTTGATGATGTGGTACAATGGACAGAACACGGGAGTTTTCGAGGAGAGGGATGAGAGGGTACGATGGACAAGAGAATGAGCGCGTTTGGACTATGGGCGAGAAGAATGGAACCCTGAAATTCTGATGGTTGAGTAAATGGCCGCGGTGGTGGGGCGATGGCTGATCAGGCTGAAACCCAAGGCGTCCACTCTTGACCAATCATGACTCCATTGGTACCGTTCGTTCTGTCAGACAAGCGTGATTAACTCCAATGTCTTCAGTGAATGTCTGCTCATAGCCGCTCGTCAGCAAGATCGTCTCACTAATGATTGCGTCTGACTGACGGCATTGTAGCCTTCTTGGCTTCATCAAAGCCCATAAGCACCTCCATTGTTTCCAGCTACTTTGCTCATATCTGCCAGATGTCAAAGACTTTATGACCATTCTGACTTAGTAAGTAGAGCTATCCACAAGAGCAGAGAAAAGGGCGTGAAGAGAAGTGCCCTATACCTAGGATGACGGCCAATGCAGCGGCATTTGAAGAGGAAAAGTCTTTAGATGTTAGAGCAGAGAGGTAGATCTGGACAGGCACGAAGAGAAAGTGCCAATTTGTATTTGATTGCCACACTAAATCACCGCTGAGGATACGCATGTTCAAGAGCGTCGTCCCACTCCCCCTGCCTCAAGAGATAAAGAATTAGGCTTCTCTCAGGTGCACTGTACTCCCCAGAGAGCATATGTGGGTTGCCAGTATCCACCGAAAGCATGATGTCGCCTTCTTCATCATCATCACAAAAGTATTCGCCCAATAACTCCAATCTCAAACCACTGCCATGATTTCGGATCGAGTCGAATATACCTTTCCAGTTCTGTGATTCTCTCCGAAGCGATTCATGCGTCGTACAATCTTCAATGTACAACTGACGCAGACGGGGCATGTCGCTTAAAAGCCTCCTAAATTCGACATGTGGGATAGCAACACCCGCCAACGTCAACGAGACCAGACGAGGGAAGCGGAGCTGGTCCAACATGTGCAAGGACAAAGGCGAAAATCCTTCCACGGCAACACGATGTCCTTCGAGTGTAACCTCGCGAAGGCTACTTTGAGCCTTTCCCAATATCACCGGCAAGATATCCCCGGCGCAATTGACCCGTCCTCGAGCGCTGTATGCGTCCCATCGATGATGTTGCTCATGATCCGCGATACTGATGACCTGTTCAAAGTCTCGCCATTCCGCTCGGTACAACCGGAACTTGGTCAAACTAGACAGATCAACTTGTTCCCAGTTGGGAATACGAGTCTCATCCCGTATGTAGATCATAGTCTCTAGTTGGAGACTCAGTTCTGTGATGCCTCTCTTCTTCGAAGCGCCCAAGCTGTTCACAACAGCGATTATGAGCATCGTGCAGGATGGAACGGCATATCTCCAGAATATAAATTGTGACACCGAGTCAGGCTCATTGAAGTCTGAGGTCAGTGTTACTCCATTTGGCAGGGCGTACTGGTAAGATCGGCCACAACCCCAAAATTCGATGTTGACTTTGGTTAATCGTGTCAGATATGGGAGCAGCTCAGTCCACAAGGCTTGCATTTTCTGCCTCGCCTCAAAGAAGTCGATACTCGCTCGGCGTTGATATTCCGTATAGCATACACTACTAATTGAGTTGATATCAACACGCTCACCGAGAGCCGTCTTCTGACAATCAATTCGACCATCGCCCCACATTCTTACGCGGTGGTAACCTTGTTGCTCCCCTAAGATGATTGTAAAGGTTGCGGGTGCGATAGAGTAGACATACTTTGATATGCCGAATTTCACTTCTTGGACTGACGATGCGACACGGAGAAGGGCTTCCCAGTTGTTTTCGAGCCGACGGAGACTATGCTGTGTCGCATATAGACAGAGTTTTCCAAAGAGTGCACGCCGGATACTCTTCGACGCTCGGAATGCTTGACTGGTAAAGCGAAGGGACCGGAGGAACTCGCGATACCTAGATTGCCATCTAAACTTTTGTGCATGGTTGTACCGCAAGATCACCACTTACTCTGGATTGCTGCTTTGATTCGACTTGCCCGCTGCTTCCGCAATGCCATACAGTATCTCATAAGGAAGAGGCTCTCGCTGTCGTCTCTGTTGTGCACTATTGTCAGTGATATTGAATACCCTCTCACAGGTCAGAACCGACAGTTTTCTCGCGCTTTGCGCTCTTGGAACTCTCGCCTCTTGAGCTTCCGCCTCTCGAGCTCTCGCCTCTCGAGCTCCCGCCCTTTGAGCTCCCACCCTTTGATTTCCCTTTATACATATCGACCTGTATCGTAGATCTTGTGCTCGACCTAGAAATGCTTCTCAAGTTTTCTGAATAGCTTTCGAACGTTGATAGCGGAAAGGGATGTTAGTAGATATGAAAGAGAGACAGAGAGCCCTAAATTTGTCAAATATTTATAGATCTTGAGAACGTGCTTTGAGTCAGAGGAGAACCTCATGACTGGATGTAGAGAAGTCATCTTCGGAGACCAAAATGTCATTAAATAGATGCAAACATGCTTTGAGTCGACCGAATTGTTCGTGGATCAATCACAACCACAAATGTGGACCCCGAAAGGAGATATGTCTGGTCATGCAATGAATTAATACAAGCTATTCCATGTGTGAGTGAGTGTAACACAATAAACAAGACAGGATCTGAGTGGCCGCTTCAGGAAGTCATCAACGATGGCAGTATGAAGCATACAAACATACAGCGACCACGCAGGTACGCCGACTTGCAACGATGTTGTCTGCTATTATCAGTTGAATGATTCTGATTAAGGGACTTCTGAGGTGTCACATACCGCCTGCCCTGTCACACATGACTGTCTCGTCGTCCTAAAAGTAGTCTCTGGAAAACCCTTTCACAATAAGTAGCCTCCATCACTTCTGACCACTGTTCCCGTGACATTCTGATCCTTCAAAACCCATAGGTAACTCTCGACCACATGTTCAACTTGGCCAATCCGCCCGGTCAAGAGGATCTTTCCTGTCTCTTCCTGCATGGCAGCTTTTTGTTCTGGAGTCAAGCTCGTATCCCAGAGCTCGGTGGCTACGCTTCCTGGGCTGATCAAATTGACACGCACCGGCTTCAGATCGAGAGCGAGGCCGCGGACCATACCATGCAGGCCAGCAGCATAAGAGGCAATGACACTCCAAGAAGGTCTCGGTTTCTCAGAAATGGCACCTGAAGTGATCGTTATGGAACTTTCTGGACCAGGGGTGATGTACTTGGAGCCATGTTTAGCCACAAAATATGGAGCAACGAAGCGGATGGTCCCAGCTCGTCGGAAGCTTTCCACCGTCACCTCGGCGATGGGTGAAGCTGCTAGCCGATCTCCAGCTGTGTAGACAATATGGTCGATCGGCTTGTTGATCTTCTCAAACAGTTGCTTGATGTTCGACTCTAGCGCGGCTTCATCGGACAAGTCGCAAGCCAGTCCAACGATAGCAGTCTGACTGTTTGGGTAGGCTGATCGGAGGCGAGCGACAGCAGAAGACACCTTTTCTTGACTTGAAGAGGACAGGAAAAGATTAGATACCCGATGCTCAACCATGGCTTCGGCAACGCCAAATCCTAGACCTGACGTTCCGCCGATGATGAGGATAGTCTTTCCGGCAAGCTTGTCGATATATTTGTTCTGGCTGGCCATGGTGAAATAGTCTGCTGTGAATGAGCTGGGCAATGAAGATGGCTAGATACAATACCTCTAATGAATGGACTCATATCACGCGGGGACCCCAGTGACGCTAAATATTCAATTCTATTTGGTCGACATTGCGCAATCTGTATTATTAAGGATGTTGAAGTATAATGGTCTTAAGGAGCATTTTGCCGCGTTAATTCCGTCGGAAAACTAATGCTATACCGGGGTTGGTGGAGTTACGACACTCCGTTCGCGGGTGGTGGTACGAGACCGTGAGATGACAAACTCCGTACCTAGACTAATGATGGGTTGAATATTCCCGGAATGATTTGTGCGCATGCTCATCAACGGAGATTGTAGGCTGGGAGTCGACCATATCTGCTTCAGGATTTATGGAGGCCTGCGATTGGTGCCGAGGCAGATTCAGATCTTCTACGTCATATTAGATCTGACAATGACATTTCTCAGGCTAGATTTGCACTTTGGGAATCCTTTAGGTGTTAACGAAGAGCATACTTTTAGCAGAAAGGGACGCGGTTTAGTGTGGCTCTCAAGGGCTCATGTAGGTAATCTTGCTGCGCTGCGTACTGACAGACACGATAACATTTTGTGCCTGGGGAGAGAGTAGTTGACCCCGTGGACCGCATTGAATGCCAACCCCACAAAAGACATTTGACCTTGTAGCATGCAGGTCCTCTCCATCCACCAATGATGGAGACCAACTTATCAATATTTGAATAAAGCGAAGTGGTGAGCTGATCCTGAAGGATTTCTCCAGGTCGATGAACACGACGACACGACTTGGGACATGTGGGGCTTGGCGTCACGTGCTATCACGTGGCCTTCAACACGTCTTTCAATGCACATCACCATCTCACAATCTCCTCCTTTTGTTCCTCGTCGTCTTCCAATTCCCTACTCATTCTTGCCAACGTCTTTCACCTTGGTATCACACTTGGCCTTCTCTTCTCAACTCCCACCAGTGGCTTGAAATCCAACGGGGGTGAGACCACACCACCTCGCTTAGATGCCTTCTCTGAAAGCCACGAATCATCTTAGCCCCATCTCCTCTTCCAAGAGTGTATGGCTGGCCCCAGCATTCTCATTTCCAGGCTCTGCGGGGAAGACAGCCTAGCTCTTCCACACATGGGGAGGTCACATTCTAAGAATCCCTGTCAACATGTCATGTCCGGAGATTCAAAGTCCTTTAGTGCGCTCGGATCTGTCCAGGCTCTGGGTCAAGCTGGCTTCGACGGAGTACGGATGCCGTTTTTTAAGTAGCTCCACCTTCATGGAAGCTGCTCCACCTCCACATTCCTTGGTGCAAGTCGCTCTTCTTGTCGTGCTTGTGCACAATATGGCTCACAATACATATAACGGTGACCCTTTGTCAAATTTGTCATCGCGTTGCGGGGTCGGACTCTTGACCCTCAGGCTCTGACCCCCCCTGACGATCGATCATTCAGGTAAGGTGAAGACTGGCCTTTTTCTCAATTGGCCTGGCTTCGTGGTCATTACTTAGTTCTGTCGAGCTTGGTGTGTGATGCCACGCCTCACTAGGATCAGGTGCCCATGCACTCCATGCCAGCAAGTTGTGTGTCGATGATTGATTGACCTTGACGCCCTCCGCGTCTCGGCAGTTGCCCTACTACTCTATTTGCTACTCATCCTTCACCGACATGGGATCCGTGATGAACCCTTGCTCTTGAGCCCCACGATTCTCATGGACTGGGGCTGTCCTAATGTGTCTACCCATGTTTATGAATCATGACGAAAGCATATGAATACCAGGAGGTGGACGCAGAGGTCGTCTTGGTGTACTACCACTGAAGCTCACTCTCAACCCCATCTCACGCGGACTCTCCTACACACGATCATCATGGCGTTGAATTCTGAAAGAACCCATTCTTCTGATAATATCGCGGTGGAGGATAAGCCTGGATTGTCGCACACGGTTTCTGCTGGTGCCATCTCGATCAGCCCTGAATTGTTTGAAAAGGTGCATTTGAGCCATCTCGAGCGACATGCTGCCTCGCTAACACGAAATTCTTGTATCTAGCTTTACCTCACTCCAAAGGTACCTCATGCCGGCGACAATATCAAACGTTTCGCCAATCCCACCCCTCTGGGCTTTGTCGGGTAAGGCACTATATTACCGCTATGGTTGGCAATATTGTTGTGACCAGAACGACGAGTCTAACATTGACAGTTTCGTCATCTCCACGATGACCTTCGCCATCATCATGATGGGATGGGGTGGCGCTGAAGGGCTCTCTCCAGTTGTGTAAGCTTTACCTTCCACTTCCATCCATTTTCCATGTCCAACCATACCATGAACCATACCATGAACCACAGCTAACCCACATCTCCACTCCAGGGGAATGTTCTTCTTTGTCGGTCCTGTCCTCCTGATACTGACCACCATCTTCGAATGGATCATGGGCAATTTCTTCCCCATGATGGTGTGTGGACTCTTTGCTGTTTTCTGGCTCTCTTTTGGAATGCTTCAGCTTCCCACACTGGGTCTTGCAGCACCGTACTCAGCCGACGGTACTGATTCAGTGACCGGAGCTTCGGCTAAAGGATTCAATGCCGTCATCGCCGTGTACCTTCTGGTATGGGGTTTCGCGTTGTTCACATTTTGGATCTTCACACTCAAGACCAATGCGGTCTTTGCCTTGATTTTCCTCTTTGTCACAATGGGAGCCTGGATCCTGTCTGGTGCGTATTGGAAGGTTAGCACTGGAGACTACGACGATGCAAGGACACTGCAAAAGGTGAGCGCAGATTTCGAAACTAGAAAGTCTTTGGGCATGCTTGAATCCATTTGTGGCTAACGAAACCAAACTCTGATAGACTGGTGGGGCTCTCCTGTTCGTCGTTGGTGTACTAGGTTGGTACATGATCTTTGTGATGATGGCTGCGGAAATGAGGCTTGCAATCAATCTTCCTGTTGGAGATTTGAGCAGGTTCTGGCCCAGGACTGACGTCGAGATGGGCAAAGCCGAGAAAGAGGCTTGACCGATTGACATAAGACTGCAAACCACCATATCATAGGTCATCGATCTCGAACACTAATCCTTCGTTCACTGGATTCTCAGATTCAGGCTACGAGATTTTGTGCGTCCTACAAGATACCCATGCGTTAAAATGGTCTATTACTTCTGTATACAGAAGCCGAATAATCATTTTCTTGTGCCTAATTGCTTCTTTTATCCCTATGACACAAGATCTCTATGAGCTTCATCTCTGTCTGAACCGTTTCGAGATACAAGTATTCCACTCATATTCATCAGACAGACACCCTTCTCACGTCTCAAAGAAGCAATCTTGTAAATGATATCAAGCAATAGTTTGATTGACATGGGCAATTATTGTAGCCCCGATATCGCTCTCGCAGCCCCCAACCGAGATGTTGCAGTGGTAGTGATTGACTTGAGAGTTAACTAGAGCGAGAGGAGCGTATTTCGTCACACTGTCGTACGGAGCTTGCCCCATCCTGCGGTCCCGAGTTAGACTAGGAGCCCACACAGCAACAATACAGCATGGGGCACACGAGGGGTCGCCATCTGATGGGATCGCTTACTTGTGGTCAATGTAGGTATGTCTGAGACTGATTGAAAAGTTTTGCACACCATGCCATGATGTAATTAGGAAGGCAAATGTCTCGTTTTGACAAGACTCCTGGTATGAGTTGGGCGGCGACAGACCAACAGCCCAACTGGTAGCACAGTTGACAGGATCCAAGCTTGCTGTGTCTTGATCTGCGAAAAAGACTGGGTGGGATTAGATGTAAGTCCTTGGCAAAAGATGCTGTAGTTGTCAAGAAGAAGAGATTGCACTCACACGCAACGAATGAAGGCTGTGTGGATGTTGGGTCCACCTGAAATGGAGATGAGACGACAATGTTGGTGATATTAAAGTCTCCACTGAACGCCGAAGAGCCGACGAACCAGGCAGCTAGCAGGAGACAGAGGTTGTTGAAAGGGGTTCGCATGATGTCGAGGGTTGGGTTTCTTTGTTGGCTTGAGCTTGGAATGTAAGAAGGATGAGAAAAATTGCAAGGTGATATCGAGGAATCAGAAGTTTCCAAATTTGCAGGCGGTCAGATCAGGTATGCGTATTTGATTAAGTAGAGGAAGGAGCAAGGGGGACCTGAAGGAAAGACAAAGAGCAATTGCGATCAAATCAGGCACTGATGTCACAAATGGAGTTCCTTCCAATTTGTGCAATGACTGAGCTTCAGCCAGTGTTCGCTCCCTGGATTATCCGTCGCGGAAAGGGACATACCTGACAAACAAAGTGCACTTGTAGGAGAGGAATGACTGGGTGTAAATACGCATGCATCGTGAAAGGACGATGACATGCCTAGTAGCAAACATAACACCAGAGAGTAGATATGACCTTGCATATTTGGGACGCAACCAGGTATGAGATGAAGGTGGTAGCATTTAATGTTAGGCAGAACGCGGCATAAAGGTTATCTGACTGGGACGATGTTGGCTGAGGCACGCGGTGATGGTTGGCCATCAGGTTGCTTTGGCTGATGTCGTGGGGAGCAGGATAGAAGAGGTACATTCATAAGACTGCTATGTTGGCGCCGGTAGAGCGAGTCAGTGGGGAAAATAACAGTCAAACAAGCGGTCAGATATCGGATCGTTCTTCATATGCAAATCCAACTGTGATCCAAGGAAATCGAAGAGCAATGCCTAGAAAACGAAAAGCGCCAGTGGATTTGGACGAAAACAGCAAGACGTAAAATCGGTGGTCAAGGTAGACTTATTGATCCTTTTTGAAATGTTGTGCCCGTATCTAACAAACGATGACGACGACCTCTATGAGGTGGTCAGGTCTGTGGAGAACACCCATCACATCTGCACCTTCGAGTATGTCGAATGCTGTCTTGATAGTGGACCGAGACCCATGATCATCGAAAAAATCGCGCTGACCGAAACAAGAGATCCCTGAGCGATTTGTTTAACCCTTCTTCTTGCTGACACCAACGGTTCGGCCTCGTCGGCCAGTGGTCTTGGAGTGTTGACCTCTGACACGGAGACCCCAGTAGTGTCGCAGACCACGATGGGCACGAATCTTCTTCAGGCGCTCCAAATCCTCACGCAGCTTGCTCTCCATACCGTTGGCCAGGACTTGGTAGTTCTTGCCATCAACAATATCGCGTTGTCTGTTGAGGAACCATTCGGGAATCTTGTATTGGGTGGGGTTTTGGATGATGGTAACAATTCGTTCGAGCTCTTCGGATGTGATTTCACCAGCACTGTAATCTGAGATTAGTCTCTCTTTCTGACCACCTGGTCGATTGTCGAGTCGCATACCGCTTGTTCAAATCGACATCGGCCTTCTTGCACACCAAGTTGGAATAACGGCGACCGACACCCTTGATGCGGGTCAAGGCGTACATGATCTTCTGTTTGCCATCGACGTTGGTATTGAGGAGACGGAGGATGAACTGGACTGGATGGAGGTAAGTAATAGAGCGGAATTGCAGGAATTCGAGGGGTTCGTACAGTTCGACTTCTCTCCACTGACGAGAGCTGCAGTTGAAAAGTTAGCCATGTAAATTTGGTGGTGATTTTGACCCGAATCGAGTGCTCGCAGACATAGTCCAGTATCGGACACGTGAGGCGATGCGTCCTGATCTCGCGTGGAATGTAGACTTACACATGATGGGCAGGTCTCTCTTTGTCGATGTTGTTGGCGATGGGAAGTGGTGGTGTTGAGAACTCTCGGTCAAAGATCTCGAATGTGCGCAGGAAGTTTCGACTGAGAATTGTGGGAGTGGGATAACGGGCTAGGCCATAAATGAGTTAGCGTAGGAAATAATTCTTGGCAATTGGTGGTTGTTCTTGGTTAGCCGCCATTTGGCTGGGCTGTCCCGTGACTTATCACATGACCCGTCTCTCGTCCAATATTGATGTCACTGGACCCATTTGCCTGCGATCCATTGCCACCTCCCGTTCGCCTGGCCGCCTTGGTTCGATAAGCCCGAGGGGCCCTCGGCCCCAACTGAAACTTGCTCTGCGTTGGTTGTCCAGCCAGCACCGCATTCGGATCGCCAGGCACCTCCGTTACGGAGTCACCAGTGATGATGAGTCCAACTACTTAGTCCTATCTAAGGTACTCATATCTTCCAACTTCACTCCAACCCTCTCAACCATTCTGCTTCCTTTGTCATCTCTTTTCTTTTCTCATCACTACTCTCACAGGTTCTTCTTTACTCTTGTCCTTCCTCCTCCCTTCCCTCTACGGCTGCCGTCCGAATCTTCCCGTCGGGTTCCTTGACGTCATCCACAACACTGCTGCCTTGACTCCGACAAGCAGAGCACCCGCACCCCAGGACATCTCATCGTTTCCATCATGAGAGCCTTCGAAACCGTCCTTCTGGCGGGAGTGGCTTCGGCCGCCGTTGCACCACAGCAACAGCCCATGCAATTCCCAACCACCTTCCCTGCAGAAGCTAAGAATGTGCTGGATAAGCAGATGCACAACCTGAAAGATGCCCTCAAAGGATTGACCGCCGAAGCTGCGGCTATCTGGGATGAGGTTGCCATGTTGTATCCCGAGGAGATGTCTGCTGCAAGCTTCTTTTCCACCCCAAAGAAGCACAGTCGTCGCCCCGATCACGAATGGGATCACATTGTCCGTGGTGCCGATATCCAGAGCGTCTGGGTCGAGAACGCCAACGGCGAGGCGGAAAGAAAAGTCGATGGCAAGTTGGACACATATAACCTCCGAGTCAAGTCCGTCGATCCCAGTGACTTAGGAGTTGACCCTGGGGTCAAGCAATATTCTGGTTACCTTGACGATAACGAGAACGATAAGCATTTGTTTTACTGGTTCTTCGAGTCGAGGAACGATCCCGAGAACGACCCAGTGGTCCTATGGTTGAACGGTGGTCCCGGCTGTTCGTCTTTGACTGGACTTTTCCTTGAACTCGGCCCCTCACGCATCAACGAGAAACTTGAGATCGTCTCCAACCCCTACTCCTGGAACGCGAATGCCAGCGTCATCTTTTTGGACCAGCCTGTCAATGTGGGATATTCCTACTCGAGCTCTAGTGTCTCCAACACAGTCGCCGCTGGCAAGGATGTGTATGCTTTGCTCACCTTGTTCTTTGAACAATTCCCGGAATATGCTCACCAGGACTTCCACATTGCGGGTGAATCCTATGCTGGACACTATATCCCAGTGTTTGCATCTGAGATCTCGTCCCACAAGAAGACCAACATCAATCTTAAATCTGTCTTGATCGGCAACGGCTTGACCGATGGACTCACTCAGTACCAACACTATCGCCCCATGGCCTGTGGTGATGGCGGTTGGCCAGCTGTGCTGGACAAGCAATCATGCCAAGCCATGGACAACTCGCTTCCTCGGTGCCTTTCCTTGATCCAGAACTGCTACGACAGCGAGAGTGTCTGGTCCTGCGTACCTGCGAGCATCTACTGCAACAATGCCTTGCTTGCTCCTTATCAGCGCACTGGACAAAATGTGTATGACGTTCGAGGAAAGTGCAAGGACAGCAGCAACCTCTGCTACCCCGAACTTGGCTGGATCAGCAAGTGGCTCAACAGCAAGGAAGTCATGAAGGCCCTTGGCGTGGAAGTTGACGGATACGACTCTTGCAACTTTGACATCAATCGAAACTTCTTGTTCCAGGGTGATTGGATGCAACCATACCACCGCTTGATCCCCGGCCTGATTGAGAAATTCCCTGTCCTGATCTATGCAGGTGATGCAGACTTTATCTGCAATTGGCTTGGAAACAAGGCATGGACCGAGGCTCTTGAGTATCCCGAGCACGAAAAGTACAAGGCTGCCGAGACCAAGGACCTACGTCTTGACGGCACTAAGACCGGCAGGAAGATCGGAGATGTCAAGTCACACGGCAACTTCACCTTCATGCGCATTCATGCTGCTGGTCACATGGTTCCTCTTGACCAACCTGAGGCAAGCTTGGAATTCTTCAACCGATGGCTATCAAAAGAGTGGTTCTAGTTTGAACGGGCACTTCGCAGTGCATATGGCGGGGGGAGTAGTGAATTGCAATACTACTGGCTTAGGCTATGAAGTGTAACATTGATGCACATAGTTTGGACCATTGGATAAGTCAGGCAGTGTGTGTGTGGTGGTGCCTAGTTTGGCGAAAGGATTGCTCTGGACGTCCCAGCGGGCGGCTACAGATGTCTGTTGTATCGTGCTCCAGAGTTGATTCATGACAGGCTGCATGACTATCGATTTTCTCATGTATGAATGAGGATTACATTTGTTCCCTTGATCCACGCACTATTACCTGTTCTTTAGCGAGGAACATGATGTTTTCATGCCGGAGTTGATCGGTTAAGACGGCGTTGCGAAAGGACACCTGTAGTTGCAGCAGCAGGAGGATCTGTATGCGTGCGTTGTCGTCGAATAGAAGCCCCATGCGAATATGGGAGCGCTTGTCCTGCTACACTTGCAGATATTGATTGACGAGAGGGGGTTGGTGTCAACCAGAAAGGTCTCTCTATTCTTAGAAGTTCACTAACTATGGACATGATTGGTCACAATCGCATGCTGAAAGTCGAGGAAGCAATAGCGCGGCCGCATCTGCATGACATTGTCACACCAATCAGAATTCGCATAAGCGCCGAGTTCTCAGCTTGGCGAACTTGGCACAATATGGACTTATGAATGGTCAGCACAACTTTATCATCACCTCCATCATCTTCATCCCACTCGACGCTCTACGCGCCCATGTTCATCAACGCTCCAATCCTAGTTCGTCGTCATCAACCACTGCAGACCGCATCACACAAAGGGCCGAGGGGCCATGTGGCCAACCTGGTTGTCCTATTCCAACCCACCACCATTGTCCTGTGCGGTTTTTAGCCTGCATCTGCATTCAAGCGTACGAGTACAGGAACAGGGTTGCAGAGCGGGGATCCAATTCGTGTTTGTGTTTGTGTCTGTGTAGTGTCGGTCCCTCCCATGACATGCCATGGCATCTTGCGTATCTAAATATTGCCATCCCCGTTCCATTGCTCTGCATTCTTGATTCTTTCCTTTCTTCACACAAGCAAGCCTTGTTAATTTTGGTTGCGCGGTAGAGTCGAGAGCTTGAGCTATTCTTGAACTTCCTGTTTCTGTTTTCATCCCCCTTTCCTGCAAAGATTGTTTAGTGTCTGGTACACTATTGAACTTGTTACTTCTCACGACAACTTGACAACGACTTCAATCCCCGGTAATATTCAATATACTAATCGACCTTCTTCTCCCATTTCCCCCTCCCTCCTCTGTGGCATCTTACCTTTGAGCTGTGCTCAAAACGATAGCTGCTACGACCATACACTACCACCAGCATTCTTTGCCTGATAGAACGACTGCATTTGACGACAAATCAAGAAGTTTCATACAATCACTTTTGAGGAATACAAACAAACATCGTTGCTGGTCAACGAATTGTCCTGGGTATCCCAAGCCTAATAGCTAGCTCACTACAACAACTACTACTACTACTCGCTGCACGCCTATCTTGCTGTGCTCACTCAACAACCTGGTTTTCCATTACAATTGTGTTGTTGTTTCATATACACCTTAATTTTTCCTGTCCCCGGCCGGTTTGCCTCCAGGTACCTTTATCTGTGGATCCATACCGTCGTCGACTTTCTTGTCAATTTTGTCTACCACGGGATTGCCGGTCAATCCCAACAGCGACAAATCAAGCCTTGTTAGCCACGTGCAACAACTGATCTGTGGTTCTCGTCTATCACGACTCCGACTCACTCTTTGCGAACACAGCATCTGTTCGATTGCCATCTATCTCGGCACCTAATATACCCAAATACCGTCTTCTCAACCAAGACCTGACCAAAAACAACATTCAACATGTCCAACCCTGCAGTTCAACTCTCATTCACCCTGCGGACTTCTCCCAACGTTCGTACTGTCCACCTTCTCGGTTCATGGGACAACTACAAATCGCAACTCCCTCTCTCTGCTCTCAAGGATCCAGCAGCCAAGCCTGGTAGCTGGAAGGGAACTTTTCGATTTCAAGGATCCACTGCTCTCAAGCTCGGTAACCGTTACTGGTATTACTACATCGTCGATGGCTACCATGTCTCCCATGATCCTGCTAAGGAGTTCGTCACTGAGAAAACTACTGGCCGAAAACTAAATGTCATTGATGTCCCGGCTGGTGACAAGATCCCTTCTCGAGCGTGCCGTCCGACCGTAGACACTCAGAATCTCTCCAGCCATCGTCACTCTCGAGACATTCCGATCGGGCGTGCTCTCAGTCCAGGCAAGATTCAGCATCCCATGCCAACCAAAGCTTACGCTAGCCGTCAACTTCGCGAAGCAGACTATGAGAGGTCACCTGTGGAAGAGCTCGAAGACCGATTCGCCAGGTACCGGATTAGTCCAGGCGATTCAGCTTCGCCGTCTGAGTTGTCAGACTCAAGCTCCAGCTCTGGAACAGCATTCAGTCGATCGTCACCTTCCAGCTTGTCCAGCGTGTCAGACCGATCATGCCGTTGTGAACGATACGGCGTGACCAAGTCCGGACAACGCGTCAAACTTGACTGTGGTGGCAAGCGTTGTGGCACATGGTCGCCTAGCTCGAGCGAATGTGACAGCACCGACAGTGACAGCTCCGAGGACGAACGCGCGTATCGTCAGCGCATGAAACGTGAATCAGACCGACAACCAGCCTCTCATCACGACCAACGGCGAGTCGTCATGGTCGAAAAGAGACGTCGCTGAATGAGAGAAGATCGGAGTCTGGAGAGTCATTTGAATGAGAATTCCACCGCTAATCATTTCTGTACTGGTGGAATGGCCCAATGTTATTGTGTCTTTTCTTTTTTGTTTGGCGCCAACACCCCAAAAAACAAGACAACCCCAACTTTCGTGGACAAACAGGATCGTGTGATGGTGGTAGTGTACCCCGAACCTTTTGTTGTGTCCACGTCGCACCCGGGGATCCGGGCCCAATCCTGAACAGCCATTTTTGTGACTCTTTCATGGTTGGGCCCATCGGCATCTCAGAAACATCCCTCGGGAGCCCATCTGAGAAACCCCCTTCGAAGCCGAGATTGACCTCGGTCTGAGTTTCCATGTCTCTGACGACATGATCCCAGGCTCTCGGCACGCTGGGCGTACGGACGTCGTCTTGAACGCACAGTCAAAGAGGGAGAGCGAGGAGGAGGACGAGGAGTAGTTGGACTGATGAGGAGGGAGGCATGTGTGCCGAGGAGGATGATGGGATACTTTGACAAGAACTGTGATGACCCCCTTCTGGGGCCCTCTGTTCCCATCTCCCAACGCACACGGCTAGTGGTGTCGATGGATAAGCCCTACTTTCATTGATAGGTACTTCTGTAGTTTGGTTCGGCGGCAGTCACTGGCCGCTAAACCTACAGGTCAATCTCATACCCATGCCCATGCCTATGCCGGCACCATCAAGACATATTGTGCCTTATTTAGTCGCATCATTCCATCGATTCGTCTGTCAAGGCGTTGGGGACATTCAATGCTTTTCTCAGTCGTGAAGTCAAGATCCTGGCCCTATCTTTTCATAACCTGGTCAAGTCTGAATGCTTGTTTGGTAGACCTCCCTCGCAAGCCTGGCCATGCTGTCTTGCTGTGCTGAGTCAAGGTAGAAGAATCGTGTGGACAAGCCGATCAACGCGGCTTCGATGGCATCTGCATTAAGCTCCACCATTATTATGGCTGATTTGGACAAATTGGTTACAAAGAAAATCCTTGCCGTGCTTCCGTCAGCCGAGGCCAAGGCGCCGACGATCCAAATCCATGTCTGGATGTCCTCATGGCCACGCCATTGGTCATTGCAGATGCTGAGCATATGATTTTGCAAATTCGGGGCGACAATCTTCATTGATCGTTTGCGTCCGGCAACTGTAAAACACATGAAGACGAAGAGAACTAGAGTAGTCCTAATGCCATGGCTGCGTGGGTCTGGCAGGTCCATGGATAGGAGTCGGTGGCGGATAGCCAAGGTTCGAATGTGCAACCAGTGTAGGAGTTCAGGTGGTGGCTTGTTGGCATTGAACGAGGCAGAACTTGGGGTGTAATTGGACTGAAGGAGGCCAAGGACGACCGCGAGATCAAGAATGGCCCAACGAAGGTCTGTTGGTACAACTTCTCGGTGTGAAGACAAGAGTAGGCCGGCGGCAGAAGACCCATGGCCCGAGAGCAGGAGTTGGAGCTGTTGGACCGCATAGATGTTCATGGGATGATCTGCTTCCTCCTCAAACTCAGCATACGACCACTGAGGTTTGACCTGCCTTTCAGCAGATACATAGGCGTCTCCAGTAAGAAGCAACTCTGCCACAGGCGGGTCTAGCATGCGTAGGCCTCCCAAAGTATCAGTCATCTTTTTGGCGACCAGGAGATGTACATATGCGGCATCCGGATTGTTTCGATACCACTCAGCACAACCAAGTTGGAAGATGTTGTACACCATCCTCTCCGTGACAGGTCGTTGTCTTTTGAGGTGCGCTCTGGATGCTTGAAGGGCAAGATGCACGTAATAGTCACCGTCACCGGCAAAGTACATACCATCCACGTACTTCATGTAGCTGGCCATGGATGCCAGAAGGGTATACATGTTGTACTTATCGTGCAAACAACCTTGGATGACAGATATTGCATCGTAGCGGAAGTCATAGGTCTTGTCTGTGCGGACAACCTTTTCGAGATGCCAGATGTTGGGGTGATGAATGCGGAGGAAATATTGCAAAAGAATATGAGCATGCTCATCCACCCTGATGCAGCTGGCGTCAAAGGGGTCAATGATGTTCTGTGCAGAGGTAGGAAAGACTGGAATTTCCTGGCACGATTGAGTAGAGACTGTACTGGGCAAGGTTGTCCAAGCTTGATGATCAGGAGAAAGTCTTAACGGAAGATTCCCATCATGCTGGGCTTGAGTCTGAGGGAGCACGTCGTTCAGGATTGGGTTCGCTTGCGATGAAGTGTTGCAAGGTAAGTCGTCATGCTCATTTGGCGGTGAGTATTTGGACCTGATGGGCAGCAGGCGGCTGTCCAAGAGAGGAGATCGTGCGGCCCGAGACGATCCTTCAACGAGCCTCTTGTAATGCCGTTCCCTCTGAACATGACTATGTATTTGGACGCGCTCTCCCTTGTTGCTATGGGATAAGGAATTAGAGGTGGAGGTTTTATTGACAAAGAGATATTTGCTTGGACTCATTGGTCATGGCAGCCGACTTCAGGTGAACTTTGATGTGGTGGCAAGTAGCCTTCAACGCAGCATAGGACCTGGGCGAGCACGATTGAGAAGTGAATGAATTGATATAACCCGCGACTTTCGAAACCAAATTGACCCTTTTCCAGGCATTATTCGGGTTCGATAGCGAGGTAGGGACGAAATTGAATGTCATTCACCCAACGAGGTGAGCGGGAGGGGCAATCGGATGCGGTTTCATGCTCGAGAGGGTCTGTTATCCAACGGCCGTGAGCCTATTAGATGACTGCAAGGGGTCTCTGGTGGCCAGTCGTATTGAAGGGGAAACCGGCGTTCAGCCACGAGGTCGTAAACCCCGAATCTAGGAGTGGGTCACATCTCGATTGATCGATAGGTAGTTGTGTGTCAGTCAGAGTTGAGTCATGGTTGTTTGTCAGCAATAGATTCCACATAGTCCCTAACAGACGACTAGGAGGAACCAAGAGCAGTGTATCAAGCCAATCTGACTTTCTGTATCAATTTCTGTGACTGCGTGGGATGCGAGGCGGGACCATGTGCATAGGGAGCAGATAATTGGACCGCATGGTGCCTAACTTTTGACTTGGACAGATATTTGTGAATCAACTCTCAAATCGAGGATAATTGACAAGTTGCGAGCTTGAAGGTAATGCAAAGAGAATGCGTCAAGAGATGCGTCAAGAGAAGAAGTCAAGGCAGAGTGTGGCGTGGGTATTATTGGGGAGGAAGGACTGCGAGGATGCAGGGCCGAGGTGCGCCTTCCTTGCCAGAAATTTAGGGGTTGATTTTTAGGCATCTGGTTCCTTCGAGGAAGGAGCAGCAATCCCTCCATCAATTTGCTCAGAAGTAATCTTCTCAGCCCTTGAACGGCCTTGTGTGATTCAGACAATTGACTTCTTGAGATTCTCAAGAGGAGTCTGATTAGGACTCGGTAGTGGTCTTTGACTACGAGTAAGTAGCTCTTGGTGAAATAACGAAACTCTGTTCCCATCACTCCCAATTCAAGCTCTCACTACTCCCTCTGCAGCTGAAGCTTGAACGAAAGAAGCCTCGCTTCCTGTTATCAAGCCAAGCATTATGGTCTACGAATAGCACGTAGGATCGCTTCTGATGGATGCGATGGGTCAAAATACACACATTTGTAGGAGTACCACATCAGACCACTGCCTTGTGAGTCGTCGATGTCTGACTCCTGCAAGCAAAGTTTGGTGATTTACTCTCTGGTCTCAAAACAATCACCTTGAGAGTTAACTGATACGCTGGAATAAAGCAATGTTCGAGATTACTCGGCTCTATGATCGTATAGCTTTACACGTGACTCTCAGAATGTTCTTGTTGGACGACATATTCATTGCAGGCTTTGAAAGCCAAACTGTCTGCCACCAGCATTGGTTTCATACTTTTTATGGTCCATCCAAATTCGTCATGGCCAACATTGAAACCTGGGGACTACCTGTTTCATCTACAAGACATTGGTCCTTAAAATCGCTGAGGGATATAGAAAAAAAATGAGCATCAGCCTACTCGGCATCTGGGATTTTGAGGACATAACGACCAGCGATCTGTCCCTGGTGCATAAGTTCGTAAACCTTGGGGAGATCTTTCAGGTCGACAGTCTTGAAGGGAACCTTGATCAGACCTCTGGCGAAGAAGTCGAGGGCCTCCTCGCTGTCCTGTCGGTTGCCGACATATGAGGCCTGGATTCTGATCATCTTCAAGACTGACTCAAAGACTGGGGCGCGGATGTAGGCCTTTGCGGGGAGACCGATGACGATGACGGTTCCGCGGGGTCGGACGTATTCGGCAGCTTGCTGGAATGGCTTCTCGTTCACGGCGACGAGGATAACGGCGTGGGGGCCGAGGCCGTCTTTGGTGGCGGCCTTGACATCCTTGACAATGTCGCTCGACTTGGCAAAGTCGATGAAGGCCTGGATGCGAGGTCAGTGGGAGTTGCTAGGACATTGGGAATGCTCGGAGCACTGAGAAACTTACACTTGCGCCCAACTTCTTCGACAGTTGCTCCTTCTCGTCACCGCTATCAATTCCAATGACGTGGATGCCCATGGCACGGGCGTATTGGATTGCCAAACTGCCCAACCCGCCTCCAGCACCAACGATGGCGACTGTCTGGCCGGGCTTGGCCCCAGACTCCTTCAATCCCTTGTAGACGGTGATACCTGCGCAGAGAACGGGGGATACCTCATCGAGAGGAACGCCTTCTGGGATGTGTGCCACATGTCTGGCCGAGGCGATGGCGTATTGTTGGAAGGATCCGTCAACGGTGTAGCCGGAGAGTTTGGGGGTCAAGCAGAGGGGTTCGTCGGCTTGTTGACAGAATGTGCAGCTCAGGCAAGAGTCGTTCAACCACTTGACGCCCACGGCCTCGCCAATCTTGCAAATATCGTCGGTGACAAGCTCTCCTCGTGCAACGACAATACCAGCGCCCTCGTGGCCGCCGACCAGGGGTAGTTTGGTGGGGATGGGCCAGTCGCCGTTGACGGCGTGGAGATCAGTGTGGCAGACACCAGAGTACTTGATGTTGACCAGGACTTCTTCTGGGCCTGGCTTGGCGACGGGGATCTTCTTGTATTGAAGGGGGCCACCGACCTTGTCGATGACTTGAGCCCATTGCTCGGTGGGGATTTTAGGGCCAGACATTTTTCACGGCTGTAAAAGTAGAGTTTGGTAGAGGAAATTGAATCAAGTTAGCCGGTGATGATGTTTGCTTGTGAGGAATGATGGACGATGGACTATGTACGACAAGATATGTTGACTGGGGATGAAGAACGGTTTATGTAGCTGAGAAGAACTAGGCCAACCCCTCTCATGATCTTTGTGATCAATGCTCCAGACGCATCTCCATCAGGATGAGCGGAAACCCCTCAACTGAATCGCTCATGCGTTACTGCAGACTAGGTGCGGGCCCACGACAAGATCTTGTATCCTGTGGGCCGCGATACTCACGTAACCAATCAGCCGGATTATGCAACGATAGCATTGTCACGTCTCATGACGGCCATACGGAGACCTTGCTGGAAATGGACATGTGATTTTGGCGTAGTCTAACAGCTTACGGCAGTGTGGGTGAAAGCATGTGTGCCGGGGTAGCAGTGAGGACAAATGGCAAGTATGCTCGGGATCTCCTCGAGGCCGGTCTCCAGTGTGGGCAAGGTTGACGCCGCATTGGAGTGGGCTGGAGAAATGGATTCATGGAACAGAGGGATTCAAGGATGGGTGGCTTTGGTATGGATCTGGTATCGTTACGAGGTCTTGGAATGGGTCTGGAAGTGGGTGAGAAGGCAGTGGTCTATGGGTCAATGGCGCATGGAAGGAGGCTTGAGGCTCGAAGGACTGGATCGAGACAACAGAGAGCTCGATGTTTCGGAATAAAGGTTGGAGCTCGCCGAAAGCCAGAGACGATGGATTGGCATGAAGGGGGGCTGTGATTCGACAGCTAGTGGAATCAAGATTTCAGGACACCAAACTTCCACTGGGCCAGAAGGCGGAAAGGACCAAAGGGACCACAGACTCACCTAAAGAAAGCGTCGCTGGAAAGGATGTTTGGATGAACAACGCGGGGAAGCACCACGACGGGGGAAAATTCCAGGAATGAGAGATTGAGGTTTCGACAGGGATGGGCACAGATCCGTGCTGCCAACACCAGCACCAGCACCTTCCGCCGAACCCGGAGGCACAAGCGGCAGAAGTGGCTCTTTCCTTCAGGCTTCCAAGGTTCCAGGCTGTCACTAACAGGCAGTCGCTTCAGGGCTTACTGTTCCCCTCGCCCTGTCAAGACCCTTGAACCCCGCCTATGCCATCATTGCAAAAGTTTTTTTGTTTACAGATGGTGGCATGATGGTGGGGTTGAACACACTCGAGCAACATTTGTGCCGCATGTCCGATTGTGAGACACAGATAGACACAAATCAATGCGTACACTCTGGGTCAGTACTCAAGCCCATCAGGTGAGGAGCACGAGCTTCATGATAGTCATATACATAGAGATGTCGCCTACTGCCAGGGAGCCATTGTCCGCTATCCTTTTGGCATTTGGGGCAGCTGCGAAGCAGCTTCCAACCTGCTCGTAGATAGCTCAAGCCGCTTCTATGCAACGCGTCCTATCGGATCCAGGTTTCGAACCCAGCCTGGATCAGAGCCACGGCCGACTCCCTTATCTCGAACTCGCATGGTCGGAAGAGACAACATTTGCACGAGCAATCACGACTGGTGGTTGTGGTGATGATGATAGTGATGACGACAGTAAAAGCCAATTCTATCCAGGTGGAAGCAGGGTCGGCCAATTCCATGGTGAGGGAGAAGAATGAGAAAAGAACGCTGATGAGACCATGAGACGCGAGAGTGGCCTGACGCGGGCTGCACGAGGCAGGTGCTGCATCGTCATCAAATCTATGCAATTTGCGCGGCAAGAGGTGGTCGAAATACAGGGAAAGTGCAGCCTTCCCTAGAATTGCCAATATTGAGCCATCACATACCTCCTCACCTGTCATGCAAGTGCAGGTACAAAGAGCTGGTAAGCCGCGTCATGAGCAAGGCGTGGTCGATGCAGAACTTTTTGAGCCTGCAAAGTGAGGTCTCTGCTCTGTGCAGGTAAGGAAGGCATCGAAGATGGAGGGCCGAGGGGCCCCCCCTCGGCCAATGCTGATCATTACTGGGCCTGGCCGACTGATGCGAGGCGCCTGGCTTGGTAGCATCAGCCGACGGCTCGCCTTCCACAGTTCCAGAAGCGAACGCGCAACGTCTCCGCCGCACCTCTCCGCCGCAACCTAAGTAGGCCTGAATGGTCGATAAAACATTTACTGAAGGTTCAGCAGGAAAAGAGCATTGGGAATTAAATCTTTCATAAGGTCATGCATGTCCCAATACATATGAGACAGCCCAATTTTAAAAGTCTACGTCTTGCCTACGAAATTCGCATCCCTCGAAAAGCTGGAGGCCCAGTCAAAGCCTACCCTCCACAAACGCGCCCGAACTCATTTGCGAGTTCGACCAACAACATTTCTCCATGTTTTTCCACAAGTCTTGATTCCAGGTCTACAACTTTGGGGTGTTGGTCAGATTCTCGTACCCGTTCTCAGTGATATGAACATCGTCCTCAATGCGCACACCTCCCACTGTCCAGTACTGGTCGAGCACAGATTTATCGATGTATTTGCTCAACTCCGGGTCCTCGAGGACCGGATCGAGAATGAAATTGCAAAAGTATATCTGTAAACGACGTTAGCAGGTTCATGGGACTACGTTGTGAATTAGAGCGCAGCTCACCCCGGGCTCAACAGTAATGACAGCCCCAGCAGGAACCTGACCTCGCACCCTCAAGTACTTGAACATGGTGTCTGGATCCTCATAGTTTGCATGACCACCAGTGTCATGCGTATCCATCCCCAGGTAATGCCCCAGCCCGTGGGGAAAGAAGGCGACCGAAATCCGCTTGTCAAATATTTCTTGCTCATCGCCTACGAGGATGCCTGCCTCCTTGAGCCCTCGAATCGCCACCCAGTGAGCGTGTTCATGCACGTCCTCCCATCGAACATTAGCTTTGAGTAGTTTAAAACAAGCCGACTGCATCTTGTCGACCAAGTCATAGATGACTTTGGATTCCTTGCTGAAGGTGCCATTGACTGGAAATGTCCTGGTGATATCAGCACAATAGCATTCATACTGGGCTCCAGCGTCAAGTAAGATGTTGAGTCTCTCGCGCAGTGGCTGATCATTGCGAAGATAGTGTAGAGTAGCACAACTAGTGCCGCTAGCGCATATTGAGTGATACGCTTGTTCATGGGCACCGTTGGAGATGCAGGTCCCGATAAAGGCGCCGTAGATCTCTTGCTCGTTGCTAGCGTGGAGCGTGACCTTGGCTGCTTCAATGTGGGCGAGAGTCGAGATCTCGTTTGCTTTCCGGATCAATGCAATTTCGTAACTGTCTTTAATTACGCGGCACTCGTCAATGGCAGTCCTCAAGGAAGTGAATTCGGTTTCTGCGAAAGGGAGGAAGGTGATGTGTTCGGAGATCTGCTCTGGGATTGCATAGACGGTGGTGGTCTTGGACGGGCCGTAGCCTGCCAATGTAGCATTGACCTCGTTGGAATATAGCACATGGTCGACATCGTATTTCTGTAGAGCTTCCTCTTTTGACTCGGGCAGCCCAGCCCAGATGACACTCTCGGGATCGATGGGAGGGATGAAGAGAGTCAGGATATCCTTGGCAATATCGTAAGTGAGATACGCATCAGGCAGCTTGCAGCCTGACAGATAGAAGAAGTAGCGACGTTGTCGGAAAGGTTCGGCTTGGTCATCGTCCTCTACCATACGGGTTTTCTGAGCCTCGAGGTAAATAACGCCATCAGACGAGAACCCTCGATCGGTGAGGAACTTGGAAACTCGTCTAGCATGCGCTTTGGCTGGGTACTTTTGTTTTAAAGTGACGTCTGTGAGCGACATGGCGAGCGTTTAGCCAATATGGCCCACGGTGCTGGTGGTAATGTGTAACAACAATAGAAGGAGTCGCAGGGCGTGGGAGACATGACTCTTGTAGGAGACATGAGGAAGTAATCATGGTCACGTGAGTTGGGATCACCCCGCATCGTACCTGTCAATAGGATTAATCTCTATCCTTATCGCAGACCAAGGATCGTCATTGTTGCTCTGGGTCATCCTTCACGATCCTTTTGAACATCTCCTCCGAACCAATGTCAATCTCCAGTGTCGTACTGCCACAAAGTCACTGATGCAGTGCTACTCTGTGGCGACTCCCTACCTATGCTCTGTCAATGCGGCTTGTTTGCTAGACTGGTTGAACACCGGCGGTGGCTCCACAAGGTAGGATCTGGGGACAATGGGGTCAAATTATGATGCTGTGAGGACATCATGGGTAAGTCTATAGTGAACCAATTTCGAGGACAGAACGCTTGAAGCACCAGTCACCCAGGCAGTGAAACTGTTCGTGTCCCATGACAACAATGCTACTCACGTGCTTTGAGAAGCCCTCGGGCAACCGTCCGTTCACCAACCTTGCGTAAGTGAGAGGATCAAAGCCACAGTGCTTAAAGGCCCCGTGACCTCAAGCAGCTCGACTGTACGGACAAAGCGCTCTGGCCAGGCACTCCAGGTTGATCCAATTCGTGCAGGAAAGGGATGATTAACATCATCTCGCAGTTGATTGGACAACCTGTGCCTATGGGGGCCACGCTCCTCGAAGGAAACCTGGGGAAGTACGTCATTGGCTTCTCACCCTGTTTACAGTGGCCTGTGATCTCTGCGCGACCATTGACCCTTTGTCGAGGGGTCGCTCGCTTTATTTGGACCACAGTTCCTTTGACTTTGCTTCACATCATTCACCCATACCGGCAGCCAAACTGTTGCATTCATCTACCTCTTCGAGCGAAAGCCTGTACTCATCGATTAACACAGCATGGTTGATTCCAAAGATGTCTGCCCTGTCGTGGGCACCACGAATACTGTCCTTCCACCTCAACATCCTGACTTTGATGCCAACCAGCCAGGGTTGGTCTGTCCTGTTACCAAAGGTATGTCTGCCTTCCCTCGGAGTTCTACAGGTTCATCCTCTGACACACTGAATAGCCTCCACTGACCACCACCACAATCTCCATAAGCACCCAGGCGTCTTCGATAATTCCTCCGATCTCTCCAACGCGAGCCAATGTCCAGCCCTGACCAAGATCGTCAGCAGACCAGAGCAACAGGAAATGGACGAAGCAATCTGTCCTGTTGTTGGAACTGTTTCGAGCGTTCTTCCTCCAAACCACCCCTCTACCAGTCAAGCCAAGGATGGCGACGTCTGCCCGGTCACCAACGCCACCCTTACTCATCACAAGGGCAAAGTCCACACGCACCCTGATGTTTCTAGTGCTGGGAAGGGTGCTGTATGTCCAGTTGTTGGAGCCACCGCATAAGTTATCTCTCAAGTCAACAGGAACGGCAGGGTAAGGAGTTTGGGCATATTTGAGCATATCATTGCCCTTGTCATATGATTATACCATTCAATAAACAAAGTCTCTAAGGCTCGGTTCATCGATCTGCTTACTGTTCGATTCCACGCGCCGCTGATGCTTCATTTCCCCAGACCACGATCATCATGGCCTTGATCGTACCTGGTTCCTTTCCTTTTGCCAAGCGCTGCTATGGTTCTCTGCCTTCTTCTATTAGACGGCTTCATTATCTGAACAGTCATCTGGATAAACATTGGCGCAAAGACTCCGAGCGATGTTTTCAGCGTTGGTGGTGGTAAGCATCTTCATAAACACTGATATTTACCTACCGCAATGGCTTTAGTACACGGTGCCAATGACCGCCACCGTTATGATGTGTTATGGATTCTTGTGACTTTCGTTGATTTTCGGAATTCGTTTGCTTATTATGCTTATCTCTAAGGGCCCAGTAACAGTGCGGACAAATGGCATAAATAAAGCCATTTCTTTTATCTTACCCCGCAAGAGACCTCGCGTGTCATAAATCACGTTACTACATAGCTGGGTACTTAGAGCCGGGTTATTATCAACAGAAGCAATCATGCCAATTTCTTGAATGTGAACCATCCATCTGCGTCATGTCAGAAGACTCGACACCGATTCCAGTTGTTTCGTTTGAACAATTCCTCACAGGAGACCGCCAATGTCAAAAGCAGGTCGCAAAGCAGGTTTATAATGCATTTTCCACCGTTGGCTTCATATACCTGAAAGATCATGGCATTCCCCTTGACAGGGTCCAGCAAATCTTTGACCTGGTGAGTTGATCACTGAGTTTGCCCACTGGGTGATGGTACATTGCGTTGACCACAAGTTGGCCAGAGCAAAACGTTCTTTACGCTGCCCCTAGAAGAAAAGCTTCAGTACAGACTACGAGATGCATCAGTCAATCAAGGTTATACTGCCGATGGAGCAGAAGGCGTTAACGAGCACAAAGAGTGCTACGAGCATCGGCGGTTCAGAAATGACTGGTGTCCATCAGAGTCAGTTCTCCCAGGCTTCAAAGACACACTCGACGACTTTTACAAGCAATGTTTCACACTTGCCATGAACGTCTTGACCTGTCTCGCCATGGTTATGGAACTGGGGGACGACTTCTTCGTACCTATCACGAAGCACGCGGATCCTCAGCTTCGGCTGCTGCATTATCCTCCGATCGAGCGGAAGGTGGTCGAGACCACCGGCCACGCCCGTATCCATGCCCACACTGACTTTGGTCTTTGTACGCTGTTGTTCCAAGATGATGTTGGGGGGTTGGAGATCGATCCGTGGCATACTGGGGAATTTGTCGCCGCTCCTCCGATCCCCGGGACTGTGCTCGTCAATATCGCTGACCTGCTTCAGCGCTTCACTAATGATCGAGTCAAGTCGACGAGACATCGTGTCGTGAGCCCTTCAGTCGACAGAGACGTGGCTGGTCTGCTTCCAGCAAGATACAGTATTCCCTTCTTCGTCCATCCTGACCCAGAGACAACAATCGATCCTATCACACTGAGTGAGGGAGAGAAGAAGCTCTATCCTCCGGTGAATGCCGGCGAGTGGCGGACATGGCATACAGCGACTAATTACCATATGAAAGAGAATGAGGCTGGGACTGGCACTGGCACTGGCACTGGTAATGAAGTAAATGTTGCTGGCTGAAAATGCTGGATAAAGATTTCATTTTCACGTAGAGGCAAGGCTGCGCCCCTGAGACAACGACCTGTGGTCGACTCGTCGTTCAGCAAGTTCTCTTCGCCTGATTCCTTCACCTGTCATTTACGCTTTCGTAATCCTAAATACCTTCGATTTGATTAATTAGATTCATGCATTCTCTCGATTCAATAGCCGAGCCTATACTTTGTAGAAATACGATGCTGCTTGCGGGGAAAGTAGCCTAAATATTGTAACATTGCCCCCCGTACTCACCTCGGGGTCTATCAGTTGCCGAGGATACTCTCACGCCTGCATGCAGATCCCCGCACTCCCCAAGATGTAAGTAACGGCCGCCTAGGACACCCCTGGACATATCTGCTTCCCCATGTTCATAACGCTAAACAAGGGATACGTACCAGCGGAATTCGAACATCGCCAAATTAGTTAATGGATGGTGAAGAAAAAGAAGTCTTAATGATAGCGATATGAAACGGGCAACTCTGAGACTGGTTCGCTACCAGAAGTCTTACTTGGCCCATTCATCTCATATACGATGCACTCATAACATTTCCCTTCACCATATCCCTCCGAGGCTGTACGGTAACTCTCATATCCAAAGAAGTTATTCATCTACTGTTGGCTCTGAAAGAGCGAATCGAGGTCCTTTGAGTGGTGTTCGAATACTCGATCTATCGCGGGTACTTGCTGTATGTGCTGAAGCATGATGTCCCCCCACAAAGCAAAGGCGGTCAAAATATACCACAATGGCTAACGACAAAAATCTCAGGGACCGTTATGTACACAGATTTTAGGTGATTATGGGGCAGATATCATAAAAGTGGAAGACCTTGAAAGGGGTGTAAGTTCAGGGGAAGTGAGAATGCTGGACCATGTGTTGACACCTACAGGATGACACTAGATACTTCCGAGCTCAGGGCGAAGAATTCACATGGAAAGAAGAATATGGGCCCATGTCCAACTATTTCACGGCAGTGAATCGGAATAAGAGGTCGATATGTCTTGACTTCAAGCAACAGAAAGGTCGAGAGATTTGTTTGAGACTAGTGAAGCAGGTTGACATCGTGTGAGTTATCATTCGACAAGGTTGCTTGATGAGCCTCGTTTTGATGAATCGTCAGAATCGATAACTTCAGGCCTGGTGCACTGAGAAGATTGGGTCTTGACTATGAGGCGCTCAGTCAGGTCAATCCTAAGATTATCCAAGCTAGTGTCTCGGGTAAGTGACCTTTGATGCTTGCCATTTGGGATTAAATTCACTGACTCGGACAAGGTTATGGTCCAACTGGACCATATGCACAGAGAGCAGGTTACGACATGATTGCCGGGGCCGAAGCTGGTTTCCTTCACCTCACAGGAGAGAAAAATGGCCCGCCCATCCGAGCGGGTTTGGGAGTCACTGATATGGCCACCGGTTTGATGATGCACGGCGCCATAATTGCTGCTCTCTATTCACGAAAAGAGACAGGAAGAGGACAACAAATAGATGCCTCACTGTTTGAGACCCAGGTCGCGTTACTCACCAATGTCGCCATGACTTGGCTCAACATGGGGCAAGAGGCAGAGCGATGGGGTGCCCAACACCCAAGTGTCGTCCCATACGATGCATTCAAGACGAAGGATATGTATTTTGTCTGCGGAGCTGTCAACGACAAGCAATTCAAGATCCTGTGCGAGAAGTTAGGAGTGAACGAGCTGCTCGAGGATCCGAGATTCAAGACGAACAGCTTGCGAGTCGAATATCGCGAGGCTTTATTTCCTCCACTCCATGAAGCATTCGCGGCCAAAACCACAGCAGAATGGTCTGAGGCGTTCGAAGGCAGTGGGATGCCATATGCTCCCATCAACACGATGAAAGAGGTCTTCAACCACCCACAAACTGCAGCAAGAGGAATGGTGCAGGACATTGAAATCACTGCTGCGACGTCTGGCCGACGGAACATCTTAGGTATGTTGTGCTGAGTCGAGCCAGCAGGTATGACAATAGCGCATGCTCACACTCGTACAGGACCAGCGGTGACATTCAGTGATACAAAAGCCACGGTTCGACTTCAGCCTCCTGTCCTGGGAGAGCACACTGATTCAATATTGAAGGAAATTGGTCTCTCACCGGAGGAAATTGGGCAGCTTCGTGATGAGAAAGTCGTTGGAGGAGTAATAGTGGATTGAACATATTGATGAACTTTGTCGCCGAGTCCGAGGATATCCGTACAAACAAGACGAGGCGACGGATATAGACGCGATCATCATTTATGACAGGCTTCTACCTCGTACGAAGTACGTAAAGCGGATAGTCGCCGCCGGAGACATATTCTTGGAAGTACATCAGCCAAGCAACCAAAACCGGAGAAGGGAGGCGGATGGTGGATGGTGTTGGCAAATGTTGGAGGAAGGATTTGGTTGTAGGGGATGACTGCGTCACGCATTGGACGACTCGGGCACTTCTCTAGGCATCCAGGATAGCATAGAGAACTGATAGCATATCCAAAAACCAAGCCAATCCGCCCCAAACCCCCTGATTTTAAATAGTTGGAGTGCCTCGGATGAGTGTGGGGTGCCTGTGTCACCAAGCGGTGCGGGGATAGCTTTGCGCATGTAACCATAACTATTGATATAGAAGTCCAGAGGCCAACCAAGGGAGAGTAATAACACGACACGATAATCAGAATTTGAGGCCTACATTCCATTTCGTCTATATACACACACGCGAGGCTTGACTTCATTCCATCTCCAACCATGGAGTCATACTCCGTCGTCGAGCATGAAAAGCCTCTACAGCGGCTTACAGGACCAGTTCCAGAGCCAACAGGGACTGAAGTGTTGATCAGAGTGACACATTGTGGTGTATGTCACTCGGACCTACATTTCTGGGAGGGCTCTTATGATTTAGGGTATGGGAAACGATTAAAGATGAGCGACCGAGGCGTCAAGCTACCACGAGCCCCTGGGCATGAGGTTCTAGGGATCGTCGAAAAGGCTGGGCCGGATGCGAAAGACGTCGAGATTGGATCCAGGCGCATTGTCTACCCTTGGATAGGATGTGGTACCTGTCGACGCTGCTTACAGGGGGATGACAACCTTTGTCCGCAATCTCGACCCATCGGAGTCGCCACCAACGGCGGGTTTGCCAGTCATGTCATCGCACCCCATCCACGATTCCTCGTCGATCCTGGAAATATCGACCCTGCCGTGGCATGTACCTTTGCCTGCTCAGGAATCACAGTCTTGAGTGCTGTGCGCAAAGTTCTTCCACTTGAACCGGAAGATCCTATCTTGCTGATAGGTGCTGGAGGTCTGGGTCTTGCGGCCATATCAACTCTTCGAGCTCTCGGACATGAACGCATCATCAGCGTCGATATTGCTACCGACAAGCGGGAAGCTGCTCTAAAGGCAGGTGCTACTGCTGTGGTAGACAGCTCAACAGAAGATGCTGCCGCAAAGATCCAGGAGGCAGCGGGTGCGCCTATATTCGGCACGATCGATTTCGTCAGCAACACAAAGACCGCGGCACTTGCTTTCGCCGTGCTGGGTAAAGGGGGAAAGATGGTCCAAGTCGGTGTCATGGGCGGAGAGCTCAACCTTTCATTGGTAGGCATGATTTTCAAGGCGCCCACCGTCATGGGAAATTATGTGGGCAGTCCAGCACATCTACGTGAAGTAGTTCAATTGGCGCAAGCGGGCAAGCTCATGCCTATTCCAGTGACGACTATTGCTCCACATGAAGCTTTCAGTGGTTTGGAGCGAATTAACAGGGGTGAAGTTACTGGTCGATTGGTCTTAAAATGGGAGTGAGCAGCTCATAAAAATGGTATTATCACCAACTCCTTGGCTATGAACAAGTATTCATCACAATGAGAAAATCTCCAAATGTCCCAAAACAGTCTTCAAACCTATCATAAACCTTCCATCATTATCCATAAATCGTTGTCACCTACAGACTGTCCTTGTGGTGTCATTCAATCAGAACCTGCTTCTCCTTCTTCAAGTTGTGTATGACCTCTAGTGGCAGTTTGAGAATACTTGCAACAATCTCAGGTGGTGTAAGAGCAAGCCACTGAGTAAGCGGAACATCTGCAACCCGGTCACTTTTATATAACTCGATCCACACCAAGTCTTCTGTCTCGGACGTGTTTTCAATATACTGTCCTGCAACACCGTTAGGACAGGCATAGCCGTTCAAAAAACCAGGTACTTACCACTATTGTCAGGAAATACCCCCACGTCGCCAGCCACAAAGTCAAATGTTCGGGCGTTTGAATTTCCAATGTAAGCAGTCGCTCTGCCTTGACCTCGATGAAAGTAAAGCCATTGTTCGGCCTAGTCCCGGTTAGCTCGCCGTAAGTAAGTTGATAGATGTCCACCTACATTCGGATGCCAGTTCAGCTCCCGGAGTCCACCTGGCTTAAGAGCAACAAATGACGCTGCTATTGTCTTTGCTACAGGAAAGTTGCTCGAGTCGATCTTGTAAATGGTGCCTCCGTTACCGCCAATCGACTCCGGGTCGTGCTGCAGAGTTCGGTATACATAAGAAGCATTGCCTGTCAACCCTCCGACTGGTCCTTGAATCTTGGTAGTCGTTTCGGTTGTCGAGTTTAAGATGTAAGGATTCTTCTGTGGGAGATTATCGAGGACGGACTCGTTGACACCAAAGTTTTTGGCAATGACTGCCTTGGGCGTATGTGCTACCCAATCGGCGATATTGAACGTGACCCTAAACATCAGCAGGGTTCAGGTGACTTTGCTCTCTAACGGTGAGAATCCGGACGAACCCTCTCTTGTCAAAATCCCCGCTGTCAAAAGCGAGGAGACATTCATTTTCTTCCGCTAGACCTTGAATGCTATGCGGCGATCCTTTGGGAAAGTACCACACGTCGCCGAATCCTAGCTTTTCGATCTGATATTTTCCATTCTCATCCATGGCCGTAATGAGCACCTCACCTTCATAAACAATTCCCCATTCAGCCTGTTCCTCAACGGTTAGATGGCACAGTTGATAGAGATAGGGCAACACGAACAACTGTGTGCCAATGTAGTTCCCGAATGGCGCCCTTTTTTAGATGCTGTTGAGCACCAGCGATGTCATGACTCTGTGGAAGATCGTCAATCACTTGTTGTCGAACCCAGCCACCAGGGAAGATCTTTGTTTTCGACATGGAGAAGGACCATTTCAGGTTCGGGACAGATCCAGCATCTGTGCTTTCTTGCCCAAGTGCGCCGGGATTTTGTAAATCGAGTTCGTGGTTTGTTCCCCCTGTTGTTTCTCAGAAACTACCTCTTTCGTGGAGGATACTGTACCAACCCGAGATCATTGCTCCTTTGCCTGTTGCTGGATCATACGGCACGCCATCGTCAAATGACCTCTGGATGGCCATTCCGAGCGAAGTCGTCACCAGCACGGCCAGCCACACGCACGTTTTTAACATCATTGTGGGGACTTTGAAAGATTGATTCGACTGATTGAATGGCCAGGCGGATCAATGGAATACAGATCGTGGTCGTCTTCAGGGCTCTGAGCGTGCGATGGATGAAATGTCAATCGATGAAACGAGGATGGTTCTGTAGAACACCAGACCACTTCGGCTAATCACGGTGAATGATTCCAATTTCCCAACAAACAATAATGTGTGACAACGACTGCACTGCGCCTTCCTACCGGACAAGCGAGATATGCATTCATGTAGGCCCAGCAGGGTGACTGGCATAGATATTGTTCCTGTTGGGATTCAAATCGTCTTCGGACCATTGATATCTTTAAAACTATGCCCCGCCCAATCGCAGACCACGGCAAAAGGACTTACTTGTGTTGAGTAGTGGAGAGGATAGGACTTCTTCGAGTTACTCCAGAGTTTGATTTCGGATTTCCACTACTTAGAGTTATCACACTTGCGCAATCACGATAACTTTGAGTAAGTGATAAATGCGTCCAGTTCGCCATGTGGATCGTCCCCCCAACTACTGAATCGATCGAGAGGGAAATGTATATTTAGGAACCATCTCGTACTATAATGGTGACATCTGCCTCAGCTTGAAGCGCAGTCATGACTGGAAGCATTATGATTTGTTACAACTGGGTCAGATCACCGGTCCGCACGTTAGTTGAGGCTGATCCCGAGTCTAAGTACTCCGTAGGTGATCACCACAATCCGTCTTTACCCCACCCGTAGCCCACGCGGCCTAATCTAATGGCAATCCGCTAACTTTCACCTCAATAAAGAGAAAACTTGCCGGAAACACTGATTGACAAGCATCGACCAAATCTTGTGCGAGGTCAGCGTTTGTAGCTAGCTGCCTTGATACATTTCCTTGAGAAGGTGGCCAACTTCGGAAGCAAGAGGAACCTTGCCTCTTCGAAGCTGAACTTATTGGTAGAGCATCGCTACGGATTTCAGCTCTGTGAACACCTTTGAAGGAAGGCATCGCGCCACTGCTGCGTTGAAACAATGTCTCCTAGGACATGGACGGGTGGTTGCCTGCGGAAGGCGATCAAACTTCTTCTCAAAAAGGAAAAAAGTATACATCAGGTCCGGGAGCATAAAGTCTCCTTCAAGGCTTCTTGCCCAACGTGACCTCATTCCCATGGATGTGTTTCGGGAATCACAACATGAGAACCAACGACTTCTGATACGTCCAGTCGCGGAAAGTGAATGATTCTACTTAATCCGTGGCATCCCGTAGCTAAAACCTACCTTTCTCTCGTTGAGCTCAAGTTAATTCTTCCTGTTCACGATAAAGGTCTAAACTCCACCCAAGAATGCACGTGTCGAAATTATCGGAAAGTACATATGAGCCATGTCCTTGCAAACGAAATGAGTCTCTACTCTTGAGATCCAAATGTCATTGACATCACCAGCAATCGAAACCCCAGGACATTAGCTGCGGCAAATCCCCCTTACGAAACACCACTATCATGGCTTCTTGTACCAACCTAGCATTGATCGCATCTTTAGCCTATCAGGTGGCCTCACTATCTCTTCCACCACTCAATCCTTCTATTCCAGACGTTGCAGTACCGGTGGACTACAAAGTAGGGGAGCTCTTAGTACGACATGAGCCACCACCTCTACTCGACAGTCCCCCTTTCCAGTGTGACAAGTCAGTAAAGCCAGGGAAAATCGGCTATTTCTGGACCGGTTCCGGAGACAAATCATACAAGGATTTTCTGGCCACGTACAGTCTCGACGAAGATACCTTTGGCGAGTTGCTCTGGGTGACAGATGTACCGACTGGTGGAAATGAACCTCATCACCTTGGTATTTCTTCGGATGGCAAGACCTTAGTCGGAGGTGGTCTCTTGTCTTTACTGAGTGCACAGGATATGGCGTTCTATTTCGATGTCACTGACCCATATCAACCAAAGTTTAAGAAGAGCAATCAGCCGTCATTGTCTGCCGTCACTGATGAGTTCTGGGCGAAACCAGACGGGTGAGTCTTTCAATTAATCCACTCACTCAATGCATTTGTTAACAACACCAAGGGGCTTCTTCATCACCCAGATGGGTTCTGCTCAAGGCACATCCCCCGGTCGTCTCGTGGAGACAGATGCCGAATTCAATATCATCCATGAGTGGCCTGAAGATGCGGACGGTACCGCTAATATACTCGGGGAGCAATTCTCTCCGCATGGAATTTGTGTTGATCTTGAGAAGAACATCATTTTGACTTCCGACTTTGTTGTCCCTGCATCCATTTTGAAGCCAACTTCTGGTGTTGAGTTCGCTGATACCCTGCGACTTTGGGAATTGTCTTCGAGAAGGATAATCAGCACCATCACAATCCCTGACGTAAGTCGAAGACGTTTCCACGTTAGAACACTTGAGGCTGATGAAAGATTAGGGTGGCGGTATACAAGACGTGAAATTCATTCCTGGAAACCCTGAAAGTGCTGCTATTGCTACAGCCATTCATCTTGGGCAGGTGTGGATTATCTACCCATTTCGAAAGGATGCAAATGGCAACCAGGGTGTTGCAGAGCTCCTATTCGATCTTGGTCCCAAAGCCCGTGATGTTGTTGCCATGTAGTACGTTGCACGGACACACTAAAATTCTCTTCTCGCGAGCTAACAAAACTCGCTCCAGCACGAGCTTGACTGAGGATGGCCGATTTCTCTACCTTACACTAACCACCACTAATCATGTTGCGGCTTTGGACATCACCGACCTGAACAACGTAAAGAGACTCGACGACCCTGATGAGGAGCAGCCTACCGTCAGTCCACACTACGTCAAGATTACACCGGACCAGAAACATCTCTTGGTCATTGATTACTTTGTTCAGACCGGGGATATAGGTGTTGTCAACATCCCGGCCGATTACAAGGTTCTTTATTTGGACATCAACGATGATGGCAGCCTGTCTTTCAACCGCACCATCGATTTCGCAAGCGACTTTGCCAGCCGTGGTGGAGCTAAACCTCACTCTGCTGTCATCTTCGATTTGACTGATCCAGAAAATCCACTCTACTACTAGGTAGTCTTGGATGTATTGTGTGAGTCACTTGATGATTTTTCAGATTGTGCGATAATGTCAAGTTAGGATGTTGGACGGCAGAGGATGATACGAAGCGCGCACTATAGAAAACGAGCGACAGGTGTGATTTGAAACGCCGTTGGAGGTCGACATAAGCATCCATCACGCTCGCTTATTCCCCCCAGATTCGCTTATGTTACCTCCAACACGGGGAAATTGCCGCTATGTCGTATACGAGAATCAACAAGGATCTTCGAGACAATGACATCACGCCTTTCCAAGTCAACTCAGCAAGATATTACCAAGAGTTGAGGGGGAATGTAAAAGTTGGTGCGACACGTCAAGAAACTTGGTGAAAAGTTTTAAGTGGGCTTTACGACAATGATAACAATCTTAATGAAACATTTGAAGATTCCAAACTTTCTATTCCTGTCTCGGGTTGGCGGCTAGGCCCCTAGCTACATACCTACTTAGCATCACTATTATTAGTTCAGAAAGACATCCAAAACCCAGTCAAGTCAATACTCTTATTCCCTTCAAAAAATGGGCATCCCATACTCGAGAGAAATCAACCAAGCCTTCGAACAAGTCACACCACTTGTGGCCGCGGGATTCGAGGTCCTACAAACAACCAAAAACATCGCCATTCTTCTTGCATGCATACAAGTCCTGACTGTCATTTTACTCGGTCTTATCTTGTTAGCTCTACTGGCGCTCATCTGTGCCGTGAACCCGGACTTGGACCAAGAACGCGAAGAACTGGTCACGCCGGCGGTGAAATGGTTGGCCAGTTGGCTTCTTGCCTATGGCACGGCGGCGAAATGGTTGTTGAGGGTTTTCTTCCTGGCTTTGATTCTCGCGTGTACTTTGTTCGCGTGGCAGAGTTTCATGGCTGGTGCGTCGGCGCCGGCTGATGCGGAAGGGGAAGAAGGAGAAGAAGAAGAGGGTAGGAAAGAGGAGGCGGGGGAGAAGGTGAAGGAGGAGGTCAAAAAGGATGAGAACAAGAATAACAAAAACAATAAGAAGAAAAAGGATAAAAAGAAAAAGTAGTTGTTGGGTTTTGTGTCATTAAATATTTACGATCTTCTCGACGAGGGTGGCACTTTGCTCTGGATGTCTCTAGATATGGTCGTCGACGAGGTCATGTTCAGAGGTGCCAGGATGTATGAATGGATGTACATCTCTTGTTTCATTATTCCTTCTCTTCGTATGAGACCTCCTTCAGAACGCCATCCTTATATGCATGATCCCTGATTGTTCTGGCTGCCAGCGCGCTGTCCCTGATTTCAGGTTTCGCAAAGATCAAATCAATTTCTTCGAGCGTCTTGCCGGTTGTCTCAGGGCATAGGAAGTAGACGAAAGGCACGGCGGCCGCACAAGACAATAACATCCAAAGCCAGATCTTCCAACCCACCTCTTGCAAGGCGATTCCTCCTGCGAAGACTGTGATGAAACTGAACAGCCATTCACCAAAGGCTCCAGCAGCACCTCCGAGATGCCGAAGTTTGAGTGGAGCAATCTGTGAATACCAGACAAGTCAGTCACTTCAGTAACGTCAAGAAACAAACAGTCACGTAGCGAGTTGAACAAGACACCAAAAATTTGACGACATCAAAACCGTACGTACCTCAGGTCCGTACAACCACGGAATTCCGATAAACGCGAAGCCGAATATAAAATTCCAACAGGCTATACAGGCCACAGCAGTGTACTGAGTGGCCGTAGAGGGAGAAGGAAGGCCAATCATGGCGACGAAAACCGTCATGAAAGCGGTCAATGCCACAGCTGACCATATCATGATACGACGACGGCCAAGGCGTTCAATCACGAAGGGAAGCGGGACTGTACCAAGCGCAAACCCGGTGTTCATGACAGCGGCAAGGAGTTGAGAGAGGAACGGGGAGAGGCCAAGTTGAGCAAATATGACCGTAGAGTAGTAGACCGAGAGGTTAATACCTAGAACGCGTGTTAGATCATGAAGTAAATGACTGTTTGCAATTGTGACTTCATACCCATCATTTGCTGCAAGGACAGGATCATGAAAGAAATCCTTATGCGTCTCCCAGCTTTCAGGTCGCTGCGGTCCCAGAACAAATCAATGACGTTGAATTTATGCTCGTCTTCATCCTCAAGCTTGATGGATGCCAGGATCTCGTTGCGCATGGCCTGGACTGCTGGATCTTCCACCGGTCTGTCATGGAGGCGTGCCACAACATCATCTCCTTCCTCGTTTCGACCTCGAGCATAGTACCATCTTGGCGTATCGGGCATGAAAAACATGCCGATGATTGAGATGACGGCGAAAAAAGCCTGGAAGCCGATTGGAAAGCGCCATGAGACCTGGTTCGTCATTCGAGTGAAGCCAAAGTCAACCCAGTATGCCAAGGCAACACCAGAAATCAACCATATGCACTGCACAGCGACTTCTGGCCCACGCTCTTTTTCGTTAATGCTCATCTCTGCCATGTATGTGGGTACACTACAAGAGATAAAGCCGATGCCAAATCCACAAAGGATTCGACTGGCAATCATCTGTGCAATTGACCATGATGAGGCTTGAATTGCTGCGCCGATAATGACAAGCCCGTTCCCCATGAGGATACAGCCTCTACGGCCCAAGGGCATGCCGAGGACACTCACAGCTAGCGAGCAGACAGCCGCGGCGAGTGTGTACGAGGAGGCGATCATGGGAATAACGTAGGTGCCTGTTGGGTGTCCTATAGCGTCAAGAAATGGTTTGGTCGTTTGGATTCCCCCAAGCACACCGGCGTCATAGCCATACATGCAAAAGGACTAGACGAGCAGATCAGTCACCGACATGAATGGACACCACGTAGTGCTTTCTTACCAGGGCACAACATATGCTCATGATGCGGTAGAGCATTCTACCTTTCACTGTTCTGAGACCCAGCATGATGCAAGTCGTGGGGATGGTTACACAAACTGAATATCTTGATACGTCGACAATAGACTGAGGCCGGGGTCAAGACGGTGCAGGAGGCCGTGTTTATAATGAAAAAGTCTCTTTCGAGCTATATGTCCATCATTTCCGGAAAACCCCTCCAGGATAAGGGGAAAGGATCGAAACGTTACCTCGGGCGCTGTATAGTAGGCTATCAGGAAAGCGGCAAGGTAAGCTGAGCCAAATAGATCTGCGATCTTGTTTACCTTGATTGGGCGGGTCTCTGTCTCCAACAATTCCACCCCACATATCTGGGGATTGAGGCGGGGAGCGGGATTTGAATCCCATGGAAAATGACGAGGTTCGACCTGAGGCCCTATAGTAGCTACAGCGGCCCTATGCCAGGCCATGATACCGTGAATATTATAATCGGTAAAAGCCCAACTAGCAGCTTACTGCATGGTTTCGGGGCAGGATGATGATGTTTGCGACAAATTGAGAGAACTTTGCGAACTCAGAAGGGCGCAATGGGACACGGAACTGGAATTCCGCGGAAGCCTTGAAGGCTCGGCTCGTTTCATGTAGACCTTCCTCCAAGGCGGGGGAAACTCAATGTAAGATCAACATCAATCGCTGACATCCATGAGCTTCATCCGAAGCATATATACGCAGGCATCCAGTATCACGTGGCTGGCGGTCTCCATATTCAAAATGGCCGTGATGAAAGCGCCAAACTGGCGACTGATCAGTAGTGGAATGCCCATAGGGTCTCTCGCCTCTGGCAGGATTAGCTTGGGCAGACTCTCTCGCACGTTCACCGCCTCTTCTGGTTGCCAATCCAATGCATCTCGTTCCAAGCAGGCAATGCCAACAGCACCACTTGCCGTGGATGGTCAAAGATCAACGCCATTGTCAGATGCCTTCTCCTTGAAGGGAAAGGTCACTGTGGTAACTGGTACGTTCCTCGCGTCATGCAAATTTTCTCGCTAACATTGCTCTGAGGGGGTGGTCAAGGTATCGGGCTTTCTCTTGCACGAGGCGCGGCCGAGTTAGGCAGCGATGTAGCCGTTCTAGATCTTTCAGAGAATCCAAAAGATGAATACGCTGAGTTGGAGAAGACTGAAGGGGTGAGAGTGAGATACTATCGGTAGGCGTTTGAAGTTATCCATCTGCTTTGCGGGTTTTAATGACGAGACGTTGTAGGACCGATGTTACGGATTTGTCGAATTTGACAGATGCTTTCGACCGAGTCAGCAAGGACTTTGGTCAGATCAATAATTGGTTTGTTCACTGACTAGTGTGAAGAGCTATGCTGAATGGAGCAGCATTACATCTGCAGGAATCGTCGCTGACAAGTCATTCTTCGAGACGACCTGGGAGGAGGCCTCGAAGATCTTGAATGTGAATGTAAGAACTGGGATTTATGTCCCAAAAGTTCATCAAACACGCATGCTGACTGTCGATAGCTGCTGGGCACATACTTCACAGCGCAGTTGGCTGCAAAGAGGATGAAAGCGCAGAGTTCTGGAGGCAGTATTGTGTTGATCGCTTCGATTTCTGCTCATGCAGCTCTGCCATCTCAGAACCTATCTATCTACGGTTCCTCCAAAGGCGCTGTCAAGACATTAGCGCGGCATCTTGCCGTCGAACTCGGTCCAATAGGAATTCGGGTAAATTCTGTGTCACCTGGAGCGATTGAAACAGAGTTGACGAGAAACCTTGCCGTGACGAACCCTGAATTGATGTCGCGTTTTCGAGCCTCCACCCCATTGGGGCGTGTTGGCCAGAGAGAGGATTTGAAAGGAATTGTAGGATACCTCATGAGCGATGCTGCTGCATACACGACGGGTACGGATATTTTGGTGACCGGGGGTATGCACGCAGGCCATCTCTGACGCGCCGTGTCGTTGATCCCACGCCGAAATTAGAAATTAGACTGGTCCGTACTGTTGTCCGTAGGGTTGTTCGGTGGAAAATTAGGCATGTCTAGATTGTTGAACCCAGCCCAAAAGAGGTTGTCAAGGGCAAAATCGTCAAGATTTGAATCGAAGAAGTTGAAAGCTTGTCCAGTCTCGGACATTCCTGGGTCGAAAGTGGACAAGCTGGTGTCGGTAGAGGCAGATCCACCTCTCACGAATTCCTCCTCAGAATGGCTTGGCTTGCGCTTCTTGGTCGCTGATGAAGAGGAATAAGTGCGTCGGTCATTCCAAGTCTTCTTTCGCTTGGTCCTTGCGCCAGAGGATCTGCGCAGCAAGTCGGCTTTCAAACCCATAATGACTTCCAGGGCTCGTGTAGAACTTTTGTAAGCCACTCCAACCTCTGCAAGAGCTTGGCAGCAAGACTCCAGATTTTTCCAAGCAGTGTTACTTCGAGTAACATCCTGTGCACCGCATGCCATGAAGACATGAACAAGCGCTGCTGTGAAGATGAGGTGTACCGCTTGTACATTGATCCTGCGAAGGCCATACAGGCGTCGATAAATCTGGATGAGCCGGGCAACCGAATTTGCAGACGAGGTACACGAGTTTCGGTGCACTGCAATTTCTTGCGGAAGTAGACCGACAAGCTTCTTGGATGAGGCGAAGAATGGTCGGGATGTGACAATGACGACGCAGTGATACTGCATATGTAGTTGAAGCACGTGAGGGAGATAGACTGTGTTGCTGTCGTCCTCGTTCACACGAAGACAGAGGGGTAGATCGGATTGCCATTGATTTAAAGTTCGCCGCATCGTGTTGGCAAAGTCAAAGAGTTGTCGCGTTGATTTTGGATTCATCAAGCCATCGGGGTATCTGGAAGTCGTTAGGCCCAGTTGACACACGTTTGGATCGCTTACAATATCTCCCGGATGACGGTCATATTGGCACATAGTTTCACGTTCCAGATGGTGAGCTCTTCGATCGGATTGACCATTCTGGGGACATCCAAGCCCTGACTATCATCGATATAAGGCGACCACCATTTCTGAACGTCTGTCGAGTTTGATTGCAATGAGGAAAAGGTGACGGTGATGTTTTTATCATCAATTCCGACTGGTCTGCCGACATATAAGCTCCACATGCTAGTGGAGTGGTAAGATTCGAGATCGTACAAACGCGGTGGATAATTTGCACTCACCGATCGTGAATAAACACGCCTCCCCATACCATTTTGCGAAGCATGGCTTCTTCTTCGTCTAACAATCCTATCTGGACATAAGGCTGAGGATCGAGGTGTAGCCCAAGGTCGACAGCTAGACGGACAGCCATTCCTAGATCTTTTATCAGAATTGGAACCATTAAGCTGGATACAAGAGCGCGAAGTACCGCTGTTAAGCCACCCTCGAGCGTCCCTAGTCAAAAGTGCTTCAATGGCACTTAGAATGACAAGAGATTGCACGGTAGAAACAGTGGGGGCATCCATTTCAAGCTCGAGGAGAAGTTTTGATCTTGTGGCGAAGAAGTCTGGAAGATTTTCTGGAAGATCGAGGATTTGCCTCGAGGTTAATGTTGCACCAATGGAGCACCTGTGCAGCGTATTGCGATAGCGATCAGTCTCGATTGTTTGGGCCGAAAGATCAGTCGTAAACGGCAACTTACATGGCATTTGTCAAGACTTCCGAGTACATGGAGCTGATGGTGTTGGTGGCTTTGCAGTTCCTCCTTTCGCGCCAGAAAATGTCCTCGTCAATAACGTGGATACTCGGATCCTCCCAGCAGAGATAAAGCTGCAAGAGATGGTCCTCGAGCTCTTCGCTGACAAGATGGCCAACTCCACCGCTCTGTAGCAAGGCGGCCCCGTCTTCGCAGGTTGAGCGAAAGTTGGACCGGCTCAAGGACATGGGACCATTATGAAGAATATGAAGGTTTGAAGTTGCGCCGTAGAAGCGAAGTTGCCCGTCCTCAGCTATCTGCAAGGAGCCAATGCGCCCAGATAGCTGGTCCATGAGAGCTTCAGATTCCTGGTTGCCTCCGCTAGGATCGTTCACGTCTTGGTCTGGTGATGATTCGTAAGAGGGATGTACATCATCGTAAGAGGGAGCATCCCCAGAAGTATCCAAGGCTAGCAGCATATTAGCGAGCGAATTTCATAGTCGGACTGTACCTACGCTGTTGCCACACACCATCGCTAGGGGCTCGCTCGAGCTTGGGTTCAACGGGGTCGGTCACGTGGGAGGTGACTTGGAAGTTACTGACTGAAGCATCCAGGTTTGGGCGACCCTGGACGTGAGCTGACGGTGGGGAGGGTAAGGCGATTCCATTAAGCGTAAGGAGGGATTCAAGCTCCTGGCAGTAGGCAGTCAGGGCCTGGAGTCGTTCTTTTGGGGCGATTTTGCGCTTGTCAAGTCCATGCTGGTAAACACAGGTCTGATCATACAGAACGCAGTTGGAACATCGGGGCACGACACCATCGCACTTGATCTTGCGTTTTCGGCAATTTTGACACGCAGTAGTGACATGTTTTCCCTTGGGTTTTTGCTGCAAGTCGTCCGGAGGGCTCGGGTTGGATGCCATCGTACATGATGATCGTGCTTCACAAAGATGGTGCTACATGACCGTGGCGAGCCCGTGGCCCAGACCGAGCAATGAAAGCAGGGGGATATTTGACTCTGATGATGACTGGGGTCAACTCATTGGACATCTTCTCAAGACAACGTCAATCGGTTGATAGCGGGGCATGAGGCGGTTGAGATGCGCCAAGGCTTCTTGTGCCTGCCTGCCCGCATTCAGTGATCGCTCTTTCCTCGGGTACCTGGGTAAGAGCGGGTCTGGGGAAAGAGCGACTGCGAGCGACCGTGCTTGCCAAGTACCAGGTCGTGCCTGCCTGCCAAGCCCTGCGTACTTCCCTCACCAGACTTGCGCGTTTTGAGGAAACAACCGCGGACACAGGATTGGGCTGGAGTAGCCAAATGACTCATGAGATCTACATCAAAATCCTACAAGCCAGGTACCCTTGACCTTGGATCTGTCCAGGCCGTTCTTTATAAGTGATCTCCTCGTAGACTCGTCCAGTCAAAAGTGCCAATTTACCCGGGTTCCATCGTCTCAATCATGTCGCTGGAGCTCTCCTGTTTGCCAGCAAGAAGAGGTCAATGCAGACTTTGTGTGCAGCCCCGAGGTCGGCATCTTTACTAATGCTGCACAGCTGACCCAAAGTAAATAAGACAGACTCTGCCATTTTAAGGTCGGGGGCAGCGACTTCGGTTAGAGGTTCATCGATGGTGTTGGCTATGATTACAGCAAGTGAACTGGTAATACAATCAAGTGTGATCCTGGGCAAAGATGTGAGTTGAGTCCGTCCCAATTCTGGGCTTGCTTCGATGAACAAACACTTACCAATTAAGGGCAATGTCGTCTCCTGGGATCAGGCTCACCAACCCAAGGAAATGCCGTGCATCACTCACCACTTGAGGTGATCTGGTCTTCAAGATGCGTTGCAAGATACCGTCGGCCGAGAAGAGCCTGGGACTCCCTTGGTAGCGTCTGTCTTTCCGAGCGAGTAGGGAGAATAGAGAAACAAGGTATCTCGCCTCGAGGACAATTACATGCACCAAATCTGACCGGTGGAGCAGTTGGTAGAGTTTCAGCGGCGTCAATGCAAATATCCATCGGCGCCTCCAGTGATCGAGCTTGAGATCAGTCACTTGCAAAGACGCCATGTACTCATGATCGGTGAGAGACAACAAGTTCGAAGCCTGCGTGGGTCGCGCAAGCTCAGTTTCAATTAATGAAATCTCCGCCAGAAGTCGGAAAGCGTTGATCCTGAACTCGCCGCTAGTCGCACGCACTTCGCCGACGCCCTCTGAAAAATCATCCAAGGGGAGGTCGGCCTCAAGAAGGGTGGAATTCAACGTTGGTATGCGGCCAGCCTTCAAGCTCAAGTCCGCGTCTTGTGAATATGCAATCCATAGAAGTCTTTGTCGCTGGATTCGCTCCGGCAAAGTCTGACTTTGGATATCCTTCATCAGGTCTTGAGCGATGCGCACAGCAGTGGATGCGAACATGGCCGCAGGATGTGAATCAAATGAAGTCAAAAAGACAAAGACCAAGCCAAGATAGCATTGGCAGAGTAAGAGAGATGGCTTTTCCTTGACAATAGCTGGCATTTGGGCCAGCGTGTCGTTCAGGTAGATCTGAGTGATCTCGTGGTCCTGTGGAACGCCCAAGGGGCTCATGGCACGCAGCCTATGGGCAATGGCGAGCACGAGCTTCATCGCAACCCATGACAAGACCTTTCCATCCGCTCTCCCGTTATAGCAATCTTGAAACAGCTCAAAGATTGTCTTGGCATTGAACAACGGGAGCGCCATGTTGAAATCCACCAGATATTCCTGCAGGAGAAAGTATGCGGCCTCTGGTGAAGGCATAGTGCATATGCGGTCTTTGGAGACTTTGGCTCTGGGTCGCAGGTCCAGATCTGTTGGTACAGGCCCGTGCCGAACAGAGGTAGCCGCATACTCTGTCACCGGTTCATCCCAGCTAGTGCTCTCTGAGCTCTCAATCTCGTGAGAGTAATGCGAGATGTCGTTCGAGGTGTGAATTGCGGATATATCGGCGGGCACTGGAAGGTCTGTCTGTTGCTGACTGCGAGCGACAGAAGTTTGCTGCAAAGACCTAAGTGCTGACTCTATCGAGGTCGAATTGACATCTGTGGAGCCAAATACCGGCTGCGAAGATGGATTCAATGAGTTCTTCGTCTCGCGAAGAGGGGCATCTGCTCCTGGAGCCATTGCCGTTCGAATCAATTCTTCGAGACTGTGGATGCGGTCTTCAAGAGTCTGCATCATTTTCCTTTATTCTTGTCAGTCCATCCCGCAAACAGGAGTTTTTGCCCATCTTTGCAAAACGTTAAGAAGGACTGACTTCTTCCTCCGCTGTCGCGGTTTAATGACATGTGTGATTTCACAATGAGAGTTGGTCTTGGTACAATAAGAGCACCTCAAGACACCAGTGCTCAGATCACATCTTCTCTTCTTCACTCGACAAACATCGCAAGCGTGAGCATTATTACTCTTGGCCTTTGACGAGTCGCCGGCTTCAGCCTTTAATGCTTCTGTTGGACTCATCGGAGTGTATTGTCGAGTAATATGGTGATGATGCTTTTCAAGCCAGGTAATTAATTGCAATATTAACGTCGAAATAGACAAGTCATGATTCTGTAGCACAATGATTTTTTCTTAGACAGGTTCTCATTTTTCATGTCAGGCTGAGGCTTTATGATCCTCGTATAGTACATATGTATTGTAATTGGATGACAAAGCCATGGCGGGAGCCTCACGCAACTGACGGAAGATAATTGACTTCCGAAGCTCCGCAGCCTGCGATTAGTGATAAGAACTGGTAAAGTAGAAAACAAGGGTCCCTAAAGATGTTTGCCACGGCCCGAATGTTGTTCGATTTAGGGTTGCTTTTGCAATGTCCTTTCGGGCAAGGAACATATGACGTTCTCTAGAAGATTGATTATCCACGACTTTTGGTGGAGTGGCCATCTCATTTCAAGATCATCCACGTTATGTCTCCTTAGTTAGTAAACACAACTACTAACCGTATTGTATTCTAAATCCTAGCGGTTAATCCTCCACTCCATTATATCACCATAAGTATCGTCCTTGTCCAAAGGCACCACCCACGTGTGCAATATCGTAGGCCGCTCTTTCATCTCAGCCCCAGCACTTATACCATCCCTCAGCCGCTCCCAAAGCTCCTCGTGCCCAAGAAACCGGGCAACATGTTCCACGGTGAAGTTGTCAGCGACTGCAGCGACGGGGGCTCCCCGATCCAGGAGCATCTGCGCAAGGCCCAGCGCGGTGCTGCTAATCTCCATAGGTGCGACCTGGAGCAGCATGTTGAGCGGTTTTGAGAATCTCGCACCCTCAGCGTTCAAATCGGCTCCACGGTCAACGAGCAGCTGTACGATTTTGACGAGGTCCCCGATCGAGAGCCTTCTGTCGCCCGCAGTGGACCTATTCCACGGATACCGATCCCGCGTGAGGAACGACAATTCAGACTTCCCCACCGTGGTGTTATACGTGACCGCATTCGGAAGCTGGGACTTTTCCCGCGCCTCCTTGCCCAGTTCCGCCTGATGGATACGCCGGATTCGGGCGATGGCCCGGTGGAGCGGAGTGCCGTAGTATGCGTGTTCGAAGTTGACATCGGCGCCATGATCGAGCAGTGATTTCGCCAGATTTAGGTTGGCGTTGCTCACAGCGCTATGCAGCATAGTTTCGCCTTTCTTGTATTCAAAGTCGATCAGGTCAGCTTGCCGGAGACAGCCTAGTACAAGCTGAGTCCCTGCTCCTGGCTGTGAAAGGTCGAAATCCGGGGATACCTGCAGCCAGTGGCCTTGTCGGGCATGGTTCTTTGCGAATTCCAGGAGACGGAGAAGCTTCTCTGACGAGCCTTGTACTAAGGCCAAAGAGAAGGCGTCATAACCGCAGTGGCTTGTGGCGTAGGGATCTGCACCTCCTTCGAGAAGTTGAAGGAGGATTTCCACAGACACATTGCGGAGAATGCTCGCTTCAATGGCAGACTCATTGTATCCCTCAAACTTCGGATCCGCTCCCGCTCCAAGCAGACAGTGGATCGTCATTCGGTAGTCAGACCCAGAGTGCTGCGTGTTGGGCTCCTCGTCATGCGAGAATTCCACCCCATCGCATTGTGCCATGACGGGAGCGTTCCCAACGACCTCTTCCAGTATCCCTCTGTTGACATAGGTCGGATCCATCATTGTCTTGGAATCTGACCCGTGCTCCAGCAGCAGCTTCACCATGGCCGCCTGGCCATTTCTCGCGCTACTGTACAGTAAATGTTGCAACGAGTCGGTCGTGTAGAACCGTGCCCCGAGGTTCATGAGCCGGCCCGCGAGATTCCATTCTCTAGAAGCGATGGCCAAAGCCAAGGGCGTGTATTCGTCGCCGGGTATCTGTCTATACTCGCCAGTTTGCGTGTCGAAGCCCCAGTCGGACAGGGAGCCAATGGCGTCGAGATGAGCGGCGTCAACAAGTGAGAGCAACCTGTCCATGACTTCCTCGTTCGCGCTCTGTGGGATCGTAATGTCCCCTCTTTCGAAATAGGCGTGGATGTACCAATGGTCGCTCCCGACGCTGTCCCACATAGAGAGGCAATGAAGGACGGTAAGCCCCATCCCATTCTTAGCATCCACATCGCACCCCTGCCCATTCAGAAAGTTTATGAGCCTCACATCCCACGATTTGCAGGCCATGTGGAGTGCCGTATTTCCATCGTTGTCGAGAGCGTCGAGCAAGGCGCCTCGGGAGAGGAGAAGTCGACACAGCTCAACATTTACATCGGCATCGACGGACGCTCTGCTCGCTCCATATTCGAGTAAGGTATGCAAAGGCGTCCGACCCTTCTTATCCACCGCATTGACATCAACCCCTTTACAATCCAGTAAGCGCTCAATCATCCCTCTGTCGTTTCCCATGCACGCTATGTGCAGAGGCGTCATACCACCCCGTCCATCCGGAGCATTGATATCCGCGCCCGCCGCCAACAGTGCATCCAATATGCGGACTTGGCCCTTACAAAGAGCGATCTGTAGATATGTGAGACCCCCGCAATTCACGCTGTCCCGACTCAAATCCAGGCCCAGATCCCGACTGAGACGTAGCAGCGCCGCCACTATTGCGTAATTTCCTTCCTCGATAGCGTTATGCAGCATCCGCTTCCGAAACGTCTTTAACGGCGACTTGCGGTGCTGGCCGCTCCAGAACATGTAGTCGGATTTCGACAGTCCGCGCCAGAGGTCGCGGACGGGCGGCTCTTGGGCCCAGATGCCTGTACCGGCGGGGTTCGCCCTTGTTACTTTCTTGTTGTCGTTGGCGTCTGCTGCGCCGCGGATTTTGCCCAGGCGGAGGGCCTCGGCGCCATCTAGGAGGGAGCGAAAGGCGGCCAGGTCTTCTACCTTTGCGGCGTGACTGAGGAGGCTTGTTTCTTCATGGAGGGAGGCCATGATCGATTTTGCTTGGGGGACGGTGAGGGCTTTGAGGGAGATGGTCTTGCTGATGCTCACCGCAGACGGATCTCGAGGCTGGGGATTCTGATTCATGTGGTGAAATAGGAGGTCGATGCAATTTTCGTGGTGGGCCGAAATGGCCCAATGAAGGGCCGTCCAGCCGTTGCGGTCCGCTCCATAACAGTCTGCACCGTGGTTTAGGAGCGTGGATAGCGCTTTGTCGTGGCCTTTGAATGCTGCCCAGAAGAGGGGAGTCCAATGTGCGGCGTCGCGAACGTTCGCCGACGCGCCGGCTTGGAGTAAGGCGTGCACGACCGCGTGGTGGCCCATGGACGCTGCCCAGTGCATCGGTGTCCAGCCGTGGGAGTCGGGAGCATTGATATCAGAGAGCGGCTGGGGATTGGCTTTCAGCAGGTCATGAACCAGCTCTGAGAAGCCCCAGTAAGAAGCCACATGCAATGGCAACTCGGAACGAGGTATGTCGCGGAACATATAGGTCGCAACGTCCAGCTCTCTGTGCGATGTGATATGCAGGACCTGCCACGAAGCTCCTCGCAGAGAATTATCGCGAAGAAAGTCCCCAAGTTTCGCAAGGCACTGCTTTTCTACCGCCCGGGCGTGGTAGCCGAAGAAGTGCGCAGCGTAATCGAGAAAGGGGAGATGTTGGAGCCTGGACTGCAGGTCCTCGATCTTTTCGCAGGAACCCTCGCGCATTGGGTTGATGGACAAATAGGTCAGACACGTCTGCGATATCAGCAGGTTTGGCTCGACTTCGTTAACGATATCCGTCGCTCGTACGAAGTTCATGGCGGTTTCATGCACCATGCCTAGTGTGCGATCGGCCTTGGACAGCACGACCAAACCAAGGCAACAAGATAGGAGCGACCTCGCACTCTCCACATTCTCGGGATCAATCTCGTCCTCTCCATCCTCTGTGGCCAGTGCCTGTTGCAGTTCCTCGAGTTTCAGAGGCCGTTTGGCATAGCAGATCCACACCATGACCTTGACCGCCAACGTTTTACGCCCAGCGTTTTGTTTGGCGATGCGCTCCATCGTCCTTCCATATGCCTCCTTGTAATCAACAGGCGGCGACTCAAGAGCTAGGCGCATCTTTTTGATGGTTGTAAGGCTAGTTATGTGGTCCATGACCAGCCGTGCTACCAGGAAACAGCCATCGACGTGGTTTACCACTGCAGAGGTCAAGTCGGATTTGAAGGATTGCGGTATGAGATCGTAGTCGACTTCGCTCTCTTCTTGTAATCTCCAGTCGATATAGTGCGCTAGGTCGTCTTTTGTAGCTGAGATCTCAACATGCGACGACTTGTCGAAATGCTTGCGGATGTCGGACAGATCGCGTGAGGTAGCGAAAATCTTCAAGCCGGTCTTTGATAGCTTGGGCAACAGCTTTGCCAGTTTCGCCAGGAAGGGACATTCGTCGAGGCCGTCTAGAACTGCATATACCACTGACGTTTTGTTGACAGTACTTGATATGATACTGATAATCTCATCGGGAAGGAGGGAGGAGTTGGTTGACTTCGCCTTCTTCCACAGATTAACAACATCTTCCGTTACAGTGTCAGCTTGGTCCAAGAATTGCAAGGCAAGATGCCGCAAAAAGCCATCCAATGTCTCATGGCTTCGTTCCGCGCTGAAGAAGTGGTATGCGACTGCGCTCTGGCTTGACGATGACGCCGTATCCAGATCTTGAGCGACGGCAGCGGAGAGCACGGTCTTTCCTGTGCCGGGCCGTCCATATGCCCAGAGAAGTCCTTCTGCGCCATCTCTCCACACCAAATACTCTTTGCAGTTCAAGAAATGCGATCCAGTCCCCTCACATAGCTTCTCTATGAAAGTGCTGAGCGGAGCAGGAGTGAAGGAGGGGCTAAGCCAGTTTCTCAGTTCGATTCTCTCTTTCGCGGAGGTCATGGTTCGGAGCTCCTTCAAGCCGGCAACAGAAACGTTGCTGCATTGGTCATTAGTCCCGGCATCTGTCAACGATACCGTAGTCATGAGTGCAAGGGACTCACAAATGGTCTGTCGCCAACGCAGACGCAAAAACGGCGTTGAACCGATGCAACATCTCCACCGTCTCCTTCATCTCCTTCTCCTGGAACGGCCACACGAGCGCACCTAGTTTTTTCCGAATGCCATGCTCCGACGCTTTCCTCTCCAACACGAGCTTCACCTTTTCCAACCGCGTCTTGCAGTCCTCCATCACCGTCTTTGATATCATGGGCTGGCGACGGTCAATAATATCGCCGAGCCCATCGATCTGAGTAGCCTGTCGCAGCCGCAGAAACACCGATGTCAAGGCCGAAAGCTCCTGGATGAATAAGGCTTGGTTGTCCGATGCGCTTTTCAGGGCGGAGAAGTAATGGTAGCTGAGTTGTGAGATCTGGATGGTGAGACCGCATAAGCCGGCGACGCCCGCAGCTATGCTGAGGGGGTCGGTCATCGCGGTCAGGTCTGAGAAACTGTCTAAGCTCTGGGGCGGCTTTTGCTATTACAGATATCTGGAAAGGAAGGCCGAGGGGGGTGGACAGGGTGTGCATCAGGCTGAACTCCCCCGCCCTTACACGTGACTGCACTTTTGCAGCCTCCCGCTGCTAGGGCTTCGTGCATACTGGGCGCCTTGTAATAGGTGGTTGCCGGCAGGTAATATCTGTAGGGCCGGAGTGGAATCTCACCACTCAGAGTTCAGCTCGTGGTCTTGTTGCAGAGTACCAGTCCGAGCCACACATCGTGTATCCATTGTGAATCCATTGTGTAGTTATGATGTCGAGGATTAAGCAGCAGAGGCTGGCGTCAATCGAGATCTCGGCAACTTCATCGTGGTGAACGGGAGCCTATCAGTCACGGGTTAGAATGGTCGCTACTGGATCAGATCAGCTTACCTGCATAATAAGCAAGATGCTCTATAGAAACTGAGGTATATATACCAGTATATATTGTAGTCATGAAGACAAATCACCACCAACCGCCCAACAAACAAGCCAAGACACAAAGCATATACGCCAAGGATTCGCCTCCCACGCTCGCTGCTGTCGGGAACCGACCTTCCCCTATACTTAAAGTCTTAGAAAAACATTCAAGGAATATATCTAGACTGAACTACCTAATCGTTCGACTCTACCTGATCATAGGTCTATTCCTAACAGCACTAGGGCGACGTATGTGAGAGAGAGAATAGGATGAATGGAAGAGAGTTGGGAAGGGGACAATAGTTCTTATGGACGTCAGGCGGCGCCCCTGGGCCTGCGACCATTCCCAAAAGGTCAGGACCGCCTAAACGGAAAGGCCTCGGGCGGATTTCCCGGCAACAACTTCAACAGGCACAGGCCCTGAAAGGCCTACTCCGTAGAGGTTACTTACAATGTCATCTTCCAGGTCAGAACACGGTGCTTGTCATGATATAGTGATTTGCAAGCAACAATTCTACTGTTAGTCGATGGCATTTATGAGAAGGCATCGACTCAGAAAATGAGATGGGTTCAAAAGTCCAACCTGAGGAAGGGCAAACCTGAGCATCCCCTGTTGTGTTATACACTACGGTCTTTAATCGTCTTACTCCCATCAAAACAAATCACAAGCCAAGTGACTTCATTCTCCAGTTACTAATAAATCAGTTGTCTCCCCACGAAACTTTATCAGTCGATCATCCTGCGAGCATCATGTCCCCTGGCTCAAATTCAGCTATGACTCACTCCCGCAGTTTCTTCGGAGAAATAATCGCTCGTCCACCCACTCAATGCAATGTGAATATACCAAATGGTAAAGAATCATCGACGATCTTATGGGAGCCTGTTTTGCCCAGAAACACCTTGCATCATGATGAGAGAATGTAGCTTCCGGACATAGCTTAACTCAGTGCAAATCACCGAGGGGGAAATTATATAAAGACCATGCCTTGGTCGACGACGTGCATCTCGCGTGGTTGATCAGTTCGATCGAGATAAAGTTACTGACCAACAACACCCAATATGGCCCATAAGGAAGCTCTGCGAGCATCGCTCGAATCCACGAAAGCTGAATACAGACGGTTAGGTAAATCCGGTCTGAGGATATCTGTCCCTATTTTGTGAGTGGTCTCCCAGAGTTAGTGATCTCGACATCCTAGGAGGCTGACTTTGGCGGTAGAGGTGCAATGAGTTTTGGTGACCCTGACTGGCAGTCATGGGTCGTGAATGAAGACAAAGTCAGTCAAAACATGACCAATATTGCTGCATTCCTCAACTAACACCCATGACGCCAGGCTCTTCCGTTGTTGAAAGCAGCTTATGATCGTGGCTTGAACACTTGGGACACTGCAGACATCTACAGCAATGGTCACTCGGAGGAGATCATTGCCAAGGCGCTGAAAACATATCACATTCCTCGAGACAAGGTGGTTTTGATGACAAAATGTTTCGCATACATTGGCGAAGAATATGTGAGCATCCAACCATTCTCTGCATTCCGGTCATGTGGTGAGAGATCGAAATTGACCGTCCTGCCAGAGTTATCAAAACGAACCTGAGATGCGTCGAACTAAAGACTATGTCAATCATGGTGGGCTTTCTCGTCAGGCCATCTTCCATGCCGTAGAACGCAGCCTACAGAGACTGGACACAACGTACATTGATCTCTATCAGATCCATCGGTTCGACCCAGACACGCCTCCTGAAGAAACGATGGAAGCACTGAACGACCTGGTACGCTCAGGCAAAGTGCGATACATCGGTGCCAGTTCCATGTGGGCGTATCAATTCGCCCTATACCAGAACACCGCTCAGGCCAACGGATGGACCAAATTCGTGTCGATGCAGAACCATTACAACTTGCTGTATCGAGAGGAGGAGCGAGAGATGAATCCGTTCTGTGATCTGACTGGCGTCGGTCTTATTCCTTGGGCGCCTCTATGTCGAGGGATTCTTGCTCGGCCTCCCTCTTCAGACAAGACAGAACGCAGCTCTAATGACAAAGCCCAAACTGGTCATAGCCAGGTCGACCAGGAGACAGTGAAGCGAGTGCAAGAAATTGCAGAGAAACGAGGCTGGTCGATGAGTCACGTGGCTTTGGCCTGGATCAACAAACGAGTGACCAGTCCCATTATTGGCTTTAGCTCGGTGCAGAGGATTGATGAAGCCCTGGATGCCAATGGAAAAGAGCTTACAGGAGAAGAGGAGAAATACCTTGGAGAGTTATATCAGGCAAGATCTGTGGAAGGACACACGTAGAGATGTAGCGCGATGATCCATAATTCTCGGACGAGCCAGAAAAGCATCAACACCATGTTGGCCCATGAGTTGCTTGAACAAGAGACGTATCATGCAAAAACGGTCCGCTTATCATTGTGCGAATCTCCTTGTTGAATGAAAAATGCACCGAGAAGGAACGAGTTGACCCAATGTTGATTGCACCTGCCTTGATAAAAACTGCGGTGGGGCATTTGGCATCTGGTGCCTGCGCTGCCTGCGCTGCTTCACTATTTCTTCTCCCTCTCCCATCTCTTGTCTCATCCTCTTTCTCATCCTCTTCTCTCTCAAATTCCGCGCTTCTTCGCTTCTTCGCTTCTTACAGTTCGACCGAATACAGCCTCGGCCGTAATCCCCTTTGTCTTACCAAGCTCTTCAAATGCACGGCCAATTGAGGATTCCTTAGAGGGTCGAGAGCTCCCACGAATGCCTTGTGAGACTTGAGTGGAGACGGCATTCATCGGCGGCGACTTTCGTACGAGATTGTCTGTGTCCTCTCTTTGCCGGCCCCTCATCCATGGCGGTTCCAAAGCCCCTTGGCCCCTCCCATCTTGCCAATCTCGTCCTCCCCGCAATCACCCCGTCGGCATTTCTACAAATTCCGACATACAAACTTTCCCAAATAGCCCGTGATCTGTCACCACGCATACGGAGTACCCCTCCGACCTCAAAAACTTCCACTCCCACGGGCTTTGGTGGGGGGCGGGGGAAATACCGGAAGAATCGAGATCCTTTTCAATTGGCTCTATTCGCGGCCTGTAGACTATGATGTTAACACCGAAGCTCGGCTGGTTGGTAAACAAACCGTGGGGCCTTTTTACCAATAATGCCACTTACTTGTCATGCTTTTCTCTTTTTCGAAAACCTGTAAAGACCATTCGACCATTTTGCTCTTCTTCGATCCTTTCAATTGGTGATATCAAGAATTCAAATCAGTTTCCAAATCGTGCGCTTAAGCAGAAACGACAGCAGACCGACGAACCGTTGAGTACCCAATTCAATCTCAAAATGTCCAAAGCAACACACATTATCCGCTTCATCGCGAAGGAAGACAACAAGATCCATTTGGGTCAACTTGTCGACACAACTCGAGATATCGGTCTCGACAGCCTCGAGGGCAAGGAAATCAAAGCATATCTTCTCAATGGCACCATCTTCCAATCGCAAGTCACACCTCATATCTACACCGTTCAGACCCTCTTGTCACCCATCGCAAAAGACGAGACAAACTACATTCGATGCCTCGGCCTGAATTATATGGATCACGCAAATGTAAGCCGTCTCTCCAGTTTCCCCTTCAACCTCGAATTTCTACCACTAGATTTCCGTGAATCTTGTCTGACTCAAGCAGGAAGCCAAAATGGCCCTTCCCAAAGCGCCCATTCTATTCACAAAGCCACGGACCGCACTGAACGATCCCTACCCAGCGGTGGTCCCTGTTCCCAAAGTCGCCCAAGACGGCACCTCAGACTACGAAGCAGAGTTGGCTCTTGTCATCGGCAAGACCGGCCGTGATATCCCTGAAAGCGAGGCCCTCGACTACGTTCTAGGCTACACCGCAAGCAACGACGTCAGCGCCCGAACGCTGCAGATGGCCACCGGACAATGGAGTTATAGCAAAGGTCTCGATGGCAGCTGTCCTCTTGGCCCAGTCCTCGTCACCAAGGAGGCCATTCCCGATCCTCAGGTCCTGGGAATCAAAGCCATCTACAACGGCACCGTCGTGCAAGATGGCAACACCAAGTATGTTCTCCCCTCGAGTCGAGATCCATGAGTTTTGTTGCATGCGACTAACATTTCCGTCCAATAGGAACATGATCTTCAACGTTGCCAAACAAATCAGCTACCTGTCACAAGGAACTACGCTCGAGGCCGGAACAATCTTCCTGACTGGCACACCCGCTGGAATTGGCTATTTCCGCGAGCCCCGCGTTGTTCTCGAGGATGGTGGTGATATCCGAGTCGAGATTGAGAAGATTGGTACTTTAGTCAACAAGGTCAGATATGAGGAGTGGTAGGGGATGAGTTTGCGAGGAAAGGAGAGGAGAGCAGATGGGTTGCAAAAAGCAATTGGGAAGATAAGATAAGAGTATGAGACTATGAAACCTGTGTAAAGGCCAGATCTATCCAGGATGTGACGAAATCAGAAGTATAAGATAGACTTTACATGTGATGATCGTTAGGATAGGCAAAGGCAAAGGCACATGCAATGTGCAAAAGTTGTAATTCAATGTGCAAAAGTCGTCATGCGCAACCCCAATCCAAATAAATCATAGTGCCAAGGGGCGCTCATACAAGTCAAATTGAGATTTCTTAGAAGATGCCGCAGGTTGTGTGCTAATGTCCTGAAGTAGCTATGTGCAGAATCAACATCCATGACTGATATCTTACTACTTAGCTTGTCAAAAAAAGCCATGCTAATGGTATGTATGTACCGTTCAAATTATGAGACAACCGCAATAGTCTGATCCTCAAGTCCTCCTCCTCTCCCATCCATCCATCACGTTGACCCATGAGTCATGCTCATTTCATTTCATTCAATTCTACTCCAAAAACTCCTTTGGCACCTCTGGTCCCCAGACCGCAAGGCCTTCATGTCCAGCGGGTCCAAATCCCATGGGTGTATCCTCATTAACCAGATCCCCATCCGCATAATGTTCGACCATAAACCCATTAACATCCCACCAATAATCGAAGATCTGACTCCCCAGAATATGTCTGCCCACACCCCACACAGGAGTATATTCCTTCTGAGCCAGCCATTGATGGCCGAGGGCTTGGGTGTCGAAATCATGTACTTCGAATGAACAGTGATGCACGTGTTTCTCCAGCCCGGGCGTCAATGTCGTCAGGAACATGGTGTGGTGATCGACGAGGTCTTGGCCGCGGTCGATATGGGCGAAAAGCGCGACTTCCTTGCGTGCGGGCGCACCGGTTTCAGGGTCGATTTTCTCCAGTGGGACGTACAGGATGTCGCTGGGGACGATGTTGAAATGTCGGGTGTACCAGTCCATTGCGGCGGGGAAGTCTTCGACGTTGAGTCCGAAATGGCCCAACTGAGAGGAATTAGTCTTGTGGTCTAGCTCTGGGTCTATCCGAGGTGGAACGTAAAGGGGGAAACATACCTTGTGCACTTCAGCCGGACCAGGCTCGAATCTTTGAAAACTCTTCTCACGCGGCTTATCGGTCTCGTCGTTGAAGACCAATTTACCGGGTTTCTTTCTCTCTTCCACTACCGCACTCTGTCCACAGATGAAGTTGACGGGGAATCCTTGAGGATCCTCCACCGAGACAATATACCCACCACCGGGCGCGTTCTTCATTTCTTCCACTCCATCGGTCAAGGGCTTGATACCGGGGAGGGTAAGCACCTTTTCCAACTCGTCTCGTGATTCCACTTCAAAGGTGCCACCTAGGAATTGTTTCGGTCCTTGTTTGGCATAGTAAACGTATTGGTCGGATCCGTATCCTCGATACCATCTTTCATTGTCGCCTTTTTTGGTTACGTGTAATCCAAAGTCTACAATATCAAGTGAAACGGGAGGTTAGTATTGTATCTCGGGAGATGTAGGGGAAGGAGGTACTGACCTCTCAAAAAGGTGGTAATCTTGTTCAAATCAGGGTGTTGATATCTCATGTGGCTGAGTTTGACAATTTTGACCTGTTTAGAAGGATCGATACCGCGTTTCTTCTGCCATTCGCGTTTCGATGTGGGCTCTGGGATTGCATCGACGTCTTTCACCGAAGCGCCTCTGTTTGGCGAAGGGCCTCTTGAAATGACACCATTGCTAGGCTGGAAGAGTTTAATGGTTCATTGTCAGTAAGGGCCTTGTTGACACCAGGGTTGATTTTGTGGACAGAAACGTGAGAGTTGCATAATCGCATACCTTGTCATTAGCCACCTTTTGTTCGGTGATGTTGTGCTTTAAATCGTCGAGTGAATTCATGTCGAATGACAGGGATGACCAAGTGTCAAACAAACTATGGAAATGTTTGAAAACACTGATAATACCCTTGAGTAGATTTATTGGGAGGGTAAATGGAGTTTCGAGGTTTGTCGCAACAGGAGCAATGACAGTGGCGGCGACGACGACGGTGACAAAGGTCAGATATCGGACGACAGAAAATCGTCCGATGACGAGTATTTGACCGAATCGGCGGCGATGTGGGGAAGATGAATTGGGATTGGGATGACTTTTAGTTAAGATGGGGATGGGGATGGCGATGGTTTGACAAAGAGGGTCCAGCCGAGAAAACTTGTAACCAAGAAAGACGGAGTATCACGAGAGTTCCGAGATCCTTGTACGGAGTACGCTCACTATCGTGGCCTGGTGCTTGGTTGATTCAACTGCCGATAAGTATTATTAGAGAAGTGAGAATTTGAATCCTTTCGTCATCAAGCACTCTTCGTCCAACAGTCAGGGAGATAAGGAATACTATATAGGTACTTGGAGAAAGTCAAGTTCCAAGTTTCAGCTTGTAAATCATGGGTCTGGACATGAATTGCCGCGCCAAATATAGACTAATAAATATAGGGATTCGTAGCATCTGACCAGGTCGTAGTAAATAATGAAAATGCAAATCAATAACCAAACGGTCATGGGTGATTCTTCCCCACAACGATATTACCTACAGTACCCCATCTACAACAGCCTTTGAATCTGTCTGCCTGGGGGTGGGATACAAGGATGAACACAACGGAATGAAGCCGACTCTGACAAAGAATCAAGAAGGACGAGGGGGGATTTCTGGAGTCAGCCCCTCGGCCCCCCAGTAAGCCTGGGTGGTCTGTAAATGCCCCCCTCCCCATCTTTAGGCCGTCTGCCGGCCCCATACACGGAGGATTGATTGTACGAGGGTCGCCCGGGCCATTTCCAGGCTGTTGGATCATTATTGTTGCTTCCAATAGGTACCTACCTACACACACACGACAAGCAACAGCCGTCATCTACTGCCGATAGACTGCTCACTATACGACACAGATGATGTCTGGTTGGTTGAGTTGGAAGCCACACATACTCAAGAGAAAGGCCGTACAAGACCGTGATTACTCGGGGACACCACAAATCCTGAGGCCATGGATTGCTGATCTACTTCGGCGTTTGAGACCTATATTACACCGAAAATGTCGCGACGATTTAGTACTTACTCCGTAGTCTCACATGCTTTGGGATGGAGGGAGGAAGTAAATTTCTGGGTGTTTGAACTTGGGTGCCACAGGCCATCTCGTGGGACCTTAAGCCCCACGATCAAGACCGAATGCCAATGTGGGGTCCTTCTGAAAGCAAGCATGTGGAACAAAACTTCCCCAGATGAGGAGCATTGGTAGCATGTCAGCAGTCATTCCGCGCTGATAAATTCAAGTTTGAAGAAACAAGACAGAGCGCGAGAGAAGAAGAAGAAGAAGAAGAAGAAGGGAAGATGGGAGATGAGATATCAGGGTTGTGTCGATGGCTGGGGCGAGCAGAATTGTTATTGACAATTGGAGATTCTGCCTCTTGCCTCATAATTGATTAATCACTGGCGGCGACTTCCCCAAATCCCTGAGGCAAGCCAAAACCGATAAGATATGATTAATGATAAGATTAGATTATATCTTCGAGATAATCGGTACCATCACATCTACATATCTATCCATTATTGCGGGCAGCAGGGCTATCCCATGGAAAGAAGAGGAAACACATTTCCCATGAATTGAAATTGTTGGAAATGGTAGGAACTCCTCTTAGAATCCACCAACACGGCTGAAGAAATCTCTTGATCAAATGCGTTGGTTCTGTGCCAGCTCGAGACTGATGTATGTAACATCGGCCTTTGTATGGGGATGACGTGGAAGCAGGCCAAATCAACATGACAAAGGTGGATCAACCAGTGATTCATCTAGTCTATCCCGGGATAGCGCATCCGTCACCTCTCATATCACTACCGCCACTGTATACTGGGATCCCTGTTTCTTCATCGACATGTCTTCTGACAATTTGCCCCCGACCAAATTTGCCTCTGGACCAACCTTTTAGAACCTCAATGTCATGTCCCATCTGCTTGAGCACCTTGACCACATTTTCGTCAATTCCTTCTTCAATGAAAACTGTTCCTGCCTTGGGAGCTTGTCCAGCCGGTGCACCTGCTCCAATGCAAAATCTCGGCGCATCTAGAGCTTGTTGAGGATTCATGCCAAACACTTCCATATTCAAAAGTACTTGAACGTGGCCCTGCGGTTGCATGAAACCTCCCATGACTCCATACACTGAATGAAGTTGTCGTTCCGCTCCATCTCCATGTGTGATCATGCCGGGGATGATGGTATGATACGGTCGTTTGCCTCCTTTGTAGAGGTTGGGGTGGTCTTCCGGTCCTAGCTCAAAGTTGGACCCTCGATTCTGCAGCACGAAGCCTGTCCCCTGTGGGATGATGCATGATCCAAACCCTTCATAATTAGAGTTGATGAAGCTCATCCCATTGCCTTCCTGGTCCGCAACGGCAAAGTAGACAGTGTCACTGTGATTCTGAGCTGGGCTAGGTCCTGGCTGACCTCGGATATGGTTGCCGGCCTTTTCTTTGTTGAACAACTTGGCTCGTTCTGCCAGATACTCTTTGGAGAGTAATGCTTCGGGCTCGTGGGGGCTGTGCTCTGGGTCGGTAACCCACCATGCAGCGTCAGCAAAAGCAATTTGTAATGCTTCGATGACTGCATGCAGATACAGCGGGCTATTATGGTCGTCGATGGCAAAGGTTTGAATTTGTTGCGTGCGTTCAAGTTCCTCAAGGATGCCTAGGGCAATCAGCGCAACGATGCCCTGTCCGTTTGGAGGGTGTTCCCAAAGCTCGACAAAATGACTATCTGAGGTGCCGTTGGTCACTCGCTGCGTGGCCGTCTTTCGAACATTCTGTCCTCGAAACTTGTGGGAGATTGGTATGGGTTCCTCGACCGCTTGATTTAGATGGGCTTCTAGATCTGAGAGTTCAATGTGTCCGCCAGTCTGTTTGAGGACGTCCACTATGGACTGGGCAATTCTGCCCGAGTAAAATCCCTTTTTACCTTCTGCCGCCAGAGTTCGAAACGTTTTTGCAAGATTGGGATTCCGAAGGATCTCTCCTGCTCTTGGTGCTCGGACAAAGAACTCGGCTTGCTTATCTTTTTTCAGGATCTCTCGGAAATTCGGAGAAGCGTTCTTCAGATCTTGTTCCGAGTCTTTCCACTAAATCCAACATGAGTCTTGTTTGCAGTCAAGGGAGGATGATACTCACAAATGCGGCAGAGAATTCACTGACGGGGAACCCTTCCTCAGCGAGCTCGATGGCCGGCGTGAGGATTTGTTCCAAAGTCAGTTTTCCACTTCCAAATCTCTCCACGGTATCCACCCATCCAGCAGCAGCACCCGGTACTGTGACGGCGAGTGCGCTCTGAGGTGGAATCTTTGCACGTGCACCAGGAGCGAGACCTAGTTCTTTCCGGACTTGTTCCAAAGTGGTGTTTTTGGCACTTCGACCAGAGCCGTTAAGGGCGTGAACTTTCTTGGTCTTTGCGTCGAACCACAAGCAAAACATGTCTCCTCCAATTCCCGTTGAGGCAGGTTCGGTGACGTTGAGGGCAGCAGCTAGACCACAGGTTAGTTATGACAGCCCATCAATCAACAGGGCAGGCAACCAAGACGGACCTGTCGCTACGGCAGCATCCTGAGGCCAATGTTAATACTGATAGTCGGGAAATATAACACAAGAGACTTACGGCAGCATTACCACCCATCTTCAGAATCCTCTGACCAGCTTCCGCTGCCAATGGTTGAGTACAAGCAACCATGCCTTTGGTGCTATGGACAACGCTCCTCCGGCTGGGGAATTGCACAAATGGCGGGTCCCCAATGGGATAGACGGCCTCTGCCCGGAAATTCTTCTCGGTCGATCCCATTGTGATATTTTGGTCGGAGTAAATGAGGAGCAGGGTAGAAGAAGTTCAGGACGGCAGATTCTTCTCGAGACGGTTGAAAATTTCTTGAGGTCTATGAATCGGGATCAGAATCAGCTTAAGAAGATAAAAATGAACAAAGACTCTCGAAAGATTTAAATGAGACAAGATCATCAAGAGTGATGTTGGTCACTCACGTGAAACCAGTGACGCTATTCTATGTCGAGAACTCTGCTTATACGTTTTGCCGGGAAGGTGAATGCCACGGCGTCAAGGTTCTTCACGGAGATGAACGGTCGAGTAGTTTCTTAGCAACTGTCATGACCATCCTTGGTTGGTACGGGTGGTTGTTGGACAGTCACACAGTGGATCGTTGTGATCAATTCAAACCCAACATCATTGCTCCTTCCTCCTTGTGCGTGGGGCAAGCACGACCCATGTGTGGCGTGGCGTGGCATGAGGGGAAAGGAAGGAACAGCGCGTGGGCGGTAGGCACAGCGAATAAATTACGAGAAAAGTGATGATGGCGACTTCAAAATAAAGAATTGGTACTCAACAGCCATTAGGCCTCGGTTTGACTAATAAATCTGCATTTCCAATTTCCTAACATACAGAAAGAAACCCCAGACTTGTTCTTTGAATGGCTCTTCTACGACTATATCCAAAGAAACACACTTGCGATATCCATCCTTCACCAAGACATCTCTTGCGCCGTCACGTGACATATATACCCAACTCATCTTCGCTTTGTCTAGGGAGATACCTATCTATAGCACATGCTGTCGCTGTCTAGTCGGCTGTTGTAACACATTAATCATACAATAGATCGGCCTGTATGCCAATGACCACCAACAAATGAAAAGTCCCCCACAAATGAACGCGTCCCTGATCGCCAGTCCCAGTTGTTTCTATCCTATTTCATGCCTCAATTCTCTCCGGCCGGAGCGCCGCCCTGAGTTGTACATGCTGCGTAAATGTGTTCAACGTTCGCTTGAGAAGACCCGGTCGGTTTACAGACATGGCGTCATCGTGGTAATGTCGCCTGCTTCGTGAGCTCTCCTCTCCGGATGTTGAATGCTCATCCGATATGGTGTCCTTGCGTTGTCCATGTGAGCTCCCTTGGCTGCCCTCGTCGCCCTCACCATCTGCCTTGTTTTCGCCATGTCGATGATGACGGTGGTGATGATGCCTCCTCCTTTCGGAACTGGTGCTGTTCACTCTCATAATGAACATATGCACACTTGTCTCGCTCTCCCCCGATGCTAATTTCTTCAGTGTCTCCCGGAACAGTTCCCCAGGACTGGTAGTCGAGTTACTGGACCCAGCAAAGCTAGGCCGGCGTCCCTGTTTGCGTCGGCCATCACTTTCGCCCAAATCTTCTCGCTCCTTGCCTTTTCGTCTCTCCATCATCCGAGCTGCCTCCTCCTGAAGTCTGCGTTCCCGCTCCGCCTCTGCTTTTTCTCTCTTCTCTTTTGCCGCTCTGCGAGCAGCCCGTCTCTCTTCTCGCTCTGCTTCTTCCTGCGCCGCAAGAGCCGCAGCCGCTTCCGCCCTTCTCTTCGCATACCTTTCCCGTCTAGACTCTTGCTCTTGTTTGTACTCCTCCGATTCATGCCTTCGCTGTTCCTCGGCTCTCGCTTTGCTCACTTGTCGGCCAATTGCGTTCTCAAATAGTCCAACCTTATCCTTTTCTCGTTCTAACCTTGCTTTGTGCCCGTACAGAGGATCTCGAGGCCGATGTTCCCGCGTCTCGCTGTACTTCCTATGATGTCTCATTTCTCTCGCTGCTGCCGCGGCCGTAGCTACTGCTGCGCCCACTGCTGCCGCTTCCACAACGTGATTATCGCCTGATGCCTCCTCTGCTGGTGCATCCGAGGCCGGCTCTTCTGCGGCCGGTGCTTCTTCTGCTGCCGCTGTTGGTTCTTCTGCGGCTGGTACTTCTTCTTCTGCTGCCGCTGCTGGTTCTTCTGCGGCTGGCTCTTCTGCGGCTGGCTCTTCTGCGGCTGGCTCTTCTGCGGCTGGCTCTTCTGCGGCTGGCTCTTCTGCGGCTGGCTCTTC